ATCATCATCTTCCTGGGTAGTCTCTGAGTCGGTAATCGAGTAGTTTCGGGAGGGACGACGACGTCCATCCCAAGCATCGAGCTGTTTGCCTCTGCCACGAGAGGTATCCGTCCAGCCTGGGTTGTAACCCGAATGCGAGGATCCCACTGTGGACGAACGAGACGAGCACTTGGAGTGCGGACGGGAGGACGAGGGCGTACCAGCAATGCGGGACCGACGAGGCGTGATATCAGGGAAATGATACGATGGATTCCGCACTCTGCCAAGTCGGCGCTCTGAAGTATCTGATATGTCACTGTCACTCTCTGTGGACAGCTCCTCGATGCTGATATCAGGGGACACATCAGGCAGTTGAGACTGAGACTGAGAGTGTCCTGCCAGTTTCATCTCTGTCGTGGCAATTCCGTCCTTCCCAACCTTGAGTACGAGAGACTCCATTGGCGCAGCTAGAGAGGCAGATCGTTGGAAAGAATGCATCTGCTTGAACGGCGAGGTGCGGCCCTTGGAGGGAGTCTTCCTCACTCCGCTTCCGGGAAGGGCGCCGGAGGTGGTGGATGAAAACGAAGGTTGGCGAGATACGGCCCCAGAATGAGTCGTGATCCGTCTCGGCGGCGGTCTGCCAGGAGGCCGAGGAAGGGAAGCATAAGAGTCTTCATAGTTGGTGGCAGCACCACCAACACCGGCATTAGCAGTCGATCTGCGTGGATGACCGACACTTCTTGTCCGTGATATCTTGCACAACCCCCTTTCCCGCTTGTCCCGCTCGGACTCTTCCGTTTGATAATGGTAGGGCTGGCGGTTCTCTATCCGGGGAGCATGGGGGGTGTATGAGTATGACGGGTCAGAAAAGCCGAATCGTCGAGCAGGCGAGCTGAGAAACATCGATGGGTCATCGTCTGGTGGTAGAGGCACACGGGGTGAAGCCGAGAAGGAAGAGTTGATACCGGCCCCTTGCTGTGCTTCGAGGTATCGTGGGTCTTGAGGAATACCCAAACCCACCCGTCTTCTCCCAATGGACTGGGTCACAGGCAACCTAGGAGTCTCCAACCCAATCTCACTCGCTGGATCAGCATCAAATGCTTCGACGGACTGCTCAAGGGGACCCTGAGTGGATATGTCGAAGTTTCCATTATTGTTGGTGTATGTAGCAGCAGCAGCGGAAGAAGAAGAAGAAGAAGCAGAGGGGTTATCATCCATCATAGCCGATGGCGGAGGGATATTCTCCTGGTCCCATGGCATCGAGTATCGAGGGATAAAGGACGGTTCGGTGGCAGATGCACCAGCAACCCGGAACAGATCAGGGGTGCCCTGCAGGCCGTAGAAGTTGGGGGAGAGGCCGACGAAGCGGCTGGGGGTCTCGAGACGGTTTGGGTTGGGGTCTTGCACGGGCGTGGCGGCGTCATCAGTCGTTACATTCATAGCATCCAGCGTCCTTCTCCTCGAGGTGCTGGTGGGCGGCGGGGTCTGCATCGAGGCAGCCGAGCGGCTGGTGGCATCGACTCCGTCCGACATGTCTGGCCCCGAGCTGAAGATGGTGCTCAATGGCCTTGTCCTTCTCACGCTGCTGGAAGCCAGGGAGTCTCCCCCTTCAGCCTCTGGCAATTGGCCTATCAAAAGTTAGCACACACGTACTAAAAGTCCGGCTTGTAGATAATCGAGATGAGATATTCGAATATAAAAGTCTAAATGCCTTACACATACCTCGCTGGGGAGACGGCGAGGCCAGGTCAAAGCGGGGAGGAAACTTGACCAGCTCCGGGCTGGAGGCATAGGGGTCTGCAGTGTTCCATGTCACCCGCGGGTCGTAGAAGCTGGACTCAAGCTTCGGGGTCTCAAACGAGCTGGTCGTGGGCGTTCTCGTGGGCGTTTGAGGCTCAACATTAGGATCCGTAAAGCTGTAGAAGTGAGTAAAGGTGAAATGAAAAGAAACGAGAGTCAGAATCCGTCTATCCGTCTGCAAGACATGGATTTTTTCCACTCCCCTTCGCCCCCTTGTCTCCCGTCACTCCGGAGAGAGCAGATGTCGGACATACCTGTGGATAGGGTAGTCCCAATTCATAGCAGCAGATTACGCCCAGAGCAGCATCAGGCGAGACGAGCGGCAGACGAGGCCCCGACAAGCACCGGCACAACGCTCCCAGGAGGTCAAGCTCAAGCCCGTCTCTACCGTCTGTACCGTCTCTGGCGGTCCCTTTTTATTGCCTCGTTCGCGGGTGGCCGTCGTGGTCGTTCGGAGGTGGGAGGTCGAAAAGCCAGTCAGGGACAAACACAGCGAAGGAAGGATGGGAAAAAAAAAAAAAAGCCCTAGGGAGCAGTCAGCCAGTCAAGTCTCTACCATTAACGGGGCGACTAAGCAGATAGTTAGAGCAGCCAGGGGGGGGATATCACCTCGTTTGCAGCAAACCGTTGGCCCCTTGCCCGTCTTTCTTCGGACTTGAGAGCGAGGGAGAAAAGGGAGCAGTCGAGACAAGGGGAAAAAAAAATGTCGAGACGAGGTCGATGCCGGGCGTGAAGAAGAAACGAAGGCGAAGACGAAAGACGAGAAGAAGGCCAGGTAGACGCAGGAGAAGAAGGCCAGGCAACCAGAGAGCGACGGCCAGGGATGATCGATCAGGCAGCACAGGCAAGAGAAAAGAAAAGAAATATATCTATTTAAGCAACAAATTACTTGGTTGTTTAGTTATTATTCATTTAGTTTGTAGTTAGGCAAAGCTGAAACGGTCAAAGAAAGACGCCGTCGTATAACTAGCTAGCTGGTTACGGAGTTGATATATATATATGTGTGTGTGTGTGTTTATATATATGGATATATGTATATATAAAGACACCGGGCCATGCTTCAATAAAGGTTGCAAGATGCGATGCAGGCACGTCTTTTATCCGGGCTCGTCGTCTGCCGCATTGCCTCTTCTGCGTCTTCCCTAATTTTAACCCTCGCAGTGGGAATGCGAGTGCAGGAAGAGCTCCGTCCGTCCCATTCCATGGATGCCCACTTCTTGAGAGCGCCCGGCCTGCCCTCTGTCACACCCGCCCCGGTCCCCTTTTGCCCTGTCCAAGGCTGGAGAAATCAGATAGATGGCTCGGTAGATAATAGTCGTGTAGATAGAGATCTCGAGAACCAGGAAAGGCCCAAAAGCTTCTTCGCGGACAGCGTTTTGGTAGGCCACCAACGGATGGAACCAGCATGCGTGGTGGTAGCCAGAAGTACCTCTACCTTCTCAACCTTGGTGGCTGTACCGGTTCTGACGTGCAGCTGCAAGTATATGTACGGCCGTCTACTCCCTCGAGAGCCATAACGGAGGGGAGAAGGGAAGCTGGTCACTGGTACGGGAGCAAACCAGTCAACCAACAGGTGGTTAAAGCTAGTTTAAACTGGCTCTGGCCGGTCCATCCATCGAGGGGTCAGTCCGTTTTGGGATCGATCAAAGAAGTTGAGCTGCAAACCAGAAACTCCGTTGACCCCTGGATCAGCCAGCTAACTTGTATTCGACGGATGCATATCATATAACTAGCACAGAGCACTTGCTCGCTCAGTCTCAGGGACGGCGTAAACATAGCACCGCATGCACGCCGCTCTGTGCCTGCAGCCGAGAAGTCGCACTTTCCTTTTTTTTTTTTTTTTTGTCTCCCTTCCTTTGCTGAAGAGCTTGAAGATCTCGGATCTCCACAGGAGAAATTTATATCGTAAGCTAGTCAAGTAAGGTGGTGTGCCCCCCTGGCACCCCTGGACCCCCAGCCGGTGATTGGATTGTTTGCGCCCTCGGAATTGGCCAGGAGCTCGCTGGATGGAACCCGCTTCAGCTGCTTGTCTCCCCCTCTGTCGTGTGTCCGCGGTTCATACTCCGTAGTTAATATTAATTAAAGCTGCTTAGCCGTAAAATCTCCTCACTGTTGCCGGGTGTTCCTGAGAAAAAGAGGGACCCTATTACCCCATCGAAAGAGAGGAGGGCCGGAGAATGTCCTCTGGGTGGCAGCTAGGCGCCCCTCTGGGTGTCTTTATGTTGATTAGTTATTGTCCAGGGGGCGATGCCATCCTGCCTCTAGGCGACGCCGACGTTCCCATCCGTGCCGCTTCCATGGCCCTGCTCCGTCGACACGAGAGGGATGCCCATGCAGGCATCGATTGACTAGTTGTTATTGGCAAGCAACCATCAGCTCATCCTTTGGATTCCTTGCATCTGTTAGTCTCGCCAACTCGCTCACTAGTCGTGGTTTAGGGCTGGCTGGCCAAGGTCACCGAGCAGATCTCCTGGCTGCGCAACGCCGTCTCCTCCGCGGTCTTCTGCGGTCAATGTCCGTCTCTCTGTCCAAGGACGAGCCTTAATATAACTGCGGCGGCCTGAGGCTCACTCTCATATAATTACATACCGGTTCACGGTCTGTACGGCGTCGTTGTTATGTCTCCCAACCACCCACGGACAGGCCGATGGCGCAGGATTAGTTTCGAACTGCGGCGAGACTGGACATGAACGAGCTTTTTAGCCGCTGGGCAGACGTCATGATGAAGCTGTAGTCAAGTAACTGACAAGATATTCGCTTGCTGTTCGTTGATCGAGGTACTCTGTAGTTAGCAGCGTTGCCTGCTGGAAGGAAGAGAAGTCGGCCAGTCCAAGCCATAGAGATACAGCCATGCGTGAGTCTCTATCGAGTAGTCAGTAGATGGATATCAATCCTCGTGGTCAACTATCATGAAGGCGAGATATCGTCCTGATGGTCCTGCATCTAAATAGTTAGTTAATTAGGTGGCTGGTTGCTGTGTTGTGTTGTTGTTCAAAGCAACAACACAGCTTTAGTTATCTTTGTCTTCTTCATCTTCCTAGCAACCAACTACAAGTCTACAAGTCCACGTCGAGGCAGCCATCTTCTCAAGCTGACCAGCTGCAAAGGACCATGACATTGACACTCTTCCTCTCTTCATGACAGTTACTCGCTGAACTGCTCTTCTTCCTCTTCTCTTCCCTCCTATCTAAACCCGCAAGTTCAGCTTCTCTCGCCCAAAGATGGGCAAACCGCAGCGGCAGCAACGCCAGTCCAGGGCCAAAAGGGGGGCTGGAGGGATTCGAAAAGGAGCCAGCAAGCGTGCAAAGCCGATGCCAAAGGCATTGAAAGACAAGCTTAGAGATATCTCTTACTCAAAGACGGCCCATGGATTTGTGCCTGAAGATGTACGTTGGCCGTTGGCCTGTGAATTTCCTTCTTATACACCTATACAGGGACTAACAGCTGTCAGGTTCTTCTTGATAACCAGCCCCTACCACCAGGATACGTTTTTGTACCCAAGGGAAACATCTATATCACCCGGAAATGCCGGTCCCAGACACACGATCTCGGCTCTCCCGTGTATACAGTCTACGTAAGGCTTCCATAGTTGCACATACCCCTTTGAGCTTCAAACTGATGGTTCTAACCCGTTGCCCAGTGTTCCACAACTTATAAACAAACCGGCCTGTACGTCCCGGCCAGCGTGCAAGCAGCCGTCGAGCTGGAGTCCAAGGAGACATCTGAAGACCGCAAAAAGGCCGTGGCTCAGAAGGACGCCCGGGATCGACAGAAGGCACGGGAGCTGCTGCTTAAGGAGTTCCCTAACATGCCCAAGTCAGATCTCACAGCAGTTCTCAATCACGCCTTTCTCAAGGGGTCAAGACGAGTCGGAAGAAGTGGCAAGATTGCCAGTGAGAAAGACAAGGTCAGGCTGGCAGTTGAAGCCCATATCAGACACGTCCATACCGAATATGATGACATGATTCGCCGTGGTCTCACACGAGAACGAGCAAGAGAAAATATCTGGGATGAAGTTGTCATCCTACGAGACTCATGGAGGAAATGATACCCTTTATTTACGAATTCACGGTTCTGATAGATTTTAATAATGCATAGCCTGTTTGGATTGAATGGTTCTCGACTGGGAGACTTGCATACAATACCCACTATTCATGTGTTTAATATTACCATTAGGAGTTAGACGTGGATATCTGTGAATAAGAAATACACCAGGTAAATGGAGCCATCCTAGAAGTCGATTCCTTTCTGCTCGTTCGAACGAACATGTATGCCATGGAACCCGAAGCCAATGGCACCATTGAGCGCTGCCCTGCCTACTTCAGTCATAATCTTTGCATCAAGCACAAGCAGATAGGAGTTCCCCGATAGTCCATCAAGTACAACAGACAGCAACACCCCGTCGTCCTCCTCAGAGCCGTCGTCCCCCGCTAAAACATCCACCGGTGGACCCTTAGTTCGTGGGACAAAAATTGGCTCTCCTGCACTTTGCCCCTGACGAGACCAGAACTTGCTCTCGTATGTTTTTGTATCCATCTTCACCAATCCGTCGAAGAATGTAGATGATCCTGTGAAGTTCACTGCATATACATACCGATGTGGCCGAGTAATGCAACGTGGGTTAATTGTTGGCAGCTCCGGCGACTGAATCGGCTCAGACTTGTACTCAAGAACAGCCTTTCTAGCTGTTTGTGCAGCTTCTGGGGTGACCTCCAGCGATATATTCTGCAGACGATATCTCACGAGGGCAGATGAAAACTCGTTCGCCGCCTTTGTCTTGCCTGCATTAGGTGAATTCGACTTAAGATTGTCCAGGTAGAAACACTTCAGGGCATTTAGGTTGTCATACGCAACCAAGTCTGCTATGATGTCCGTTCCTGGCCCGGCCTGGGATGAAACTTCATATGCATTCACGCTATGGAAGCAGAAGAACGGATCACTCTCAAACGTGGCTACCAGACCCCTGCCGCCATTTTCAGCAGTCCGGCGATCAATCACATACCACCTAGCAGGACGAGACGCATCGTACTCCCCAATCGCATCGAGAATGTTTCTAGTCCACAGGATCTTCACCCCGTTGGCCACAAAAAAGGAGTTCCACACACAAAGAACCACGTAGTTTTCCGTTAGAAAGATTGAATGGATATACGCCGGGGTAGCATCCGTTATAGTCGCCAATATAGACGTCTTGCCAGTTGACCGAGAGACGGTAAACACTCGGTACGTCGGTGTCATTCCGAACTCAAGGTTGAAGTTGTAAACGTCACCCGTTACCGGGTCGGATTTCGCATGGGCTCCAGACATGGGGCCTCGTAGCTCCGGGTGAAGGGCATGCTGCTTTGCAATCCCCACGGGCTCAAGGGTTTCCGGGTCCAGCGTCTGCAATACCGCTGAATCTGTCTTGTTGACAAGATACTGGATACCGGAGCCATGTCCACCAACAGATTTCTTCTTCACGCCGATAGATTCTAATCCCGGAAAGTCAACGGATAGGGTAATGGCCATAGAGTATTCATCTGGTTGGCGTGGTCGTTCGGCCTGGAAGACAGACATGACCTTTTTGAAGTAGCTCTGGCAGGGGTCGTATTTCTTTGCAAAGGTCATTGTCTTCCGCTCGCCGGTCTTTCGGATCATTTCAATCAGGCCATCACAAGTACTGCGGGAGTTGTATATGACTCTGACTTCAGGATGCTCTTCATCAGGTGCTAGAATCTGAAATCTATGCACAACTGCTAAGCCATCGAACCAGTGGCAGACTCGGTACACTCCTTTATCGGATTCAATCTGTCCCCGGCCGATTCCTGTGCGGAACAGCGTGCCGGCTGCCCACGGTGGGATCCTTCCAGTCACCTTCAACTCGACAGGAGACCTTTCTTCATATGAAGTATCAAACTAGTCGCATTCATTAGTGTATAATGGAAACTGAAGGCAGGAGTAAACCTACCCCTTGGTAGTTCGGCCAGTCTGATAATGAAGGAGATTCCTTGGGTATTTGAGCCTTCGTCTCCATGATCAATTATAGGGTATATTAAATGTTGTAATGGGGAATGAGTTGCAGTAGGTTTTGATATTTGAGAATGAAGTTTCTGGTATGATGCATTAATCCTCCCAGCGGATAATGTCAGGCAATATATAGGTATATATACCTTCTAGCCCCAACGCTCCTGGGTACGTATCAGGACGTCAGTAAGCCGCAGAATCAGCTGGTTGATGAGATTGAACAAGTGGACTGCCGTTCTGCTTATTGCAGGACAGGACATGGTCTTGTTGATATTCATCCGGCCTACATTGATGCCCGCTTCGTTACGTCCGTAGATGTGTGAACTGCAGCTGCGTAGTTCACCGATTGCCTCGGTGCATTGGACACTAAGTTCAACCTCACGCACGCCCTTGACTAGGCATCATCATACACGGCTAGTCTTCGCAGATATAGATAAGCATGCTCCGTACATCATGGCAGACCGGCAAGGCACCTTCTACCTTCCCGGCGCTCATTGGTTGAGAGACCCTTCAGCTCCCTAGAATAAGACGCTTTTGCGCACGTATGGAGGAGGTACACCGGACTCAATTCACCGGCTTGACGATCACACCAGAGTAAGCAACTTATCTCCCCCTCGCAGCGCATTCAAAATAAGCAGCTCATGCGTACGGAACCCTGACACTGTTGAACGCACAGGGCCGTCAAGAGTGGTCATTTCGTCTCCTTTTTTGCGATTGTTTGTCCGGCTTCGTTTTCGTTTCGGCCGTAAGGAAGGAAAGCCGGAAGCAGTCATGTGACCACGCCTTTTCCCCTGGGCGACGGTTCGACGTTGGAAATTATATTGAGGAGGTGGATAACTCGCGGGGATCTCATCATCAGCGGTGTTTTTCCAGGTTCGATCTTGTGAGGTAGACGCTAAAATAAGAAATGGAGTGATAGCTGTCAGCTTTGCAGATCTGGCAATTTCATTGTTGCGCTAACGGACGGGCTAATTATTTGAACAACGGCAAGGGGGGCGGGGAGACCACTAAGAGCCTGATGGCGGAGATAATATAGTAAGGTCTAACATGGAGCAATAATATAGGGTTTATTTATTGGCGACAGCATAACAAAATTCAAGGTATAATCTGTTTCGCATGCTCTCTTATTCTCCAATCCAACCTTTAGATCACGTTCTGGACCTGTCAAGCCGAAGGCAGAGAGCTGAATATATTGCGATATACGGAGTACTTAGGATCAGCTCTGAAGATTTTATGTGTGGCTCCAACGAAGAAGTATCCCTAAATGGCATATTTTTCCTGAAACAAGCCAGGAGCTAGAATGGAAACCTTAACCCCAAAAGATAGAAGAAGTATGGAGTACTGGGGAGTTTCATATGGGAACAGGTACCAGGTAACTGGAACAGCATGGTTAAGAACAACACAAATATCAATGTGATGGCATCTGTGAGTGGCCAGGCTAATACCTGGCTTGTGATGCGATCTTCTAAGAATAGAGGTAGAGTTTCGTTAGTTAATTGAAGAGGGTCATGACTGTTGCATGAAGGGTCTGAACACACATGCAGGCAGTAACTTGGCAACTAGCGGCATCTCGAGACAGAATAATATACCTGGGAGTGTCTGCATTCCCCTGTATCTTCTGCCTTTCCTCCTCTTTTCCCCAACCTTCATCCCTCTTGAAGGATTCAACTTAAGCGCCGGGTTTTTGGCCAGAAATTAACTTTAAGAAGCCAACGAATAAGCGCGGGGAATTGACCCCACTAATTGCCGTATCAGGTAAAGCTCGCTTCCGTCACGGCGGTTAGGCTGCGGCAAGGATCAGGGATAGCGGGCCGTTTATTAATAGAAGCTGAGATGGCGGGCTCTTATTGGACGGGAATTTGTGATTGAGGGGAAGCGGTGGTGCAGACGGAGGCATGCAGGAACAGTGTGCGTCGTGTGCGTGCATCTTCATGGCGATATATAACAATCTGGATGTTTCATCATTGTGGCCGTTCTTCTTCACGTCGCTGCTGCTTGTCTGAATGTCTGGTCAAGCAGGCGGCGGAGGGAGAAAGAACATGATTCTCCACGAGCAATCTCGAAACAGGGGGGATATACGTCCCCCCTCTACCGATCCTTTGACCCGAGATATGATATCTCCGCCCTTATCCCAGGAATCGGCCTTTGACTCGAACATGATTGCACCCCAGGTCTACTCGGGACTGGAATATGTCTCAAGCAAGCTACAGTCTAACACGCTGCACCTGACTCTCATCCTCTCCCGTTCCAAACCACTGCCTATCGGTCAAGGGTGCAATCTCACTGTCTTTCCCGTCGGCACTCTCTCGGACAATGAGCGCCATATTTTCAGCAAGTATATCCGGCGAGCGGCAAGGAAGTACCATCTCCAGCCAAAATGGATGGCTCTCTCGTCATCAAGCTCTGGCATGGACGCTATGTTCAACCCGGAATACCTTATCGACAGATCACTGAAGCAGAACGATGTCTTGATCAGCCTTGAGGGACTCACTATTTTGAACATTGACCGCACGTACACTCTCAAACAGTATCTCAATGCACTCTCCACTCCCTGGGTGACGCCGAATACGATGATCGACCGTATCCCCAGCCGCATCTATACCGATGCCTGTCTCTACCTCCTTCGACAGTCTGTTCAGAGTACAGGAGGCCGGCCGTTCGCCAAGTCGTTCTTTTATCACGCTTATAACCACTTGCACTTTGAAGACCACCTCATTGTCGACATAGCCAACGAATATTTTGCTCGTTATAAGCAGGTAGCCATTGTTCTGCCAAAGCCTCCAGCCTCTGATCCTGTCCTCGAATCGGATCCGGAGTCTAAATCAAAGGGGGAGTCAAAGCCAAACATTAACCCTGAGGTGATAGTGTCGAAGCCCAAGGAAGAAAAAGCGGAGAAGCAAAAGGTTAAAAAGAAGGAGATTTCTGCCTCATCTCTGGGTACGAGAAGAGTTAGCTTTGCAAAGGCACTCTCTCCTCTCAGAGCACGGACACCTCATAGCGCCTCCGACGTCACTCCGATTACCCGGAATGAATGGAACATCCTCGTCAGCGATTCGACTGTCGGCAGGAAGAAACCCGTCCAATTAACTGTTCCGCTAGAAGCTGGTTGTGCCCCTGATATAGAGGGGGATGGAGTCATATATGACCTCAATTGGGAGGATGTTGAAGAGTGACTGAATATGGGAGAATGACCCTCTGGCTATTTCATGACCGTTATGAACATTTATTTCGTACATAGGAACTTTTTTTTCTTTCATCCGGGGTACTGATGGATATATTTGAAGTCCGTTATGGAGCAATCAACATACCTACAATAGCTCTTATTGCCCAACGATATTCGATGATCAGCGATCCTGAATGATAGTGAGCATATCCACTATCAACTGTTGGTAGATGCTCTAAATACCTTCCAGCTTAATGACGACGGTTATCAGTATTCAGAAAGTGGGTTATCCCTGGAGGGTAGTCAAAGTAGCCTTGCACAACTGATAACACTTTGATTCGCAAGTTGGCCCCAGGGGTGCAATATTAACGGGAATTGTTTGGCCATAAGCTAGCCACGTATGAATGGCATACAGCTTGCAGGGACACGGATATAATATTGCGTAAATGAGCTGCCATGCCAGGCTGAAAGATTCTGTATCCCTGGCATCTGCATCCGAGATGCCGTCCAGGCAGCACAATAATTGATAGGCAACAGGATAACTCTGCCAGATAAAGTCGCTGGATGCTCACTGGCTCGGTAGCTAGTAAAACTTATCAACCACGGAAAGTTTACACTAGCTATCAACATAATGGAGTCTCAAGGTATCAGCAGAGGAGAGCCACGACGACAAACCTATACAGTCCGGCGTATCAAGCCATCAGACTTCCCAGCGGCAGCAGAAATTCTAGCGAATGACAGCAGCCTGGGCAAAACGTTGCACTCGGGCAAGGAAGGCTACCACAGCGGGCCCCTAGATGGATTTATCCAGAGTATACGGTCGAGATATCTGAGTCCTGGATGGGTGATATATGTCGCCGTCGCAGTTCCTAGCAAGGATGACACCACAGGCCTGAATGAAATAATTGTTGGATATGCAGCTTGGAAGCGAACAGGCACAAGCCCCGCAGCGCAAGCATGGTCTGACAATAATGAGTGGAATTTAAATGGTATGAATGCATTGCTCCTCTTCTCTTGTGGCTGGATGGCTCGCTCACGAAAGCGTCTCCGTCTCAGGTCTCCGGGTATCCCTTTCCAGCTTACAAGACAGTTTAACCCAATGCTTCCAGTTAAGCAAAGGGGTTAGTCCTGACAAGTCTTCACTTCGACTCGAGGAGAGTTTCCCATCTGCTGTGTTTCCGGAGCTGTGGTATTTGGCTACCCTCGCAGTTGATCCAGCATACGACGGAGAAGGCATACGCCCGTTGTTGACACGACGTGGTATAAGCCATGCAATTGATGAGCGCGTCCCGATAGGGCTAGAATCAAGCTTGAGAGATAGTATAGTATATGAGAAGATGGGTTTCATGCTGCTCAAAACGACGATGAAGGGGGGTGTGCCGGTGTCTGTCATGGTCTGGAGGCCCCCTGGACCAGCGCCCGAACGGGTCAGAGAGTTCCGGAGAATTGACAGTGCTGCCCGCTTCCACACACGGTGTCCCTAGCCCATTTTGATGGCATTTATGTAAATATGGCTTATGTATTCCTCAATAATCTCGGAAACCTGGGAAACCGCATTATTAAGTATTTTGATACACTCTTCTCCGGGAACTTCTGTCGCCCAGCGCCATAGTGAAATTTTGCTATAGCGTATGATGATCCTTTTTCATCCTTTACTGTAGTTATATTTTTTTTCTGCGATTAGTATGCCGGAGAAGATTAAGACGATCCAAGAGAGAACGATCTTCGACAAAAGCCATTTGTATAAGGAGAGAAGCTGGTAGATGGGAGTATTTTGTAGAAAGTAATGGCTTGAGAGAGCAGGAAGCTCTGAGAAAGCAAGAAACCTGAGAACAACCCTAGGTAACGCCATCTTATAGGTCTTGGTAGCTTGTAGTCAACACAATCAAAAGATATCTGTAGTCCATATTGTTGGGCAAGAAGAAGTTGTTATTATTAGTAAAGTAGCAAGGTGTATGATGCTAGTTAGCATGACCGACTCATAGCGACTTTCAGCGAAGGTTCTAAGACTCAACAGATACCATCTGATTCTGTGGGAACTGAAAAGGGTCCATGGAAACTTGAGACGCGTCGCCGACAATATGTTGCTGCCATACTAGGTTACCAATCGTCTGTAGTAGTATACGTCAGGCTCCCCTAATCACCGTGCTCACCCGCTGGCACACGAAACACATACAAAAATGGATATAATTTAGAAGATCAACAAGTCCTCGGAGCATGTCTTGACAGTGTTTGCTCTTGTATCATCGCCCAGCAAGATGGTTGCAAGCACACGAGGTACCGCTAGTTAACTTTAAATGGCTGCCCTGGCTCACAGCAAGTGATGTGCAGTACGGAGTAACTCCTCTGTAAGTACTTCGTTTATGTTCGAATCGTACGATGCTCGATGGTAAGAATAGAATGTCAGCGGCAATAATTTCCCAAGCCTTCTGGCTCCCGGGAATCCCGTCCCCTGAAGCAGCCAGGAGCAGAGACTGCTCAGCCAAGGGCCATCTCCATTGGTGCAGTGTCACGATGCGTCGCAGATTCTAACAATCACGACTCGTGTCTTCGTAAAGGAGCTGACAATGGATGCTGCAACATCGCTTAATAACACTGGGCGTTAGTCTCTTCTAAAACTAATCAAATCGAAGAATTCTTGGTGAGTGCGAGTGGTGGGTGTTGTGCAGAGATTTTAGCTTCTCCAATCTCTGTTCATAGCGTCAGTGGCGCGAGGATCGATCCCCTTAGTTAGATTTGTGGCTGGGGTTGAAGAGATGCTGACGATGAAGACGACGATCACTTGCTGCGTTGTTGATGCCCGCTTCGGCCCTCCATCGTCGTCCTCGTCCTTGTCCTCGTCCTCGCCTTCGTCGCCCCGAGTAGATGAAACTGCTGGGAAGTCGTTCGTCCTGCCGCTTTCGGTTTTGCTTAACTAAGCATCCATGTACATACCACGTGACCACTGCCTTTCCAGGTTCCATCTGCCTTCCAAGACTCGGTTAGTCGGAAGAAGCAGAAGCAGAAGCAACAGCAGCAGCAAAAAGATAAGATGATACGACGCAAAAGCGATATCAAATACGGACTCGCTCGTGTCTGGCAGCAGGCCAACGTCGCGGATGAGATGCCCCTCGCAAACGCACAGCAGCACCTGCAGGCCATGGGACAGACTGGGATCCTGACACCCCCGGTCTTCGGGGACCCCTTTTTCCACCCCCCCAAGTCAAACGTCGCCGACCACCACTGGTTCGCCTCGTATAGATATAGCCGGCCCCAGGCTCCGACGGTGGCACCACCACGCTGATCCAGCAAAGCGGAATATCAAGCAGTCTGACGGGCTTCCAGGAACAATGAGCCTGCTCGGCTTTGTTATATGCTGACAGAATCCAGCGCTTTTGGTAGACGGTCTGAATCGGCAGGCTAACGTCCCTCTTCATGGCACTTGTTCGACCCCCGATCTACCTGGCTGCGTAGACCGGCAGACGGGAGCTAGGAAGACCTCCCGAAACCAGTGGCCCGATACACCATTCCGATCGTGCCGTCTCGGTGTCGGTGTTGGTGTCCAGGGTTGTCAAGTTTGCAAGGTTCAAGCTTGATATACAGTTACAAGCAAGGGAGATGCCCAAGTAACTCAAGGACAAGCTGGTTGCCTGTCACCGTGCCATGTTCTTGGCGCTATAAGTTCGTTACCCAGGGAATATCAACCTGGAAATCCCCCGTTGCCCCAGGATCATTATATATATGTATACGTTTCCTCCGGTTCAAGATCTTCGCCTTCCTCTTCAGAACTGTGAATCGCAAGACTTTCTAATAATAAAAGATAAGAAAAAGAAAAGGGTTATCAACTACTTTAAGTTTGGCACCCTTGGCTCACTGTGGAACTTGCGGTTTCTAGCCTAGTTCTATATATATTCTATCACGGATTCACCGCGGAGTTCCCCATAACGCCCAAGAGAAAAGGCGTACTTTAGCCGAAGCTGCATTATCACCATACAGCCATACATACCACCAAATACACCAGGGTTACACCTCCCATCCTCCCAAGCCATGAGCCATGACAGTCGCCACGTGGGAAGAGCAGCTGAAAGGGAACCTCTCCAGTCACAGTCAATAATAATAACGATTAATGTGGAACCGCACTCGAAGGAGTGAAATTGAAACACCAGGCTCCAGCTTGGCCTGGAGGAGATCCACTGCAAGTTGGCCGAATTTACCAGCCGGTAAGTTACGGAGGATGTTCCAAATCCCCTTCCCTCTTGATTGCTTGAAGAATGAGACACAGATTCTGCTCCGTAGTTCTTGATTCTCGGTCTCCCTCGGCTGCCATGGAAATAATAAGAGCAAGCCGACGTCTGAATATGGCTATTAGGAGAGGAAGACTGTTATTGGCATGGAAACAAGTGGATACAGTGCCTATATATACACACATTTATACTATCTATAAGGGGTAACGATTGTAAAAAAAAAAAGGAGAAGTTGCAAAAAGTAACATCCAGGATCTTCAAGCTATTCCTTTTTAACACGGAAATGGCGCTGGTTTAGGATCGCTTGATGATGATTTATATTAATGCAAAACGGTCATGTCTGGCACCTTGTTAAAGCAGCGATACAAAGAGGGTTTTATACAAGGTCTTCGGGGGAGCCTTGCAAGTCAGTAAACACGGGCGGTGCAAGGATATGCGGTGTACTAACTCACGACTCTGACAGCCTGCTCGTATCATAGATAGGTATACACACGGGTATATATACATACATTCCTCCCGGAAAATGGATTTTATACATACAGGCACTCGTCCCGCCCTTCGACAACTGTTTTGTGGAACGTTTTCACATCCATTCCTTTTGAGATAGTCAGCATCCGATCTCTCTCCAGACAGACGGACGGGCCGAAAAGGATCATTGTATAGGGGGAAGACCGAGTGATTTACACAGCAAAGATGAAGTTCGGCTCAGCACTCGTGGCCGCGGTCGCTGCTGTAGCGGGAGTCGCCGCAAAGGACTATGGCGGCGTGCCAGGCCAACCTATCCAGAAGAGCGGAAAGGGAGCTGTCTTCTCTGGTAACTCCATCCCATTTTGATAATCCTACTAAGATAGATATAACGGCATCGTCACTAACACGGTGTTTCTCAGGTGCTACCAACCCCCAGCTTGATCTCCAAAACCCAAGCAATATCAACGGCCAGCCTGCCACCGACATTGGTCTTGTACCAAACCTGAAATGGAGCTTTTCTCTCTCCAAGACCCGTATGTTCCATGGCGGCTGGATTCGTGAGCAGGTTATCTCGGACCTGCCTGCCAGTCACGATATTGCAGGCGCCCAAGTGCACTTAACCAAGGGTGGAATCCGACAGATGCATTGGCACAGAGTTGTATGTTTTAATATATGTCTACTCGAATTGATTCGCAGTGGAAATATTTTACTAAGATATAACTTTGATCATAGGCTGAATGGGGCTACGTTTATGCTGGCTCCATTTTGGTATTTGCTGTCACCGAGGATGGCCAATATCAGATTGACAAACTCACCCCTGGTGACATATATTACTTCCCCAAGGGAGCTGCTCACTCTTTCCAAGGTTAGTCTAATCGATTCCCATTGTCACGGATCAATGGGCTGTATTTAACCTTGTATCAATAGGTATTGAGGACGAGAACGAGGTGCTCGTCGCTTTCGATGAAGGTGACTTCGACAAGATCGGGTATTTATTCCCCCCCTATTACTCGAATATAAATTTACAGCTATCTAACGCTTTTAACTATAGAACCACTTTCCAGGTTGCCGAGTGGATCGCGCACACTCCTCAGGACGTGTTGGCTAAGAATTTCAACATCTCCACCGGCGGCACCTTCGACAAGACCAAGTCTAATATGCTCGAGATCATCAACTCGACCACCAGCACTCACAACGTTACTGGCCCTAATGGCGCTCTCATGGGCAATAGCTCTTATACCTTCCACATCCGTGACGCTCCCGAAATTCAAGTCCCTGGTGGCGGCGGTACTATCCAGATCGTTGATTCGAAGAACTTCCCTATATCTAAGACTATTGCCTGTGCTATTGTTCGTCTAAAGCCTGGTGCTCTGCGTGAGCTCCACTGGCATCCAACTGTATGCATATTACCCCATCTATCCTGATTTATTATATCTAACTAAATATCCCTTTTAGGCTGAGGAATGGCTCTACTTCCACAGTGGAAATGCTCGCGCTACCGTTTATGTTAGCGGCGGTCTATCCCGTACATTCGATTTTACCGCCGGCGATACTGGTGTCTTCCCAGATAACGCTGGCCATTATATCGAGAATGTCTCTGAGGATGAAGACCTCGTCTATCTTGAACTATATAAGGCCGACCGGGTTGCTGATGTCTCCCTCTCCCAATGGCTCGCTCTCACTCCACACGACATTGCTGCCGCTGCTATCAATGTTCCCATCGACGTCATTGACAAGCTGAAGAAGGACAAGCAATATATTATCCAGTAAGGATGGAAAATCTGCGATAGTGCAGGCACTTGAGCCACTTATTTGAGCCACTTAATTTTCTCCTAATACCGTTATTCCGGCGTCTGGCTGTTTGATTATAGGGTTTACCAGGGATGGAGAGGTTGGTCGCATCTGCCAGCTGGCAGTTGTAAGCGCCGCCTCTTAATGTTATTTCTAGCCAGGCATAGACATGGGCATAGAGCACAATGAACGATGTTTTCCTCTCTAACCAGGCTTACTGGCCAACGGATCTCTAGGGATAGGGCCTCCTGACTATTCTATAGTTAACGTTTGTAGTTGTATTTAAACCGCTGCTCTTTACATTCAAAATCGTTTGTCAACACAGCTTTTGTACCAAGAGTGGATATGGACTCTGTAACTATTCTTGAACTGGAACCAGAGGTACTCCGGCCGTGTAGTTGAGCATGTTCGAAGTGTTGTTTGGTGGTGTTACTCCGGCAGTTAGCTTTAGTTGGGTAGAAAATAACACCCCGGATTTGACGTTTCTCGCGGCCCACATGGAAAGGAAGTTGATTTTTCGCTTCAAAATTCCCGCCAGCGATAAACAACATCGGCACCAACGAACAAACAGCAACAGCGCCGAGGATCACAGAGTTACACGTTTACCTGATGGCAGACGAAGATGAGTCGCGGCGCAAGCGCATCAAAGTGTCCAATGGCGACTCTGGCTCCGAGTCCCTGGCTGCGCCAATTCAAGGGCTTGTCGGTGCCACGGCCGACGCTGGCTCTCCAGCTCCAGATGCGCAAGCTGTAAAGGAAGCAGAAGTCGGCATTACACAATTCGTTAGCCCAGACCTGCCTGGGTTTTCTGGTGTTGTGAAGAAGAGGTATGTCGTTGTTGATCGGTTGGCTGGATGGCCTCATGACGGGGCAAAAAGAGACTTGCTGCTAACACAGGCACTGGCCCCCTAGGTATACCGATTTTTTGGTCAACGAGATCCTACCGTCGGGAGAGGTATTACATTTGAAGGACACTGAGTTGTCAACTGCTCTTAAAACTGCCATTGCCGAGACTGCTACTCCCGTCGAGTCTGCAAGTGCAACACCTCAAGATACGCCCGTAACTGGCGAGGAGATTGAGGGCAAAACAGGCGAGGTGGAAGATGATAAGACAGAGAAACCAGCTGCCGAGACGGCTGGTATTGTTCTGGCAGACGTAAGTGCGGAAGGAAGAGCCTTGGTGTCATGGGCTGTGTTTACTGATTCCATTTTAGCTGGCTACGGAAGACCGAGAACTGTTAGACCAATTATTCGGACCCGAGACTACCCCGAAACTCCTCAACCTCTATTCACGCGCTGTTGCCAAAGCTTCCTCCAGGCCAGGTGAGCTCGGCAAGGTCAAGTCTCTGGTTATCACCGACAAGGATCAGAGGACGAGCCTTCACCAGGCTATCCGTCGAATCTTCAAGTCCAACCTGGACTCAACAACCGACAGCGATGGAACGATTGTCGTCTCCGCCGCATCAGTTCAGCAACGTGGTGGGGGAAAGGGCAAACGCAAAAAGCAGTCAGGGCGGGATCGAGGTCAAGGCGCTTCTCAGCTGCCCCGTGGTAAGCTGGGCTGGAGCGAGCTCGGTGGAGACTACCTGCATTTCACATTGTACAAAGAGAACAAGGATACCATGGAGGTTATCTCGTTCCTCTCCCGTCAATTGAAGGTAGCGCCCAAGGCCTTTCAGTTTGCCGGGACCAAGGATCGGCGTGGAGCCACTGTTCAGCGGGTTAGCGTATTCCGCATTTACCCAGATCGAATGCCGAAGCTCAACGCATCCCTTCGAATGGCTGCCATCGGAGACTACGAGTACCAGAAACAAGGCTTGGAGCTAGGAGAGCTGAACGGGAATGAGTTCGTAATCACTCTCAGAGACTGCCAGTTCCCAGAGGGTGTAGTGGACAGAGGCAACATTTCAAGCCCAGAAACAATCGCAAAGGTAACCGAGCTTGTTGGAAAGTCTCTTTGTGATCTCAGAGAGCGAGGGTACTTCAATTACTATGGGCTCCAACGTTTCGGCACCTTTGCAACTAGAACTGATACCACTGGTCTCAAAATGCTCCGTGGGGAGTTCAAGGAAGCTTGTGAGTCGATCCTTCATTACAGCCCAATTGCATTGGCTGCCGCACAGGATGTCTCATCTGAGGACCCCAGCCAGAGGCCACAGATAAGCACGGATGATATCCTGCGGGCCAAGGCAATCCACATCTTTCAAACGACGGGCAATGGACGTGATGCATTGGAGGTATTGCCTAGGAAGTTTACCGCAGAGAGCAATATCATCAGGCTACTATGCCAGCGAAAGAACGACTATTTCGGCGCACTGCAGTCTATTCCCCGCAACCTGCGGCTGATGTATGTCCATGCCTACCAGTCTCTGGTGTGGAACTTTGCCGCTGGCGAGAGATGGCGCTTATACGGTGACAAAGTTGTCGAAGGCGACTTGGTGTTGGTAAGTGAGTTCAAAGATGAAACCAAAGCCGCAGCACAGCAGGCAGAAGTGGATGCAGATGGAGAGGAAATTGTCTTACCCGACGCAGATGACAGTGCTGCGGTTGATGACATGTTCGAACGTGCCAGAGCCCTGACTGCAGAGGAGGCAGCCAGCGGGAAGTATTCCATCTTTGACATTGTTCTACCTCTTCCTGGGTTCGATATCCTCTACCCTGCCAACAAAATGACCGACTTCTACAAGGAATTCATGGGCAGCGACAAGGGCGGAAACCTGGACCCCTTCGACATGCGGCGGTCTTGGAGAGACATTAGTCTCAGCGGCAGCTATCGTAAGATGCTCAGCCGGCCCGGGGCTGACTACTCTTTTGAGGTGAAGCCATACCGTGCCGAGGACGAACAGTTCGTGAAGACAGACCTTGAAAGACTTAGAGAGAATACTTCCAAGTCTGCTGATGGCAATAACGACAACAACCAATCCTCACTAACGTCAGAGACGCTAGAACAGCCGGAGAAGCTTGCTGTTATCCTCAAGTTCCAGCTGGGAGCCAGCCAGTATGCCACCATGGCATTGAGGGAGCTCATGAAAACCGGTGGAGCAAAGGAGTACAAACCTGACTTTGCTCGATAGACAACACCAGCCTCTTCGTAAAGGATACAGGTATTTCCTTGCTTGCATTATGTATAGAGAGGGCATACACACCCTCCGTCTTCCCAAAATATCAAATCCATGCATATTCAATCAGTCATTCCGACGCCGTAACTAAGGGTCACATGACACCACCAAAATTTCCGACTTTTTTTTCATGCTCAATCTCTCAATATCAATCTCACATTGTTCAAATTCAACTTCTAACCTCAGCTTCACAAAGCCATGCAAGATTTGACTTTGGTCGACGGGAAATGACGATGTGCATTAAGCAAAAGTCGAAGCTTGGACGTACCAGGTTTTAGAAAACTGTACCTGAATGCTCTGGCCACTCAGCTGGCGTAACCGGTGTTCAGTCATGCTAACTTTGGTCCAACTCTCCACTGGCTAACCTTCTATGCAGTCGACAACCACATGCGTTTCAAGTTCGGCTTGCAAACCGTGGTTCTATAGCTCTCAGTGGTCCATCTGCGTCCTCTCATGTTCCCCTTTGCCGTCATCCACTTGGCGATGAGACGGACGAGAACCACGGACCGGGCCAGTCATCTGTTGATACTAACTTAGTTACTCGCAAAAAGGGGCCATGTTATACTTTCCACACATGATGATGCGATCTTCCGAAGCGAATTCTCCTGAAAACCGCAGACGCCCCTCACTTATGCAAGATATTCCCTGCTGAGGGGCATGAAAAAAATGTCCGTATGACGACCCGTGGAGGGGTGTGGCGCCAAAGCGACGTGCATAGCGTGCAGCAGCCGGCGGGCACTTCCCACCGTGATTAACCCACAGTGGCATTTTAGCACGGCCTAGCCGCTCTTCCGTTTCATCTTTCTAGCGGGGAAAGGCACGAGCCGGATTCAAGTCCTAGGCATGTTCGTTCAACTATCTGTGGGCTTCGATTGCGCGGCATCCGTCTCGCCCGTAGATATCTAATGGATATCGACCAAAATGGCGCATCTATATATTCATCCTCCTCCCCACCGAATGGCACATACGTCCCATTCTTTCTCTTCTCACTGCAATTATACCTTTCTTTCTTTCTTTCCCTTCTCTGTTACCTTCTTTACTCAAAAACTCTGCAGGTTGACTCTGCGATTTTTGAGCTTTCATTCATTCTCTCATTTTTCTCTCATACTTCTTTCGCAGCCTGGTAGCTCTTTGAGAACTTGACGTTCAAATCTTCTACCTTTCTTTTACATTCCTTTCAAAAACAATATGATGTCCATCATGAATACTGTTGCCCTGGTTGGCCTCCTTGCTACCTCTGCTACGGCGCATATGATGCTCCATTATCCTCCTACGTTCGGTGCAGAGAACAATCCTCATCGCACTGACCCTGTTGACCCCTACCTCGACAACCCCTACAATTGCTGTGGAAGAAAGACAGTTTATCCCTGCAGAGGATACCTAGACCTCCTCGGCACCGATCAAGGCCGCCCCGTCGTCAGCTGGGAAGCCGGTTCGTCCCAGAGTTTCAGCCTTACTGGAAGAGGAACGCATTGGGGAGGATCATGTCAAGCCGGCTTCAGTACTGACCAAGGCAAAACTTGGAGAGTTGTGAGAAGCTACGAAGGAAACTGCCCCCACCGCGAGGGCTCTAACCAAAACCCGGAGGAACAAACCTTCGATTTCAAGATCCCTAGCGACATGCCTACTGGTGACCACGTATTTGCCTGGACTTGGTTCAACCGCGAGCAGGAATTTTTCATGACCTGCGCTTCCGTGACCATTACGGAATCTGGAAATGGAGGCAACACTTCACAACCTCGAGCCTTCGTTCCTCGTGGCAGCAGTGCTCGCCCAACTCCCGACGATGACAAGTCCTCAAGCGTCCCTTTCGACCAACTCCCAGATTTCCTCGTCGCTAACACCGATAATGGCTGCATGACCCCACGAACAAATGCAGAGGTGAAATATCCCAACCCAGGACCTGATGTCGCCAAGGGTGACGGCGCCTATCCACTAGAGCTTCCTTCTCCAATGGATAAATGTGGCGCATAGCCGCACAAATACTTACATATCTCTATGCCTTATCAGCTTGAAAATAGCCAGACTAGAGCCACGGTATAAAGGTTTTTTCCGCCGGAGGTACCAAGCAATCCTGTTTTCCATTCCCATGACTTGTATGTTACATACTTGCCAGGAGGTGCTGGACGCTTCCTTCCAACATTTTTTTTCCGCTTCGCTGTATTAAGACAATATCAAATTGGATCAGTTACTTCTTGTCTTTGCATCATGGGTTGCAGTTTGTCAAATAAGTGTTATTAGTATCGATACATAAATAAAAGTTTTAAGGGACGTAGTGTATTCCAAGTTAGAGAGCCGTTCAACGGTGTCATTTTCGGGAACGTAGGAGGGGGATCGTCGCCTAAGCCTCAACCCAATCTTTGATAAGCATGTCGCCGGCGCGGGAGTGCCTTAACGCCTTTCCATTTAAAAATATTTTGCACCGATTGTTTCAGCCTCGTTGTTTTAGTCTCCCCGCGGACGGCACGTGTGGGTCGCGGCTCTTTGATCTCCTTCTTTGGTGGTGGTTTCGCAGTATAGAGAGTCGTTCTAGACAAGGAGACGAGTATGGGCAATGGTGTGCTATATAGTTAACACGCACGGTCAACGGCTTGTACGTGTCGAATATCCAAGAAGAGGCAATTTCACTTACAACATCGGTGGTGATCCCGAAATACCGTCACCTGGAAAGCAACACACGTACATTTGCACCTTTCTGTTGTTCCTTCTGGAAGCAATGACAAATGCGATGGGGAGCAGTAGTTGTGAGACGGCTTCTGGGTAGTTGAGTGGTTGAGCTTCAGAGAAGCAAATAAACCATCACACCAAGGCAATAGACAACAGGTATTTATGCTCTGAAGATAGTTCTCACCACGCCGCAAGGCTATGCCCATAGGGGAAGCAGGTGGTTGATGCCAGCGTTTTGAGTAACGCAGGCATGGCGGAAAACAAAGAGCAGGCCGGGTAGTACAAAGCCATCATGTCGAGTTCATGGAGGCAGCGCATCGTTACTTTGTTTGCCTAGCGAGTGTTACTGCATAGTCAGTTCCCTCCGGCATAATAGTTGTGCTTCAGCTCGAGCGAATAGCCACTGAGACTAGTGTTACCGATCCAGCGCCCCTCGCTTTGCGAGGACGAATCCCGTCAATTCCGAAGAATAAGAAAAGCCATATACTTGTGTACGCTATAATTTCCGAAGGGTAAAGAGCTGTCAAGTGTAATATAACAATAGATCGGTCTGTCTCGAATACGCGGAGTGAGTCGATGTTCGATGTTCGATGTTCATCTTTCTGGGGTTGTCGAACATGTTTGCTCCTGCTAAAAAGGGAAAGTGCGGCGCTTAAATCGCTTAAACAGACTACCATATTGAGGGATGACTAATAAACGCGAGAGAAGTATATTCCACGTGATGTGGTAGGAACCGCCAATCAGAGGCAAGCAGCGACTAAAAGCCATCAACATCACATTCTGATCAATTGGCACAGCATACGGTGTACCGGGGCCGAACCCCCTTTAATTCACCATTTTGCGTTGATAGCTACCTCAGATTGAATAGGATACTGATCATGATGAAACGTGATGATGATCCGTTTTGGACAGCTAGAGAAGCAGTTTACTCTACCCAACTGTCTGCCTGGGAGCACCTGCAGTTGTTCTTCTTCCTCAACCATTCATTTGATCGGAATAAAGCAGGCCAGTTTCTTCTAGATAAGCTTGCAAATCTGGGTCCAGATGACTCGAGGGAGGAATATTTGCGCTCTATCATAGATGATATGCGGTCTCTAGCACAAAAATGTACGATTATCTAGCTCCGATTTCATACCTTGCTTTACAGAACTTCCTAACCTAACTCCTTCAAAAGTCTCCCGAAGCACCCCCATATCTTCTAATGCGATATCTGCCGTAAAAGAACGCCAAAATGGCATTTGCCACATCTCGGGCGAGTCTCAGGGCCTCCGACCTATCCATATAGTGTCACCTTCAGTCATACACGATGATGACCTCATACGCGGCGTACGTTTATTCCTTTATACCCTTCAGGGCCCGTCTCATAATGGCGTATAGACTCGGTTACGGGAAATCTTAGACATATGTGTATCCCCGGAAGTCTCTGATAAACTCTTCTCCTTCCTGACATCCAGCGAGAGTGTTAGCGACAACTTGAAAAACTTATGGCTGATGAGCCCAGCTGTTGCCGCTGCATTCCAAGAGGGACGTATCTCAATACATAAGAATGATTCTGATCCCAAAAGCCTGTATGTAAGTAATGCCAGTTCTCTCCTGTCTGCTAGGGCCAGCACAGTCTTATAGGTTGTGTAGTGGCTGCTACGGAAAACCAGGCCTGGAAATTTCGACGTACTCGGTGTAGCGAGGAACTGCAAATTCTCCTCGATGCCATCAACTCCGGATGATACCAAACTTCCTCTGCCAGAGGGCATTCTGCTCGAGGTCCATCACCATGTTTCTGAGTTTCTATACTACCTGGATGTTGAAAAGCAAATCCAAGCCGGGTGGGAAATTGAGGGCGAGTGTGAGCTTTGACAGGTACTTCCGTCCATATATACACGATACTTACTTCCTTCCTTAGATACCGGTCCTTGTAGGAGCTTCCGCGGACGGATACTCCGAGCACTGTTTTCTATGCTTCCACATTTCCTTCGGCTAAGGATGATGAAGCTTATCGTTTGGGCTCAAGATCGATGGAGCTCCCCTTATAACAAGTCTCTTAGATATCTACCCTTTGGACTATGCTTGAAGATCGGACCCAGAGTCATGGCGAATGAAGCCAACGCTCTCCGTCTGGTTGAACGACACACACAGGTCCCTGCGCCACAGCTAATTGGTTTTGCCAAAGATGGGCTAGGAGACGGATATCTTCTCATGTCAAGGATCCCGGGCGTTCCTGTGGATGCTGTTTATTATCGAATGACATACGAAGAACGTGCCCAGCTTACAAAGGATTTAAAGGACCATATCCTACAGTACCGTCAGATCAGAAACACCTCCCCTTACCTTATTTGCAATACCCTGGGGGGACCTACGTATGACCACCGGACAGACACAGGCGATGTATGGGGCCCTTACCGAACAAAGGATGAATTTACCAATATGCTCACTGAAGGCCTTGAAGACCTTAGGGATCAACCTCCCCTCTCAGCTCTGTACAAGAAACACCATCGGATTTTCTTTACTCATTCAGACTTGCATTACTCGAACCTGTTTATTCACAAGGGACGCCTGTGCGGTATTGTGGACTGGGAGTGTGCATCTTTCAAGCCGGAATACTGGGAGTTTACTCGGGCAGTGTGGTCGTTTATGGCCGACAGGCAGAGGGAACAGAATTACCGCCTGGCCTTTGTTGAAAACTACGAGGAAGAGCTAGAGGCTGAGCGGCTAATTTGGAGTAAAAATCCAGTTTACTGATCTAAATTATCCTTAACGCCGGTAGTGACTTCTTGGTACCTTTCTTCCCTTTTTACACTTGCCCTTGCTCTTGCCCTTACTTGTTTCTAATTTGTTTCTTATTTATTTTAATTTATTTTATCGATCTGAACGGAATGTCTACTTTATTTAGAAGCACGGGTAGTCAAGACAGTAAGGTTATAATGCTATCTCCTAGTTTATCCAAACGCCAAAGAGAGGGTACGAGTTTCTCTCGGAAGGAAATAATGAGCCTCTTTAACTCTGCAATATCCGCCAACACTGGCACATCAAGCACGTTTTTGCGCGCTGGCCTCAACATGTACTGTTCCAGATTGCCATGAATCACCAGCCAAAAACTTCGCTTCTGTCTCTATCTTACCAATCCTATCCCATGAGGGCTCCATGCCAATAAAGCCTCCATCCGCTAATTCAAAGGCCGCAGCTAACGCCCAGGTGCGACAGGTAAAGTCGCCCTCCACTTTAGTTTGACGCAAACATGCCTCAATAGCATTCATCCAGGTACCGGAGCAGTCTTCGACATCGCCCAACTTCAAGGCACAGAGAAGGCTTCGGGACCTGGTGATATTTCTGATCTCCACGGCTAGGTTCCACATCTCTTTGTTGTAAGTCTGATGAAAAAGCGTGCCCCCAGTCTCGCTCGTAGCAATCAATATACCCCAGTGGTATAGGAACTCAGCAGAAGTCGACCAAAGAAGCATGTACGCTCCTTTCCTCTCCACCCTTGCGCCGTTGTCGTAGGACATCTTTCGTGTATGTGAGGATGGAAGAATGGCGGGGTCGGTTTGTTGTACGTGCAGGAGAAGTAGAAGTAGACTTGGATGCAGGGAAGAATCGTGTTGTTATCGCAGCCAGTTGATGTCGCTGTATTTGTGGCCTGTTATAGATAATCAAAACTATAGATATAGTTAGGTACGGGCGAAGAGAGTGTTTATAAGTATAGTGAAGGAAGTGCGAGGGCATGAAAACTTCATATTATACTGGGATTGGGGGCCTAACCCGGCAGTTTGGTCCCTAGGCTGGACAGGCAGCAGAAACGGAATCCCTGTCTAGCATTTGATAAGAATTAAGTAACTACAGCAAGGAGTTGGAAGCTGAAAAGATGGCCGCTACTGACTTACTGAGAAATATCAATACCTCTTTCGCAGGTATATATCTAGTTGATGAGACTTGGGTTGTTCCTACAACTTTGTGTAGCGATTGACCCTAGGTATGCTTCATACAAAAAGGATATCGTGGTATTAGCCTATTCAATCCACTACTATTACAGTCGGGATACCCAAGCAATAAAAAGAGCGGAAACAAAAAGCAGCATGACTTTCATTGGGGAAGACTCTTTTCACTCGGGCTCCTTCTGAGTGTGGTTGGCGTAGGAGACCCAGCCTCCATTTCCTTGGATGCTGTCGTGGCTGGAGGAGGAAGACGGACCGGCAACAGTCTCGACATAGATTGTGCGTTGCATGCAAGCCGCTCGAAGGCTTATCCAACCTCTTGTAAAACCGGCAGACGGAGCGGAGAGCCAAATACACAATTAGCTTTGAGACTTGGTCTTGGGCTTAAGCTGGGGAGGGTTTACCTCTTTCAACGCTCCACCACGCTCCATGAGAGGCCTGGTCAGCGTTATCAGAACTATAGCATGCTTGCTAGCTCTCCCATATGCACAGTGATGAGTTGTTGAATCTTGACTGACTGCCATGGCACAAGGACAGGTTTTCTTGTCATTCATTTATTATCAACGCCCTTATATCTCCGGGCTTATTCTCCCGGTGGAGGATTCTCCCAGTAGAGGGAACATGTTCAACCGTCTAAGTGTCTGCTTGCGGTGGTGGACGTGGTCCTTCCTGTGGCTGTGAAGAAGAGGGAGGAATATGAGGTTAAAGGAGAGCGCGTTAAGGCGGCAAGCGCGTAGGACCCGCGGGAAGTAACTAAACGCCGGGCGGTTCCTGCTTAACTACTGGATGCTATAGCCGCCGAAGTAGGCGCTGTTGTGCCTCGGAAAGCCCCTGATGGTTTGACGACAGCGAGGCCAGCGCAATCGAGGGGCCATGGGGATGCTCTTCGGCTTTGGTCACGACGACGGACTCGTCTGGGGGATCTTCTCTACATACGCTGGCGGTTGGTCTGGCATTTTGAGTTGCCCCTGAGTATTTAACTTATTGTATAGTTGAGTCTGGATATCATAGGGTATTTGGTATTAGGGGTACGGAATATTTGGAAGTTATTTGATGGCCCAGCGGAGGTTGTTGTGGATGCTACAGATATATAAATATACCTCGGGGCTCCACGTCAAGCCACCGGCCCAAGCTAAGTTAGCTCACTCACTGGTCAACTAGCTCCTTAACTAGTCTCTTAGTGACAAGGATGATGCAATAACTAAGCAGGCAATCAGTGGCTGCCTGATGGGACGACGCAAACAGCGCATCCGGCGTACAGCTGGGATGCTGCGTGCGGCGTATCCTGTGCTGGGTCGAGGTCGATACTCTGGGATAGACACAGGCAGTTAACTAGCTGACTCTCGACAGCGACATGGCCAGTCAAGAAGTAACTAGTTAACTTAACTATCTCTTTGCTCTAACTAATGACAAACACTTATCGGGACGAAGCTTCACCGTCGAAAAAGCTCTAAGTTAATTAAGCTTATATCTCATGTAACCTAGACAGCTAGTTGACAGCAGGAGAACCAAAGACCGTCCCATCCATCCATCCAATCCATCCATCCATAGTTACTCAGTTACCCAGTTACCAGTTACCAGTTACGTATCCCGTCCATGGGGGGGGGGGCCACCTGTTACGCTCTTTGCTGTGCCGCAATTAATCCCAGCTCACGATTCACGTTCACCCTTGGTTAGTTAACCAAGTTAGTTCTTTCTCCCTCCCCTTCACGGCCTGCTGGCAAGGCTCGTATCGACCCTGGCCGTGCCTCCGAAACACGCATCGCCCGCCAACACCTTTGCCTCAGCCTCTATCTTCGCGATCTGCTCCCAGCTGGGCTCCATGCCAATGAAGCCTCCGTCCGCCAGCTCAAAGGCAGCTGCCAGCGCCCAGGTGCGACAGGTGAACTCGCCCTTGACCTCTGTCTGGCGCACACAGGCCTCGATGGCGCTCATCCAGGTGCCCGAGCAGTCCTCCACGACGCCCAGCTTCAGGGCGCACAGCAGGTCCGGGGCGGTGGTGATGTTCTTGGACGACTCGACGGAGAGCGCCCACGCGTCGGCGTCGCGGTTGTATATCTGGTGGAAGACGGTGCCGGTCTTGTCGCTGGTGGCTATGAGGATCTCCCAATGGTACGGGGAGTCTCCGGGGGACGGCGTGGTTTTGCGGAGAAGCATGTACACCCCTTTTCCGTGGACTCTGATGCCGTTGTCGTAAGACATGTCGGACAGCACAGAAACTGTAGTAGTGGATTGTAGAAGTAGTAGTAGTAGTAGATAGAGGTGATAGTAGTTGTAGATGCTGGGTAGTTAGGTAGATACGCGCGGGGGGAGAACGAGTGTAGAGGGCACGGCGTAGATCAGTGTCGTTGGCTCTCCCAGGGAGTTATGGCATGCGAGACGAGAGTTGTCAGGGCGAAGGAAGTCCGGCTCGCGGCGATCGAATAAGGGGCGGGCAGGCCAGGTATTTATCCAGCGGGCAGGCAGCCTATTAATACTTCTTTGATGCCTCCGGCCGTCGTTTGTCTCTAAGCGCCCGTACGCAGTCCGACCCCTCATGCATGCAGCCGTTGGTGACCAGGCTGCAGCACAGTCGGAGAGGTCGGAATAACCCCTGAGCGGGACGCAGCATTGGTCCTCTCTCTATACGGAGTACGCTTATACAACATACACGGTGTATATATATGTATATATATATACACGCAATACGTAAGTGAAAGAGTGCAAACGAGTCTTATCACGGGTCACTGGTTGACTTCCAATAAGGTACTTACAACGGCCCGACGGGAGAGCGAGGAGCCGTACCGGCTGCGGCTACCCATGTATCCACCAACGAGTTAAACCCGGATACAACAATAAGAGGGCGCAGTGGCGAGCGGCGGGCACCCAGGCGAGGGGCATCTGCATTAGAGTCGTAGAGGGAGACATGGATATGGATACGAATAAGGGATCTTGACATTGAGTCTGATCATTGCTATTTTACAAACGGGGGTTGGGAAGCTGTGAAACTATGCTTCCCGTTCTTCATCTTCTTCTTAGAAACACGTAGATGTGCGTTCCCAGGTACCGTGGCAAAGTAAAGATGTATTCTCATGCCATCGCCAGAGAGTGGTTGTGGTTGCTAGTGTGACAGTGAGTCCCGTCAGACATGGTAGGGTTGCCTTGTGAGTCGAGTAGCTGTACCTCAACCACAATGATGCCGCGCCGTAGGACTTTTCTTTGCCCGTTAGCCCGTCGACATTAAGTTGTACTAGCCGAACCCACCCGCAGGTTGGGAGGAATGGCTAGTTAAAGCAATGGTCAATGATATAGTGACTCTCTCTGCAGCCAATCAGGGTAGACAACCATGCTCTATGGAGGGCTGTTCAAGAGGGGGTAACTTTGCCGTTATGTATGCTGATGATGCTCCGTTTGACGGCACAGCTCGATAGCAGCTTGGAAGTTCCTTTACATAGCAAGAGTGGCATCGCCTTGCTGATTGCATTCACTCCCCACACTCAGGCTGATGGCTGGTAACAACCTTCAATGGCCAGGCAAACAGATCTCTCCAGTGAGCATGTCCACTTTCACTGACAGCTTCAACCAGAGCAAAAAGCACCGGCTGCGGCCACCCGTGCATCCACCAACTGCCCGGATGCAGCACCAGCAGGGCACAGTAATGAGCCACCAGGACCAAAGCAAGAGGCCTCCTCTCCAGCAGCTCAGACATGAACAGTCGTGGAACCATATTCGGCCAAGCCAGAGCCCTTAGCCAGTCCGGCGGAGTCGACAAGACACAGCACTTGAAGCAGTGCCATAGCGAGTCGATTGCAGCAGCGTATGCATCCGGTACATGCAGCGTGGTAGTGGCCAACAACACCCGATCTAGGGAGGATCTTACCTCCACGGCTAGCGGAGAGGTAACGTCCAGCGTTCCCGTGGAGAGCAAGCAGCGAGCCGGGCCCTGGCTGAACAAGGCCATACTTATATTCCAGAGCCCGACCAGATGACGCATGACCAGCATCTTCTGCACGATCTCATCTACCCGCTGTGCAGCAGAGGTTGAAGTCGAGGTGGTAGACACCGCGCGTTCCGAGACAAAGTACGACGGGTGCAAGATGGCTAGCTCATAGAGGAGTAGGAGACTGGAGCAAATGACGACTGCACTGCAGTTCTGGCTGGTGACCTGTTGACTGGCTACGCGGGCCCGGGCGGCCTTGATGACGTGGGACTGGTGTCTGGCTGCGAGGAGGGTGTATTTGTGTAGGAGATGCGGCTGGAGAGAGGCGAGGTGCATTGCAGCGAGGGAAAGGATGTTGTGCATGACAAACGGGTATATGTGAGCCAGCTGGGGCACGAGAGACTGCCATATGTAGGCCCGGCCTTGGTCAAGGGGGTGGAAGAGGGTATGGCATGCTATGGAGGTGTAATGGTGCAGGAGGAGCGAGTCCTGTCTCGTAAGGTCTACATAGGGAGTTAGACTTTGGTGGATACCAGGGATATAAGGAGGACTGGTTTGGTGAGTATTATTATTATTGTCAGTGCGGCTGACCAGGAGAGTCAAGGGGTGGAAGTCGAAGACTAGACTGCTGGTGTGATGTGGAATCTCCTGAGCCTTAGAGACTTGCTGCAGTTCTAGGCTCGGCTGCATCTGCATCTCCTGGTAGTCGCATTGTAAGTTCCTCTTGACGCAGCCAGCGCATCTCGGAGGCTGCTCATCGCACTAGATAATCGGCATAAGTTACTCCGTAGTTAACCTGGCCATTTACTTATCCAGCAGGTAGAAGCAGGAGGGTCAAAAAAAAGAGTCACCTTGACCCGTCTCCTCTTGCACTGGCCGCAGCCATGTCTGGACTTGACGTGAAACCGCCGCAAGCCACTCATCGAGCCAAGCACGTAAGCAGATACGGAATACTCCGTACGGAGTAATTAACAGCTGATTAGTTGCTCTCCTGTGCCTGTCATAATAACTTATTTGCTATTAAGTAAGGAGCAGCGAGGTGGACGGCACGACAAGGTTGTAGGCTAACCTAAGTACGCACATGCTCTGGAGGGATTAAGTTGAGGCCGTCGATAGCTTGGGACCGACAGGCCTGGGACGGGACGAGCAGCCATGGGATGGACGGGAAGTGGGAAGTGGAGGAAGAGGCTGTTAGTTAGTACGGAGTCGTTAGTTAGTACCTGTTAGTTAGCGTGGTGGTCGTGGTGGTGGTGGTGGTGGTGGTGAGTGGAAAGCAGGCGGTGGCCAGAGCCATGGAGCTGGGCTGGGGAGAGGCCGGTAGCCCAGCCGACCTTGCGAACCGGACGAGGCTGAACAGTACCTGGCAGATGTACTGTATGTAGATAGAGAATAATAATGTCGCTGTCGACGTTTGATGTTGATATTCAGGAGGTGAAGAAGAAGAAGATGAAGATAAGGGATGGAGGATGGATTCCTATTGGCTGATATAGCAAATTCTCATTGGCCAGTAAAGTCAACCATCCAGCCAATCGCATGAGTTCCATTGTCTCCTTAGTTACCCCGTACTCGTAAGTCCATCTTAAGTCCATCTTAGATCTTTGACTATCAAAAGGACGACCAGGATGACAACCTCTATTGAACAGAGACGATCGAGAGAGACAAGACCAACGGAGAGAGAGAGACAGAGACAGAGACAGAGAATGATAGACATCGTTCTCGTATGCAAGTTCCTCGCCCTCCCATCCCTCCCCCTTTCAGAGACGCCACCGCCATCCACGTCTCCATCCACATGGTTATACTTCTCGCACCGCGCGGACCCCCAGGGCGACCCCCAAAGCCTCTGCCAGGCCAATAGACCAGAGCCCAGACAAGATATACACTTCTTTCCACAGTCTAACACAGTCTAACACAGTCTACACCACTCGCTACGGCATCTGATGGCTCACACGGCTTGCGCTGCCGGGGCTGGGTCCTGCTGCCGCAGCTTGCTTTTTGCACGGTGCTGTCCGATCTAGACGGCAGATAGATCGCCACTCTGCAACATTCTCCGGAGAAATAAATATCTCCTGGCCTGCCCTGTGGATGTTGCTGTTGCTGTTGATATTGTTGCTGTTGATGTCGATGTTAGGACGAGATAGTGATGTGACGAGAATGATAGAGATCGATGACTGGCCAAGGGTTTACTCCGGAAGCGGGACTGGACACCTCGTCTGCGTACGCGCGAGACTTTCAGCGGGAGTCATGGACCCTGTACGGCGTTGGCATAGCAGTGATTTTCCTCAGAAGGTATTTCTTTCTTTACCATCGTCACTTATGGAGTTTTATAGATAAGTCGCTGACGAGAGTACTCCGTAGTGTAGCTAGGATCCGGCGGATGGGCATCCGCAACCTGCAGCTGGACGACTACCTTATCCTGTGCGTGGTGGTCTTCTTTACGCTGATGTGCGTCGCGCTCAACGAAATCATCCTTTCGGGCGGCTCGAACCTGGTGACGGCGGCGGACATAGCCCATCTGACGCCCGAGAGCAAGAAGCGTCGCACGCGGGGCGCCAAGTGGGTGTTTGTGGCCGAGCATGCGATGATTCTGACGACCTGGACGCTCAAGGCGTGCATGATCGTGCTGTACCGGCGGATCATGGAAGGGCTGAGCCAGGAGCGTCTGGTGCTGTATCTGACGGTCTGGCTGGGACTAGGCTTCGTCGGCACCGAGCTGGCCCTGTTCCTGACCTGCCGGCCCTTGCACCTCTACTGGGCCATTCCGCCTCCAGTCGACCAGCGTAGGTCTATCCTCTCTTTGCACTTGCACAAGTTATATTCCAGTGATTCAGTTCAGTGCTGATGATTGAGGGGTTCCAGCGCAATGCTCGTCGTACCAGGTGTACGGGATCGTGCAGGGCATCTTCGCCATCTCGTCTGACGTGCTGATGCTGGCCATCGCGATCCCGCTGTTCATGACGCTGCGGCTGCCGCGCAAGCAGAAGATGATCCTGCTGTTTGTCTTTGGGATGGGCATCTTCGTCGTGATCGCGGCCGTGCTGACGAAGGTGTACTGCCTGGTCCCCTGGCTGATCTCGTATGTGTACATGAACTGGTACCTGCGCGAGGCGACGGTGGGCATCCTGGTGACCTGTCTGCCGATGACCTGGTCGCTGCTGCGAGACTTCTTCCCCATGCTGGCCCGCTGGATGTCCTCGACCATGTCTTCGGGCTCCAAGGGCGGCGGCGGCGGCGGCGGCCCAGCGTCGCAGGCCTATGCTCGCTCGCACACCTACGCCCACTCGCAGACCCAGCTGCACTCGCATACCCCTTCGCAGTCACATTCGCAGCCACCGTCTCAGTCGCAGTCGCAGTCCTCGAGCTCGTCGTCGTGGTGGCCGCCCTTTTGCCGGCACCAGAGCGACAAGGTCGGCGGCGACAACGGCATGGGCCTCGACCTGGAGCGCTGGGAGTCCGGCCTGCCTCGCCTGCCGACCATCGACAAGCCGTGACTATCTTTTCTTCCTCTTCCTCTTGATATCCTGTATCTGCTTTGACTCTGCCATTGTCGGTGTTCCTTCTTATACCCTGTATGTATATAGCTAGCCACGAGTAACGATCTCTTTTTATCTCTTATCTTTTATCTTCTTCTCTCCCTCCCTTCGCCCTGTAGCCTCTATTGGCCTGGCCCTTGACTCTTCCCTGTCGCTTAACCTGCCTTGATCTTCCCGTCTGGCCGAAAGTCTGAATATTTTCAACGACTAAAAAAAGGTCTTTTGCCTCCTATTCTCGACTTACCTCGGCCCAACAAAACGGTCGTCCCAACAAATTCGGCTTTGGGTGGAGAAGAAGAGAAGAAGAAGAAGAAGAAGAAGAAGAGAAGAAGATGAAGATGAAGATGAAGATGATAAAAAGAAGAGGAAGAAGAGGATGAAGTGAAGGAAGAAGAAGAAGAGCCTCGACACAAGACCAAATACCCAAAACAGACAAAGAGAGAGAAAGCAAAGAGACAGCAAAGAGAGAGAGAGATCTGGGCCTTCACTGGGTCTTCTTCATTTCACTAGACTCTCTCTTAAGTCTTCTCTCTAAGTCTCTTAATTCTTCTATTAATTCTCCTCTTAAGTCATCGCTGAAGTCATCTTCTTCTTCTTCTCCTCTTCTTCTCTTCTTCTTCTCAACAAGTCGCTTGCTTGCTTGCTTCTTGCTTGCTTCTTGCTTCCTCTTACTAACCGTCGCCTCTCGCCTCTTCCTCTCTTCCTCTTACTCTCTTACTCTCTACTTATTCTCTTCTTCTCTCGGAGTCTTCAAGTCTTCAGTCTCAGTCTCAGTCCTTCGTTGACTTCTTCGTCGACTTCGCTGTCTCGTTTACTGCTGGATCTACTTCTACATCCACCATGACAGTCGACTTCCGCCCTCCGCCCTCCGCCCTCTTCGCTTTTCCGCCAGACTCCCGCCCCGCCGTCCTCCCGCCCGCCCAGCAGTCCTCTCTCTCCTGGCATCACCCTTTCAACATCCCTCCCGCCGTCTACTCGGCTCTCCTCCGTCCGGCCGTGCCCATCGCCATCGCCGCGACCTACGCCCTCACTGTCTCATACATCAACCGCCTCAACCGCCGCAGAGACCACCGCCCCTGGGCCGTCAGCAAGACCCGTCCCTTCAAGCTCTTCGTCGTCCTGCACAATGTCTTCCTCGCTGTCTACTCGCTCTGGACCTTTCTCGGCATGATCCGCGCTTTCAGACTCTCCTGGCCAGAGCCATCCATGCGCTCGTCCCCAGCTGCCATCGTCGACTGTCTCTGCAAGATCAATGGACCTAGGGGACTAGGCAACGCTGCTGTCTATGATACCAACACCAACAGATGGACCATGACCAACCCGGACTCGGGATACCATCTCACCCCCGAGGGACTGCCTGACGCTACCGATGTTGGGCGCCTCTGGAACAGCGGACTCGCCTACTTTGGATTCCTCTTCTACCTCTCCAAGTTCTACGAAGTGCTGGATACCGCCATCATCCTCGCAAAGGGCAAGCGGTCGTCCACTCTCCAGACCTACCACCACGCCGGAGCCATGATGTGCATGTGGGCCGGCATCAGATACATGGCCTCCCCCATCTGGATCTTTGCCCTCTTCAACTCTCTCATCCACGCCATGATGGTATCTCTCTCTTTCTCTTTTGTCTTCCTTTCTTTATTTCTATACTAACGGTTTGTAGTATACATACTATACGTTGACGGCACTGAGAGTCAAGGTGCCAACCAGGATCAAACGCTCTCTCACCACCATGCAGATCGTCCAGTTCGTCATCGGAACTCTCCTCGCTGCGGCCCATCTCTTCATCTCCTACACCGTCCCCGTCCAGGAATCCCACCCCGTGGCTCTCCAGCCCTTGACCGAGACCATCCCTTCTCAAGACACCACCGGTCTGCTTCCCTGGCTCAAGAAGCTCGCCTTCAGGGCCGCGGGGGCAGACGGGGTCGCTGCAAACGTCCTCTCGGCCAACCGCACCCTCTTCGGCACTGATGGATCCCACGCTGCCCACGCCCTCGTCAACCACCGCGAACTCCGCAAACAGACGCTCCAGACCACCGTCCCTTGCATCAACACCTCCGGCCAAGCATTCGCCATCTGGCTCAACCTCGTCTACCTCCTCCCGCTCACCTTCCTCTTTGTCCGCTTCTTCATTCGCTCGTACCTGCGTCGCACCAACGAGCACCAGCACCACGCCGCCGAAAAGGCCATCAAGGACGTCACCCGTGAGATCTCCAAGGCCGTCAGGGAGATGCATGGCAACACCTCCGACGGGCCATCTTCCGGTTCATCCACTCCCAGACCAGAGAGGGCTTACGAGGCTAATGTTCTCGACCTGCTCAACCGCAAGCAGCGCATCGCCGAGAAGGAGATCACCACCAAACCTACTCCTCTTACTCCTACTTCTCCTACTCAAGAAGAAAACCAGGAAAATCAGGAAAATCAAGAAAATCAAGAAAATCAATCGACTGCAACCTCGACTGCCATTGACGTAGCCACCGTTACACAAGAACAAAAGTACGAAGCTAATCTCAAGGACGTCATGACCGCTGAGGAAAAGGCCATCGACAGCCACCCGGAGGAATCCACCGCCCTCTGCGTCGACTACGAGGCTGCTACTCCCCATTCTCCCTCTCATTCCCCCTCTCCCTCTTCCCCAATGTCTCATGCCCAGCGCAGAAAGAAGAAAGCCGCCAAGCGTCATTAACCATTCTCTTTTTCTATTTTTTCATCTTCTATTTAATGTCTATCGGCGCACTGGAAAAAGTTGGTCGGATCACTATTTTACTCACTCATGCTTACTTACTTACGGTTCTACGAATGGCGATGCGATGCTATGCTATGCTATGCGATACTATGCAATGCGATGCACGGGCGGACGGGCTGGCATGCTCTGGGCTCTGGTTAAAAAAAGCTGCTCTCTTGTATTCTTATCCTACTCTAATCTACAACCTCAAATCAATCAATCAAACTTATCCTTAAGGACCTTTAGAATGCTACTTTTTGTTGAATCATTTTCTATTTTTAAATAACAAGTATGACGTAATAATCACATGACTGTAGCTGACGTCAGCTTGCTTAAGTAATCGAAATAAGCATCTCAACCTCCTGCGGTTTCGCCCAACTTTCGCTCCCTCGACGGGAAACAAATCCAGGACAACAACGACAGAAACGACCGCAGGACATTCCCACGTCTACACTACTGTCTTGCATGATGAGCGGCTTCAAGGGCCTTGTCAAGGAGGGCTGGCACCCCAAGGGCAACGACGGCGGCCGCGAGAGCTGGCGAGGTGACTTCAAGGGCATCAACCAGGTCGTACGTCACCCCAACATCCCTTACTACAACATATATATATATGTCACTGAGAGTGTCGAGTGCATTGCTAATTCTGTCTAGGCGGGATGGGTGGGTAAAGGGAAAAGTACCGGTGGTGGTCCTGCTCCCGCCCCGCGCGCAAGTCGGCCTATCTCCAGCCTTAGAGACCCGGCCTCGTTTGGCCCGCCGCCGCAGAGGGGGAAGACCAATACCAATACCACTGCTGGTACTGCTGGTACTACTGCTAGTACTGCTGGTGTCAGGCCTGCCCCTCCGCCGATACCAAGACGATCAACGGATACACAAGGACAAGGACAGACCCAAAATAAACCGTCTTTACCGCCGAGATTGCCGCCTAGACGCGCAGAGATGGACGCGGCAGAGAACAATATCGAACCACCGCCCGCGTACGAACTAGCCGCTACCACTCCCACATCCGCAGCTGGCATATCCTCCGCCGCCTCGGCCGCAGCGAGCAGACTGGGTGCCGCAGGCGTATCTGTACCTGCATTCGGCATCAACAAGGCCACTACAAACCACAGTCAGAACCAGAACCAGAACAATGTGCCGGTGTCTGTCTCCGTCTCACCGCAGACAACACAGGCAATGGCATCAGTAGCCCAGTCCGAACTGCAGCAACGATTCAACCAGATGAACCGCTCTGTTCCGCCGCCTCCACAATCCTCCACCACTTCCACCCCCGTCTCACCCTTAACTACCTCGACATCCACACCGCCTCCTCCCCCGCCACAACGATCATCTACAGAACGCACATCCTCTAATCCCTCCCTCAACGCCTTCCGAGAACGTCACAACGAGCATATCCAGGCCGGCATGAGCAAACTCAGCGGGCTCGACCAGAAATACGGCATATCCAAGAAAATCAACAGTTTTATCGAGGACCAGAAGTCTCCTGCCTATCCTCAGGGGCAGGGCCAGGGGCAGCAGGGACAAGCACAAGCACAATGCCAGTGTCAGCACGGCGCGTCAACCTCGCCTCCTCCTCCACCACCCCCCGTACATCCAAATCACCCGTACGCACATCAACACTCCAATACTAGTTCAGCTACGGATTTGAATAAGAGGAAACCACCGCCTCCACCGCCCCCGATGAAGCCTGGCTCTCTGACTTCGAATGCAGTCCAAGCTAACTCGCCCTCCCCGCCTCCATTGCCGCTGAATACCAAACCCCGGTAGTCGGTGCGGGAGTCGTTTTCATATACATATGCTGTTGCAAACAATACATTTGACGGAGTAGGGAGCATGTTGCTTTTGGCTTTCTTTTTGCTTGGCTTGTGCTTGTGAGTTGTTCGTTGGGCTATGTTGATTCGGTGTATTTGCTACGTTCCTATTCTTGGTCTGCCTTGGCTTGCCGTTCGTATACCTGCTACTGCTACTTCTACCGCCTTTCCTTGCGTACTTTTACATGCTTGTCACTCATGGCTAGAAATTAATACCATCACTATCCATTCTCCAAGTGAAGTGATATGATATAACAACTTCTTTAAAACCACCCCTCCATCCACAAATCCACATCACCCATACCAGCCAGCATACACAATGTCTCGCTTCAAAAACGAATCCGCCATCCCCCTCTCCCTCGAAACCCTCTGGTTCACCCACTCACCTCCCACATTCCCCTATCCCGCCCTACGCCAGCTCGGCACAATCCTCAACGCAAACTATGCCTGGGAAAGCACACCCAGCCTCACCCCCGGCATCGGCACAGAACACATCTTCATCGGCGCCGTAGCTTGGGCCGAAGACTCGGCCTCGCCCACCCACCCCCCTGGGCCCAGCGGCATAATAACCAAGATCCGAGTCCGCTGGTTCTCCACCTCACCCTCCTCCGCGACGGCAGAAGTAAAAAACATCTTCCCCACTACCACCACCACCCACTCCGCCAGACAGGAAGTAACCGACACAGACCTCCAGCTGGCATCAGACTGGTACGCCCCTAATATCCTAGCATATGTCAAATCACACGTCGGACTCACGATTGGCGACGGCGAGTGTTGGACCCTAGCGTACAAGGCGCTGCAGCACGCTGGCCAAAAGGCATTGCGTGAAGGCAGGGAACCGCCTATGTTAAGCACGGGGCGCGTCCACGGGTGCTTGATTTTCGAATGGACTGCTTGCGCAGAGTATCCTATCACGTACAGCAGCGGGATACTTGGACATGTTCCCACGGGTATACGAGCAGGCGATATACTTGAGTTAAACGACGGGCGGTTCAGAACTAGATATACCGCGCTAGCTGGGCTGGGCCTGGTGGGTACGCAGCATGAAGAGAATGTTCGGTTCAGCGCTCATACGGCTGTTATTGTTGCGGTGAAGATGGAGGATAGCACGTTGGGTGTTGTTGAGCAGAATGGTCGGGCGCGCTGCGTGGTGGCGGAGAACGAGTATAATTTGTCTAATATGGTTAGTGGTGTGGTGAGGATATATCGACCTATTGGTGTCTCGTTGGTTATGGGTTCGAATTTGCATGATGTTTCTCTCGTGGGCGTGTGTGATGAGTGGTAGGATGGGAGGTTGAGGCCGGCGCGGCTAGTTAGTGGGTGAGCTTAATTAGACGCCTGCCGAGTATCGCGCGGGACTACTACTACTTCCTCTTTGCTAAAGGCTCTACTGTTTCTACGGCTCAATGGCGGAATATGTGATTTATTCTTTATCCTACGAGTTAGCTTTAGGTTTATTGAGGGTATTGGATGAAGATCCCCCTGTATAAGGATGGCTGTGGAATTTAAAACTAAGCCTGAATTTTTATCAAACACCTGAGCCTTATTAACTGCAACGTCGTTATATATCTTTGACCGCTAGCTAAGGAATACAAAGTGCCGTGCTTATCCAGTCTTTTATAATTTTAACGGCCGTCTATTCTGCAATGCGGACATCGACTGCTCCGGTAACTTGCCTGATATCGTCAAAAAGGTCAGGCAAGAGTGTCACATAGGAGACCTTTGAAATTGTATTCCAGGAAATAACCATTCCAATACAATTAGCATACTTATCAAAGACCAAGGCACCCGAGTCTCCCGGGCCTGAGAAGAGCCAGCCAGACGGCCCGGTCACAGCGTACTCGAGGGATTTCACCTCTGGCGCACCGCCTCTATTATCGGGCGTGTCTAGAAGGGCACTCGTAAGACCAGAGAAGTTTCCTTTTGTCCTTCGGGTGGACCGCCCTAACTTATAGACTTGTGTATTCTCTTCAGGGATACCTGGGAAGGGCTGCAGGTCCAGGTTGTTAGTGTAGCGACCTATACTTCCATATGTCAAGAGCTACATAAGATGTTAACATATGGGTTGATACATGGTATGCAACAAATTAACGTACCGAGTTGTTGGAATGTCAGGTCTTTGGTACTTCGATCAAAGCCCAGTCAGCACGTCGCTTCTCTTCACGGATCGATGATACCATATGGCGATATCCAGATGCCGTGTATACGTGGCCAGCATAAGAAGGGCTGTAAATTGATATATCCGTTTCCCTAGCCACGAAGTGTCCCATGCTGGGGTTTATTGGAAGGTGGGAATGAAGTAGGTCGTCGTATGGCTGCCAAGGCGAAGATGATCTATGAAAATACTCTATCCTCGCCATATTATCGGATATCTCAGCGGCTTGTGCAATTATCTCGTCATAAAGCGTGCGCGACCTTGGGCTCACATCTCCACCTTTTTCGATAGTCTCTTTGATAGTTGTAAAACAGGCAGGTGGCTTCTGGCCTAGCTCCTCCTTCATATCTTTAAGGACTGATTCCGTGTCTTTCAATGAAGGCTGTTCTAGATTGATCCTTTTACCAATAGGGCTTTGTATGTAGATACTTCGGTCATCCATAGAGGCGGTACTTATATCTGGATGTACGGAATGGTAGCAGGTTAAACCAAGCCTCTTCCAAGCTGACCCCTCTTCTTGTTTGATCTCGATCCAGCCTCCAAATGTAAAGGAAGAGTGCCGAGATTGGTATATTCCGAGACTTAGTCCGACTTGCATCTGGTTATTCCACGCATTATCTGGTAAATCCTGATCCAAGCTACCCGCCTCGGTATATTAGTCCCTGGCTAATTATTACAGCGACATGGTGGAGGTTATATCGATTGAGAATCGATACTATAGCTTCTCTGGTATCCTTCCATGGGCCCCGCGAAGAACGAGCGACCGTGACAATGACAGTGGGGGGATTTTTATCTCCGTCGAGGTTCGCGCCGTAGCGGAAACACTCTATGGCTAGAACAAAGCTGCAGTCGATGCTATTTAAGATCTGCTCAAGGACGTCGTCCCATAGAGGGTAAATTGGGTCAGAGGATGGAACAGGAGACGAATTCTTCTGTATATGGACTCGTTCATCGCAGATCTCAACATTGAACTGGGATAGACCATTTGCTTCGAGAAGCTGGTATATCTCTCGGCTAACGGAAAGCCAATCTTCGTCGGGAGACTTCTTCTCTGCAACAACTAGAAGCGTCGGTACGAGATGATCGTTCAGAAAGAGTACACATCGGCGGTAACAGAGTGTAAATGTCGCCGCGGTAACTCCTGACTGCTGGAGGATGGCTTGGATGCTTTTGCTCAACTCTTTACGGGCATCCAACATGCACATATACGGGCTTCCAGGCGGGAATGGTATGGTAGTGGAAGGTACAGGGGCAAGTGTTGGGCCTCCGGCCCGAAGGTCTTCGACGACCCAGCTGTCACCACGTAATTCTTCACTATCGTCGCTCGATCCTCTGGAGGAGCGTAATCTGCCATCAGGCGAAATTCTGCACCAAGGCAGTTCCGTACCAACAGGTGGCACGGATGAGGCAAAGCTGAGTGCAGTTGAGGACATTGTGCTATCAACGTGTAAGATGTGGTATCTTTAGGGAATAAAGTACACCCTGTGAAAACAGAGGCTGAGCAAGTGATAATAGTTTTGCGGAGCAAATGTAGAAAATAGACAAGTAAACTGTCGAGGCATGATATATAGGGCGAAAATGAAGGGTAAAGCACTAAATATGGCCAAAGATAGGTAAGTTTATAATGACATCAACGACTATAAAGTTTGACAGGCTCGACAGATGGCGATATTCCCTTTCGGGATGCCGGTGATTCGCCTTATATGCGGAGTCCGTTTACGGGACATCACAAGCGGTAGCCGACTTTTTTTAGGGTCATCAGCCTTCTCCACGGTCGAGTCAGCCATAATGGGCATCATGAGCGTTGTGTCAGAGCTGTTATAATATGGTAAGAGTTACTGAGAAAGTGCTCGTCAAACGTTGCTTGTGCGTTTTTTATAAAAGCTTGCCCAACATTCACATACGTATGACGTGAATGATACCGGGTGACTAATATTTAGCCGCAAGGATGACGCGGCTAGCTTAATTAGCCGCCTCCAATCATCGCACGATAATACACGAGATAACCGAGCGCGGCTCCCGCCGGCCGGTTGGACGAAGGCTAAAACAGCACAAAAGTCAATTCGGTGGGGCAGCGCGGTTCAACCTGGTGGGTCCAATAACATCAACAAATATAATAATAATAATTAATTAATATTGCAGGATCATTGAACGGTCGTGATGCAAACGTCGGCTGGTGTGGGAAGAAATTAATTAAAGCTTACTTACTTGCATGAGAGTTTTAGCCTCGTGAAATAAAAGTGCGGCTTTATTCCCCACTCCAGCTAAGCTACTTGGTATGGTGACGAACTACGGGGCGTGGGAAATGATTTGGAAAACAATGTGGAAATGATTCCTAATTTCCCACTGATTGGGTGTCTTGAGCTTACATGCTTGGCGATGAGGATGAGGAATCGGTAGATGGCTAGCTTATGTAGATAAAATCAATCCGCTGCGCGATGTTGATAATGTATATCTGTAGTGAGTCTCTAGAGATCTAAGCGAGCAAATGGACGAAAAAGGAAGAAAAGAAAGACGGACGGTAGAAAAGCGAGAGAGAGAGAGAGAGAAAGGAAAGGAAAAATTCGGATGGAGAACATGAATGGTCTCTCGCTGTCGTTATTAGACTTGAATGAAAGAAAACTGTAGAAGAGGAACTAAACTGGTCTGATCAAAGTCAGTCAGAGTCGGCCCAGGCCAGTCCGGGAAAGATAACCGAGGACCGAAATGAGACAACGTCACGCTCGCGAGGCGCGCCACGGCCGAGTAGGCAGGGAAGTAGGAAAGGAGAACAGGGAAAAAAGGTCGGAGAGATAACAGTTTAGAGAGGAGCAAGCGAGAAAGCAAGCAAGCAAGCAAGCAACCGGGTTAGTAGGGAGTTAGTTTGTAGATTGGAATCCGTCCATGTGTCCGTCCATCCCATCCCTTTATTTCAGCAAGGTAAAAAGAAAAAGAAAAAGCAAAGAAAAGTAACCATTTGCACTCGCACATACGCAGGCAGGCAGGAAGAGTCAACTGGAATCAACTGAGATGAAATCAAATCAAATCGATCACATGGAGGGAAAAAAAAAAGAGAAACAGGAAAACAAGTAAAACAGGCATACTAAATAGACGGAAACCGCAGCCATTACAAGGACAGTAAAAGTATGAGTTCAAGAAAAGTTCAGGATCAAGTTCAGGTAAGGTCAGGATCAATGTGAAGAACAAAGGGGCAGCTGGTAGTGTGGTGAGAGGGAGGATACTGGCTTTGGAGAGAGTGAAAACGAGGGACAGATTTGATACAGATTTGGATTTGGAAACGCCTGACCGTCGTCCTGGAGAAGGGAACGCCGCCAAATATGCAAAGAAAGTTTCATTAAAAGAAGTGGGTGTAGACCTTGGAAGATTCGTGAACTTCCATTTCCTAAACAATCGCAAGGCGTTAGTATTTAGATATCAATGTGAGTAAGAAAGATTTTTGAAAGGGTACATACCATTTTGAAAGTATTAAGTTCCTCCTTAATCTGCTGGGCAAGCAGCGGAGTTAGACGATTACATGTCGCCACGTCTCCACGTCTATCATACTCGCCGCTGGGCCAGGTATCGTGGAACTGAATTCGAGGACTAAAAGAAATATTTCGACCGGCGGTCGATTGTGGGGTACCAGGGGCGCTTTGACCAGAGGTGGTGAAGCGGCCGCCGGGGAGGAAGTAGTCTTCTCCCTCGATGGTGACGGAGTCGGTGCGTCGGTGACCAGATCGTGGGGGACGGTCACCTGCGGAGCTGCTTGGAGCGCTGCTAGAGCGCTGGGATTCGGGACGCTGGAGAGTTGGGACAGGAGCAAGATCTGTGGTGGGGCGGATGACGGGAGAGGAGTTTGAGGAGTTTGTGCCTGATTCTGTGATAAAACATGTTAGATCGGGATCAGGGAAAGAAGAGTCCTATGTAGATCAGTTGGAGAGTATGACGTACTTTTCAGAATGCCCTTTCTAACTGCGGCCAGGACTTCAGCACGTTCCTGGTCGCCACCAAAGATGCTTTTCCTGCCACTTCGATCAGCACCGGTGCTGGCATCTGACTCGACCGACCGACGACGCTCTGCAATCTCTTGCTTAGGCGCACCGTTACCCGCACCAATCTCAGGCAGTACTGGTGGTCCCTTGCTGGCGACATCTCGCTGGGCCTCTACTGTTACCATAGAGACCTGCGGGACCGGTGCGGCGATCCGAGACGTGTCTGTGGGGGCGTTGTAGACAGATTTGGGTCGGAAGAGGCCGACCAAGGAACGAGTGGACCGTTTGACGCCATTGCCCATTTTGCGGAGCATGATGGATGCAGACGAGGCGGTCGAGGAGACGGAGATGTTATCCGTGGAGCCGGTGAAGATGTTACCCTGGCCAGAGTAGATACTCTCGCCCAACCCACCGGCTTCCTGCTTGGCCGCAATGGCAGCTTGCTCGGGCCCCAGCTCTTCATCAAGCTGTTGTTTGCGAGGTGAGCTAACAGTCGGTTCAGGGTTCGAGATACCACGTAGCTCGGCAACGCTGCTGAAGGAGAGTGCACGCCGTAGCCGTGATTTTGCTCCCTTTCCTTGACCTTTCTTTGAGATTTCAATGAGGCGTTTTGCAGCCGGGCTGGGAGTCTCTGCCACCTTTGGCGGCTGATTTTTCGTGTCAGGTGTGGATTTTGAGGTCGTGGTAGGCGTTACAGTCTCATCAGCATCAATATTAACTGGTTTCGACAAAGGAGAAGGGGTGCCCGATCGCTTTGACGTGTCAGAGGGACGAGCCATCGTAGCTTTTTTATTGTTGTTGTTGTTGTTGTTGACATTGTTAGCGTTGCTGGTGTTGTTGGTGTTTGTAATGTTGGTCGGTTGGGAAGTTGTGGTGGTTTCCGCTCCTTTTTCAGATTTAACCTTACCAAAACATGTTAGTTAAGAGACACCACATTCAAGATTGCTGAAAATCAAACGAGCAACACTTACTGAACCGGAAGAGGAGTTGAGAGAAGAGGTATCAGCAGCCTTTGCCATGGAGTTTGGAGGAGGAGGAGTGCCACTGAGAGGAAACTCAGAGAGAGCCATCTCATTTGCGTGTGGAGATGGGTGAGAGTCGGAAAAGGTGAGAAACCCAGCAGGATCGATACTACCCATGCTTCTACGGCGGTAACGCTTTGCCAGCTCGGTACTCGAATGGTTAGAACCATCGGTCACGGCCGCGTCGGCACTTGATCCGCGAACATGGTGTGGTCTGCTGGGTATATCGATTATAGACGGGGTGAGAGATTTGGCAGTCTGAGCAGTGGCCATGCCAGCTGGGCCAGACTCTGAACCACCAGTGACGGCTGCGGCGGGGGAGGCAGTCTGGTCTCCACGGCGCTGGCCACGGCGATATCTGTCTGGAGAAGGCTTGTTTGCTGGTGAGGGCGAGACCGAGGATTGAGGGGGGGCAGGAGAGAGGTCGATTGCCGAAACAGGGCGTAGACTCAGTTCGGAAGGGTTCTGGCGTTTGGAGAGGGAAGAGTCATCCTTGGAAGGGTATGAATGAAGAGAAGAATTAGAGGAGGAAGAATTGGATACCGAGCCAGCAGTAGTAGTCGTAGTCGTGGTAGTAGTAGCGTAGTGTGTACGTGGAGGGATGGTTCCGGGGTAGTTGTGGTTGGTGTTTTGCGCCTGACTCTGAGTCTGGGTCTGTCGATGTGAGTTTGCAGGCAACCCGGGCGTGGCAGTGAAGGCATAAGGGGCCACTGGCTGGGTGAGTCGGTAGCCGGTAGAGGTAGAGGCAGAAGTAGAGCCCGAGCCCGAGCCTGAGCCCGAGCCAGAGCCAGAGCCCCCGTTTTGAGACCGGGCGTGGTTTTGGTTCCGGGCCATCTGAGGCTGGTTGTGGAGCTGGGCAGAGGAGTTGAAGGTTGCAGAGGAGGAGGAAGAAGCAGGGCGAGGCTGCAGCAAGGTGATCGTGCCGGCTTGCTGTGGAATGGTTTGGACCAGAGCGGCCATGTTGATACACGATGGTATCGAGGATAGGAGGTTTTTGCCTGTGGAGAGAGAGGTAGAGAGGGAGAGGGAGAGAGAGCGGAGAAGGCAGGTAACTCAAGTAGATCTACCCATGAAGACTGGAGGCTGGACACGCGAGACGAAGATAAGAGGACGGATGAGACGTGCAGAGCCTGTAGTTGAAAGAGAGAAGAAAAAAGGGAAAAGTCGTTAGTCTCTTTTTTTCTTCTCTTTTGGGAGGTTTCTGCTAGTTTATGACGCGGGAGAGAAGAGAGGACACGTCTTTGGCCGGGTCACCACAACGTCGGCAAACAAAAACGAGTAGAGAGAAGAGAAGCAGACTGACCTGTAGAAAGGAGAAGAAGGTAGTAATAAAAAAGAAGATGAAGAGAAGAAGAAGACCGTGGCTGACGCTGGACAAAAAAAAAAAGAAGAGCCGGAGTACTGAAACAAGACAAGACAAACCCAACAGCAGCAGCAGCAGCAAGAAGCAACAAAAAGAGGAAGACGACGACGGAGGAAGCCGAGTCAAGAGGTTCTTAAAAGTCAGGGCCGGGGGCGAAAGTATTCCAGAGGACGGTCAAAGGTTTAGAGTCCACCAAAGCGAGGATGTACTGAGTACTGGCGGGCGAGGTCGAGAGAGCAGGAGGTTGTTCGGGGTGGTGAGAGGAGAGGAGGGCCAGGGGGAGAGATGACGACGCAGAGGAACGACGAGCCCGAGCAGCGCACCCAAAAGCCGCCGTCTCAGGGAGAAGACAAGAAAAAGAAGACGCAAGAAGAAGACACAATAAGAAGAAGAAGAAGAGAAGAGAGAGAGAGAGAGAGAGAGAGATCCCTCGGACGGGAGGACAAACGAGGGTGGGAGAAGAGGAAGAGAGAGAGAGGAAGAGAGGAAGTGAGAGAGAGAGGTCGAAGTTCGGTTCGGGCGGTTTTGGCGACGAGAAAGACTAATAGAGAGAGAGAGAGACAAGACAAGCTAAGAAAGGGAGAAAAGGGAAAAAGGGAAAGGGAGAGCAATGACTAATCAGAAGATGGCCTGATGGGGAAGAGATCTGCAGAAAGGGAGAAGATGATTGGCTGGATGGCTTAGTCATGGACTGTTAAAGTCTAAAGAGGTCGCTGGCATGGGAAGAAGAAGAAGAAGAAGAAGAAGAAGAAGAAGCAAAAGATGATAATGATGATGATGATGAGGAATTAAATAATAATAATAATAATTAACTAGTTTAAGATGACAGATGGAGAAGCAGAAGACGAGATGGTCGGCCTAGCTGACCAGAGTAAGTACTCGCCTATCTAACTACTTAATAGTTACTCCGTATTCCTGTATTCCTGGACTCATCAAACTCCCTGACCTGTATCAAGTAGTTGCTTCACTGCATAGATACAAGACAGCCTTGGAATGAATGATATCATGTGGCACGGCGAGTGACTGGTGGACGTCACTCAAAGGAGACTCTGGTGCTTTGACAGACGGAGTATAAAGCCACCCTCTGCCGCCCTCTCCGTTCAACCAAAAACACATCACTGCTCTCTACGTCTTACTCCCCGGGACAGGTTCAAAACTAAAGATAACTGCCTATGGACCAAGTTTAAACAGCCCAGATATACGGACGGAGTACAAGGTGGCCGATATACGCTCCCGGAAGTCCCTTCTGGCCTAGCACCTATCTATATTGGAAAGCTAGTTTGGATATATTATACATATATATATATACACCCCAAGAAGCTAGCTAGGAACTTTGCTCTTATATCATTGATTAGTTCCAGAGGGCTAAGGCTTCAAGATGAGTCGAGGGGATGGGACAGACTGAGCTACAAGCTCTTGCAGCGAAACACGCAGAACAAGCGAGTGACCCTTAACTACTTCGTTCGCGCAAAACTGGAATAATCATAGCATTTATTGGTTACATTCGAATATCTGGCATATCATCCATGTACTTGGGTCTATAGCAGTCTGCTATCTAAATACCTTAACTAGTCATCTAGTTATCAGATTCTTTACTTCATATATATAGAATACCTATTGAGTATCTATAACATAGTAAAGCCCCTATCAGGTAGTGTGTGTGATAGAAGTGATAGAGAAGAGGACTGCTCTCGAGACTCAAAGCTTAAGCAACTATGTAAGACATCTCAAAGTTCTCGCTTGCGGCTGTAAGTATATAAAAAAGGAGCCACGGTTGTAACTAACCCCCTGGCCTGTAACTAAAATATGTGCAAACAACCAGCAATCTCGCAAGCGGACATTATGCACTGTTCTAAGTAAGTCTAAGTCTATGTACGCACCCACTGCTCCACCCCAACAGTGCCATTATTAAGTACTATGCTCCTCTCTACGGAGTAACTCTCCTCTTATTCTTCTTGTTTTTTTTTTTTTTTCTTCTCCCTCCTCCAGACGGCACTGGGTGCTTTTGTGGAGGGACCGCCGAAGAGTCTAGACACGGGGGCAGTGCAGACACATACTTATTATTATTATTTTTCTCGCCATCCCGCGCAAGCCATCAATAGATATCTTTCCTTCTTCTTCCTCTTCCTCTTTGCATCCTCTCTGCATCCTCCTCTCGGCCTCTCCCTCTCTTTTCTTTTCTCGCTGGCTTATCATAAGATCAACCAGGCGCCCCTACACGACTCCACTCCTCCTGATCTTAACTTGATGCAAGCAATTTAACTTAGCCTAGCGTCGTGTCTCAACCCCTAGCTAGTGGGTGGGAGCCAGGGATAACCACTTGGGACATGGCTCATGAGGGAGGCACTTTCGCGCATCAACAGCACCAGCAACAGCAGCAACAGCAGGCAGCCAGCCTGAGTTGAGCACAGTGGTAAGGTAAACGGGACCGTATCCGTAAAGTGTAAAGCGTATCCTTTTCTCTCTCTCTAAAAGACATGCCGGCCTTCCCCGGCTTCGATGACGATGATGCGATGATTTCCCCCCCTTAGCATGATCAGCACCTTGGTCCCTCGAACCAGCGGAGCATGCATGAGTAAAAAGGTACCTTTCTTCCTGTCTCCCTGTGTTCATCATCATCGGCCTCCTAAGTAGTATGTCTCTTGCCCGCACACAGACGCACACACACACGCACGCATGCACGCACAAACGCATTCATTCTCTCGGAGGATACGAGTATTGTCTCAGCTACGCCCCCCAGACTCGCTCACGACCATCATCACCACGAACCACCACCACATCAACAACACAGCCAACTAACTCTCCCCTCCCCTTTTCCCGTTTCCTTTGCTCTCTCCTCTTCTCTTCGCCTTTATGGATGTTGTATCCCGTAACTATTTCCCGCCTGCATTAAAATAAACATTTATCCCATCCCACCGCCCTTCATCGTCCCTTTTCCCCTTTCCACCCATCCATCCACCCTCTTTTCTTTGTTTTCTTGCAAGCGTCGGAACGCAGTACCGGCCGCTGACACCTGATTGGTCTTCGCCCTCGCCCTCTCTTGTATGTAGGGGAGTTCCTGAGAAAAAGCAACGAGGCGAGTTTCATGCACGAGCATGCGCGCTGCTCTCCTCTTCCTTCTCCTCGTTCGTGCATGTCCGTGTCTCACAGGGTCAACCTCGGCCAGATAATGTTGGTCAGTCAGTTCGACGCCCTGAGATTTTTGACTGAGATCCGCCTTGCTGCATGCTTTAGCCTAGCCCAGCGTTGTACCTCGACTGCACAGGAAGTGAGGCTGTACCTCCATGAGATGAGAACCCATGTATCATATTCTCTCTTCCCTCCCTCCTCCATCCGTTCCCTCCATCTGCAACTGTCCAGCTGGACTATCAAACTCTTCGTTCGCCTTTTTCTTTTCTTTTCTTCTGTTTATTTTTATTTATTTTTGTTTTATCTATGATTATGTAACAAAGACCGCTTATGTAATCTTCGACGTCAACAAAAGAAAAAAACAACAACATCGAAAGAAGAAGAAGAAGCTGGAGATGGAGATGATGAAGCCAATGTTGAAGAAGATAACAGGCAGAAGTAGCTAGATATGAGCATAAAGCGCATATCCTGACTTTAATATCTTGGGATATAAACATAATATCTTATATTTGACCAGGTCCTATCTTTATAGAGATATAAAGATGCTGATATCTGGTAGTGAAGTGGCTACCCCCAGTTACCCATCTAGGACTTGCCTGATGCCAAACTACATCTATACCATCAAATATACGCCATTGGTATCTATCTATCTCTAGAAACCTGTGTCTATCTTCTCATGTGAATATACCTCATGGCTCTAGGGTTGATTGTGGTGCTATGTCACTGCCACTGGCATCAATGATGTAGATATCACTAGAGCAACGTTGATACAGGACATCAACAGTGACTCCTAACTCGGCGGATAAAGAAATTGAACAGGACAAGATTTTATGTCAACAACGCTAGAAGACTTCTTTTCTTCTCCCTCTTTCTCTTCTTCTTTCTTCACACACTCTCCTCTCTGGATATTCACTGTGAATATTCACCATTCCTCCTTCACCACCCTGAAATAGCTATTCACGTTGAAGGCCATCAGGAATAAAAGCCAGGAAGCTCCAGCTTTTCAGTCCTCGATCCCTTACCTTCGCAATGTGCAACGCGTACTCCATTACCTACCAGTGCGGACACGTCCAGTACGCCCAAGGCCTGCCGTGTGGAGGACCCGACTGCCCTGCTCCTTCCAGACAGATACCCTGCCATCAGATCTGCGTCGACTGCACGGACTACGAATACATGGGCCTGCGTTGCTCGAACATGTCAAACATTGACCAGTCAACTCCCCGTTTCGAGGACTACTTGTTTGAGCCTAACAACTTCGATGCCGAGATGGTCGACCCAGCTATCTCTGATGTGGACCTGAAGGCGATTGCAGATGACGTCCTCACGGTAGAAGGGTCTGATTCCAGCGACATGCCGATAGACCTCGCCAGTTGTCCTCCACGCTCGCCTCCAAAGCTCGATAAGAGCAGCATCGAGTTTATCCGGCTCGAGGCTCCGGTTCGATCCAACTACATGTACCCGTCTCCTGTCAAGCTATTTGTTGGATGGCCCCCCCTTGAACACCAGATTCATACACACCCCGGGTACGGAGACTACGCGACTACTCCGGACGAAGAGGACTTCCGTTGTCCGCCACCTGCCCCTGCTCCTACTTCTGCATCCAGTTACTCGGGCAGCGACGCAGCGATCCAGCTGACCACCCCGTCTCCTTCGTTATTCAGACGTAACAACTACGACAGTGACTTTCTGAGCACCGACACCACGCAAGACAGACTATTTCTCACCAGATCCCCGACCTCGCGTGAACTCAGCCCTACGCCAGGCGCCCGCGGTCACGAAACCTTTATCGAAGCAGCTTCCGCCATCCTCGACCTGCCTATCTCTTGGCGCGGAAACGGAACTCTTCGCGAGTTTCTAGAGGAAGAAGACGAAGAGGGCTATGTTTCGGACGAAGACGAAATGGAAGAAATCGACTACACCACCGACCAGTTCACCGCAAAGATGCGTCAGCCAGACTTCCACCGTGCCGATTATCAGGCTTTCCCCGACCTAGGGGGCCCAAAGGTCTCGCTTGACGATGCATCAATTAGCGATAATTCTAAGCTTGGCGCCATTCAGAAGCCCACACGAGACGACGATGCAACTATCAAAATGCCTCCTACAGCTACTCCTAGTAAGAAGGACGCCATGGCTAATGTCATCAAAGCAATCGGACCTTTTTCTCTCGCTTCGACTGAGGCTGAGCCATCCGACAATTAGCTACTGCCAACTACCGACTTTTCTTAATTATGCATGATACCTGAGGAGGAATGAAAAACGGTGTTGTTTGGGGTAATTTGATACTGAAATATGGACTGGACTGGGGGGAGTTTGGCTCTGTTAAATTGAATAATGATCTCCTGTTTATTGAATAGCTACCTGACTTTCTACCCTTTGATTGACCTGGCTGGCGAAAGATGAGTTGATAGGACCAGGAAACAATAGGATCACCAGATGGTCGGGAGGAGAAGATAGTAGGTATTCTGACACATGTTTTGTTAATTTGAAATCAACCTGTTTCCTTATTCTGACCATCGCTGCTGTATGTGACAATGGACAATGGCTATCCATCTGGTTTAGCTACCTCTGCATATCAACATCTCCTCCATCAAACCCCATTTCCATCCCACCCTCACCAGTAACAGACATGTCATCCTCCAACCCCTCGAAAACCATAAACTTCTCGTTCTTTGCATCCGTATCATCAGGCACAATGTTCCCATTCTGCACCTCACAGTCCTTCAACACACAGTCGCGACCAAGCTTACTTCTTCTCCCGATGATACAACCTACAAGCTGGCAGCGTTCACCAACCACAGCGCCATCCATAAGTAGACATCTAGTTAGCCTTGCACCGGAGGCGATGTGGCAGTTTGCGCCGATGACGGATTCTTTGATGATGCATTTCTCCTCCACCGTGACATTTTCTGCAAGTAGGCAGTCTGCTTTTGAGACCGTGCAGCGTTGTGCGATGCCGGGTGGGTAAGCGATTTTGCTGGCGTGGGCTAGGGGGGAAAGCGTAGCAGTGTTTGGAGGGTGTGTGTCGTTAATGGCATCAAGCTTTGCCAGGCGGAGTGATATTGATAGAAGTAGAGCGGAGTTATCTACTCGCCGAATAAGAGGCATCGATGGCTTGGATGGAGCTACGTAGCCGAGGAGTGGGGGTGTGTTTATCTTCTCTGCAGCTGCTGTGGAAGAGCCATCAGCCTGGTCTTCAGCAGCATGGAAGCTGCTTGCAAGGCTTGCAGGGATAGTTCGTGATGGTATGTCGAATTCGCGCGGTAATTTGGTTGTGCTCATGCCCAAAAGGTCGATTTCCTCCTCGATACGGCTATTAGCACGGCCCTCTGCTTTCGCCTCGTCGCTCCTCTTCTGTGATTGAAAGAGATCTTGGATGTTGAGTTTGGTAGCCAACCCTTTCTGCCAACCTGCCTTCGCCCACCAGCCAAGCAGGTCTTCACTAATACTCTGGAACTTCTCATTCCGTTGAGCCATCACCTTTACCCAGTATGGGAAGAAGTAGATGTGGGCATCGCGGTAGCCATTAAGAATCTTGATCCGTCCATGCTTCTTGAGCAGTGAGTATCGAATAAGCAGTGCCTTTTTCTCCTCTATTGAGTCCTTTAACGAGTCCATGGGCATGGTATATGCAATTTTATGCAAGCCCGCACGAACAGACGCGGGAGTGGCAGGAGATCCTTTAACAGCAGGGGCTTCATCCCCACTCAATGGAGCAGTAACCAAGAAGTCAGGCACTTCATCCTTGATTTTCTCCTCGCCTGTGGGCAATGGGTACCAGACACCAAGTCCACCTCTTCGTCCGGCCTTCTCCCCTGCAAATCCTAGCAGACTAGATGATCCAGGTAATATGGACGAGCCATCTGATGTCCCATCCAGCGAGCCCTGTGTCATCATCCATGCCTCAAGGAGTGACTGCCCGGGAATATCGCATATCAAATCACAGGGGAGAACTATAAAGTCCGTTTTTATGCATGCTTGGACCTCAGGTAATCGAAGGAGCTCTGCAGTTCCAGTAGTAGGAGAAAGGTCCGCGGGGGCCAGCAGTGTTGGTGTGGGGAACTGGATGGATGTGAGATGAGGATTTTGTGATAGAGCAGTCTTCATGACTGACTGGCTGGTTGGTGAGGTGATGAGGGTGATATCTACACCGACGGGTAAGCAGGCAAACATGAGAATATGCGGGTGCAACAGAGCTACGAATCAAACTTTTTTACAACCAATCGGTTTAACAATAACAATGGAAAATATATGTAGTAAACATTCACCCAAAATGATAGCAAAAAAGCAGCAATAAACAATGTTCAGTACCAAGGGAGAGACATACTGGTAATTCCTAGACGATAGCACCAGTCCATGGGGTACCACACCATGGGCCGATTTGCAACCGGCACCAATGCCTTCGGGAACTCCTCGGGGATGGATGTGAATGTGTTCAACGAGGCTCCTGGTCCACAGAGGATCAGGGCCTGGAAGCCCGTCTGTGGCAGGCCTAGATGCGGCATGGTAGTAGGTGTTTATTCTTCTGCTCGGCGGGGTATCTTTCTGTGGTAAACCGAGATGTATGTTGCTTGTTTATATCGTCTTCGCTTATGCTCCCCCTTAGTGTTCTGGTCAAGGAGGTATTGCGTGAGATATGTCTCAGGCCAGAGTGAATCTCTCCTGGTGAAGCAGTTATGCGGTGAAACTGGCTCTCCCGATGGATGTAACAGCGAGTCCAGCTTGATATTGGCGATGTTTGATGCAAATGCGGGATGTCGAGGTTGAACCGTCCATGTCTTTCTCGTTTTCTAGCCTTAACGCAGGTGTCTAAGTAGAAACGGAGTCCATGCCGGGTTTAATCTGTTAATTAATCCTTCTTTTCCTTCAGCTTCTTTTTTTTTTTTAATATAAAATGTTTCTTCTTCCTCTTCTTCCGTTTCTTCGTCGCTTCTTTTGAGTCACCTTTTTTTTTGGGTGGTACTTGATTTGTAATAAATTATATAAGCTGGCTTTATTACTAACACCTTATTAAGCTTAGTCACATGCTTTGTGATGACATAAGCAAACTCCCGAGGTTGGGACGTCGCATCTTTCGGATCTTGTTTATTTACTAACTACTCCGTCACTCCAGCTTCCCGCAACATCCAACGTCGACAGGCAGACAAACATCAACGGTGTCGCTTGTTGTCACAGAGCGACACGGACACTACTCGCTGCATTGATTAGCGGACCGTGATGTTTAGGTGACACAGCTAGCTTCACGAGAAAAGCGACTGTTGACACCACATGTCGGACTACAACCGCCAGCGCTCCTCTGGACGGTCAGCTCTGGGGTACTGGGTGCCGCTGGTGATCACCGTTGGGGTTGCGACGGCCGGACTCGCTGCTTGGGTATTGAGTGAGCGCCAGAGCGATGATGACGATGAGGGCCTGAGCTACCATGATGATAATGCCCCCATCACCATGGACCCCGGCTCCGGGGATAGCTACTCGAGGGGCGTCACAACCGCCACGGACGATGGGAGCGTGATGTCTCGTTTCCAAGGTGCCTGGCGCCGAACTCCCAGCCCTAAACAACTGTTCGATGGCGCCAGTCGCTCTGTCGTTGCAGGCGTGACTGCTGCGGGCGCTATGGTTGGAGGTGCCTTATCGTCTATACGTGAGGAGGGGAGAAGCGAGTATGATGACCACGACCAGCAACAGCAGCAGCAGGAGCGCAGAGATGAGGAGCTGGCGGCGCGTGATGCACCTCGCCAGAGCCAGCCTACTCCTGGCGCATTGCCTGCAGAGACCACGGGTATCTCTCAGTCACGTCAGGGGCCGAAGAGGGTGAAGACAGTTGCCATCGTGGTATCTTCCGTTCTTCCAGATTCAGAGCTCGATGAGCAGATTTCCGGTCATGCTGTAAGTTTCTAGATATCATACCAGTTAAACCTCTGCTAACGTTGTTATTATAGTCAATTCTAGCCCATCTGCCTGAGCATATCGAACCTGAAACGTCTCGTATCTTCGTCCTCATCTATGCGCCGGGCGTGCAGCCCTCTGCTGCAGGCACATCTAAGCCAACACTGTCAATTACATCCTCCTACTCCAACATTGCATCTGAGGAGGCCGCCGGTGCAGAGTCCACTGAAGTTACGCCCCTGACCACCGTTGACCCCGACCCAACAACATCAGATGAAACCCAGCAACCTACCGCTCTCTACCATACTCTATACTCTCAGGCCCAGGCAATTGTGGATAACGAGACAATGATTATGCCCTTTAGCACTCCTGGTGGCCACGTCCACATTCTCCGCCACCTTTCTCCGGAGATCGTATATATTCAGGAGAGTCTGACTGGCAATAATGGAGAGAGTGTCAACCAGATCTCCGGATGGGTCCGCCAGGTAGTTGTTGTTATCGGTGATGAAGGTGGACGAGGTGGTCTCATTGATAGTGACGATGAATCCGCCCTTGCTGACAAGGGAGAACGGTGGTGGCAGAAAGAGGGCGTCACTGGTCTCGGCAAACGAATTACTGTCGTTGACGGAGTTCGGATTGGCGAGGAGTGGAAACGACGTGTTTGCGGTCACGAATGATCCCAGTATGACGGAACGGTGGTAACTCTTTCCTCTCGGTTTTTGCGGCGTTCATCCTTTACGATATCACTTTGTCTTTTATATTCTCATCTTCCCTTGCCTTTCCTCTTTGACTTAACCCTCGGTTATATTTTCAGGTCCCTCTCCCGATGAGCTCTGGCATCCATTTCATACATGTTTGGGCTAAACTGACTGCGCATAATCCGTACATAGTCTGTGTGCACTTCAGCAAGTCTTCTGGTGAGGATATTCTTTGTATACCTTTAGCAGCTATCTACTAGCTATTTATCTATAAATAATTTGTCCAACGAACATATTTCCCTAACCAACCAAGCATTTATACTGATTCATTCACAGATGCATCCATCTTCCCCTGAGCCTATCCCAAAATTCCCGGTCCCCCCATAAGGGCAGACCTACCTAATTCTACTCATCACGTACTACTGCATGAAGCTGTCCTCTTTTTGTCACGTCTCGACAATAAAATGCACTACTATATACCCTGCATTTATTATAATCAAAGGAGAAAATTCATATCAAATAGTCTTCATATAGCTTCCACAGCGTTAGCTATCCTCGGCAGAGGATGCAGGCTGCTAATTACACATAAGCTTCAGGTATATACAGACAAAGACTCCAGCTCCGCGCCTGAACCCCGGGAATAAACGATCTGAGAAATGAAAGAGATGAATGAAAAGGATGGCATCGGTACTGTGCCAATGCATCTAGTTAGGCTGAGCTGCGCTGGAGCCGTTACCCGGAGCAACGATTTCGCAGATCTGGTCAATGATAGGGAGCTTCACTTGGCCCTTGTTGACTTCCTCATAGCACTTGCAGGCCTATCATAAGAAGCAGCATAGTCAGCATCGTGCACTAGAAATACCTCTCCAAGACGAATGAATGAAGTACATACCGTTGGAGCATTAGTGCCGGCACAGATGAGGATCTGGACAAATTCACCCTTTGCGGCGCAGGTAGCGATAGCACCGAGCAGCTTGTCGCACTCAGGGGCAGAGCCAGGTGGAGGGAGACCAGGAAGGCCGGGAAGGCCGGGAAGGCCGGAGCTGGCAGCAGCGCTTGGAGCGTCTGGGGCAGTTGGGCTGCCAGAGCCGGGAGCGGTCTTGGTGTTGCTGCTAGCAGGAGCAGCCATGGCAGCTCCGGCCATGAGGGCAGAGAGGATGATGGACTTGAACTGCATATTGATGGGACGTCCTTGACTTGATATAGGAATTGAACAGAGATGGAAATCTGGAAAGATGAAGGAAAGATGAAGGAAAGCTGGCTGATGCGTGGGTGAATGAGATCAAAAGACAGGAAAGAAAATGGCCAACTTCGAGGATGCAGCAGCCCTTTTATGCCATTCCCTTGAACTCTTTGCCCATGGGGCTCCCTCCATCTTCCGTCTTGCTGAGGGTATCTTCATCCTCCTGTATGGGGTGCAGACCTTGGCTACGGGGCATCCAACCCGGCTCCAGCTTCACCTCCACAGTTTGATATATCCCTCATATCTAACCTCTAGATACAAGCAAGAAGGGGGGCCGTATTCACATGTCGGACAGATGGAGGTCAAGAGTGATCTCCAGATTTTGATAGCTGACCCTGACCTGTGCTGAGCCTATCGCCGGTGCCATGTGCAGGGCACGTCACAGATTATATGAATTCGATTGGCCCAACCGGATACTTCCTCACCAGTCCTGACCCGCTAACCAGAGATGAGCTCTAGCGGATAACCAGTAGCTGTCTCCTACTTTGCCGCGGAACCAGTCTTCACAGCGGTTGTGCTGACAAAACGGCGCATATGATAACGGGCATAAAATTGAGTTTGCGCGGCAAAAAAGGGGCTCTGTGGGTGTAACGACGTCCCTTTCCATGGCTCAGGTTGATCCCCGCGGCCACGGGTGTTGTTTCGGGTTGCTAGTCAGTTAACTAGCTGGTTAGTTAACAAGTTAATCTAGCGTCCTCGCAGCATTGACCCGTCTGGGTATGCAAGGGCCGACGAACCTGGTCTCTCCACAACCGCAGCATCCTCTATCGGGGAGGGGAACCAGGGCGATGTTGCTATCTCAGCCAGTATCCTCGGAACGCATTCATTCATTTTATGGAAACGATTAACTACTCCGTACCAATGGTTCATTTGGAGTCGCCACAAACGTGGAACGGACATTTATTGTCTCCTGTCTTGATGGTCCATTTCTGACATCGGGTTCCCCTGAATGCTCACGGGTATTTTTGCGCTATGCAGCAGCATGCCCGGCAGAGAAGGATGGGAGTTTCATATCTAGCTCAAAGGACGCTGATCTGTCAAGTTTCATCATGATGACGCGCAAACATCGTATAGCTAACTAGCCAACTAGGTATCCGGTGTGCAAACCCCGACTCCACTCAAGAGACGAGCCCCATGCATCTCGGAGCACTTGGCCATCTTATTCATCGTTTCACTCGCATCGGGGGTATTCTCGATTCAGGAAACATGCATCTCATATCACTCCTTGCCATAGTCTTCTTGCGCATATCACCACCTATTAGCGATACTTCGATGCCTCTTAGGGCATCTGGACGATTTCAAAGTTTCGATGGTGTTAATACCTGGTTAACTAGTTACGGGTTCGTCAACCGGGTAGTTATCTAGCTACAAATTGAATGCAATGGTATATCATTCGCTATATCCCAAGCACCTTTCCCTATCGCTTGACACAAACTATTTGATCGACTTCAAGCATATCCCGAGCCCGGCATCTCCACTTCCTTTTGTGCGAAGGTGCTGATAACAAAAACTAGTTGGCTAATGCCAGGGATGCACTTTGACTGTGAGGGAGGCAGCAATTATTAAGGTTAGTCCCGAGATTGCTACAAGTGAATCCCTGTCGCTTCAATATCGTTGCATTATATGTCTAGCAGATATAGCACGGGATACTTTAAACATACCTCGGCCATCTTTTTATGGTTTTCAAAGCGACGGAGCTGTTTTCAGCACATTATCTATCTCGTCGACCTCCTTGTTTATGCCACCCCTATGCATACCTCATACCCCGGAAGCAGATTATCACAGCCCTCGGATCCCACTGCTGGATTCCACCGGAGAAAGTTGCTTAAAGTAATTCCTGTGAACTTCAGGATTATACTACATGTTTCTGACCTGTACAAACCGTTAGATGGAACTTTCAGCTACGTCAGAGATACGGGAAACTTTACTCGGAAACAAGCCAACGCTTACGGCAATTCGATGGGAATCCTGATTGCGTTGGATTGGTGGAAGTCGGGCTCGCTGGGGCCGACAGGGTCCGGGATCGTGGTGTCCCCGGAACCGCAACGCAATACCAGGACCCTTCCTATACCCGTATTCAGCGTGGTTAGGCCAGTCTTGGAGAGCTGAAATTACAGAATAAACGAAACGCCAAACCTGAATTTTCGAACAATCCTCATTCACTGCTGGGTTCCAGGAGATAAATTCTCCCCTGGAAAACGTTCCAAACATTGTAGCGATAGACTCGCATGTATCGCTCAGCGTCATCTGATACCAAGCTACACAGTTGCTCGCCGAACCGCTTTGTAATGGCGAAGGGGCGGTTGTTACCGTTGGAGGCCCTGGCAGGTTTCCTCCGGAAAATGCTCCTGCGCAATACCAGTAGCCAACCCGGAGGCCAGAGCAATCTTCACCCAGCGCTGGATTCCATTCCAGCAACTGTTGCTTCGTGATATATCCGATCTGAGAGAGGACCTTGGGGCATGTATCACCCTAGTCGTTATGTTCGCAGTGATGATTAAATGTCAGCTAGTTACCTTGTGAAATAGGGGTTTGCTTTGGGGAGTTCACTTACTGGCCTTGCTTGATAAAACTTTTGACAGCCAGGTATTAATCCTGATTGCGTTGGAGAGGCAGTGAACTCCGCTGTGTCTACGGAGGTGGGTGTTGGCGTGTATTGTGTGGGTTCCGGAAGCAATACCGTTGATCCGTCTGGGTAGAAGAGACTTAAGGAGGTTCTCGGTTGGATGCCAACACATACCCACCAGCCGACATAGAGACCCGAGCAGTCCTCTCCGAGTCCAGTATTCCACTGATGGCTTGAGTTCAAAATTCAACATTAGCAACCGTGCTACCGTAAGGAAAGGAACTGACTCACAGCTCTTCGAGTGTCATTGATGTCCCGTGGAGGATCTGGATAGTATTGCATGTATCGCCTATCTTGACATGATACCACTTGTTGCAATATGACGGCTGTCCAGGCTGGGTTCTTTTCGGCGGCCAAGCTGTTTCCACTGACGAGACAGTAAATTCGTCCGATGTGACCGGGTTTCTGATTGAATAAACTGATGTAGGAGAAGTGCTTGGGAATGTCATCGTTGAATTTATCAGATTTGTCTGGATAGGGGTGGCAATTACTGGGTTGTCATTCACTCCAACGCAGTATGAATAACCCAGCCAGAACTCTCGAGAGCAGTCCTTTGGAACCGATGGATTCCACTCTAGGAACTGGTTATGTGAGATTCCATAGATGCTTTCGACCTTGGGGCATGTATCTCCCTTTTCGACGATGTGCCATCTGTTACAATTCCGAGCAGTCCTAGGTTTCGTAGGACCAGCTGGCATCGTCTCTCCGGGTATACTAGGCTTCTGAGCAGAGGCGGTTTGGCTCACAGCCTGGCCTCCAACGGCTACGCATACCCATAAGAGGAGGATAAAATCGAGGCAAGTCATTCTAACAACCCAGCTATGGATAGGACTGGGCTTGATAACGAAGCGGATACAGGTAAGTGCACTTATTGCTTTCCCTCCCTCTGGGCTATCGTATGCCTGATATCCTGTAAAACGATCTCTATGTACAAACTCGACTTCCTATCGGGCGATCCAGATGCAGCAAACGACTAAATGGTGCGGTGAATAACAATTCCGCGAGCTGGGCCTTCGCGGTTCCACCCCGATGCAACTGTCGTCGCAACAGCTAACTCACTAGTTACTTGTCTCAACAGACGACATTATTGTTGGATGTTTTTTTTTTTTTTTTTTTTTTTTTTTTTTTTCATCGTTAGGTACTTTCACCAACTGACAAACACTCCTGTGGACGAGAGTTAGAAACGGTTGTCTCCCTAAGGCTGTGTCATTGTAACTACGCAACAGGGATAAAAGATAAAGAGGAAAATCATAACTACCTGTTTGTTGCCGTGGTAGTTTTAAGGGCTTATATGCTTCCCCTTGGAGCCAGAGTTTAATAACTAGTTACCCCTGAATAGCTAAGATCGAAAATTATATTGCACCAGGAATCCAAAGATGGGCCTGCACAAATCTAGGATCCTTATTTTGACCCTCTTATCCACTTCAGCTCTGTTTTCCTTTGCTTCGTCCAGCCCTGCTCCCCGTAGTGACAGCAAGCTTCTGACCGATAACAAGGAGTATACATGTACGGCTACGAGAAAGTGCAAGCTCGGGTGTTGTGGCCCTCTGTAAGTAATGACTGTTGATTCATCTCGCTGCCGTCATCCAAGGAAAACAGGGCTCGTTAGACTGATTTGGATGTCTAGAGATCGCAGCGGTAATGGCGTCTGTGGCTTAGGACCTAAGTTCTGTGGACCAGGATGCACATCTTCGTGTAATTCAAAAAGCGAATGTGATCCGGGATGGGGCAAGAAATGGTCAAATGCTGAAAAATGTCCCCTGAATGTGTGCTGCAGCAAGTTCGGCTTCTGTGGTAAGACTTCCTAGTAGTTATATCGATGGTGCAGATTCAGTCTAACGGGGTTTTCGTAGGAACTACATCGGAATTTTGTGGAGGTGCAACAGTTGTTTCTCCAAATTGCGGGAATGGTAAATCTGCCCATTCAAGAGTAATTGGCTACTATGAGGGATGGAATCTGCAGCGGCCTTGCGGAGGTAAGTTCGACTATGCTAGCCATATGCAGCGTTGTCTCTCTTACAGATGGACTGAAGTGTTCATAGTTATGAAGCCAGAGGATATCCCCTTAGGCTATTATACCCATATCAACTTTGCATTTGCATTAATTGATCCCCATTCTTTCCGGATTGCTTCAATGGACCCTCAGACAGGGTCACTCTACCAAAGAGTAACTGCACTGAAGGATCATCAGTCCGATCTACAGGTTTGGATTGCTATAGGAGGTTGGGCTATGAATGATCCGGGGCCTACACGGACTACATTCTCTGATCTGGCGGCATCAGAGTCCAGACAAGACGCATTTTTCGAGTCACTTATTACTTTTATGCTAAACAATGGATTCGATGGGGTTGATATTGACTGGGAATACCCTGTGGCGGATGATCGAGCGGGACAGCCAGAAGACTTCAAGAACTTTGTTACATTCCTACGAAGGCTCAGGCGGCGGTTAAACCAGACTGGCCGGAAGTTTGGTCTCTCAATAACTTTGGTCAGTTTCTTTCCATTAAGTACAGTACATTTAACAGCCTTTCTAACGTCATTCTTAGCCGGCATCATATTGGTATCTTCGTGGTTTCGATATTGTGAACCTTGAACCACATGTGGATTGGTTCAACGTCATGACATATGACATCCGTAGGCCACTCCCAAGGCTTCCCGAATGCATTCCTGCCCCTCACTAACTGATGTTGGACTTCTAGACGGGACGTGGGACGCTGGCGTCAAATCTATAGGCTCACATGCATACGCTCACACAAACCTTACAGAAATCAACATGGCCCTGGAACTACTCTGGCGTAATAACATTAACCCAGCTCGAGTGGTGATGGGGTTGGGATTTTACGGCCGAAGTTTCACAATGAAGGACCCGAATTGCTTGGACCCTGGGTGTGAATTCAAGTCAGGAGCTCATGGAGGTGAATGCACGGGAACGCCTGGGGTACTATCGGCTGGAGAAATCAAGAAGGTCATTTCACAAGGTGCCACTATCAAATTGAACACTGAAGCAGCTGCAAAACTAATCACTTGGGACAATGACCAGTGGGTTAGCTGGGATGACGAAGAAACACTGAAAATCAAAATGGACTATGCTAACAAACGCTGTCTCGGAGGCGTTATGGTCTGGGCTATTGATCTAGATGACGGGACTTTGATAGATGCTCTGGGAGCTGCCATGAACAAGACAAAAACGGAAGTTTCCAAAGGGCCACTATCATTCTTAGGCTCGGACTTGGGGACAGTATGGCCTGAGAAAGAGGAATTATGAGAGTCTATTAGGCTTCTAGTTTCTTACGTTTAGTTGTATAATTCCATAACTCAGTTACTCCGCTACTGCTAACCAGTGTAAAACAAAATAAAGGCCCTTACTCAAGCTCAGCATAAAAGAAAGTCGTTTTTAGTAGTCGAGAAAAGAAAGGCGCTTTTGCTCACTAACACTTTGTGTTTTTGGATGACTCTTCCTTAAATTTTGAGTAATCCGGGTGTGACGGGTCGTTTAGTAGCTTTGGTTGCGGTGTGTTAAATTTAACGTCGTAGAGAGTTATCAAAGCGTTTACGTCCTGGTCACTTGGGGCGAGGTTTGGCTTGATTTTATCACCATTGGCTTTTAATAAAACGCTCTTTCGTAAGTCATTTTCAGGACCAGTACCGTCGGGAGATGCAGCTCCAGAACCGCTAGGGTATATCATTATAGAATCCCAGTCAACATCATCGGCAGTCGGTACAGCCGGAACCCTTGGCGTGCGCATGATTGTTGAGCGAATAGGAAGATATTCTGAAGCGCTGAACCTCAGTTTTATAGCAGTGGCACGGTCTGTACAGGCCTTTTCGATCTCTGATGCAGACAGCCCCTTTGTCACTTTCTGATAGTCTTGCAAGTTTTCACAATTGAATTTGAATAACGACTCTGAATGTCCAGGGGTTCCCCAGAAAGCAGGTATTTGATGCTCGTGTAATAATCCAAAGACATGTCCGATCTCGTGGGCAATATTGGCCCCGATGTCTAGCATTCCAACGTCATTCCTTATGTTTAGAAGCATGGTAGGCCCCTTAATCCCGTTCTTTTCATCCTTCGGCGGTATTGCGGGAGTTGCGTATAGGGCCGGCTTTGTAGTGAATTTTACAACCAGGACATTCGCTCGTTCCTTTTTCATTGTTTTTTCGGAGACTTCAGTCATTTTAAAATCCCTGGGAAGTCCTGCAGCATACCATATCTCCATTGCCGCAACAATCCAAGGTCCAAGAGCTTGTTTTGACTTCTTATCTTCGAAGACGAAGCGAACAGTCTTATCCGGCCATAGATGAAAGGTACCTAAGTTTGGATTGATAGTTGCCCAGCGTTTAGCAAGAGGATGACTTGCATTATTAGCTTTGATATCCCGTTGGGAGTACTCCCATAAAGGGTGTCCGGCGTTCAATGTCGACGCGAAAATGTAGCAGAAAAATATCAATATAACCTTGATAGCCATGACCGATAGCTAGATAATTACTCAAAGCTATGAATGTCAAGGCAAATCGTCTTGTAGAGCTTTACGGATCATTGCATCTTATGAGATTGGCGTCGGATCTAGATCCGGCCGCAACTGCAGAGCAGCAAGACGTTTGTCAAGATTCGTCTTTATGTCCATCTGAATCGGGCATTGTGGGTATAGGAGCATTTTTTCGTTACTATGGGGCCGCGATTTTGGTTGCCAAATGCATACTAATAAAGCCTCGCTGTACTACCTCATAGACAAACAAAGGAGACTCATTGAAAGCCGTGGTATCTGGTATCCTCATCAGTTGTACCGTATATAAGTCCAACTGCAAACGCGAGTAGGCAGTTTAAACCAACAGACCATAGCTCTAGCCGTGGTACCTATAACAGCGTTTTATAGATAATGCAGGCTATAACCAATACACTTGATATTATAGCCATATCTATTTTTCCTTTGCTTTCCCTTCCTTGGCACAAATGATACCAAAGGTATTGGGGATAAATGCCAACAACATGATGGGTTTGAGTCGAGGCTCTGGTATTCTCGAGAAACACAAGGCCAACAGTATTGCTCACAACTCTCGCGACAGTCGTTTGGTTCCTCCAAGTGCTAAATACTTGAGGGTTAAGCCGTATACCTCGTAGTCTTTATATTCAATGTAGGAGGTAAACTACCTAGCCTGTTTTGCACTACCATCATCCGCAAGATGGACAAGGTTGCATTGGCTATCATAGCAATTACGAGCATAGTTAATGGCTTTGCGATAAAAAGCCACAGCTATGATCGAGCAGTTATCGAGCCGAAATCCCCCCTTTCAACTCGAAACATCAAGGATGCTGCGGATTTCGGATGGGTGAAAAGATGGGCGGCTATCGGTGACAGCTTCACCGCAGGCATTGGCGCAGGAAGGCCATACTCGCAAAGCAAGAGTGATCGGAGTTGTTCTCGATATGACCTCGCATACCCTGCAGTCCTCAACAGGCTCTTCGGGTCTGTAGTTCAGGACTTTCAATACATTGCATGTAGTGGCGATCGATCGGTTCAGATATACGAGCAAGCAAAAGCGCTGAAGGGGGACTTAAACTTGGTAGTCCTAACAGCTGGAGGAAATGACCTGTGTCTGGTAAATTTTTCAATGAAGAGGTCCGTGAAGGAGAATTTCGTCGAACTAACAAGTAGTAATAGTCAAAAATCATCACTACCTGCATATTTCTGCCGACCTATTCAGAGGAATCGTGCCAGGCAGTTCTCGACAAGGCACAAACCAACATTGACACGATCCTAAAGCCAAATCTGAAAAGCATCCTTAAGGCGTTGAATGATAAAATGAAAAAGGATGGAATCGTCGTTTTTAACAAATATGCCCAGTTTTTTAACACTGAAGATGAAGGGTGCACAAAGGACCAATCTTGGTCATTTCCACAAATACCATCGGCATTTTGGCTTCCTGGGTTGTTTCTTAAGCCTTTACCCCTGACCATCGAAAGACGGAAGAAATTCAATACTCTGGTGCAGCATATCAACAAGGCAACCGAAGAGGTTGTTGAAGAGATATCGAAAGACTCAGGAATTGGCTATTCCATCGCAACGTCAGACTGGGACCCGTGGCCAATAAGAGTTTCTGGACAATTCTGCCAGCCGGGTTCCATGGGGTATTATCCTGACCCAAAAACAAAGGAGCTTCAATTTTTCAAACCTGACACACATAAACGATCATTTCTCGAATATCTCATAACCAAGCGTGAGGAACCTGACGCAAATGAGATTGAGAGACGGCGAAAGTTAGAATTGGAAAGTATATATAACTCCTTGTTATACAAATCAGCCGATCCGCAAAACGAGGTATTGCATAAACTTGGGGCAAGGGCTCCTGACCCCCCAGGCTGCCCGGGCGACGGCAGCTTTGACTGGACGTTTGGATTTGGATTGCCCGATCGGTGGGGAAGATTCTTCCACCCAAATGAAAAAGGTCATGAGACGATTAGTGCGTTCACGCTTGAGACGATAGTATACCTGCGGTCAAAACAGCTCGGGTTGCTGCAGGACTTTTGCTCTGCCAAATCCGAGTTTAAGTGCTGGCAGAAGGAGGGTCGTAAAGCTTATGCGAACCCAGATAGAATGAATGAAAATTACAAAACATTCTGCAATGGCATAAAGGCACCCGACAATACCATCAACTGGAGAAAGTCTCAGACTTTTCATGAGGGCACTCCGGACGAGCATACATTTGAGCTAAGGTTGTCGAATGGCGCTCAGAAATACGTTAAAGAAGACTGTTTGTTTTCATTCAACCGGATTATCAACGGGTGTGATGGTAACGATGCCAACAACCCGATGAACTGGAAATTCGGAGGCAGATGGGTAAGGGGAGGATATACCTATGAGATCAATGTCAAGCGAGAAAACAGACCATGGCCACCGATCAAAAAACCGCACGGAAGCTGTGAGGGGTGGTATAAAGCCGTTTACTCCGACTATAAACTTCATGGTGCCGGCTGGTCTACATACGACTCTGGGCGGCAGACTATCCTGCCAAGCATAAAAGGTTGCCTTGGGCTCGGAGTTACTGCCTTCAAGTTCAAGTACTTTGACGAGCCGGACAAGGATGGAATGGAATGGGAGTTGAAGTTCCACACGCCTATATGGGTTCGAGCAAGATGCTTTGATAACAACAAGGTAGCGTTTTCTTCTGGAGGTTTCACTAATGGATGCGTGGGCAACGATTAGGTGCCTAGCCACTTGGAAATGGTCATCCCAGGTTTACATCCTGGTGTTATCATTCATTATTGTTGTTTTCAAGAGAATAGAATATGGTCTCGTAGTGTTCGCAGTTCCTTTCGTTCCAAAAATGGGTATTGACGGTATATCCTAGCTAGTCAAGTGCCTTAGAAAGAACCCGCCCATCAACTTCCCCCCTAGGCCGCATCTCTCAGCAACTTCGCTCCCGTTCGTTGTCTGTTGATGTCGTTGTCTACTTTGTTGTCTTCTTCAACTTTTCTTTTAACGTCAAAATAAAAATATCAGCTTACTAATAACATAGTCATCTTTATTACTAATATTTATCACATGACTGATTATTAAGCATCGAGACAACGACAGAGAAACGAAAGATAGAAAGATCGAAATCTCATGAACTTCGCATGACTTCATCCTGACCGGCGGCCTGTTCAACTCGCCATCAGCGCTGCGTCAGTGTCTTCGCTGACTGTTTCTTTCAACGATCTGAGTCTCCGAGTTGGTGTCTGCCTACTGCCCGGTTTGCCCGTCCTGCGAACGGCGTCTTCTCGCCAGGCCTCCGTCCCCTCATGTCCGGCATATCAGCCGAGCATCCAGTTCCTAGACTATCGGGCGCGTTTCTCTTCGCTCCATAGCGTCTGGGCCTCCTTAATACCCGGTGGGAGGTAGCTCGCTGCCTGCCGAACCCATGGCTACCGCAGTTTCCACCAAGCCCATGGCACATCCGGGCAAGATGAAGCGGCCCCCTCCCCCAGCGTTCGTACAGTCTGGCGCCAACGGCTCCCGGCCGGCGCAAACATCTTCCTCACCTATTTCCACTTCTATGAGCCGAGCAGGAGCTATAAAACCATTCAGCACTTTTTCATCCTCCGGTACTGCTGCGAATGGAACTGGTGGGCGGCCGGTGGCGAAGGTCAACGGAGACACATCTCAGAGACCGCAAGACCCTTCGTCACGGCTACAACGCCCATCAACCAGGCGCCATGCCATGGGTAATGGCAGCGCGGATGGTAGACAGGCTAAAAAACTTGTCGAGCCATATGGTGGGGACCCTTACATCTGTTTGCGCAGCTCTGTCATACAATTCTGTTTGTTATCACTGCTAACGTCAAGCTTATCGGCTGAGTGTAGTCAAAACTACTTCTTACATCTTGAAGAAATATGCAAAGTTCCCGCCTTCTTTGACCATTCACCTTCACCCAACTCATTTTCGATTCGATAAGCAGGATGGTAGCTTTCCTTATAACTCGGAAATGAAAGTGGTCATTGAACATCTTAAGGATGGCACAGTACCCCATGACATGATGGAGGAGCTCATCATGGGGAATGTGCGGTTTTATGAAGGCAAGTCCTAGATATATGGCGCATTAGCATATTTTGAACTAACATGTTAATATAGGGTGCTTAATCGTCCGAGTGATTGACCATAGGTCTCCTTCGGCTGACCCTGCTCCTGTCACAAAAGATTCATCCGGGCAGAAACTTATCCCATTTTCCATCCATAACTACAATGAACACATGACGCCCTCTTCCTATGTCCCGTACCCCAAACAGAGTCAGACCAGTTCCAATGCCACAACTACTCAACCTACCACAACTGGTCAGGCTGTGCAGCCGTCTGCATCTTCAGAATCAACCGACGCTTTGGACTCCAGCAAATTCAAAGGGAAGCAACCTCTTACCGAAGAATCTACGAACAGCAAAGCTACCGGACCTAAGGTTTTCACCACGGTCTTGCATCCTACTCCGCGTTCGCTACAAGCCGAACTCACTATATTATCTATGATTCCCGACCCCAGATCCCCCCAACGTCGCCAATCTCAAGGTCTCAATGGTTCTCGCACTTCGAACTCTACCTCTCTTGCTCAGCCATCCACTCCACTATCTGCTACTGCTCCTCCCTTGGAGCGCGGACACCCAGCAAAGCGCCAGAAGATGCTTGTTGAGCCGCACGAAATTCCAGAAGTTGAGGCAAAATTGATCCTTGCTACTGCTCCTCCATTATATCTTGAACCTGTTGACAGCTTAGAGGCTAGTCAGCGGCTGCTCAAACTTCTGGAATCGCCCTTGCATTGTCATAAACCACCTTCACCAAAGACTAGAAGACGTACTGTTGCTGAGCTTGCGGCTGATGAAGCTCTGGCTGCTGCCGAGGAGCGATTTATGCTTATCATGGATGAACGACTTGAACCGGCAATCTCAGCAGGCGCAAATGCTGCAAAATCGGCCGTGGTCGACGGGGATGGAGGTGCTGTTCCATTTGAACCCCGGTTCTCTAGATTCAAAACCCTCGAAAATATCCGCAGTCAGCACGAGGAAAGGGCCAGAAGAGAGCACGAGCGGAAGCTACAACAAGATCACGCAAAGAGGCAACAACAGGAAGCTGAACGGGAGAAGCGTCGACAGTTTGAACAGCGTCAAGCAGAAAGCCAATCGCAAGATGATGCCCGTCGGCAACTCTATGCCCAACAGGCTGCTCAATCACAAGCCCAAGCCCAGGCGCAAGCCCAAGCCCAGGCGCAAGCTCAGGCGCAAGCACAAGCCCAGGCTCAAGCTCAGGCTCAAGCCCAAGCCCAGGCGCAAGCTCAAGCTCAGGCACAGGCACAGGCACAAGCTCATGCCCATGCACAAGCTCAGGCGCAGGCTCAGGCTCAGGCACAAGCCCAGTCTCAACTCCTTGCATCTCATAATATGCGGCCAACTTCGCAAGGGAATTCAGGTATCCCAGTCACACTCCAACAGCAGCATATCATATCTGCTTCACAGGCTCCCCACTCTTCGCCAATCGTTCGAAACCTCACTCCCCATGCACCTTCGCCTCATGTTATGAATCAAGGCGTGCCAATGGCAATGACCAGCTCTGCACAAGGTGCAGGAAGTCCCATGGCAGTCTCCTCTGGCATGCAACATGGCCATCCGGCTCCCATGGGCCATCCTATGGCTACCACTCGTAGCCAACAGAGTCATAGCGCCCATGGCACGCCTCAGATGACGCATGGAACTCCTGTGATGCACGGAACTCCGATAATGCGGAATATTACCCCAACTCAGCGAATGGCTCACCCTAGCCCCGATGTTTCTACGATGGCCCAAACGCCCGCTATGACCCAGGCAATGGTCAACCCGCCTATGAATGGGACAATGATGACACCTCAAATGATACAGCAACGGCAAAATGCACTTGCAGCGCAACGTAATCTCAATAACCAACAGATGGCACAGCAACAGATGTCTCAATTCCAGGCGAACACTCTTGCACAGCAAGGAATGCATCAGCAAATGATGCCAGGGCAGCAGCAGCAACAGCAGCAACCAGGACATCCGGGCGCCCAAATGCAAAATTCGTACCAATCTAGCCTTATCCAAGCGCAGCTAGCTCAGATGCAAGCTGCCCAACAAGGTCAGCAACGACCATTACCCCAAATGACACAGCAGCAGATTATGGCTGCTGCTGCTGCCGCCGCCAACGGACAGAACCGTCAAAAGATGGCTGTCAGCCTCCAGTACAAGCAGCTGTACGAATATCATCTTGCTCGTCTGCAGTCCGAGATGGCCCAGAGGGTCATGCCTCAGTACGGCCCGCCTTCAAATTACCCACCCAATATCAAGATGCAGTACGTAAATGGACTGGGAAAAATTGCTCAAAACCATGTCAATGATATCATGCGAAGGGATGCCGAGTCTGGTAAAAACCGTGCCGCCACTCAGATGGCTATAGCCAGGGCCCATGCTTTCCAACAGCAACAGCAGCAACAGCAGCAACAACAGCAGCAGCAACAGCAGCAGCGGAACAATATGTCATGAATAGTAATAACATGTACTCTACGTTGTTTATACGGTTTCTCTTGTTTCTTCTTTTTTTTCAGCCAAGGTTGGCGTTATCTTGCAGCTTCCTGGTGTTGTCGCCTGGATATCAATCGGGGCTTCTCTTTTACTCTTTATTTGAACCCTTCCCCTGTGACGTTTACTTTATGATATCCCCTTCCCTCTGTCTTCTTGATTTTTTTCCCCTTCCATCATTGCTACGGGCCTGGACTGTTGAAAGAAACGATATTTTCAAAACACGACTCATCCTGCCAACTCCCTTTCTGCATCTTCCTGGTGTAACTTGCTTTCATTCCAAGTAATTCCTCCTGATGTTCCAATTCGATCGTCTTCTTCAAGCTCTTTTCTTTTCTTCTTTTCTTCTCTTTTTTCCTTTTTTCTTTTTTCTTGTTTTGATAATTTTCAGCCCATCCGGCACTGGTTCAGTCATTGATGATTCTGCATGCTACGGTTCTTTAGGGTTCCTTACTGGGAAGGGATAATAGGTGGTTTTCGTCTTACATTCATGTCAATTGGGATGGGGATGCTTTACATAGGTACATTTTTAATCGTGCTCATACTTCAACTGGTAGCAAATTTATCTCATTTTAAATGACTCCTAGCATACCATAACGTGTAAAGTAATGCGAGAACCAATTGCCATGAATTATTCAGGAAGTAGTTACGCGACAATAGTTATTGATAAGGATCCATACAATAATGGTATCTAATCAAGCAGTCGAGTGATGTTTACACCATCCCATAGCGGGCAGAGCCAATTTTCCAGGCGGTCTGACTTCACGATGGCGTCGTTATATGCCCGTAGGGAAATAATATCTTCCGACTTCCAGTATTCTCTGCGATGTTCACCCCAGTTATGCTGACGCCAGGGGTTATCTTCGCTATCGTCGGCCACAAAGCCACATCTGAGGGTATTGTCGCCGATTATCAGTCCACCAGGGCGAAGCAGACGGTTCTGTGAGCCAGGTTGAGAGCACTTAAGAATAGTCTCCAGATACTTTGGGTATCCTCGTTTCTGAGCATCAATGAAGATCATATCGTATGGCTCAGTGGGAACAAGAGCTGGGAGACTATATTCTTAATTAGACCGCTGCTGTAAACTTTGAAAGGCAATGGCATGGACTTACGTCTCGAGCGCGTCTCCCACGACAAGTTCTACATTTTTGACGCCATACTTCTCAAAGGCCTCCTCGGCCAATTTAGCGAAGTTAGAGTCGAACTCCAGTCCCGTTATCTTGCCCTCAGGACCAACGGCGGTGCTCCATACAAGACTGGAGAGTCCCACATAGACACCGACTTCAAGAACTTCATATTGGGATAAACCGTCAACATCTCAGTAACTTCACAATGTCCGGCAATGGGAGCAGCTCACTTCTCTTTGCCCCTACAGTTTTTGCAAGAAAGCACATGGCCTGCGCCTGGGAGATGGAAATCATGTAGTTTGCCGTATCCGGCAATGTCTCCCGGACATGTTCATGATATTCGATGATATGCTTTGGAATGCCAGTCGAGTGTTCCTTAGAATAAGTACCAACACGCTCTCCAACCAGTTGGTTTGGATAGAGGATTGGGGCGTCTTCTTTCATGGCTGCTGTCCGAATTGGCCCTCTGTACTCCGTATACGAACTTGAGAGGCTGTTAGAGTATGGATCTCCCCCGGTGACGTGTTGCCCGTGGGTATTTATTATTTATTGAAACTCGCCACTCCGGCCCTCCCTCTTAGTTCAGTACCTAGTTAAGTATTAATCCGTTTACCCTTTTGTGGGGCTGGAGAATTCCACCGAGAGGTTGTGGAGGCTGGCTGCATGACTTGCTGGTGATGTTATTATTATAGCTCGCCGGCCATTTAATAATATTAATAGTTGCCATTAACTGCGTCTTCGCGGATAAGGATCGTGGCCTCCTGTCAAGGCTCCCGTGCCCGGCCAATTAACTAAGCACCGTGGAGTAGTTATGAAGGCCGCGAAGTCCTATGTAAAGACCGTCTCCGAGTGATGATACGTAGTACCATGCAGTCAATCAGTTCCATCAAGGTAGAGTTATCACGGGCCGGGTCTTCCCTGTAACTTAACTCTCGTTGACGCTCCTTTTGGGCTCCTTCTGGACCAGCCGCACGGAATGGTGAATCATAATCATCGCTGTCTCCATGCGTAATTCGTTATTTATACGAGATGTCCCCTGGATGGCCAACAGCCGACTTGATAGACCCCTCGGTAAGTATCTCCGAAAACAGAACCGGACGATGGGCCCAGCTCAGGGTCGACTGATCCCATCTGGACTCCGACTTCGAGCCGCTGGTTAGTTAGTTAACCAACTAGTTAGTTAACTAGTTAGTTAGGCTCATGGCATCGCCGGCGCCAACAAACGAACCTACGCTGGCAGTTAGTCAGTTGGTTGTTGGCTCTGGGGGAGGGGCGCAGCGACTCAGCGTAGACACGAGATAGGCATATTTATAGCCCTCTCGACCTCCAGGCAAAGAGAAAGGAAGGAGAGAGAGAAAGAGAGAAAGCGAGAAAGAGATCCCTCGTTCTAGCTAACCTCAACACAAACATTACAGCACCAGCTGGGCCAATATCAATAGTATCCGTATCCCAGCCACAGCGATCCGACTGCCGATAGATAACTAGCGATTATTCCCACAACCAACCATGAAGACTGCCAGGCTCGAGCTGGTCCGGATCACCAGCGAGCACCTCGAGGGCTTCCATGCGATCTGGTCGAACGCTTATACCACCCGCTGGAGCAGCCGGGGACAGTGCAAGACGCTCGAGGACAGCCGTGAGTGGATGTCCGGCCTGCTGCTGGAGAACAACCCGCTGGGCGAGAATTACGCCGTCCTCATCCGCTCCGATTTGCCTGCCTCCGAGCTCGAGGAGATCCAACGAGATGCGCCGGCCGATTCTCCCCTGCGGCCCGGCGGCATGATCGGATCCATGGGCACCTTTCAATCAGACCCTGTGCCTGAGGTCGGGTACACCTTTCACCAGTCCGCCTGGGGGCGCGGCTTTGCGACCGAAGCCGTCATCGCATTTATGCAGCTCTTCTGGGCCAACAAGCCGCAGTTCGACACGTTAGAAGCCTACTGCGATCCGGAGAATATGGGTTCGGTCAAAGTGTTGCTCAAGTCGGGCTTCACGGAGGTCGAGAGACAGCTGGGCGTGTACGAGATACCGTCGATGACGCCGTCAAAGCGCGACCTAATACGATTCCGAGCGACGAGAGCGAAGCTGAACTGAGCCACAATACGCTGGACTCCATAAACTGGTCGTTGTCTTGGTCCTTGGCTGGTGGTTGTGATTATAGTCGAGAGGGTGGTTGATTATGCGTGATGCCGTGATGCTGCGAATTCATGTTCTTCATGTTGATACACTCATACACTTCATATATTATTATATAGATACAGACTGGCATCAATAGCCAGCATTCTTCAGTCTCGCATTCCGTCGTTCTTCCTCCCTCTTTGCGTCTACACGGCCCAGGAAGTCCATCCGGTCCATATAGCCCTCCTTCGCCTTGCTGTGTACATCTAGGTCGTCTTTGATGCCCTCCCGGTCAACGTACGCGGCCCAGTCGAGTTTCGACTTCATCACAGTGTTCAGTTTGGGGCCCTTGGCTGTGTTTCCTTCTTCCCCAGGTGTCTCGACGGCAGCCTGTTTCTCCCAGCTCTTCTTGATAGCGTCCGGCGGGTTAGGGTCGAAGCGGGAGAACCGTCGGAGCGGTCGTCGTAGCGGCTTTTTCACCTCCCCATCCCCATCCGCCTTTGAGTCTGTATCTGTAGCTGTATCTGCTTCTCCTTCTGCTCCTTTAGCCTTCTTCTTAGCTGCATTCAATGTAGAGAAGTAGAGCTTCGCTTCAGCAGAGTCCTTCGGAACGACTTTCTCCTCAGTTATCATTTCCCCAGCGAACTTGTACGTCCGCCGTATGGTTATCATTTCTTCCAGCGGGAGATTCGAGGACGTAGCTTGTGTTTCCCCCGTGATGCTATCTGCGTTATTGCTTTTCGTCTCATTCGCCGCACTCTGTGTCTGCGGCCGGTTCATCTGCTGCCATATTGAGTCAACGTCAATTGTAGCGCCATCGGTTTTTGCCAGTGCCTTTTTCTCTTCTTGCCTATAAACAGGAAAGTTGTTTCAATTAGCTGCTGATTCTTATAGATAGAAAACACAGGACACATACACCCTCATGCGCATCCTTCGAGTGCGAACAAATCCTCCCTCGCCACCCTCATCATCGTCGTCTGTGTCAAAGTCATCACTTTCGCTGCCTGCTGCACCGTTTGCAGCTCCACTGCCAGTTTTCTGGGCCCGTCTCTTTTCCTTTCTCTCCTTTGCACGTCGTATCATAGCTTCGTCTCCGGACTCCAGCTCAGGTTCCGCGAACTCCTCGTCACTGTCCGCATCCGCCCCATTACCTTCACCAGATAGTCGCCTCTTCTTCCTTGGCCTCTCGCTGTCCACATCTCCTCCTTCTCCTTCAGCTTCTGATGCGCTCTCCGCCGCATCTTGAGCTGCTGCTTGCTCGTCGAAGTCTGAGTCTTCCTCCGAGTTGTAAGCCTGGGGATCTTCCTGGGGTATAGCATCAGCCCCAACAGCTGCATCCCCTCCATCCGCACCGCCATCTGCGCTTATCCTACTCCCGCGCGCCATCTTTGCTCGTTTGTTCGTCTTTCTTGCTTCCTTTCGACTTCTTTTCCCTGTCGGTCGCTTTGATAAAGATAAGAGATTAGTCATGGCTTAGTAAGTTAACGTATCATAGTTTATCCTTTCCGTCAAGTTATGTAATATATTAGTCATCCTTGTTACCTAATACACTGTCAGGATTAGTCATCCATCCATTGTTCGAACTCTGCAGTCTTCGGCCCATGTTCCAAGATACAATAATAAACAAATATCAGACAAGTTGCGGTAGAAAAGTCCATTGAGTGAAAGAAGAAGACATAAGAAGATGACGTGATATCGAAGACTGTTTAGGTCGTGGTGATACGCTGCCTACACTGCCTCGTGATGTTTCTCTACTTGTGATTCAGCAGACGCAGCGAATCTTCTCTTCTTGTTCATCTCAACCTCTAACCACCATCCGCAGCCCGCTGAAAGACATGATAGGAATTGGACCGCGATCAAGACACACAGGATGGCAAGAGACGCGCGAGTCTCCCTGCAAAGACGGCCGAAGTTGACTACCGGAGATATTGTGGCCCCGTCGGAGTCAACGCCCTCGCCGAAGCTCCAGGTGCATGTCCACGAATTGAGCGTCTGGCCTAGTTGTGCCCCTCCGTCAGTGTAGTGGGGGTTATACGCTATCACTGACGTTGCAACAGCTGCTACCGAAGCGACAAAGCCGGAAAATGCAATAATGGTGATAAAAGCATTTAGCAAAAGCACTCGGGATCGTGGCTGTCTTCCATCAGTCTATACACCCGTGGAGAGGCGCACAAATTGAAGAGCAACTTACAGAAGGCATAACAGCAACAACGGTATAGGCTAGGTTGAAGACAAGCAGGATAGTCCCGCAGACAATGGTGGCGGTGCTTGGACCTAGGTCCAACTCCTTTGGCCAAAGAGAAAGCCAAAACTTGCTGTATTTGACTGTGCCTTTGTAGTAGTTGAGTGCATGGCCTTCACTACCAACAGCTGCTGCTGCAAGGACAAGCGAGAGTGAGGTCAAGGCGATGCGAGCCCAGTGGATCATCCGGCTTCTTGCAAGGTATGTAGACTCATCACGGTCCGACGCTGCGGAGGGAGCATGGGAGCCTGCAATGGAAGCTGTAGGCGACATTTCTGGAATTCGGACGTAGTTTTTGAGCTGGAATATTTAACGAATATATTATAAACAGTTATTCAAAGCGGCGAACCAGCACCGGGACCGAAGAATGAAAGATATAAAGAGCGAAGGAAAGAAGAAGAACGTATGCAAAAGAAAATTGGCCTGCAATGATGGGAGAGAGAGAAGAGACAAACCGAAGAGAAGAGGAGAATGTCTGCACTTTATCGTTTTTTTTTTTTATGCGCTGACCGGCTTTGACTCTATCTATTCTACTAAAGGCTCCTCGCACGAACGCAGGATCCAAAAATAGCCCGTGCATTGTTGCTCAAGAACTCTGTATGCTTGCATGGAATAATGATATTCATGCAGCCAGACCACTTTACGACCAGGGTCCGTCCCACCGCGATGCCGCGATACGCAATTCATTCGCTGGGGGGGATTCATGCATAGGAAGCATGACGACCATGGGCCAATCATGTCTTGTATGGGCGGTCGTCCAATGCAGGTCGAAATCTTGTCTAAGCGCCGGGGACCTGCAGACCTTTTCTGCAGAGATGACTGGCTGATGAGCTTGACGCCGGTGGTTGCAGGGATCGTTAAAGAGGAAAAATAGTGAAGATAACAAGTATTTAGATTTTTCTTTACCTATGCGCCTGCTGAAACGCTGTGTTCTACTGGGAGATTGGTAAACGCATACTCCGTACACAATAAGTAACTAAGGCGAGGGCTTTCATCGGACATAAGTATAGCCGGCAGATGTGAACATATCCAGAACAGAGTATTAAATAGCAGTTGCACAGGTGCTTATTAGTTGCACCTCAAACGGCCAAAAATGAGGCGCTGCTCAATGACGAGTATCTCAAGAATTTCTAGCCTGGAGACTACACTCTTATTTAAGGCCTTGCTCTGTCTGACCAAGAGTTCTTTGTGAGTGACGAACCTGCCTCGCTCCCTGAGCAGAACGGCCAGCTGTTGGGTCTCTTGGGGCGAGAGGTAATCTTCTGTCTTGTTCAAGTACATGAGGATAGCAATTCCACAGTGTTTTTCGATGAGATTTGATGCCTGAAGTGTCCTGATAAATGGCTGTCTCTTTCCCCAGTCTGAAGGCTTCCTAGATGCATTATCAGGATCGGGGTCTATCAGCCAGCTAGTCGAGCCGTTAAAAACAACTTACTTGATTACAGGGGTAGGCCAGAAGAAGGAAGTAATGTACTTTGTGATTATCTTCGTTAGGGCCAAACACGAACGTGATGGTTCTGTTTCAGCTCCTGCCGCCATGGCTGTGTAGCTAGTTTTTCTCTTCCCTCACTCGAAGGCAGCTGTAAAAGCATCAGTGCAGGTGGGTAGCAAGGAACTGACAAGCACAACTGCGCCAGGGAGATGAGAAGGCCATTTATATTCTCTGGGATATGCGGGCAGACTTTATCAGGCTTATGACGGTATTGACAGTTAGCTCGACAATTTTGGAAAATGTTAAAGTTAAAAGATCATAGTTTTTACCGTGGTTCCTCAACCCATATACCAATGATCACTTTGAGAAAGTCGTTGCAACACCCTCGAGTGCCTGCACCTCTTCAGGGTTTATTCTCTTCCCTCGAATAACGCCGTGGCCATGTTCGGATTCACCGGTTCCGCTCGTTCGTTCCAGATGCAGCTTAGCCCTGCTATTAATATACTCTCTTCTCTCCCCCTTCTTTTGATCCAGATCCATCTCACCGACGGATTTAGGAAGCGTCTGTAATTTCGTGCGTAGTTGCGTCAACACGGCGCGAAGAGCAGGTAGTTGTGAAAGAATGAAGGTCGTATTGGTTGTAAGGGGAGTATGGGACGGGCCAGCACCTCCATCTCCCATCCGTAATTTCTTCGCACGAGGGTCAGAGAGCAGAAAAGAGAGGTTGGGAAGCTGCATATCTGCGCTACCATTTGCACCTGCAGAAACAGTAGCCCCGTCGTGGTTCTGCTTCACAGTTGCAACCATAGACCTCAGTTGAGATAAAACCGCATCATTCCTCGCACATTCATGTGTCAACATACGATTAAGCTTTTTTGTCTCTCGGAGCCTTTGCCTCTGTAACGTCAATGACTCCTCAGTTGGAGCGCCCTCCCGAGCTGGCTCAAGTGACAACCCCTACGTATAAAACATTCAGTCGTGAGTCGGCTAGACAGGTAAAAGTGGGAAAGATCTAACCTCATGATGGCTCAACCGTATCCATCCAGTCAAGTCTTCAGGGACCGTTAAAACATTTCTCAACACGTAAATTTCAAATTTATCAAAAGCTTTGTCGACAGTCGCCTCCAGCAGAGTCTCGAGCTGGTGCAGGCCGTTCTCTATTTCCAGTCTAGCCTCAGGGTACTGTATGTTGCCATCGTCATCCGTGTCCGGGATAGTGCCGGGCCCGTGTCTGAAACCTAGTTTCTCCGGAGGCGTTGATTGAAGCCCATCTTCAAGGCTCGATATCGCCTGGTAGATGAGGTTGTTTACCGAGTTGATGACGTCGTCGATAAGAGACTATTATTGTGCAATGAGTTAGCGTGATGGAATGGCATATCGGTCAAATTCACGCGTACCAGCGGCGTATAGCTGAAGTGCTCGGTGAGCAGGGCCGTCGATGCGTCGTTCATCGTAGCGGAATGTGCGAGTGCATTCCGGCTTGTAGCTTGTCACTTCTGCTTGATGTTGCTGTCGCAGAGATCTGTTGGTCAGCGAGCAGAAAAGTGGGGCATCGCGGTTGCGCGGCTGTTGGCGCGGCTCTGGGCTCCGCCAGTTGATGACTTGGCTACAAAGTGCTATTGTTGAATATTTAGCTAGCTATCAACTAGACGGCCGAGTTGCCTACCCTTGAACCCGCTACTATCGTTTCGTCCACTAAATCCAATATCCTGCAGATTGGGGTTCTTGGGCATGTACTTCCATATATCATCGTTCTGCACCTTTTGAGAGAAAGAAATAGTTCAGGGTATTGACCACCGGCCAAACTAAAAGGCCTGAATACCCGTGGAACCTTGGGCCGTATGCTGTGTGCGAGCCGTACGGAGTGGATGACATAGTTAACCCAAAATATCTTCCCACTATCCAGATTTAGTTTATGACACAATGAACGCCACTTGGTTACGACATAATTATTTAAACGGTCTACGTCCACAAATAAATAAAAAAAAAAAAATAGCAATATAGCTAGCTGAACGGAACGAGACGAGCCACCAACGGGACCAAAATAATCAGCACATCAACACCACCAGATTATTGAGAATCGACGGAGGACGGCGAGACCACGAACCGTGCCCAAGAACCAAGCCGTGAGACGAAGCGAAAGCGGAGATGCCAACACCTCGTTTTACGGGGATTTAGCGAGATGGATACTGATTATCCTAGACATCCCCTTGATTTGTCCTAAGGAAGGCAGGCCGTAGTTAGTGAGACTGCGATACTTAACATTATACCCAGATTACCAAATTATAACAGCCAATCCTTGAGTGCACATCCTCCCGAGAGAAGCATTTTATATTATAAGCAGGTACCCTCACAACCCAAGACACGCTGCCAGAAGCAAAGAGTGATCTGTCTACCCTATAACAACCACTTCGCGGTGCCCTGGACTGGCTAATGCTATGTGATTCATGGAATCTCTCGACCAACATTAGGCAGAACAAATAACGCTAAATATTAGCAGCATTAAAAGACCCAGTAGTAAAATGTTATGTTGTTATGGCACTGCTATGATTGTGATTTGTCTGCGTGTGCTCACATGCTTTTTTTGATTCATATTCTGCTCAGCCTATTACCCGATCCATCACCTTGCCCATTACCTATATGATACCCACGCATTTTCTACCTTCTCCAACCACATACTTCGCAGATTTTATCCCCTGTGATGACTTGGATTCTGAGGGCCACATCGAGCAAATTCCCAGAAATGGTTGTCTGCCTAACGGCCGGCATCAAAGTTACCAACTAGACTCATCATTGCCCAAGGCTCAGAGGTGGAGTACATTTATCACTTGCCTTTTTGTTCTGCCAGCATTCCCAATGATGATATGGACTCTGAGGGGATAGTTTGTTGTTCCTAGAAATAAGGGCTGTCAGCCAAATGTTCGGCATAAAAGTCACGGCGCGGGACTCATCATTGCCAGAGTCTCAGATGTGGAGTGCATTTATCACTTGCCTTTCTGTTCTGCGAACAATCCCAATAATGATATAGATTCTGAGGGATATCTTGTTATTCCTGGAAGCAAGTTTTGTCAGCCAAACGGCCGGCATCATAATTACCACAGGGGACTCATCATTGCCCGCAGTTCTGAGCTGGATACATTAATCACTTGCCTTCTGTTCTGCTAGCAATCCCAATGATGATACGGACTCTGAGGGATGCCTATACCCATTATTCCTAGAAGCAAGGTTTGTCGGCCAAATGGCCGGCATCAAAGTAGTCATATGAAACTCATCATTGCCCGAGGTTCAGAGGTATAGAACACTTATCACTTGCCTTTCTGTTCTGCTAGCAATCCCAATGATGATAAATATTCTGAGGGATACCTATACCTATTATTCCTGGAAGCAAGGTCTGTCAGCCAAATGGCCGGCATCAAAAAGTCGTATAAAACTCATCATTGCCCGAGGCTCAGAGGTATAGGACTCTTATCACTTGCCTTTCTGTTCCGTTAGCAATCCCAATGATGATAAATATTCTGAGGGATGCCTATACCTATTATTCCGAGAAGCAAGAATGGCCGGCATCAAAGTAGTCATGCTAGACTCATCATTGCCCAAGTCACAGAGGTACAAAACACTTATCACTTGCCTTTCTGTTCTGCTAGCAGTCCCAGTGATGATATATATTCTGAGGGATGCCTATACCTATTATTCCTGGAAGCAAGGTTTGTCAGCCAAACGGCCGGCATCAAAGTACACATACTACTCATCATTGCCCGAGGCTCAGAGGTATAGGACACTTATCACTTGCCTTTCTGTTCTGCTAGCAATCCCAATGATGATATATATTCTGAGGGATGCCTGTTATTCCAAGAAGCAAGGTTTGTCAGCCAAATGGCCGGCATCAAAGTACACACACCACTCATCATTGCTTGAGGCTCAGAGGTTGTGAACACTTATCACTTGCCTTTCTGTTCTGCTAGCAATCCCAGTGATGATATATATTCTGAGGGATGCCTATTATTCCTCAGGTTTGTTAGCCAAACTACCACAGAAAACTCATCATTACCCGAGGCTCAGAGGTGAAGAACACTTATCACTTACCATTCTATTATGCTGGTATGTGATATCCCCAACACTCACTGTGATGGTTTGGATCCTGAGGGGTATATTAGGGAAGAAAGGGAAACATAGAGAGTCCGGGGTATGTGATGCAAAATTCCGAGTGGAAAGACTTAAGAGTCAATATTGAGCGAGGACCTGCTAATAGAAGCTATCGCTAACCGTATAGATTATTTTATTTTATTTATTTATTTATTTTTTTTTTTTTTTTTTTTGGCTATAAGCCGTGTTATGTGACTTGATTGAGACAACGGAGCAAGATTGAAAATATTTGGAAAAGAAGTGGACTCTATAAACAGGAAGAAATGATATGCTTGTTTACAAACTTCCCACAATGCTTCTGCCATTGAAATATACAACGTTCTCCAGGGAAGGAGCGTCCGGTGAGATATTAATATATGCAGGTGCATTGGTCCTGGGTCGTGCCTGAAGATGCAGTCGGTGTCGCCTTCTGCTTTGGCAAGAGAGCTCCTGGTGACCTTCTTGGGAAGGTAGCTCTATTCAACTTACTTATAGATTGCTACGCACACTTAATGAACGAAGATCTATTCTGAAATGATATATTGGTAAGACCTGCATTCTTGAATGTATAGAACTGGGTCGGTCGTGTAATCATGATATTCCGCCAGGTACGATCCCTCGTTCGTGGCTTAAAAATATAACAAATTGGCTACTTAGGCAATTATAGGAGTGTACCAATTAACTAATAGTTTACACATCGACATACGTGACCCAATATGAGAATCAAGTTCTAGCTAATCGGTTCCATTACTGAACATCAGTTTGATGGAGCCGAAAACTAGTTAACCAATCAGCAAGCTGCCCTGGAACCTTAAAGAAGTCAAGCTTCGCGTGTAAACTCTCAGCCCCACTATTTTCCGACAAAGGCCCCACCCAGTTGCCTCCCGCTTGGTTAAGTATCAGCATTTTTGACGTCTTAAAGAATCAAATCTGCCTACTTTACGGAGTACATCCTCATCAGCTGGCAAGCTCCGTTAGGAGTTCAAACAGCTAGCTGTGCGCCTTAAGTATCCATTAAAAAAAAAAAAAAAAAAAAAAAAACGGGACATCTGATGGAGATTAAGATGGAGTAAGCGTGTGATTATCCAAAGAGAGACTGCTAACTTTCTTGAATCTTGAACTGTGGTTTAAGCGTCCTCTGCGGTTTCATCTATTGCAACTGTAACTTTTGCTCTGGCACCTTAGTTGGTCTCTTCAAATGATTTGCATTCTGGTCCTGGGAGGGTAACTAGTTCATTAACTGATAAGAACTTAATTAGGTAGAGTATTTCTCTAACTCTTCCGTACTTGCGCTCCCTATATGAAACGAGGTATTGGGTACCGAATTTGCAAGCCTCCTCAAATGCAGTGACCTTGTTGTCATGACCCGCACCGATGATACAAAAAAAAAACAAGGTCTCATCGTTCTCCATCTCCGGATGACAGAACGATCCTTCAGCCTTTTGGCAAGCTGATTTCGTGTCTTCTTCACTCGGCTTAACGCTGCCTGTGCTGTAAACGGAGCAATCATACTTCTGCTTATCTTGTTGCATTAGCCCCCCACGAGCTAGGACGCCGCCAGTAAAGATACCAAGTTCTAGCAGATAAACGATCGCGGCGAGTTTTTTTTTTTTTTTTTTTTTTTTTTTTTTTTTTTTTTTTTTTTTTTTTTTTTTATTGCTAGGGGTAAATATTGTTAGGAAGCGGGTAATGGTTGGTACATCGATACCTGTAATATACACTAGAAACGTACCTTGCTGGGGGACTTTTGATCTCGAAGTTCAACGAACTATACCACATGACGTGCAGATTGGTATAGGTGGAAGATGGCAGCGGTTGTGAGAACTATGTACGGAGTGACAAAGCCTGCCGCACACTACATAAGATACCAGCCATACTGTGCCTAAAACCGAGGTAAGAATGCCCATATTTGGGCTGGCCCAAGATAGGAGTAATCGGCGTGCCTGGCAAAAGACCGCCTATCAACAGTCAGGATGGCCCTCGCCTCCTTCATCATCAGGTGTAAAAGAGAAGTATAGCGGGAGCCTGCCGCAATATTATTCTCATCAGAAGTCAAGCATGAGTTGTGGGTATGCTCTCTCCAGATCCTCTGTCTATGGATGGCCGTCAGCAACAATCAAACAAAGACCCCACCACAACCAGCAGAATGGGACTGGAAAAAGGGTGTTATTATACCTCTAGATAATTGCTATGCTCAATATCTGCTCTTGTAGCCGGCGTAGCCATGCTAGCAGCATTATTCATGCGTTTTTCTTCAATTGCTCTGCTTACGGCTTCGGTGGCAAAGCTTTCAATATATTTCGTAAATAGCTTCACTCCGTCTTTCGTTATCCGAGTTTTCTTCTTCTTGAAGGCGACCTCGTGCAGAATGGTGGTGATAAGCTTATAATCAATTCGTGGATCAGAAGATTTATTATCTGCTGGATGTTGTTTTGGCCCGTCCACAGCAGTTATCTCTGCAAGTATGTAGTCAGGCTCCTCGGAAGAGGACATGTCGTCCATTTCCGACATTTCCTCATCTTCCAGGGCGATCGATGAGCTAGCCCGTGGCGTATCATTCGTCTGCTTCTGTCTTTTTGAGGCTGTCGTTGAGATAGGAGTTGTTTGATCCTTTTCCCCGGCTGTTGAGCGTCTCTTCAGGGGCGGCTTTTGGCCTGTTTGCTTCTTGGTCGTCTTCGTCGCGTCTGGAGTCTGCAGGCTGTACTTTTGCGGGCGGCTGAATTTCTTGCCCTTGGTCTCAACTGGGGCCATTATACGTAATCGCAAATTCGCAAATTCGCAGGCAATACTCCGTATCACAAACGCTGTCTTCTCCTTCTAGCATGGATTCCTGCTTGTACTTCTCACTGTTTTCGATGGTTTCCTCCCGAAGTTCCCAGTCATGGCCGAAACGCGTAGTCACGTGATTAATTACTAAGCGAAACGGAGTTAAGTTGTTACGACCGAGGTATGTCAGGTGTTCCTAATCGGGATATAGTTATGACTCCAACTTGGACAGCTTGAATCAGCTACGCATCTTCGACAACTTCACAACGAAGAACAAAGGAACACAATAACAACCGAAGCAACTTCTTTACCGTGGTTTTTTGATGTGATTTCATTTTGTCAACATATGGAGAATATAACCGAGATAGAAGGAGATTTATTCCTGGCTCCCGAAGGGGCTGCTCTTATCCGTACCTCTTTCTATGCCATTCACAGTTATATACCCATACACTAACCCACTGCTTTATAGACGCATGCAATTGTCAAGGATCCTGGGGGAAAGGTATTGCACTTGAGTTTAAGAATAGAGTATGATCCCGGTGCCCATATACCCCTTATCCAGCTCAGGGCATGGTATTGAAGACGGTATTGCTGGTGGTTCTAATTCTCTTTTTTTTCTCCCGCACTCTTAGTACCCAGCGGCATACCAGATTTATCGCTCATATTGCTTGGACCTTCTTGCCAATCCTCAGACGGGACTCCATCCAACTAATGATACCAAGACTGGAAATGACACCAATAACGCTATACAGCGAGTAACTAAACTTCCTGAAGGGACAGCTTTAGTTATACCACCACAGCCAGGCGATTATGATCCACAGGGTTTCCACATAAGCGCTGCTAGGGGTGGAGGACGCGGTCGGGGTCGGGGTCGGGGCAGGGGCGGAGGTAGAGGAAACGCAAGAACACATAATTCATTCCCCCAGCCAGCAGGCAAACGGCATTGGATAATATGTCTCTTTACAGCTTGGCACTATGCTGCTGGCAAACGTAACCCTCCCAATGAGATTATTGAGAACACGGCTACGGCTTTGGCAGACCTAAAACGCCAGATTGACGGAGGTATGGCGGATAAGGATAGTACTTTAAGGGATGCCGGGCTATGGTCCTGTCGTATTAATGCTGGGCTATTTGGAGTTGACTGGGAGAGATCCAAGAGTATTATGGCGGAGTCTAGGTTGAATATCAAGGTTGTGTCGCCACCATTGGAGTAAATAGAAAATAATATGGATTGAAAGAAGATCAATTTTAGGGTAACTATGTCCCGCAAAGAAAATAAGAAGCCAGCTTGGAATTGTGGTATAGGTACGTTGTGTTTGACCTGGACTTCGATGACCTCCCTGCCAGTTTAATAATTATACATTTCTCCCGCCCACGCCTCTGGCCGGAGCGATGAAATTAAACAGAAAGAACTTTAGAACGCGGAATACTCCTTAATATCGGGCTCTCGGACCTTCTGTTTCCCTACTGAACCCCCGTCGGAGTCGATATCTTTCTTCGATTCCCGTTGCTTATCACCCTTCCAGCTAACTTGACTGGTGAAGCTAAATCTAGATGTCGATCTCTTCAATAGACGTGCAACAGATGATGTTGACTTCTTTGAAGTACTCGCTTTGCGGGATGCAACTCTAGAGTTTTCTTTTGATGCATTTTCCAGGTCGATGACTTTTTGGTAATATGTTGTTCCACCTGTCCCGAAATGGTGTTCATACGCGGGGAGAAGTCTGACGATACCATGAGTTGGGGGGATATGCATTGCCGCGTGAATTTCCTGCTGGATAATGGAGGCATAGCGGTAGCTGCGCCGCGGTGTCAACAAGTCACATAGAGCTGTCACGAAGACGATGTAGGCTGGCTCGTCTCCAAATTGACACGAGATCTTCACTTCATCGTCAAGTGTAACCGTCACGGGACGGCCGTCAAATAAGACTTTCAATTCTTCTACTAGTTTTGATATAGTGTCAATGGGGTTGTCAACCTAGAAGACGAAATATATTAACTATTGCGCTTAGATAATGCTGTGGCAGATCTAAGCGGCAATACCGCAGGGGAGAGGAAAAGCAGTACCTTCTTGTTTGTTCTTATCTCGACGAGGATTTGGGAACCGAGGCAGACTCTCTCCCTGAAACCTGGATATGAAGCTCCCGATTTGAACTCTTCGTTCGCACGACACCGTTCGGCCTCTCTTATACTGCTCTGTTCTGCCGCGATCATGTCTGATAGGTTGGGACTGCCGCTGCGGCTGCCCATAAAACCGCCGCATCCCAGGTCTCTCGCAACTATATCTTTTTTCGAAGGGCCAGAGGCCGTTGAAGACTGGACACGTCAAGTCAACCCCTCTGATACAATATGCGCGCCCCGTCGGAGAGATGAGCGGTAGGAAGCGAAAGAGACTTACAAATGTTATGGAATGGCGAGGAGATTTGGGTTCTGGCGTCTTTGTGCGCGCGCTGGAAGGGAATTTCTCACAGCCATCCATGGCCAAAACGGGGTCAGAAGCAACCCCCCCAAGCAGTCTCAAGGCAAACAAGTGGTATCGGAGAGCAGCGCTCGAAAAACGCAGTCCTAGAGAGCAGACAAGGCTATGAGTGAGGCGTGAAGCTATCGTGGCTTGACTTGGTGGAAACGCAGGATTTGGAGAAGGAAAAAAAAAAAGAAAAAGGAAGAAAAATAAAAAATAACAAACGAAAAACACAGCGAAAAGATGGAGTGTCGTTGAAATCGCCCAAAGAGGAAACACCCTTTTTCTTACCTTGCGACTTCACGACTCGCACGCGACGTTTGGTTTTTGCTCTTCTCTGCCTCGACCGCAACATCCAGTATCGCTACGACGCTTCATAACAGCATAACACCACATCCATCCATCCCAGGCTGCGGTGACAGAGTCGTTGCGTCGAGGATGTTGCGGTCAGCTGCATTTTTCCCTGTGATGGTTTGTTTAACGACTGCTGGCCAGACAACGAGTAAGGCCCTTGTTATAGGTCACAGCCATGCAACCACCCACCCCGCGAAGGGATGACCACCGCCAAAGACACGCAAACATAGTTTAGCTATAGGATATCAAGGGCAGTACATATTCTCCTGGGTCTGCATTCGGAGACTTGGGCCTCTTGAGAATCGTTGTCGAGAATTGCTCCTGTGGCTAGCTATATTAACTAACGGTTAGTAGTTACCCACTTGCACTCCCATGAAGAGATGCTCCGTTTAATCGCAACGCTGGAGCTATAGCTAAGTGGAGAAGACATGGGATAAACCAGGCTAAAGGAAGCACAAGTATCCCCTTGTAGTTAAGGGACGGGGAAACAATACGCATGAAAATTCGCCATCCAACGAACTCCGCTAGTTAACTTCTGGCTTCTTATTTTGAGGCTTTACTTTTAAGCTATTAGGTACTGAAGAGCCAGGGGCAGCGCCGGATACTTGTCAGAACAAGAGCTACCATTGAGCCTAAGTGAGAATCACCTCTAGCACTCGTCTGGAAAGGGCCACATTTTTCGAGCAGCTTCCAAAGGCATATAGTGCGCCATCTCCTTCACATATCTCTCCAATGCATGCCTATTACGCTGTTGTATTTCGGAAAAGCTGAGCTCTGGGGATACCCAACCATCTGCATCTGTCTCAAGGTAACTCCTTGCAAACTCCTGGACGTCATGCCAATTCCGATACTCTTGAAATAGACCTTCGATTTTCTCAAGCTCACGGCTAGAGAAAGATACTGGGCATTCTCCAGTAAGAGAAAACGCAGCCCACGACTGGTAAAGTTCAGCAAGGCAAACCCGTAGGCATATTGTGCCTTCAGAATTTGATTCGCCACAACGGACGAAGAGTTCCCTGAAAACAGTCGGTAGGTTCAGGCTTCGATATACGTCTTGGCTATGAAGAAAAGATTGTAATTCATATGACTTCGAGATAATCGCATCATCTCGTATTGAAGACGCAAGTCTCTTCTCGGCTTCGCCAAGTTCCTCAAAATCATGCGGCAGCTGTGGTTGAATGGGCCCGTAGATATACTCGTCTCCGGGTTTGAGGAAGCTTGGCCAGTTTGCTTGCAGAAACAGAGGGCCAATAGCTATATACTGCCAGTCAATGATCGAAACGATCTCTGTTGGATCATTGTCTGAAACAAATATATTCCCCATGTGCAAATCAGTGTGCCACAATGTTGGCCTTGAGATAGAGGCGAGATCGGCGCTCCTTGACTCTAATGTTTTGAATATAGTCATTGCATTCTTGAGGTCGGTAATCTCCTCATCAGCACAGTGCTGGTGGTTGTAAGGGCGGTAATCTCTTGCTGGAGAGGAGGAAATCCGGGTTATTTCCCGTCGAGCGAGGTCAGTGCCGTATTCAGAAAGCGAGTCCCCTAATACGAGGTTAGGAGCTGTTGTATATTGTGTGACTGAGTACCTACATGGGCCTGAATGATGTTCAACTGATGACCCTACTAGTGTATTCCAGGATCGTTCTGCGGAGGGCCCAATACAGTAACGTTGATCTGGGTCCAGAGACTTGCATAGTGGTTGGCAATGATTCGATATAGCGGATTCCCTAAGGTAAAGGCTTCCTGATACCGGGAAATGGATGGCGGCCAGCTGTCTCTCCAAGTCTACCAGGCTTCTTACGAGAGCGAGTTTCGATGTGCCATTCATGCTTCCCCATTTTTTGTAAAGCTGAATTCCAGGTGCCTTTTCCAGGATGATATACTCTCGTCCAACGTCGTTAGAAGCGTCTGAATTCCATGCAAACACATCCGGGACTGGGATTGTGGTATGTTGCCGCACTGTCCAAAAATTTCAGTTTATTATATATAATTGGATTGACCGTGATTTCAATGTTAGTTACCATATTTCAGAGTTGCGACCTCTGAGGATGTAGAATCCCTAGCAGGTCCAACTACTCTTGATGGTAGCTTTGCAACTACTTCCGTACCATCTGCCTTTCGCATCAAGAGCGCTTTACAAAAGCCTCCCTCCATCTTGGAGATAGATACGATGGGGGATGTAGACGGCCCGGCAGCAGCGGCCACTGCACATAGTCGGGGAACATCGAACTTCAGATAACGCTTTTGTAACTGCTGTTCTTCATTGATTAAAAACCGTCCATTGGTATATTTGAACAGCTCTTCTTCGCCGATAGGCTTGCCTGTAGGATGTCAGTTTTATAAGCCAGTTAATAGAGTAGCCGGTGAACTGCACAGACCACGACATGTTATCGAGATGCTCCTCGCCTGTCTCGTTTTTTCGTGGTGAAAGAATGTTCGTATCAGGTTTCTTCGAGCCGCACAGCGCTGTGGTAGGGCTAACATGAGTCTAGGAAGGTTGATTGTGACAATTGGTGTCCTTCGGTGATTAAATGAAGCGGAATAGAAAGTTAGTTTTGGATTGGATGATAATCGGTAGATTCTCGGCAGACAGGCCACAGACATGCTACAGTTATCATCTTCCGCAAATGGTTAGATACCGAAATGATCGTCCGCGGCGAAACTGCTTGCAAATCAATATCTATGTATTCTCTATCTTATATGCTGCTCTTTTATCCAACTCCAGTGACTATATACAGAGGGTATCCTGAACAAAAAATGTATAACCAAATCTACCAAACAAATGTTTCGGGGTGCCTAACTATCCACTGACCAACGGGTCAGGGGTGATAGTAACATTATTCTCGTCTCCTTTACCATTAACGGGCTCAAGACTGCTAACAGGAACTCCATTTCCATTCCCATGTTCCCCCTTAACAGCACCAGCCTTGATGTCAATAAGCTGTGCTTCCTCAGCAAGCTTATCCTTCTTCTTCAACTGCAATGACCCAATTTGCAGTGCTTCTTCAGGTAGTGGTCGGATATATGGCTGACATACCCACCAAGGTCTCTGATACTTCTCCATCGTCGCCTTTGATTCCTCCGATTTGACCACCCCCGGTTTCGAGGCGGGAACAACGTGCTTCCAGTCCGGGTTTTGCTCATATTCCTGCATGCCTTGCTTGACAGCGTGGTCAACTAGTTTGACAACTTTTTCAAAATTAGGCATGTCTCCTCCGTGACAGCGTGCGAGCGCATCCCTGATGTCTGTCCGGTGCGAGACAAGGTGTCGAAGGAGTTGGAATAGATGGCCTTGCATGGAAGATAGATTGGTTGATGGAGTTCTCTTCGCACGTTTTCCTTGCTTCTGTTTCTTCCTAGGGGGTTGTTCGCTTTCATCTTCAACAGCTTCATCTGTCTGTATCTGGCCATTAGATTCCGAAGCAGGTTCGTCGTCTGGATGATATAGCGGTGCTCTCTGCGGAGGATCCTGTTCGAGAACATATTTATAAATAATATCCATGTACCGTCGTAGGACATAGTCAAGCCTAAACCCCCCTCTCCCGTCTCTGCCACGCCAATACATCCTCCCTTCTTCGCCTGGAGCTGGAGGCGTCGAGAAGATCGTTGGATCCGAAAGATTGCCTTCTGCACTCATCACACCGTCTGCCCCTGTAACCTCCAAGCAACGACTAATATCACTATGATTTAAAATATTCCCGTTTGCGAAAATAACAGTCTCAGGGGGTAAGTTATCTCTCAAGTATCGAATATACTCCCAGTTCGCCACGCCGGTATTATGGCCCTTTTGCTCTCTCCTCCTGCCATGCACGGATAAGATACTCGCACCAGCAGAAAGAATCATACGCGCATACTCGAGTGTTTTCTCCTTTGTTTCAAGAATCCGGAACTTGGCTGTCACTGGTATCGAAAGCTCGTTATGTAACTTATTGATAAGTTTGTATATTAGATCTGGATCCTCCTGCAAGAAAGCACCATAGTGTCCTTTCTTTGCGATGCCCTGAGGACATCCGAGATTCAAATCAACTGCATCGCAGTGTGCTTCAACATGGCGCGCAGCTTTGAGCAGCTCATCTGGATCGTTGGCGCAAAATTGAACGATGAGTGGTCTGTCGTGCTTTGGGTTTCCATCTAGATACGGCTCCGCGGTGGTTTCATCAGTGCCGACTGTTTTGGCCTGGCGTACTGGTTCAAAATGCTGTGTGCGGTATGCGGGCGCCTCATTGAAGAATCGGGCGTGGAACATAGGCGAGTAGGCTAGGATGGGAGTAGGATTTCCTTCTCCCATGAACGAACGAGTGAGCATTCGCCAGGCCTGGCACACATATCATACGATTCTCAGTAAAGATTCAATCAAGTAGTATCAGTGGTGGAAACGTACAAATTCGGATCTATCTACCATTGGTGCAACGACCATCTTTGGGCTGCCTATACTCTCGTAGAATTCACGGCCATGTAGCTTCTTCCTTGACGGCTTAGGTTTCATTTCATTAACAGCCTGTATTATCCCGGGAGGTATTGACCCAGACTCAACACTGGTGTCGACTGTGTTTGCGTTCGTGCTCGACATAGTTGCTATTTTTATTTGGCGGAGGTGGAAACGGGGAAGGGGAATCGTTGGCCTCTGCAGCAGGGGGCGCCGCCAGAAGCTGAACCGGCTAAAATTCAGAATTGCGAAGGGGTAGAGAGTAATGCAGGGCGATGAAAAAGTGTAACGGCACTTTATATGAGCATCCCGATCGCAGGTGTTGTGGGATGAATGATGTTGGTTTGCTGCATCGATGCGACCAAAAAAAAAAAAAAATTAGACATCGAAAATGCCAAGACATGGGAATGATTTAAGGTTTGGAGATAAACTTAAATAGGGTCGCTTATATAAGACAAGAAGTCCCCTGAATATCAATATGCGGGAAATGGAAGATCACTGTGTATGCGAAGGAGTTGATATAGATAGTTCACTATCTCAAGAAACCTATTGCCTGTATGCAGGATCCACCCACATTGGCCCCAATAATGTAATCGAGAACTGACCAAAAGAAAAGGAACCAAAAGGAATTAAGACCAGATTTCGACGTCTCGAATAGACGGACCATTTTGACTAAGAGGGGAAAGACAAGGGAGGGAAAACCAACTCACAGAACGAATAAAAACGCCGATTTGACCAGACAAAGGAAAGGGTGCAAACGAAGAGGCACGAGGGAATGCTATTCTATAGTAACCGAAGCAAAATAGAAGGGGAAAAAAGGACAGGAAAGAAACAGAGTGGGAGCGACGAGCTGTGAATGTTAGGAGAAACAATGACAGGTACAGGTAGATAAAGCAAGATATAGAAAGGGGGTAAAAAATTCGTAGCGGACATCAGACTAAGGGTAGTATGGTAGTATATAAATTTGGGTGGTTAAAGGGAGTTAGACAAAGTGGGAGGTGGCTTGGAAGATATAGTGGCAGGACGCTTCCATGTTGGCGCACAATCTTTCAAAATCGCGATTTGTGGTAGCACTGATCTCATCAGAAGTGTTGTTTGATGAAGAGCCTTCAACAACAAGCTCAATCTTGGAGGAGATATCGTCTAGCTTAACAGTGGTGAACACCTTGTCGGAGGTTTGATCGGAGGTGGGGGGTGTGCATGGCTGATCAAGGTAAAGGGCAAAGCAAGGGTCATTCTCATCGATGTCAAGATCAGCAGCAGAAACAGGGATAGAGGCTTCCTTTTTAGGAGCTTCCAAATTGTCAATGCCGAAGGACACAGTGTCGATGGAAGGAATAACTTCTTTGGTTTCATCAGAGGTCACGGGGCCAACAGAGTTGGAGCTTTTGCCCGTGATTGCCTCCATGTCCAGAGATGGGCAGGTAGGAACATCAACAACGGCAAACACGGATGGGTTGGTGAAGTTAAAGTCAATGCCCGAGTTCCAACCCTGGTCATTGAGGTCAATCGAAGCGAAGTCAAAGGCTTGCTCCGGAACGACCGGAAGGCCCGTCTGTAGGTTTGGAACCGATACCTCCTGGTGGGGCTGTTCGATGCCTTCTTCCTTGGTCCCGGTGGGCTGACTGGGAAGCTGAGGCGCTGGAGTGGTGTGAGTTTGGACCTGAGGTTGAGACTGAGACCCTAGGTTTGGTGGAAGGCCGTTCGCAGATATTTCGCTAAGCAAGGGCGCAAAGTGAGAAGAGGAGAGGAGCATGCGGGTGAAATCGGTGAGTCTGGCATTCTCCAGAGCTAGGGCGTTGTTTTTCTGGCGGAGCTCGTTGGCTTCATTAGTCTTAGCAGCCACCTCGCCTTCAAGCTGGCCAATATACTCTATTGAACTAAGTTAGATAAACTGAACGAAAATTAATAGGAGTGGGAAGTACGACTAACCTTTACGTCTTGATCGGAAAGCACGGGCTGAGACCTTGTTACGGAGCTGGCGTCGTTCCTTGCTGCTGAGTTTCTTTCCTTCCTCACTTGCAAGCAATCGCTCGTCCTCATCCATATCTTGCTCATCCTTCTTGTACTTGGTAGGTTGGGGGAGACTGCTAGTCTGTTCAGTCTCTTCCAGGCTGCTGACACTATTTTGTCTCATCTGTTGAAGTATGTGGGAGATCTTCTCCTGCACGCGCGGATCCATGTTGCGGTTGAATTTACTCTGAGGCCGATTCTGATGAGCCTCGGGGGTTTGTCTTTGCTGTGAAGATTGTTGCTGGTGTAGTGGTTGTTGATGGTGTTGGTGTTGATGCTGTTGTTGTTGTTGCTGCTGCTGCTGCTGCTGACGCTGAAGCATCTCTTGCCTTTGCTGGAGGGCAGCCTTAGCTCTGGCGGCCTGCTGCTGATGGATGCCAGGATAGACACGTCTTGTCTGGTTTGCAGCGGCAGAAAGAGGAATCTCCTGAGCACCAAGTGCACTTGGGTCAACAAACTGGGTCTTGTTAGCCTGAGAGGGCACGATGTAGGCATCTGAGTCAGCCAGATTCTCATCGAGGTCCATTTCGGTCGAGTCCTTTAATGGTAAAGTGGACAACGAATTCATCGGTTGTCCCATTCGGCCATAGACGCCGTCCACAGGATGCACCATGCCCATGGGGTCGAAGCCATAGTTGTTTAGGGCGATAGTGTTAGCAAGGCCGCCTGGCGGCAGGCCGGTTTGTTGTGTGTAGTGAGTGTATTGGTGACTTGGGGCAGTGTATTGAGGCTGCTGAGGTGACTGTTGTTGTTGCTGCTGCTGCTGCTGTTGTGGTTGCTGCTGAGGTTGTTGTTGCTGGTGCTGGACGAAGCCATGCTTGCTCGCAGTCTTGCTATCGGAGTTAGCAGGCGAGACCGAAGGTGAGGGATACATAGTCGGCTCGAGGTTGAGAAAAGAGTCCATGTCTGCAGCGACGTCGTACGACTGCGGCTGGCTAGTGAGAGGAGAGAGAGTCGGCAGCATTTCTCCCATCGCAGCCATGATGACGGTTTCTGCAGTCAATTGTGCGGTCTCTGTGTCTGTTTTGTGGTCCTTATATCCAATGTCGAGGGCAGTAGAGATGGTAGAGAGGATGCTGGTGATGGAAAATAGGGTGGTTGTCGATGTTGACGTTGATGTTGATGTTGGTGTCGGAAGCTGGACGAGGTTGAGATAAGGAGCAAAGAAGGAAGGAGCCAGCGAAGAAGTTAGGCGCCAAGCCTTCCTTCTTGGGCCACGCGTTTCTTACTCTGCTGCCTGTGTATCGTGCGTACCGTCATGTAACGCCCGTAATATACGCTTAGGCTCGACTTCGCCCCCCTTTGCCCCGCCAGCCCCTGAACATTCCTGCCCTGCTGGCCAATCACGGCATTCCCTCGGCCTCCCGTTCCACCTATCTGTGTATGCAATAAGCAACCTAATTATAGAGGACCTTGTATTCGCGATACCACAATACCCACGATACCGCAATAACCAGGCCGCCATCGCACAAATAATGACGACAGAGAGAGAGAGGTCCTCCATATATTCTGTATACAAGAATTTGGTGACGGAGACAGTACTACACTCGCAGGCAGATCGATAATGAGATGGGTGACAGAGGAGAGGCGCCGTGGCCGAGGCAGGCGAAAAGGATCTCCCTCTCATGCAACTCTGACACACCCGGAGTGGGCCGAACAGGGCGCCAGCAGGAAGCGAGAGGAAAGGCGGCTGTGCATCCATTTCCGTTTTGGGGCATATGGCTATCACGTGACCATTGATCTGTCAGCCATGACTTGATTGGCTACATTCGAATTAAGCAAAATCACGTGAAAATTCATTATATAAGATATTGCTTCACGTGATGCCAATGACTAATCCAAGACAACTCAGGCGGAAAAGCGAACAAGGAGAGAGAGACTATTGGAACGGACAAGGAGCCGGAGAGACGCACGGCGATGATGATATGCAGGATATGATGCATGATGAAGATGGAGATGGAGATAAGACATGCAGCTGGTGGAGAAGAAGCAGACGATGGGGCTGGGAGCGAACCAGACGATGTCAACACTCGTACTACGGCAAATGAGAACCCCCAAAATGGCGCTGATGCCCAATCAGCCGCACTGCGTTGAATATCTTGATACCCTTGATACCCGCGAATTGATTTACAGCCAGGCCATCTGGCTGCATAATGCAGCGCAGTGTCATGCCGCACACCGTGTACGGAGTACTGGCTGTACTTCGACAGGAGTCTAACGGTGTGGCGAGCGCGGCCAGCACCGTCTGTGGCCATCTACGGAGCACGTCAGCCTTGTGGTAAAGAGCCCCCTCAGCTCAACGCAGAACTTGGCTACTTCCATATACCCAGGGATTGCACTTCTATATGTGTCAAACGGAGCTTCTCTGGCTAATGGCATGACTATCATTTACCGAGCGAATTTATATGCAGTTGACAGTTGATGCAGAAAGCCAGACCAAGTTTTATCCCACTTGGCTGCTTCCCTATTCGCTGGCATCCTTGCTGCGTGCTCTCCATTCACCCATTCATCCATATATCCATACCTCAAGTTCCCCTCGCCCGCCTCTCAGTCCGTTTTATAACCTCTCGGGTTTTGTTGAATTCGGAGTTCGCTTCATGTTCTTGTTTCAAGTTCTATACCCCAAGTATATATAACTCCTACCCAGCATGTCCCATCAGGCCACAGAGTCCTTCTACGACCAGTTCTTCCTCGACTATGAGAACAACTACCACAACAACGAAGGCCTCAAGGCCTTTGTCCGCGAAGCTGCCTCGAAGCTCCCCGCCCACGCCAAGGTGCTAGACGTAGGCTGCGGTACGGGACGTCCCATAGCCGAAGCCCTCTGCGCAGCCGAGCTTGATGTCACAGGCATAGACCTGTCGACAGAGATGGTAGAAATGTGCAAGAGGCGGTTCCCCTCCGCGAAGTTCATCAAGACGGACATGACCAAGTTTCGCCCCCAGCAAAAATTCGACGCCGTCTTTGCCGTTCTCTCGCTATTCCATGTTTCTCATCGTGAATGCTACTCGATGCTGTTCAAGTTTGCCGACTGGTTGAAGGAGGGCGGCCGCCTCTTCATTACTACTATATACAGCCACGATTTGGTGGACAGAGGAGCCAAGCCAGATAGCCAGGGCATCATCGATCTCGCCGACTGCCAGTTCCTGTCCCACGATGTTCCTCTGACGGCCTTTTCCAGCGAGAAGTGGGAGGAGTACCTGACTGCTGCCGGATTCGTCGGGTTTCATGCTACAAAGTATGATTTCCAGCCCGCGGATCCAAAGCTCAAGGTTGCCCATCACCACTTTATCACGGTGAACCAAGGAGATAACCACCCGCTCATGGGGCCCTATCCTTACCCTGATAAAGTGCTTGGGCCGTACTCTCTACAAAAAACGGCATACAAATCCTTCATGGAAAGACTTAATGACGTCGAATCGAACGCTCTGGCGGGTGTAATCGGACACAACACCAACACTCTCACCATTGGTAATACTTCTTTTCCTCCCCCCTTTTCCCGCTGAATTACAGCTGAGACAGCCTTTTCTTTCTTTCTTTCTTTTTGCAGACCCGATGAACCGCAGCGATTCGTTTCCGTTTAGCGCCCAGGAAGTTTCCAACAAGTTCGACTCCATTGTTCTGTCCCGAGTTCTCGACGGCCTGGAAGACATTAACGCGCCTCTTCAGAAGGCCATGAAGGCAACCAGCAAGATAGTAGTCATCCAGGCTGCCCCAGACAACGATCTCCTCAAGCAAGCCAACCTCAGCAGCAACAAAGCCCCGATGCACCACGGACTCATCCTCCACCGAGCCGCCGAGATCCTCAAGACAAACGGCTTTGGCAGTCTAGAACTCATTCACATTAGTGATAGTGCATGTCGCTTCTCAGAGGAGGACTTGTCTGCGCGATCCAAGGTTGCTGCCATCTTGATTGCAGACATGTTCTATAGCTATGAGGCCGACTTACAGAGTATCAAGGACGCTCTTGTCCCCAGGATGGAGGCCCTCTTCAAGGAGACCCCGCATGACGTTGGCAACCAATCTGTCATGCTGATTGCTCGGCCTGTTACTCAGGCCAGGCCAGCATGATGTAAAGTAGTCAAGAAATCCGTATGGTCTAACTCGGGAAGCCATCAAAGAAACATCCTATGCAGCTGCTGATCCCTTTCCTTAATGTGGCGGATATTTCGTCATTCAGAACAAGCAAACGCAGCGACTCAATAATCAGACCACCCATTAGAGCCACACACGCACACACCTAGCTATCGCAAATATAGTGATATAACTAAGAGATAAACCACCTCCAGTCCAAGTATCCAGGACATCTAGACCTCTACTATTATCTTGTGCCTTGTGCCTTTCGCCAAAAAGCAAACATGTCCGTTCCCCGCGTCCTCCTGCTCGGCGGGCACGGCAAGATTGCTCTCTTCCTGACCCCCCTCCTGCTCGCCCGCGGCTGGGACGTCATCAGCGCCGTCCGCGACCCCAAGCATGAATCCGATATCCTCAAGTTCAACAAGGGCGACGGCGGCAGCAATGGCAAAGTGAGCATCTCGCTGTCCGACCTGGAGAAGATCAAGAGCAGCGATGATGCTGCCGGCGTCATAGCCGCGGCTAAACCAGACTACGTCGTCTGGGCTGCTGGTACGGAAGACCCCCAAACTAACTACTCCCTTAACCCATTAACTAGTAGCTATCTTTTGCTGTCCTGTACCCCATAAATATATAGTTATTTATGCATGCTAACAGCTCCAAGGAGCCGGCGGCAAAGGCCCCGTCGATCGTACCTATGCCATCGACCAAGACGCAGCGAAACACTTCATCCACGCCATCATGGCCAGGCCCAACAACATCAGAAAGTTTCTACTGATCTCGCACATTGGAAGCCGGCGCAAGCCCGCTCCCTGGTGGTCGTCTGCAGACTGGGAGTCGGTCGACCGCATCAAGGCCGCACTGCCCGATTACTACAAGGCCAAGCTCGATGCGGACGAGTACTTCTCCGTGATGGCAGCGCAGCGCAGAGAGAAGCACGGAGATACTGACTTCCAAGCAATCAATCTACGCCCTACCACGCTCTCTGACGATCCTGCGACGGGTAAAGTTGAGTTTGGGCGTACAGGGACAGGCGACCGGCTGCCCATTTCGCGTGAAGACGTCGCCATTGTGGCTGACGAGGTCCTAGCTTGTTCGAGTGTGAGGGGGTATCAGGATCTGATCAGTGGCCAGACGCCCATTAGAGAGGCGGTTGAGAAAGTGGGGAGATCGGGTCTCTGTTGCTTCGAGGGAGAAGATCTCGAAGCCATGCGCGAGAGGTTTAGGGAGTCTCTCTAACTAACTAGTTAGTGGGTTCTGGCGATAGCTAACTAGTTAGTTACGCCAGGAAATACAGAAGAGAGTCGATTTTTTCTTGCTGTATCGCATGTGTATTGTTACCTATCAATCACCACCCGACAGTAGGTGCCGACCGGTGTAGTTAACTAGCTGCTGCCAGTGGTTCGCTGGAGAAGACCCAGCTTAGAGATCAAGAAGTTGGAGTTGAATACTACATAGTACTAGTTACAAACTACTGGTTATCCACATATCCAGCTGGCCATGTTCTAGATCCGGATGGAGAAAATAGTTAATATGGAGCAGACGGACACTGGTCCACGTTGTCTTCCAGCCTTAAACACAGCTAACTATGGAAATAAATCGAGCTAACTAGCATGTTTAATAATGTTTCCAAGTATCCATGGGATTGTGGCTGTGAAGATAGTGTTGTGCATTTTTAGTTGTTAGTTGGCCCCCTAGCTCTATAAAAATAGATGGAACAAAGCCCGCAGCAAACACCGCAGACAGGCTTGTTTCAAACAGCGTGTACGGTACAGTTGATACAGGCAGATATTAGCTCAGAGGCAGGGATGTAAATCTAAAATTCAGGTAGAGATGAGCTGCGTATCTCTATTCTTTACTTGATTTGCAATGTACGATGAGAAGAGGTAGATATTGTACACAAGAGAAATGCTGGCCCGCTCGCAGAATGCAAAAATCAAACATATTAACAAGACGGATAGAGAAGAAATGGGACCAAATATCCATCACTCATCTGATGTTGTTTCGAGGAATTTGGTCAGGAGAGGCTGGTGGGCCTCTGCTTGGATGGCGTCTGCTACACGCAATCTCATATAGTCAAATGCAATGACGATAGGGGGTTTGTTGGTAGAAGAAGATGGACTTTTCGACCGGGAGCGAGATCTTGGGCGAGTCACCTTTGCAGCTCCACTCTCCTCAGCCTCGGCCATCGTGTAGTCTTCCTCTACATCTTCCGAGGTAGGGATATCACGGACTACTGAGGGAGCTTGACGTGGTTTCTTGTCCTCTGCCGTATTTCCCTTGTTGTTCCACCCCTTTGGTGGCTGGATATGTACTTCTTTTGCATTGGCGATGTCGGGCATCTTACGATACCGCTGACTGAAGTGTGTCATGACAATCACTTTTGCCTCCATCCTAAGACCAACTGTCATGGCTTCGCTGACAGTTGAGTGACGCTTAGCAACTGCGTCAGATAACATGTTATCGTCAAAGGTAGCTTCGTGGATCAGAACGGTAGATCCACGACCCATTTCTATGAATCGAGTAGATGGGCGACAGTCACCCGAGTACGACACCTTAAATCCTGTCGGGAAGATGAGAGACACTGCCTTTGCACCCTGGCAGTGGGATACGGGAGTCGTCAGAATAGCGTCCAATCCAGTGCCTTGCTTCAGCAGTTCTGTGAGGGGAGAATTCTCATCATCGAATTTTAACCGTGTTCCAAGGTATTTCCCATCGCTGTCCGGGATGGCTGCACCATTCCTTTGCCGGCGATGTATGGTATAAGTATAGTCCGTTTTACCATCGGGATGTTCAAATGAAGATGCAGATAGGGGGACAACTTTATCGTATCCGTAATTTTCAACATTTGTGTACTCGGCCATCCACTGCAGCATATGCTGAGCTGAAACAACGTAGAGTCTCTTCTCCTTTAGAATCCGAGGCACATCCTCCTCGGTGATGTCCATGTAGGAGGGCGAGCTGGACAAGGGCCCGTAAACAGCTTCGTGCCAGGCTTTAATGACGGACACAGTCCCTAGATGATGGTCCGCATGTAGATGGCTGATCCAGATAACTCTCAAATCACGAAGAACCTCTTTCAATTCATCGGGTCCAAAAGTACGCTTCAGCTGGCCAAGGGTACCTTCACCAGCATCAAACAGGTAGTTACCATGACCCGGCACTCGTAATAACGTCCCTGATACATTTCTGTACCGGGACGGACAGGATGAGCCGGTTCCGAGAGCGATAATTTCGGCATCCCCATTGGGAATACTGGCCTTTAACTTCTCGATTCTCTTTTGTACTCCTGGCTGCGAGAGTATCTCTCCCATAACCCTAGAGTAGCTGTTTCTCCGAGGCATTTTAATTGGCTTCGAGGGCGGCGTTGGGCTGGCTGTTAGCTTAACGCTGGGCTCAAGGTCAATTGTCAGGTTAGGTTGGGCGATGGAGACGGAGGTTTTGGTGTCTGCTGCGGCAAAGGCACTGACGGGCAACATGGCTTCTCCATTATAGAATGTCTTTTGATAGCGATCACCGTCGATAGCTGAAAGTTCCAAGGTAGCGGTGGATACCGCAGGGAAACCGTAGTTGTCAGCGCAATAATCGGGGGAGGAAACAATATGTTTGTATTTGGACATCTTGGTCACGAATTCCTGGAGCAGAGGATGGCCTCCAACACCAGGGCCAAGAATCCAAATGAAAACTTCCATTCCCTTCATGACTTCAGCGTTGTCCCACTCCTTTCGGTTGATTATACTCTGAATATAGTCAACTGAAGGCAGCTCTAGCACGGCGAATCCCTTGCCAGGTCTGGTTTCACCCAGGACCATGTCGGGTGTGATAGTCTTGCCATCAGCTGATATCACAGTTTCTCCACTAGCAAGCCTCCTAAAGTCTGACTTGTCCGCAATGTTGAGGGACTCAGCTCGTTTCCTATCAAATTTTCCTCTAGAATCGTGGCCACGAACGATGTATGAAACTGCACAGTCTGAAGGGGTAGTTGCAGGTAAAGACTCAACCATCGCGCCCGGCCAGGGCTGTCGAACAAGGACATTGATGTTCGGCAGGGCCTCCCCATCACCAGGCTTTGGTCCTTCATAAGGCTTCACTTCCCCGGTGTCTTTATCCCGAATAAAGAGCGTAGCTGGGAGAGACACTTCAGCTAAAGGAGTCTCAACAAGCGTGTCCAGACGCCATTGAGAGTTGAACATGTCCAAGACAATTTTCTGCCTGGTTACTAGATCCTTCTCTCTAGCAGCCTTTGTTGCAGCAGCTCCCGCTCTCCCCCCACCTTCAAAGTCATCTAAAGTCCTTTTCCCCGGCTGTAGCCTGGGAGAGCTGGATGGGTATGTAGGCAATGCCCAGACTTTGATATGATCGTCTGACCAGGCTGGCTTCGAAATGTCAATGGTTGCATCCCTCTCTTCGCAGCCAAGACAACCGAATTCGCGAATCTCGATCGGGACGCCCGTCCGGCAGACAAAGGTCCTTCCGGTGGCTAGAGTATGTGTCAGGTTAGGCCCACCATACAGAGATATCGCCCTTTGACCATGGAACTCAGGCAATGCTTCTAATTCCAACTTGCGCCGTTTTACCCGCGCCATCAACTCATCGGAATCCTTCTGGCGTACCGCCGCCTTTGCGCGTTCTTCGAGGTTTTTGATTTTCCGCGACTCAGCTTCCACCATTGCGCCTGATGCAGATGCCATTGTGTCCGATAATGTCAAAAGCATGCCCAACATTCCCCCATTGTTGGCCCAAGTAGTCTTTCCAGTCAGGAAAACTTCTGAAAGCTTCGATAACCGGACATTATTCTCTATGCATGCTCGCTGCGTACCTTCAGATAGGTTTCCGAAAAAGTACCGCTTATCATCATAGTGGAGGAAGAGGGTGGTACCGGGCGTGTCAGAGGTTGGAGCGGTAACAAATTGGATAAACGACTTCATCCTGTCCGCGCCCGTTGGAGGTCTTTCCTGCTTAACTGAAGAATACTGGGATAGGCGTCTGTCTTCAAGGACCCAGGAATAGTTCTGTCTTATGCGATGGCCACGACGTTTTAGCACCCAGTCGTCTAGACTATTGGGATTTGTTGTGTGGAACAGTCGAGTTGGCGATAGTATATAGTCGAACGTAGCAAGGACAGCAGTCCGACGAGGCTCGAGCTGGCACTGTTAACCTTATAAGCAAGTTGAATCCTTCAATGGCTGGGGCTACCTGAGGGTTGAAGTCTTTATATCTGCCGAGGGGAGGCATGCGACTGACTCACCTTTGCCAGGGCTCTCTGTAAAGCAGCCAATATGCCGGCTCAAGATGATAACATGCGGTGAAAATGAATTACAAAAACCAAAAACTGCGACTCAAAGCATCGGGAATTGAACAACAATCCACTTTAACTGGCTCTACTTTCAACCAAACTTCTGGTTGTTGACGTTATGAAGATATGCGACTTTGCGTGGAGTTTTTTTTTCTGACTTTGATTTTCGACGATGACTCAGCAAGTGTTAGTTATCGATAAGATCTGATAAGGATGAGGAAGAAGGTGATCCAAGATGCAGTTTTGTATTATGTTCTAGGGCCCTCTATAGATTGGATTATACATGATTAGTAGCCAGCTGGCTGCTTCTCTCCGTCAGGGAACATTCCCTTGTCGAGATTTAAGCCGCACTCTTCCCGCCAATTGGCAGGAGTAAACTTGTCAACGATCTCCTTGAAGGCCTCAAGAGTGCAGAACGACTTGTCTCCCGGCAGATGTTTGGCTGGACTTGCCGCGCAGCCTGGGATGGTAACTGGCTTATCGTTGTAGCGGATGCGGACATAGTGATTTGACAACGCGGGTTGGTTGACTTGGGGAGTGCGTGCGACTCCAGATGAGCTAGCAGCCTGGCTCTTCTTACCTGTCAGAAAAGAGAAAAAGGACGATTTTTCTGACGCTGGCTTCTGGGAAGGGGGGCCAGAGAACTCCTCTAGGATAGCTCCAGCTGGTGAACCAGAAGCGCCCCTTTCCGAGACGTCTTTGAACAGCTCCACAGCGATCGAAGATGTGTAAGGAGGCCATCTCTCGTTCTTGAATGCACCAATGCTTGCTAGCATTGAGGCAAGGGTGGTATCATGGCAGCCACTCAGGGCTAGTTTGACAGCGGGGCTTTTTTCACCCGATTGATATGCACCTGCCATGGGTCTCCAGCCCTTGTGCGAAGCGACATGAACCATCCTCTCGACAACATCTCCCATAAGTGCACCAATGGCAAGTTTGCGGTACTCCCTGCTCTCTTGACCGCCGGAAAACCACTCATCGACAGCTATTCTGTCAGCAACTTCACGAGCCTTCTGATCATAGAACTCCGCGGGAAGGCGGGTATTTGGTCCGTGGGCATATGTTGACGCAACGGTGTCCAGGATTCCGGACAGCCGGGGACGTGAGTCAACAGCTACTCTAGGGGAGTTTTCTGGCATCCACTTTGACCAAAGCGAGTTGAGATATGCCATCTCTTCCGATTCGTTCCCTAGACAGGTTAGTATGACATGTGCACTAGAAGGACGTAGGACCTAGGAGCGGTTTGTTACATTTATCAGCAGCACGCTGGGCAAAGAGCCTAGCCAGCTGTCTGAAACGATGGCAGCCTCCCTCGTTCGGGAATAGAGTCTCCTCTGCAGCGGATCTTACAATAATAGATGGCATAGCAAAGTCTGCAGTTCGTGCGCTGGATGGGTATAGTCCCCAAAAGACACTTTGCAAAGACTCCAAAGCTCGCGGAACGGGAGTAGAGCGGAGATACATGTTATCAGTATTGGATATAATTTCCGGCATGAAGCCGAGCCGCTCGATGTAGAGGTGCCTGAGTCTCTGCCCAAGCTCAAGGGTGGTTTGACGGCCTTTATCCGTCAACTCTCCAAGCTGGCTATCGATATACCCGGTATATCAGCAAGTATCTTATGGTAGCAGCATATACAAGCAGCACATACCAGATGCCGTCAACCTCGCCCTTTGGCCCGAGAGCAATCACAGGCTCGTCGGTATCCCCGAAGCGTTCCATTCTTCTCTTCCATTGAAAGGTATCCCAGGAAGAAAGGTCCTGTTTCGATGCTGCCATGGCAGTTAACCGGGAAGCGATGTTGCAATACGGCCAGTCTGTAATCAAAAAATAGAACGTTTAGATATCCACGGCCGGTCAGAAGGGGAGAGGGAGGGTCGAGCGGGCCGAGAGTCAATTACATGGGTGCAATCCAGCCTATCAAGCCATAGAGTCAGTTAATCGATGTACTTATAGACGCAAATATGGATTCGTACATTTTGAAATCTATTCGAGACGGGGGTTCGTTCTCCTGTTCATATGCCGTTAACAAAGGGTTTCGTCCTTCTTTCACGTCGGACTTATCGCCGCTCGACATCATACCATGTCGTAAAAACTACGTAATCCAGGGTTAGTCTGACCGTTTCCTAGCTCTTGACAGGGAGAAAATGAGCTGTAGACTTACTATCTGCACCAGCTGGAGCTCGAGGTTCTTTGGGTAGAGCTGCCGGAGCTCATCATCGGAATAAGGAGCGCGGGGGATGAGCGTTGTCATGGTCGATCCAGCCGGTATTGAAATAACTATTGATGTCGACTCGTTATTTATCGATACAACAAGTTATACAAGGCTTCAAGACGTACTCTGTATGTATAACGACAGCGACTAGGCTGATAAACCGGTATCCTCCTGGCTGTCGTTCTGCAAGCTTGTCCTTCTCCATCCCTGGCTCGTCTTGGTGTTGACTGCTTGGCCGCCTGACTCAGCCAACTTTTAGCCGCGGCCGAGGGCACCTTGAGGAAGCTCCCAGCAACTACAAATGAACAGGCGACTGAGAAATACCAAACGGCAAAGATCAATAATGTCGTACTGATCGCTATCTTAACTAGGTGGATGGAGAAGGAGACGCATTATTCTTGCTGCCAACAACACGCATACCCTAGTTAACTATCCACGAGCCCGTATGCATGGACTCTTTGACAAGATATCTCAGCCTGCTGAAGTGACCTCCGGGGAGGCTACATGAAGAAGGACAACCGAGTTCTTCGCCATTTCTAGGCCCTTAGCCTAAATTCTGGAGCCAGGGATGCTGCAGAGCTTGATCTGCCGTTGGCCGCGTTTTATGATCGAGATGCAAGAGGTAGCGGAGAAAGTCGACGCAAGCCTCAGGGACATTGGCTTTGGCAAGCTCTTCTTCAAGAGATCCAACTTTAATAAGGTCCTTTTGGACAAAGAGTTCTGCCAGGGCAAACTCAAGCTGATACTTGGGATCTTCGTCTCTTTCCAGCCGTCCAACCAGTTTGATGATCTTGCCAATAGCCCATGCACACCTGTTCACTTCAAGCGGAAGCTCCCGGACACGGCAATCCTGATCCCAGTTCCCAAAGATGACTCGATTAGCGACAAAATGGGTCAGCTACGTATGTGAGGTCAGTATCGATCGGAGGCCAAAGTAATAGGAACAGATATAACAGAGCTGTTGAGCCTACAGTCACGCCAATAGACCAAATTTGGCAGGGAGGCGTAGGTAAAATTCCCTTCCAGATCTCTGGTGCACGGATTTCAGTGCCCTGCAGCCGGAAGTCTTCAAAGCCTTGAGAAGGGATCACTAGTGCGGGGGGTAAGCAGACGTCTTGCCTGATGAAGCCTTTATCCAGGGCAGAGCAACAAACCTGCTCCAAGATCCGCGAGTTTGATAATGGGCTTCGGCGAGTCTGCCTTGGAAACCAAGACGTTATTAGGATTAATGTCTAGCAAGTAGATGTTAGCCAACATGCAGCATAGCTACTTTCCACTCTGTGGAGTTTATACACACCGGTGTGTAAAGCAGTGATATGTCCATCCATATCTGAGAATACTTTCACAGCCTCGAGGATAGATTTTGCAGTGGCTTTCAAGAAAGGGTCCCCAAGTTTCTGCGCCCTTGTCCTCAGTGACCACAAATCGGTGTCCAGGTACTCAAGAACCATACATCGATCTGTGTCATTGTCAACATCCTCGTGCATCCTCCTTACGAAGGGTGATTCGGCGATACAGCGGTAGCCGTAGCAATTGGCCTCAGTCTGGTATATGGCGGGATCGGCTCCCTCTGTTTTGATGATAACTCTTTCATTCGGATCAATATGCAGGCAGTAAAACCAGTCATTTATTGCGTATGCAAGCCAAGGAGAAGATAGGGGAAGGGATAAGCGTACGGTGTCTTTGACTCCACGGTCGAAGCCTGAAAGACATTTCGCTTCAGTGCCTTTATGACCTGGTATTGGCCTCGTCTGCCATTTATTAGAACTCTTTGTCCCTTGGCCAAAAGATCATAGATAGGGCGAGGCATCTCTAGGGAGCGAATGGTAGATCAGCCAAGTTGATGATGGTGTTTTCAGAGAAAACCGACATCAGAGTACGGAGTAGTTAATGGACAAACAGAGTGGCCAATGGGAATGATATAGTTAACTAACATCTTGCCTCGATATTTATTGGATGAATAGGTAAATACACTAGTTCTGTCCAATAAACTTGAATAAAACTGTTGGTACCAGTGTCAATGAAAATGGATGGCCAGCTACCCAAATCCAGTACTCACGACCAACAAGTTGTACAGTGTTATTTATGTCTTGAAGACTGGTTGGTTGGGGAGATAGAGGTTAGGTGTGCCCACCCCCACGCAACGACGGTTTCAAATTCTATTATTTAATTAACGTGCAGTCCAAGCTACGATGCAAATGCCAGGTCACGGAGTACAAGATTCCCTTGAGAGAATGGGATACACGATGTGACCGGCCAAGAGGAGTATCTCTTAGCAGGGAATCCTGCTGCAATATCTAACTTGAGTTAACCCATCTATCACTTGCTTGGGCGTCGAGAAGCCACTCTCTGATGTTATCTGACTATTTCAGAGCTTTGGTCAAGGGTATTGACGACGGGTCAACATAATTAGATAAATCCGACAACAGCCTTGGCCTTGAGACTCTGCTGAGAGGGGGTGGTCTTGCTGGCGCTTGCGCGCAAATATCGACACCAAATAGGCCAAGGGAGATCGGGTGATGAAAGAGTTACGGGCAGCCCAAGACTCTTAGAAGAGTAAGCCGGGCTTTGAAGACAGAGTCACCAAGGCCAATTAAGCCATCAAACAACAGACAAGCCTCGACGCCCGCACGGCTACAGCGAGAATGAGAGCACCTGCAGAAGCTCCAGACCAAGGCGAAGAACTACATCAGCAACCTACAGGTCACTCTGGAAGGCCTAAAGAAAAACCCGGAAGACCTCCATGAAGTGAGTTCAGGATGCAATTGATGAAGGAAGCAAAGAATGATTTTGCTTCCATTCTCCATTTGGAGTATATTGAGGTCTCTGTTTACACATGCGCGCTGGTGGAAAACCATCCTCTGATGCTAGTCTGAAGGGACCTGTGTGGCTAGTAGGGAATTTGATAATCTCAGCCAACTGGAGTCCAACCATAAGTCTCAAACATTTATAACGGAAAACAGTGGCCGATGGCCCCATGTTAACTTATAGCACCTCGTCGTCGTCGTCGTTGCGTTGTTGTCGTCGTTCTTGAAGTTGATGTTGATGTAGAAATTTAAAGTTAAAATTTGAAGTTATTAACTAAGCAGCTTAGTCACCCGTGACTAATACCTAGCCAACCTTGTATCCAGATTTATATACGGACCGTCAAATAAATAACTAGTTCGCTATTTCATCCGCATGATAATCAATTTATCACGATATTATAATTATTACTGGTCTCTTATTAGTCTGGCTACCAATTATTGGGCGACCTACGGCACTTCACCTTGCACGCCACCAGCCCTTCGATACGGGAGCCGCCTCTTTTGCCCTTCCTGGAGTGTCGTACAGTTCATGTTCCATCCAGGGGACATCGTATCCACGACCAAAGAACGCCTGGATTAATTAAATAGAGCCGTCTAATCACAGTGTCAGAGCTTATCGACGATTGAGATACTGCCTGTCCTGCTCGATTTGACCAGATCAAGTCACGGTGTGTTTACGGTGTTTTGTATCCCTTCTATGTCTGCTGCTTCTTCCGCTCTACCTAGACAAGAGTTAACAGGATACCTCCCAGCATCCCGGGGCCTTTCAGCCGCTTGTGCAGCTTTCTTAGCCTTCAGGCTCGCTCTGCCCTTTGCGCCCTCGTTGGGTCTAATTATTGGATCTTGCCGTTGTGCCGCGGGCTGAAGACAAGGCGAAAAGGCTCATTAACTTAGCAGTAATGGAGGTATGACACCACTCTTCCCCATTCTTCCTCCTCCCCTTCGTCCAATTTTTCTTCTTCTCGTTTTCCTTTCATCGCCCAACCCCCCTTTTTCTGGTGGATGGCTTGTCTCGTTCCTCTTTCCCCATCATGGAGCTCTCTGTTCCCCGGTTTAGCCTACCCAAGCACGTCCAGGGCGTGTCTTAAGCCCGCCAAATATGAAATGTCCTCTCTTATTGTTTCGCGTTCCGGGGTTAAGGTCGAACCCAGCCAGTGTGGTACCGTCCCTTGGTGATGCTGGTGATCATGAACATTTCCCCTTTTTTGACATGCAATACGATTGGCGGCTCCGGGAGACGCCATCGGGCTTTGTTGCGATACGACTATCTAGCCCTGGCCGGTTTATATTAATATGTTCGCTCGGGAGACCGTCATCTTCTTTTTCCAGCTCGGCTTTTTCTTCTTGTTTTTTCTTGTTTTCCTTTTCTTCTCTGGTTCAGCCCTGCATTTGCTTCTTCCTCCACCCTTGCGTCAGGGTATCCGGTGGAATGGATACGTCCCATACCCTTTAGATGCCACATTCTATAGCTCCAGGCCCTTCATCCTCCGAATTGTCGACTGGTTTGATACATCAAACTTGACGGTTTGGGACATGTTATGCTCGGCCGTGATATGGCGCTGTACAATGTCCTGTTGAAAAAACTTCATGTACCCCCAGGACTCTGTATATCCCTATCTTCCTTCTTGACAGGCCGTCACCTATACCCTGTTCCATTTCTTCTTGCTTAGAGTATATTTGAGCCCCTTTCTTGCATGATATCATGGCAGCCACACTACCCAGACGGTCGCGCCCGGCCATAGACCAAGGCCAGGAGCGTCTTATCTATTCAAATACATCCCTCCTACATGGTCACCCTCCAGTCATTAAAACTAGGGCACAGCTAAGTCTTGAGGAAAATTTACAGGCCAATGTCCCCCAGAGTCAAGCGGCCACTCGGCCTGCTCAGATATCTAATCCAAAATTCCGTGAAACACGGCCACGTCTTCTGCTGATGGGTCTACGAAGGTTTGTGTCCGCTGCCCCTGTTTCAAAGTAACATTGTACTGAAATGCTACTTATAGAAGCGGAAAATCCTCCATTCAGAGCGTTGTATTCCACAAGATGCCACCGACGGAGACTCTATTTTTGGAATCTACGACACGTATCCAAAAGGATGCTATCCAGTAAGTTTTGCCCGAGGCCAATCCAATGTTATATCGTATTACTGCATGCCTAACATGGATATAGTTCTTTCATGGATTTTCAGATTTGGGATTTCCCAGGACAATTAGAGTATCTAGAACCATCATTTGATCAAGAGGAGTTATTCAGTAATCTGGGAGCCCTCGTTTGGGTGATAGATGCCCAGGACGATTACCTAGAAGCCGTCACTCGGCTGAACAAGACCATACTCATGATCCAGCAATACTACCCACACATCAACATTGAGGTCTTTATCCACAAGGTAGATGGACTCTCAGAAGAATACCGCTCTGATACGTTTCAAGACATCGTCCAGCGTATCTCTGACGAGCTAAGTGACGCTGGATACGAAAATGCACCAATACACTACTACCTGACATCAATCTACGATTATTCGGTTTTCGAGGCCTTTAGCAAGGTTATTCAAAAGCTGATTCCCCAATTATCGACACTGGAAAATCTCATCAATATCCTCTCAAATAACTCCGGCATGGAGAAAACATATTTGTTTGACGTTCTCAGCAAGATATACATCGCCTCCGACACAAGACCAGTAGACATGGCATGTTACGAGATGTGTTCCGACTACATTGATGTGATCGTTGACATTAGCGAGCTATACTCCTGGGACCACCCTGACCGGAAGGCTAAGGGCCCGCAAGTGTCGGAAGCAGAAAGCCATGTGATACTTCACGATAAATGCATGATTCATTTAATGGAAATGAACAAGTAGGCCCGCACCTTCGCTGTCTCACTATCGAATACTCCTGCTAACTTGAATAATTTTTAGATACCTCTGTCTTGTTTCCGTGATCAAGAATCCTGATGCTAAAGAAAAGAAGGGACTCATTGATATGAATTGCCGGACGTTTCAAGATGCGCTCAACGAGGTGTTTAGTAGAACATGGGATCAAGAGTAATCCATAGACGGTGGCATTGGGCGGCTATCTGTTTGCAACATTGATATTAACTTGAAATACTAAAAAAATGCCGAGAACTGGAGACTGTATGAACTGTTTCAAAGCTGTCAGAGTTAAAGTCGCGCTGTCACTATATACACGGCTAGGTAGTTCCTAAAGCTGAAAAATAGACAATAATTAGGATCCTATCTATCCATATATATATATATATATAATATTCCCTCCTGTGATTAAATTTAATTCCAGGCATCAACTTGTATATCTTTACGGCTGGTCTTATCTAAATACCTGGTTAACTTGTCACTATCTGCGTCATTGCACATGTGACCAGGATCAGCTCCGGGTTGATAATCCTAAACTTCCACATCAACAACTCCAAAGCCCAGCATAATACCAGTTCCTTGTTCTAACCCCATAGCCCCTTTAAGCCAGCCTCGGGGTATAACTACTGCATAGTAGGCTTTTGAGTGTGGCAATGGCCAATGTACGGTACAGAGCCAGGGTAAGGTCACTATCCCAATCCCTAAATCATATGCACTTAAGCATGAGCTAAAGTTATTTCAAGGGTAGCAATTACCCTCAGGCAGGCGGTTCGAGTCAGTTCGATGACAGCGTGTACCCCGGTAGGAGGACGGCAGTTGTGGAAGAATTGAACACAAGTGATGAAGAAGATGAGGGAGTCGAACAGATTGAACCAACTGAGCCAAAGGCAGAGCAGGATAGCAGCCCCAGCATAGGGATTATCGATATATTACGCTTTATATTCTTGGTTTTTATCATATCATCGGGTTTATCCTACTACATTACTTCGGATTCAATAATATGGGGTTACCAACGGCCGTGGTTTACAAGGCCGCAAGTGTTGCTCAGATACTTTGTGAGTACTGCATACCCGCGAAAGTGCTTTGAAAAAATATACTGATGCGCCCTCCCTTGTCTAGAAAGGTCCTCTCATCCTCTCTCGCTCGGAATTGTCTCTATACAACGGCACAGACCCCAATCTCCCTGTATATGTCTCTGTAAACTACACCATCTACGATGTCTCTGCAAATCGACGCATGTACGGCCCGGGAGGAGGCTATGGGTTCTTTTCTGGTCGAGACGCAACGCGTGCATTTGTATCCGGTTGTTTCAAAGAAGACCTGACCTCCGACCTGCGCGGGTTAGAGGAGATGTATATGCCTATCGAAGATGTCCCAGACGAGGAATTGACCAATGCCCAAAAGAAAATTCGACGAGAGAAGGAGTTAAGAGAGGCACGAGCAAATGTCAGAAGACAGGTTTTACACTGGCAGAACTTCTTTGCTGACAGCCATAAGTACTTTGAAGTCGGCAAGTTGATACGCGATGGGGAAGATGAGAAAGGGGAGAAGAGAGAACTCTGTGCCAGTGCCCAGGGAGCGAGGCCCAAGAGGTCAGAGATGAAGAAAGGAACGACAGCTAAAAGCCAGCCTACGTATCCTCCGGGTGTGAAGAAGGGAGGAAAGCATTGAATGGCTCCCATCTTCTATATATACCACATCAATGTCAGGACATAGAGTGGCGGGCACCAAACCGAAACATATTGACCTATATCCGATACGATAGTAACTCTGAAGCTGTCAACTTTTGCTTGATTGGCGTGATATCTGAAGCGGTCTTCCTTTTTCTAATTCCGTTTTCATTTTCGGATGGCTGAACATTAAATAACATTAAGCCTCATTCGTACCGTGCAAAGGGTCCCCTTTTTCCCCATTTCATTCCACCCAATGGAATAGAAAGGGAGCAGGCACTAATGGAAGAGGAAAAAAACGAGAAAACATCATAATATTTCTCGTTGTCGCTACATGATGATGATGAACCGTGTCAAGTAAACGTAAGGTGTAACGCCAGGGGAATACAAAAGGAGGACAGAAAAGAAATCCTAATGCGTTTTCTTTACTCGGCGGCAACGGCACGGGCTAGATTAAAGAGAAAGACGTTAGTTTATTCCACCACGAACAGCTTTTGATGTATCCGATTCCACAGTATCTAGCGTGCTGTAGGTCGGATAGAAGGGTTGACATACTGTAGATGTTCATCTTAGAGTGTCCAACAACCTTCTTGATCTGACCCTTCTCCTCGAGGTCGGCAAGGGCCTTTCGGGCAAGGGAGCCGTTGATCTTTAGTCTGTCGACGAGGGTTGCGACAGTGATCAATCGGTAGGACTGGACATCCTTGTAGAGCTTCTCGGAGGTGGTCTTGTCGAGAACGACGGCGTGGACGGCCTTGTCCTTGACTGTCCAGAGCATTAGCTATTCGTTCTTTTTCCTTCATTTCACAACTTGTACAGTCGGTCTATCGTGACGTTCTTCCGCCGCATCTTCAATTGAACATCGCCAAACAACCCAGTACAAGCGAGCGCGCCTCATATCCGTGCTAGGAATATCTCTTACCCTTTCCCTTCGACCACTTCTTCTTTTGCTTCTTGCCTCCGGCGGATGCTGATGGTGCCTGTACGTCGAGCCGTTAGTAACGCTGCCAGAAGGTCGGGGAAAGGTACCGGAGTCGCAATAAAAGCTATGCGCCTATGCGCAGGCTCGCCTCACGGTGAACAACACCAGGTATACTGACCATTTTGGATGAACTTGCGGATCGTTGTCGACGGGAAGAATCAGCGACACGAAAGAATCAACTTCAGGCTTTCTTTTCGACGTCGCCAAAAATTTACCAAGTGGGGTATGACTAAGCGGAAAGCCCTAAGCCCTAGTCAACTATATTAACTAGTCTATATGGTGCTGTTTTAACATTAGTCATGCAAAACATGGCCGCTTTAAAATGTATTATGTAATTATTTATTTTTACTCTATTTTTCTTTATTTTTTTCTTATTTTTCGGTCTTTGTGAGAGGAAAGTCAACGTCGCTCAGGGGAGGCAGAAGCTCTGCGGCATCATCGATGGCGGCCACTTTGTGCAGCTGAGTCGACGAACCGGTGCCAGTGAGATATCCCATCTCGTATCCTCGCTGCCCTCCCACCCAGAAGAGGCCGCCCATCTCCTTGTCTGTCTTGATCCAGCCAACTTCAGCTCGCCCTCGCAGACTGCGGATTATCGCACCGCGAGGACTTCGGCCACAGAGCCACTGGTGGACTGCTATCGTGGTATCGTCCCCGCTCATAGTCATTAGGAGATCCGGGATCTCACTGTTCCAACATAATTGCTTGATGTTGGCGCTGTGGACAAGAGCTCCTGACAGAGTTGGCTTGCTGCCCTCAACAGACCACATCCAAGCTATGTTGGGCATACTTTCGTCAATAGTCACAGCTGCACTGCTTGTGGGGTTAAATGATATGTTGGAGACGATGCGGTCTTCTGCCGATAGGTTGTAGGTATATGGAAACACAGGTGATTCTGGAGCCAACATGTAATCCGTGATATCTGGTATCGTCGACTCCTGTTCAACATACACATCACGCCCAATAGGCTCTGTGGTTGGATCTCCTAATACAGCTATAAGCACGAACTGTTGATTTCCACCAAAGTAAGCATTATTGTTTATTTTATTGCGCCATAGAATGGAAAGACATACCGCTGTCCCACTTATCAGCTCAACAGTGCCATCATGTTTGCCAATGGCCAAAAGCTGAGAATCTGGACTCCATTCAACAGTTCTGACACCAAAGTCATGGTCATCGTCACCGGTGCTAGATCCTTCATAACTCCTAAATCGCTGACCATCGGCTGTGTAAATTACTACCATAGTGCCTTGGCTTGCGGTATCCCACACTGCTATCCAATTACCATCAGGGCTCCATTTCAGGCCCCTTGCGTCCGTAGTAGGGAGATTGACAGCTGTAATAACTTCATGGGATCCAACTTCATGTAATGATAGAATATCTCCTGTATTCCCTTTAGTCAACACCGCGAGATGTCCAGAGCTTGGGCGAAATGCGTAGGTTGAATGCCCCGCAAACTTTGGGCATTTGATAACTCGCTGATGGCCTGATGTGAGAGAGAATATCGTCAAATGGGTGTTGAATTCAGGTATAACAATGATCTCATCGCCTGATTGAGAGAAGCTCACATGGGCCAGCCCTGTAATCTCCCCGGCATCTATTTTGGCTGACCATGTCTCCTCGTTGGCGTCATGAACAAAAATTTTATTCCCGCCGGCGCACAACACGCGCTGTATGGTAGTATTTTCATCCCTTTGTCCAGGCAAGGATTGCTCTCTGGATTCTCCAGTAGCCCATTGTAGGTGTTTAACAGGCCCTGTCAAGTCTTGCAGGGAGATTGGCCGGATATCCCCATCCCCTTTAAGTGAATGGATTTTTAACTCTTTCTCTCCCGCTGTAGCGGCGAATCGACCATCGTCAGATAGAGTAAAAGGCATGTTATACTTGAAAGTAATAGTTAATTGGGCGGTTAAGTAGTATATTTCAGGGAGCTGGAGTAACACCTGGTAGTGGACTTGTTACTGTTTATATCAACACCCGATTTTGCTTTTTAGGGGGAAAACTCAAAATATCAGTAATAATAACAATAACTAATCAACTGACTACCAACACCCGTCTCCCCGAAAAGGCCAAACTCGAAAACATTCACGGCTTTTGCATGGACTGATTCAAAAAAAAAAAAAAAAAAAAAATTAAGTAGCGTGGGGAGATAAATTCTATATGACCCATGCTGCACAACTAGCCCGTGTTGATAGCGTCCAATATCAGGTTAAATCAATCACTTCAGTGTCATGTACCACACTAGAAGCTCCTTCAGGATTTAAATCTGAAGTCGCCGAGCGTTTTCTCCCACTGACTTCAGAGTTGGAGTGCCCAATATAGTCATCTATCGGGCGATCTTTGATAACAATATCAAGAGCCATTAATGACTTGTATGGGGCGGACCCGAGGAATTCTTCGAGCTCTGTAGGAGAAACAATACTGTTTATATTCTTCACAGCATCAACAGCCCTACTCTTCCACATGGTGGCTGGGTTTTCGAGCTTGGTAATCACCAAGGTATTTGGATTACCCGAGCGGCGAGTTTCGTGACGAATTGTCCGATCTTTGTTAAGAGCCTGGTGTATATGAAACCGACGGCTCGAGTTTATCCGCAGCTCAAGTACTTCTTGCGTATGACTTTCCAGGAATGCATTAAGCTCAGTGCAGTCATTGCATCTGCAGCTTGACGCCGGTGGGCGTCTCCAGCTCGCCACTGCGTTACTTCTCGGACGGACGTATCTTAAAACGTATTCCAAGATCGCCCTTAGAACGAAAGTCGACTCCGCGGATCCCTGTTTATGGCCAGTTCGACCCGGCAAACCTGACACTATACCCCGAAGGAAAGGGACAATTATATTGGGGAAGGCCATTTTAAGCGACTGAGACTGTTTTATGGCACGAATAATGCCAGCATGAAGAATGGACAGGGGTATATCGAAATCAAGACACTGTTCGTAAATACTGATCAAATCTTCACCCTTGAGGGCCGAGGATTTATATTGTATGCTTGTCCGGAGCGGCCCAAAACTATTCACGGGCTTTGCTTCGAGACCTTGGTCCAGATTGAAGTCTTTGACTAGATCTTCGAAAGTTCTTCGGTAGAACGCACGGAACCCTTCCATACGGAGATGTCCGTTTATATATGAGGTTCCTAGTTTAGCTAGACATGATGCCGTAATACCACAAGCGGCCACCTGTCGTAGTAAAGCGATTGTACTTAAATGCAAGTTAGAGAAACGTTTGCGATATAAGATTTAAAGGTATGCAGTAAGCTCACTCTTGAAGTTTCTCAATTGTCGGGTATAACGTGAGTATACGGACTATAGAGTCTACTTCATCCCGAGTACCATTTCGTAGTCTTGGTAGAAGCCCGGCAAGTTTTTGCTCCCGCCAACATAGCAAATCAACCCATTCGGCTGGCCTTCTCTCGTCTGGAATGTCAATGCACGCTGAGACAAGGTCGGTTGCCACCACGACTTGTTTCGCTGGGTGATCCCGAGCTTGTAGGAAGATATAATTAAGCCTGAGGTTCTCAGCATCAAAAATTTAGTAATCGGGAGTTCGACTCTTTCATGCAAACTTACGCTTTCTTCACAATTTCGTATTCCTGGCCGACCAAGTTCTCTGCAATGCATGGGTAGACCTCTGGAGAAACAAAAGCTGCATGTAGCTTTATCGTTTTTTCGAATAATTCATTATTCCCGATCATGTAGAGTCCCTGGGCTATGATACTAAGGACAGTATCGGAGAATTTATACCTGAAGGTACTGCTTACGCGCCAGCCAGGTCTCGAAATTGCATGGTATTTTTCGTAAGCTTCATTGTGTCCCAGAACCAGCTCTACAAGGCGGTTGAACTCCTCGCGTGATTCGGTATTTTCGGGGTCCTTTATTAGCAGCAACAACCTGTTCAGCCAGGATGCCAGTTTCTCCTGATTGCTTCCATTTATGCCTCGGAAGCGAAAATAAACATCAAGTCTTTTGGGGACGATAACGACAGCCTTTTTCGTAGTATCAGCGTATCAAGTAATATAAGAGATATTAAAAGTTTGCCCCAACCCACCGTATTTCGATAGAAGTGGCACACAGATGTGCCTTCGTTTCCTGTATACCCCGAGTAATCCTCATCCGTAGGGATTCCACGTAGGACATTCATTTGGATATACTCCCAATTCTTAACAGGAATCTCGCCGCATACGGGATTTCCTTGCGAGTCGATTACCGGTTTCATGATGGTGCTATCATCAATGGTATCCTGAATCTCATAATAGCCCTGAGAATTTGTGTAATCATCGCATGAGCCCCTAACTTCTCGCTCTACATTTCCTAAGTAAAGGTTGAAGCCTAGTTCCTCACAGGCTGCCTGGAGTTCAGCCATACGGGGGCGGTCTGAGCCTTTCATCGACTGGAAACTCAGGCTAGAGTCTGTGTACATGTGCGAAAGCTTGTACAATAGCAAATACGGGCCTTCGTCTTCGGCTCTGGGCTCCCAAAATTTTAACACATTTCTCAATGCACTAGACTCTGAGCTAGGAGCCGACGGTACATTGTCCGTACCTTCGAGAATCAAATTGTAGGTTAGGACCAGACGATGTCCACTGGTGATGGGTTTGATCTCGTGGAAGACATCCGAATACCATGCAGCATATGAGAATCCGGCCATTGATGTGGTGGATGTTTTGAACTGCATGCTCTTGCCCCGATGGTTGAGGACAATTTCACCTCCTTCGTGTTCTGTAGGCAAGCAGACGACCAAAGTAGCAAACATCCCATCTGCTTTTGGAGAGTCCTGATGGGATAGGAAGAATGCGTCCTTTTCGTAGATAAGAAGCTTGTAAGGGTCTGCTCTGATCGAGCCTACCTTATCGGCAACACCCAGCGCCTTGCCGACATCAGCGATAATCTTTTTCATGTAGTTGGCCCATCCGGGAGCCTTGATATCGAACTCGGTGGTGTTGAGCTCCCAGCATTTCCGCACAGAGGTGTCAACTAGCGTCTCTTCACCCTTTCCGAACGGACTTCTGTGACAGACATCGATAATGGCGTTGGCATCGTCGGGGGACAGAGGCAGCTTCACCGCCCGGTCTAGGCCATTGATATGGAGGTTTGGGTCAAGGATCCCATTTAGACCACGGAAACAAGCAAAGTCGCCCTTTGAATCAATTGAGCGTAGTGCTTGATGAATCCTTTTCTTGATACTCGTGATCTCTGGTGTGTCTTCACCGCTGGAATCGTCATCATAATCTTGGCCTTTGGGCCACCCGTCGTCACTCATGGCCGTTTGGTTCGTACCACGCCGCTCGTAACTGAATTAGTATAAAGGTTTTTCCGGACTCCAGGGATCCCGATAGTCAACGAAGAGTTATCTGGTGTTCAATGTCTTTTCGTTTGCCCTCTTGCGATGATGAGATGACCTGAAGCAGCCAAATAGCAACTAGTTAGTTAATTTAACTACGACAAAAGCCGCGATCAAACGCGTTTCGGGCACCTGGGCAGGAACACGGTCACGTGGAATTAAGTTAACATTTATGAAAGTTAATGTCAGGATTAGTCATCCTTTATGTCTGTAGTTCGAATAGGCGGGAGCTGACTAAGCAGAACATTTGACACTAGTAAACCTTATGGCTATTTATAATTCTAAATTCTTATTGGCTGAAAATGCGGCTTCATGGACCAAAAGCCCAATCGGGTCTCCGCTTATGTCGCTTCCAATAATGTGCAATTTCAACATCGCGAAGCTGAACTATATAAAAGGAGTCTTTTTACTCCTGACGGGATGGAATTATATCCAGATGCTCACACGTAGTTAGTTGATCAACCCAAGATACTAATTATGACCTCTGGAAGACAAGAACCTGTCATCGTTGCGTCCTGCAAACAAACTCGGTTCCATCTAGCCGAGGGCAAGGGTTCGGGAGAGGTATATCCATATCTATGTAGAACTTATAATTTCGATAGTTACTAACTTCTATCTAGATTGACATTCAGGGGCTAGACATACTTATTGCCTCTCGCCCATCTCAGAGTCAGGATGCAGAGCATTCAGGGGCAGGAAAGGCGAAGGCCCGAAAGAAGGAGAAAGCTGGCCTAGGAATAGAGATTCTCACTGGCGCGAATCTTCGTTTAAAGGCTGGAGTCCATTATGGCCTTGTTGGTCGAAATGGGACGGGGAAGTCAAGTGAGGCTAACCCCTGTATTCTTGTGGGCGGATATAACACCTGGTATTGACATATCTGAATAGCCCTACTCCGAGCCATGGCCGATAGGCTGATACCCGGGCTGCCTGAGCGTGTCAAGATTGCAATTCTCCAGCAAACTGATGTTGAAGCTGACATCGATTCTGATCCGGCATCGTCGGCCATTAGGGGTATATCAGCATTACGAGTCAATGATGAATCGTCAAAGAAGGAGCCAAAGACTGTCTTACAGCAAGTTGTGCAAAGTGATACATCACGGAATGAGATCACAAGGAAAGTAAAGAGTATGTAATTTTCTGTCAACCTTTGATCCTGAGTGAGTGAAGCTGAAGGTATTGGTGAAAGTTCTATCACAGGCGCTGGAAGACCATGAAGACCCCCTAGCACCGGCAAAGGCCATCAGACAACTACGGCATGAAACTTGTCAGCACCAACTGTTTCTGGCTCAGAAGAATGCAAGTCTGAGGAGCGGCGCTAGGGGGCTACAAGCAAGAAAGGACTTGAAAACAGCGGAAAATAGGCTTGAAGAGTCAGCAGAGCGGTAAGCGGATGAGTTTCCATACTCAAAGCAAGAGCATGGCCACTGATAGCGAATAGCCTCAATGATGACCTTACCACCTTGGATGCCTCCAGAATTGAACAAGAGACCCAGGCAGCGGTTGAGTTACTTGCTGATGTGGAGGCACAGTTTGAAAGTGTAAGTGCCTTAGGACTGACATAAATATACTATGTGCTAAGTGGATATATATTTAGATGAATGTTGTAGACTTGGACCAAGAAGCCCGGAAGGTTCTTCTAGGTCTAGGCTTTAAGGACACTGATTTTGATCGACCATTCCTCTCTCTATCAGGAGGCTGGCGTATGCGATGTATGCTGGCTGGAGCATTGATCCAAAGTGCGGATATCATGATTTTGGATGAGCCAACTAACTTCCTTGATATGCTCGGTGTTATATGGCTGGAAACTTACCTCAGTCGAATGCAGGAGAATTCCGATAAGACAGTGGTAGTGGTTTCTCATGACCGGGCGTTCCTCAATAATATATGCGAGGAACTTATAATCCTTAGGGACAAGACACTTACCTACTTTAAGGGCAATGTGTCTGCATATGAGCAAGATCGAGAGTCTCAAAAGCTTTACTGGGGGCGTATGAAGGAGGCGCAGGAACGACAGACGGCACATATTGAGAATACGATCAAGAACAACATGAAGATAGGCAAGAAGACAGGAGACGATAATAAGCTGCGAATGGCCAAATCCAGACAGAAGAAGTTGGACGATCGAATGGGGGTACAGGTAAGCGCAACAGGAGGCAGATTCAAGCTGAGCCGTGACCGTGTTGGATGGCATGACTCTATGCGAGCTGAGATTGAGGTCCCGGCGGACGAGAAGGGGGTATCAATCGACCTTCCAGAGGCGCCCGACCTGAGGTTCCCGGGACCGCTGCTCTCACTTGAAGGTGTGACATTTCAGTATAAACACAGCGGCCCTGTTGTGCTCAATTCCATTGATCTGGTCATGCACATGGGCGACCGCGTAGGTATCTTGGGTCTCAACGGATGTGGCAAGTCGACGTTATTGAAAATTCTAGTGGGAACCAACGAGCCAACACAGGGGAAGCTATCTCGACACCCTCGACTGAAGCTGGGATACTACTCCCAACACTCGGTCGAGGAGCTTCAGGAGCTCGGCAGATCGTCGCCAACGGAGACGGGACTGAGCCTACTTTGCAGGGAGACAGAAGGCGTGCTTGATGAAGGAGAAGTCAGAGGCATGCTCAGTTCGCTGGGATTACCTGGACGGACGGCGTCAGATGTCCCCGTTTGCCAGCTGTCGGGTGGACAGCTGGTTCGGCTTGCCCTTGCTCGAATCCTTTGGCCGATGCCACATATCTTGGTGCTCGACGAGATCACGACGCATCTTGATTTCCACACCGTCCTTGCCCTGGCTGCAGCTCTCTCGTCATATAACGGAGCCCTGCTGCTAGTCTCCCACGATCGATACCTTGTTCGGAAGGTGATCGAAGGCAAGGAGAACCTAGAGGGCGACGATGACGGCAGCGGTGGAATGGCAGAGCATGAAGCCAAGGGCCGCGGAGCGACAGCTGTGGATGAATCCCAACGCCGAGATGTCGTTGTGCTCAAGGCTGGCAAGCTGCAGCTGCAAGAGGATGGAGTTGACCAGTTCGAGGCCAGCCTGCAGAAACGAGTCCGGAAGATGATTGCTTAGCCTAGCTCCAGCGGATATTCGCACATGCGGAGCACACAGTGCGGACAACAAACTAAGCCATGAATAATCGGTTGGATCTGGAGATGGATGAATATGGGGAATGGGTTTCCCCGGGAATTTGATCTCGTCTCGAAATGCATCTGGATCTGTGTCTGATGATAATATCCGCTGAAAGGGCGGAAACTAGGCTCTTTTGGCCTGATATCATGGTCTTCACTCGCCGAAAGAGACGTCTGGAAGATGGCTATGAAGACCAAGCCCATATTTTTGAGTTGACAGGGCGTCCGTATTTTTGTTAGAGAATTACAAAGACGGCTTTCTCTGCAAGTCTCTGCAATGTTCTGCTGTCCCCGAGGCCTCCACCGGCCTGTTTTGATATATGGAGTTCGCGATGGAGAATTATGGAGAACCCGAAAGATGTATGGGGAGAAGAATCGTTACTGGGTCCTAGTCTCGGCCGGTGACATATTTGAGTATCAGATGAATGTAGTTGTCTCTCCGGTGCATTGCAACGCAGTGTGTGTTGTAGTTCGTAGATATCAACCCAATCTTCGGAGTAGTTATGTTGAAGTCGCTTTCATCACAACAACATCCAACCTCATCCACCATCACGATCACGGCTCAGATCCCAGCACCCTCAATAATGCTTCGGCAGGACATCCGCTGCTTCTGGAAAATGCTAGTTTGGCTTGTGACCCTTGGAAAAAACCCATAGGACGAAGAATATCCCGCTAGCAAGAGACATGGGACCGATCAGTGGAGAGCTCAGCGTCGTAATAATGGATCATCGCAGCACAACGCCGAAGACAAGCCGCCCAGTGACAGAAGGGGAAAATCGTGATTATCAATCAGCGTGAAAGTGACTCCGGCAAAAGCAAAGACGAGAGACTTCAGTACGAAAAACCGGCGATTGGCTTGATATGGCGGTTATCCGGAGGATAAACCTTCGTGCGGCTCGTAACGACGGGTTGAACCATGGCTCTGAGCGCCCTTGCAGACGGCCTGTACGACACAGAAAGGCTTGAAGGCCGGAAAGTCGACAGTTTGAAATGCAGACAGGATGGACAGATGGGATACAGATATTTGAATTCGGGCCAAAAGGGGGGTCCTTGATGCTGGCCGCTTCAGCAGCATATAGTTTCTATAATTATATCGAGCTGCCACAACACCGCCAACCACCACGCTCTTCACCAGCTTGTGACAACCGGCAAAAATTCCTATCCACAAGAAGATGCTAGGGGTCCTGGCGTGAGGATGCTGAGACGCCACCGGTGCCAGCGCAAAGCTCCACTAGACGAGATTTGAGGGTCAGATTTCCGGTGCCCTCGAGGAGCCTTCGACTTCCCCGGCCCCGAGACATCGTCACCAACTCCAGGGGGCAGACAGAGATGAGAATAGGATAACTAGCACCCAGACGGTTATTACTTGACGAGCGAGAACTTGCTTCGACACTTTCGTCAGGGAGTTACATCCTGCTGGCCAATTAGCTGCGACGGGCGACGGGAAATATCAGCGAAAAAGGGCACTAGAGGACCCCATGTCGGCACAACTGGGGAGACATTGGGGCCTCCAGACCCCGGTCCAGGGAAGGGATTGGAACGCTGGCCATTGGTCGGCAATATCAAGCTTGCTATCGGACCCCGGTTTAGACGCCCCCGCGCTCCCAGAGGTCCTTCAGTTGTGTGTCATATACGTCCGGAGTCGTCGTAAAAAAAATTGATAAAAGGGCTGGCATCCCTCCCCTGCGGCCCAACCTGGATCTCGGAGAATAGAAGAGCTACCATCTAACTACCTTCGATCCAAGGGACTCTGGCGTGTGTCCATGGCCGTAAAGGTCTTATAGCTTCTCTTAAAGTAGCTGAGCCCCTGGAAGGGAGAACACAGCAGGACCATGGCGGGAGACCAGTACGAGTTGAACGGGGCTGACGATGGCAAATTTGGCATCTCAGAGCATGCGAATAGCATATCTCTCGAGGATGAGCCGCGAAAGAACTCAGTCGCAAGTTTTCGAACTCGCTTTATCGACAGCTTCAGACGAGATCCCAATGCATACTTTTCGCGGCCAGCGAACGCGGACAGCCATTTCGATGCAGAGCAGGCTGCAGCCGCAACGGCCGCTTCGCCTCTGCGGCGAGCGCTGAAGTCTAGACATCTTCAGATGATCGCTATAGGAGGATCTATCGGTGAGCTGCGTCCTTAGTTTCCTCGCTTTTGCGACGTTGTCGTTAACTAATATGGCTTGCTGTAGGAACCGGGCTGTTCGTCGGCTCTGGCAAGGCGCTGGCCACTGGAGGGCCCGCATCAGTCGTGATATCTTTCTGTCTCGTTGGCATAATGCTCTACGCTACTATCCACGCCCTTGGTGAACTCGCCGTCTGTTTCCCCGTCGCCGGATCCTTCTCACACTACTCTACTCGTTTCATCGATCCAGCCTGGGGTTTCGCTATGGGATGGAACTACGCTATCATGTGGCTGACCCTTCTACCGCTTGAGATCGTCTCTGCTGCGATTACAGTTGGATATTGGAAGTCTAATGTCTCTCCTGCGGCCTGGGTCGCCATATTCTACACCCTCATTGTCTGCATCAACATGTTTGGGGTCAGAGGGTACGGCGAGGCAGAGTTTATCTTCTCCATAATAAAGGTCGTTGCGATCATAGGGTTCATGTATGCATCCCAACCTCGTTGATACCGTGACTAAAGAATTAAGGGGCATCATACTAACGAATCCTTTTTAGTATCCTTGGAATCACTATCAACTGCGGCGGTGGTCCAAACGGAGAGTACATTGGAGGTAAATTCTGGAGGGATCCCGGTGCGTTCAACAACGGATTCAAAGGCCTCTGCAGTGTCTTTGTTACAGCCGCCTTCACCTTTGGCGGAGGAGAGCTTGTCGGTCTGGCTGCAGCAGAGACCAGCAACCCTCGCAAGTCCATCCCAACCGCTGTCAAGCAGGTTTTCCGGCGTATCGTCTTGTTTTACATGGTCTCCATGACCGTTGTTGGCCTGCTGGTGCCATACACTGATCAGAGACTACTGAACGGATCAGGGAGTGCCGACATCAAGGCTTCTCCCTTTGTGATTGCTATACAGGATGCCGGCATCATCGGCCTTGACTCTGTTATGAACGTCGTCATCATGATCTCCGTTTTATCTGTTGGAAATGCTGCCATCTACGGCTCTTCTCGAACACTGGCTGCACTGGCAGAGCAACGCCAGGCTCCTCGATTCCTGTCATATATCGACCGCAAAGGCCGGCCGCTAATCGCCATTGCTGCTGCCTCAACCTGTGGACTGTTTGGATTCCTGGCTGCTTCAGACAAGCAACAAGACGCCTTTACCTGGATGTTGGCTATCTCCGGTCTTTCCTCAGTATTTACCTGGGGATCTATCTGTCTAGCGCACATCCGATTCCGTCAAGGCCTTAAAGCACAAGGCCAGAGTGTCGATGACCTTCCCTTCCAGGCCCAGGGAGGCGTGATTGGTTCCTGCATCGGTTTCGCAATCAACTGCATTGTTCTCATTGCCCAATTCTGGACAGGCTTCGCACCTATCGGCTACTCTGAGCTATCAGCCGCAGGGCGTGTCAAGAACTGGTTCTCAACCTACCTGGCTGCCCCAGTTGTGATCGCTTTTTACATCACGTATAAGCTATGGCATCGCACATCCTTTGTTCGAGCAAAGGATATGGACCTAGTCACCGGGCGCCGTGACCTTAACCTGGCTCATCTGATAGCAGAAGAACGGGCTGAAAGATTGTCCTGGCCAACGTGGAAGAGAGTGTATAAGTTTTTCTGTTGATCTACTTTATTTTAACGAACCTCTCCCTCACTCGATGTAATATGTATAAAACAAAAGAAGCGAAAGAGCAACAAATGAAATGATACCCTGTTGCTTGTACATAATAGCTTAATCTGATTCTTTACCATCAGCCTCTATAGGGCCTGATGACGGCAGTGAATGCCCAGAGTGACTACTTGATACCTGCTTCTTCGCCCTGACCAAGTGTGAATACTCATAGTTAATCACCCTGGAGAAATAGCGTTCCTGGCCCGATGCTTAGCTATAAATATGTCACCATTTTCATGAAATCTGGGACTCAGACCTGTTTAATCAATATTTCCTCAGTGATTTGCAGGCTCCAGCATCGTGGCGGAGTACAGGCTTGCCCTGAAGGTATGTGACTACCCCTGGTATTGTGAAGAAGGTGGTTGAGGTGCTGACCTACAAATAGGCGCTATGGGGGAAGTAAAGACTCCTTAACCTACAAGATTGTCGACGTAGGCCCCACTGTTACTCCGAAGTGTCATTACAGGCGGCGAAGAAGGGTTCTCCAGCCCATGCGGCTGCTGGTGGAAATTTGGTCAATGCAATCAGAGCTAGTGGTCAAGTCTCTCGAGACGCTGTTGCAGCTTATAGTCCTAACCAGACACTTTTTTCGCCTCCCATTCAGTCAGTGGCTGAACCAGAAACCTTCGCTTCTCGCTGTCCTTCATGCGAGTTAGTTCCTATGGCTGCCTCAGCAAGGTATCAAACCGCGGAGCCAAAAAGGGGAAGCCCTCAATTTGCTGCAGAGAGAGTCGCTATATCATTGACACAAGACTCTCCGCCTGTTACCATTGCTGAATATAATAACTTTTTGAGAGAGGCAATGTGGAGGATAACTCCAAGGCTCTCCTATATGCATCAAGCCGAAACACATGCCTCTGTATCTTGATTTGAACAAGGCCTAACAATGTCATATACCGACCTTTCCACCCGAGCCGCAAGAACATAACCGCAAGCAGACACTTAGACGGTTGAATACTCCCATAGTGAATGAATGGCAAGAACATGTACTTGTCGTTTGCGCCATCGTGGATGCTAGGTCGGGCGCTGTCAGTGCCATTTGCCTGTTGCGGCCGTGTGTTTTAGGAGGAACTAGGGGAACTTGTGCCGAATGTCGTCGCATGGGACGTCGGTATGAAACAATTTATGCATCTCAAAATGGCCATTTTTGGCCTTGAGAATGCTGGATGGAGTGTGGCTCCAGCTTTATACCAGCAGATGGGGCGGGTCCATGACCGCATTATGACCCCTGTTAGGGAGGCCCGTTCTAATGCTGCCCGTGTGGGTGGTACGACCCGTGCCCGCCAAATTGCGGGTATTCGATGGCTATATGATAAGCAGAGAGGGAGAAGCGCCACCCCCTGGGCCTGGGGATGCTACCCGATCCTCCCGTGTATCGACAGATCTATAACGTTATTTCTAAATTTTCTATTTTATTTCCAAGGAAACTAGAGGGACACTGTACAAACGGGCCCAGGGTATGATCAGACCCAGGAGGGCCCTGGAGGAGGTTGTGGCGGGCCCTCAAGTCCTAGCAACACTGGAGAGTTTTGGTATCCCATTAGGACCACGGAGAGAGACGGCCGTTCGCTATAATAGTAGGTTCAAAAACGCCCCCACGGAGCCCGTTGCCACTTTTGAGAGCGAACAGAATATGGCTTATGTCCCTCCTTTAGGGTAATGCGGTGTTGGATTAGGTCTGTACACGGTAACGTAGATAGATCCCCGCCACTTAGATCCCGGAATCTCAGGTTAGAAACACACTGGAACAGGCCCATGATAGGAGTGGGCACTGGGGCAAGCAGGGATAGAACCAGTAACAATAGACATCATAGACTCCTTTGGTCCCTTGGGGCAGTCTAGTAGGTTGAACCTGTCCTAGTCCCGGGATGTTGAAAGCCAAGATATACCGGTCGTCAGGATGGACGGGTATAGAGAAGTAGGCATGTTTGAGGTCAGCTTGCCAGTAGCAGACTATCCTAGATCGCTTCCGCAGACCTGGAGCTGTCTAACTCAGTGGGACTCCTTACTACCTAAGGCCTCTAGACTGGTTAACTCACGCCTACTCACAGGCACCAGGTACTCGCCTCAGGAGGTCCTAATGGGATACCAAAACTCCCCCGTGTTGCTAGGACTTGAGGCCCACCACAACCTCCTCCAGGGCCGGATTACGCGCCTACACCTGAGGACATAGAATCCTACGTACGAGTCTCAGTTATGGAAAGATAATTACGCTGAGATTACAAATCCTTATTTCAGGGCCGTCACAGCTTGGGGTTGCACCTATCTTAGGGCTGCTGCTTGTGAGGATAAGACCAGAGACATAGCTGGCCAGATTCCCCTCAAGTTGTCCCTCGTCCTGGACGATCTGTTACATCCATATGCTTAGTTATGTATTTAGTCAGCTAGCTATTTAGTTACAACGTCGCGACGTCCCGACAAGACGTCAGACGATCAACAATACAACTACCTGACAGGTTAACTACTACGCTTACCACGTAGATTGTACCAGACACAGCCTTTTTTCGCGGGAATGACTCTGCGTTTCCTTCCGGAGAACGCTCGCATCAGACTCAACCCAGCGAAAGGTTGTGACATCGAAGGTGATACCCTGGAAGATGGTCCGCCTGTCAAGAACCCATTTCTCGCGGGCTTACCAGGACCAAGGTGGGTATACCCACCTATGAACAAGGGGCATTGGTTTTTATCAGGACCAGGAAGACGCGGAAGCTCACTCCTCCTTGGAGAGGGCCTTTTACTGTCATATAGCGTATCTTACCCGGACGGTACTCCTTTCAAATATAAGATACAGTCACATGTCTGTCGGACGGGTTTACCGGCAAGGGAAATCTGGAGACATATTGGAAACGAAGAAGTGTCCCATGTCATTGGTTAGCATCAATGATATAATGACTCTCTCTGCAGCCAACCAGGGGGTTCCCCTTTTTGGCCCAGCAGTTTGATAGTTGGTTACCAGTACCCTGTGAATATGTCCTTAGCTGAATTAATAGAAAGATGTCAAACGGCTGAGCCAAGGAGACGAGCCCACTAGTTGGCGGCAAAGAGAATCGTACATTTAAACGTCCAGTAGATCAATAGTGGTATCTCCTCTATGCACCTTATCATGTCGATGTTTTTACCTCCGGCGGCTCGGCTTGTCGTTAATCTTCGGCTAACCTTAAAGCCGAACTCCGCCATTCACGTGACCGCGGCTATTCGGCCCTCCAGAGTCGATCCTGGAAGGGATTCGTATATTTGCGGAGACGGACGACGAAACGACAAACATGATGACACAGGAAGATTAAGTGAAGCTGAGACACGAAGGGGCCCTGTCCTTAAGATGCCGCAGAGCTGAGAGCTGAGAGCTGTTTGATGTGGGTGTCTGTAAAATGCCATAACATCTGCATAGCCCGGTTTCCCCTCGCTCCAACCCATCGCAGGGTTTCCTTCACCATGGCCGCCCATTGCAGCCGCATTGCAGGGCGAGCTCGGTACCCCGGTATACCGCTGCAGAGCCAGTGTTTGCGCAGGTATTCGAGCAGTTGTGGCCAGGCAGTGTCCAAGGAGCCATCTTTCCGGCCGCCTTCGCTCGATGTACCACCTCGACCCTCGCCCGAACTTCAACCACCATCGTCTCGACTTGACTCGCTCAAGGATGCAAGGCCGTTCTCCTCCTTCTTGACAGATACTTTTAGCCGGCAACATGATTATCTTCGGATCAGCATCACCGAGCGCTGCAATCTGCGGTGTCTCTATTGCATGCCAGAAGAAGGCGTCCCGCTTTCACCGCCGGAACATCTGCTTACTACACCAGAAATCGTGTACCTTTCGACCTTGTTTGTATCACAGGGAGTGACCAAGATACGGCTGACTGGTGGAGAGCCTACCGTGCGCAAGGACATACTACCGATGATGCAGGATATTGGCAAGTTACGTCGTGATGGGCTTAAAGAATTATGTCTGACTACGAACGGAATATCACTCCACCGGAAACTTGACAGTATGGCTGAAGCAGGGCTGACTGGAGTCAACTTGAGCCTCGATACCCTAGATCCTTTCCAGTTTCAGATCATGACAAGACGCAAAGGGTTTGAAGCTGTGATGAAGAGTATCGAAAAGATATTAGAGCTAAACGAACGCCACGGCGCTGGTATTAAGCTAAAGATAAACTGTGTGGTCATGCGGGGTATGAATGACCGGGAGATACTCCCCTTTGTCGAGCTGGGCCGTGACAAGGCGCTCGAGGTCCGATTCATTGAATATATGCCATTCGACGGGAACAAATGGAGTAAAGGGAAGATGTTCTCCTACCAGGAGATGCTTGATGTCATCAAAGCAAAGTATCCGGGTTTTGAGAAAGTACCCGATCATAAGAATGATACCAGCAAGACATATCGGGTACCAGGCTTCAAAGGGAAGGTTGGCTTCATTACTAGCATGACACATAATTTCTGCGGGACATGTAACCGTCTCCGGATCACCAGCGACGGGAACCTGAAGGTGTGCCTCTTTGGCAACACAGAAGTGTCTCTAAGAGATATGATCCGGCAGGAAAATAACAACAAGCCAATAGATGAAGATGCTCTGCAGTCTTTGAACCTCCTCGAGTCGGCTAGACAGGCTGCTCGAGCTGAGGACCAAGGCTATCCAGTGAATGAGCGGGAGAGAGAACTTTTGCATATAATTGGCGCCGCTGTCAAGCGCAAGAAGGCAAAACATGCCGGGATTGGTATCTTGGAGAATATGAAGAACCGTCCCATGATACTGATTGGTGGGTAGGATTACTCCTCTTTTCCTTTTCTCATTTTTACGATGATATATAACCACCTATCTATGTACTCCCCTTTATGATACCATGAAAAATTATGAGACCATCATTAGTTTTATATGATTGGTTGTATATACGTCCAGATATACACTTATAGGCATTGGGTTCCTCAAATTTCAACTACAATTACTAAGATCAGCTTTGCTATAGATGAAACTACTCCTAGGAATATTCACCATTACAATCATCACCCTCCGGTTAAAAGAAGAGCCCGAACATTAATCTCACCCCTTCGGTTGTGGCAGTCTATTCCAACCCATCTCCTAGGTATCGACAGGTCAATGGGGCAATCCCCCCGTTTATATTCTACTCGGAAATCCTCGACAGGCGTAGAACTGCCGCCTTCAGCTTCATCGCAATCAAAACCGACCAAAGATAACACCATTCGTGACCTTCCAACCACATCCCATGCAAAGCTTCCCCATCTTACTCCAAACGAAACCGTCCATATGACATCAATAGGTCATAAGCCAGAAACGAATCGTTTGGCGACTGCTGTGTGCCGAGTTACATTCTCCAATCCGACCCCTATATCACTTCTAACTACTGGCGACAGCCTTATGAAAAAGGGAGATGTGCTGTCTGTTGCACGCATAGCAGGCATTATGGCCGCTAAGAAGGCAGCGGATATTATCCCACTGGCTCACCCCGGTCTGGGAATAACTGGTATTGAAGTAGATGTGGCCATATGTCCGCCTCATCCAGAAGGGAGTATGCCAAATGAGAAGAACAGGGTAGACAATGGAGTTCACGGCAGTATTCTCGTTACATCGAGCGTTAGCTGCCTTGGACGAACAGGGGTGGAAATGGAGGCAATGACGTCTGTATTGGGTGCTGCCCTTACAGTGTATGATATGTGTAAAGCTGTGGACAAGGGGATGGTGATCGGTGAAGCCAGAGTTGTTCGAAAACGAGGAGGGAAGAGTGGTGATTGGGAAGAAGGAATTCGAGTCAGAGATTCCAAGGAAAATAGTAATGAAAAGGAGAATTAGATCCGTCTATAAAAGAATTACCAACAAGTATAGATATGAAACTGTGAACACAGTACACCTCGAAATGTAGAACAAGAGAGAATCTCAATATCCAAAACTAGATGTAGAACATGCTATCGGCCAAATCTGTATGCACACCCCAGAGCCATTTAGACTGCGATACATTATACGGGGTAACGGCGTGGTGGTCCTTTTGGTGGAACGTATCATACAGATAGCACCGGCCTCTTTCACAAAGAATATCTGCATAATATGCTGGAGTAGCAATCGAGACAGACCTTGTAGCTCTTCCGAATACATATGACAAGTTATGCGTCTGTGGGAATAGATATTAGTCAAGCACGAGGATTGAGCTATGGGGTTGAATGAGAGAAAGCATACCATATTCTGCAATTCATTAGCAGTAAAATTATTCCCGTCCCTCAAAACAACGTAGTGCGCTGGTCGACATGTCCCTTGGATCCCGGCATGAGCAACCAGGAAGAAGTCGAATTCCCGAGCCGTAGTACAGCCACGATCAACCACTGTACCTGGGAGGACATTCTCAGTTTTGTCGTCTAGTGGTTCATTCAGGACTGGGTAGAATCTAAGATAGTTCAGTCAGCCCCTTATTACAAATATCATCACCATTTTAAAACGAAGGTGTATGTGTATGCTTGCCTTGTATGGTGTCTTTTCCCTACGATAATAAGGGTGACTTTTGGATGTTTGCCGTTTCGATAATAGCGACATACTGCATCGTTAATCTGTGGCAATTCAAGATCAAGAACTTGCTTGTACTGGGACTCCGAGACACCGTCTCTGTAGACGATTATTTTCTCGGGAAGGTGGCTCTGATCTTTCCAGCTCTTCAACCTCTCTATGACCATCTCACCCAAATTTTCAACCATTTCAACACAGTGAGCTTGAGTTCGAATACTCGCTGGCCACTGTCCTAGCATTGGGTCGCAGTTTGCAACCACGCCTGCTATGCTTGGGGCATTCGGTATGGAGTCAGTCCCAGTGGGATGGGTCACATCAATCCCCAGATACATAATTGGGCATGACTGGTACTTTTTCAGTGGTTCAAGTTGGTGATTCACACCCCCAAGCTTCAGATTGATTTTAAGGGCCAAATTTGCCAGGTATGAGGGTTGTATGTTGATCTGTAGTGGTTCTCCCGGACGGCCATTCTTCGGAGGTTTTGGCACTACGCAGAGTGTATGGCAGCCATGCTTCACATCAGCAGAGTATTTCACCTTCGAGTATATCTCTGCATCGTAGCGAGGGAGAACTATAAGGGTGAATTCTTGCTTCATTTTCTTGACACGTAAAAAATACTCATCAAGCGAATTTTCAATGTCTCTCTCGTCTAGAGAAAGCCTAATAGTATCCCTAGAAATACGGTCCGTAGGCCAATTGACCCCATAATTTTTCATATGTTTGCCAAGTTCCGTCATGAACTGTGTAGTTTCAGGGGCACCCTGACCTCTATAGGGTATAATAATGAGACATCCAACACGGTTATTGGGACCAAAAGCACCAGGCTTGTTAAATGCAATATTCTTGGAGAGATTCCAACTGCCTGGCCTGTTCACCGTAACTGGGTATTTATACAAAAGCTGTGGAGGCGATAGTACTGATCCGGTGACAGCGAGCATGTTCCGTGCAACTTCAATCCCAAAATCCTTCTACAAGCTGTGTATCAGCAAATGATCACTATTAACAATATCATTACAAGATAGATGCGGCTTACCAGACTTTTGATATTGCCAGTATCTCCCATCACCCCCATAAGTGGTAAACCCCTTCGGACTATAGAGTTTGCATTAGCACCAGGGCGGCAGCAGGCCACTTTTATCATATCACTTGTCTGTCTGGCTGAGAGGCGTTGTCGTGCCGGCTGGCCAGGAACAACATAGCAAAGCTCAGCTGGCAGGTATATTGGTTTTCCTTTGGCACCAACATCTACCACAATCTGATCGTTTTCGATAAGGTCGATGCTGTAGACTGTTCCAGAGCATTAGCACTTAGCTGCTACAGGCAAAGGTACAAACTGCGTAGACCGACCTTGACGATAAAGTTCCCTGACACTGACTTCCCTTTCCCTCCCTCCACTAGGCCACTCAATTCGAATATTGTCAATGGTGCCTGGCAGATTATTCCGTTTCACAATAGACTTTATTGTTTTGATTCCCGTGGCCTGGCTGATCGCATTGTTCGGGCACGATAGCACCACCCGGAGTTTGTGAAGGAATTTATTAAGTTCCTGTAATCTCACAGAGCCGCTGAGCCTTCTGCCTTGGTCGAACATGCATACAAGCGTATGGAGAGTACCAGCATGGTAAAAAGCACCAGTAGAAACATTCAGGTTCAGAAGAAGCCGGCCTGTTGATGGCCGCACTGAATGAAAAAACCCACGAATAGCATCGAGTCCAGCCCCTATTTCGTGTTTATTCCGTTGATCGTGAAGCAGGAAATGTTTGCTTTGACCCAGGAATTGAGTGTTTGGCGATTCGTTTGGAAAATGGGCGAGGACAACATTGAGAGCTTGGATGGCTTCATTCCTTTCGTCAGGGTTATATGTTTCAATGGAAGACTTGAGATCGTCCAAAACTTCCCCCATTCGAAATACCCGCTGTAGTTGGATAGTTACCCGGTACGAAGGGGAGTTGAGAGATAGCTGTTCCTCTTTCTCATAGTACTGGACCATTACCTGCTTCATGTTTAGCTCTTTGGTGGAGATAATTTTATCCTTGTAGTTTGTGGCAACGGGGTGGGAAGTTAATGACCTGTGGTTAACAAGTAATGAGAGGAGTCGGCGTGTTCGATGACGGCCGAGCTCTACTCCAGGGTCGAGCAGGGCGTAATATTGGTATAAAGTGACTTTTTCAAGCCCCTGGATTTCAAAGTAGTTGGCCCAGAGCTTGACTTTTCTCTCATTCGCATTGTTATATCCCGGCCTGACAATAGGCTTTAAAGGAGAATCACGCAGGGATAGATTCATGAGCTTTGTCTCAAGCGTAGAATCCCTTTTTGCAACCACGCTGTCTTCTAGGCTCTTCAGTTTTTCTGACAGAATATGCGGGCCTCCACTAATTAGGACCAGTTAGAAGCTGGAATATAAAAGGCAAGTTAAGGGACCGTACTCGTATATCTCCGGTGCCCGGCTCCCACTAGGGGAGAAGGATGTAGCTGCAGAACTGTGTCCGCCTCGAGGGGGAAATGATCGCCCTCTTCCTCGATATTCTCCCCTCCCACGAGATCCACTGCGGCCTCTGTGCCCACCACTAGGGAATGGATGATTATTGTGAGAGCCTCCATCATCTGCACTGAGCCGCCTTCGCCAATCTCTTGTGTTCATTTTGATGAATGTGGAAGCAATCTTTTGACTAACATAATATTATTAGACATGTCAACTAGCGGTATGGCTGGCGGGTTGTGGAACCCAGGATAGTTTTATAGTAGTACGCTGTAGTACTTGATGTTTGCCATTGTTTATTGCGCAAAGACAAACATTCAATTCAAGGCCCTGGTATCTTAGATAACAAACAGTTTCCCCGTTAGAACCTTTGGCTATTCGATGAATAACGAAGAAATAAGCAGTTGGTATATGCTTATATTCAATCAGGGGTATCAAACGGGCATTGTTATGATTGTTATGCCACGGTGGGAAAACATGGTATGGCCTGCTTCGCAGAAAGCTATTTGCTAATGTGAAATAGAACTGTGTAAAATGAACACAGTTCCGTTTTCAAAGCCCTCCTCCTGTAGTTACAATCTTGTATAGAAAGGAGTTTGGTGCCGGCCGGACGGTTTTGAAGGCCATTTTGTGACAATTATTTGATGTATAATAGCGTCGGCAAAGGAAAAATTGGTGATCGTGAGGTAACAGATGCCGGTGTTGAAAAGTATACTGTAGACAGATTGTAATTAATTTGGATGACAGGGTGGTGTATTCAGATAAACAGTCTAAAGATAGTGCTAAAGGGGACTTTTTATACACGAAGGGCAGGAAATTACTCGCCATCGCTAGAATCATCCTCGGCCATACTATCGTCTTCGTTGTCATCGGTGATGTTTTTCTTTTTATTCTCCCGCTCCTGGGCTCGGCTGCTTTCTAATAGCTTTGCTCGTTCGGCTCTCTGAATTCGTTGAGTCTTGACGAAAGCCCCCAAAGGAGTCGTATCCCACTCAGTTTCTTTCAAAAACCCTTCAACCTCCGCCCGGTTCCTAGGCGCAAATGTAACCTTTGCCCTTCGGTCTTCAATCCAGCGGCAGTTTGCCTCAATCTTCTGTACTAAGAGCATGAACATCTGGGATACTTTGGGATTCTTGTTCCCTGAGGAACGAGACGAAACTTCTTTAAGCCAGCGTTTGAGCATCACAACAACTGGAAGTGCAAGCTCAGGAAAAGCAATGTTTTTGGTCCATAGGGTAAAGTATTCCGAAAGGAGTTCCGAAACCTCTTCAGCTACACCATCTTGATATACCCGGGTTCTCAGATAGGATTTGGGTGTACGAATAGTAGTTGAAAAGTCTAGTGGTCGTAATGTGCTCGCCTTTGGAGGCTTCTTCATCTCTGCAGAGTTCAAAACTTCTAATAGGGCGGATGACAGAGGGATGTAGGTTCCGGTAGAGAGGGACAAGCGGAGAAGAGATCGTGTGAGTTGGAAACGAAGAGGAAAATACTGGGCCGTAGGTATGAGGCGCATAGCTCCAAGGATAATCTGAACAACAGGGTATATCAAGGGGCGGAGTGCACATTGCTTTCCCGCCTTCGCTTCTACCAAAGGGTCGCAATGGGCTGCCAGAACCCTTGACCAAAAATCCAAAGAGTGTACATACTGCCAGTTGTAGACAGCCTTGTACGAATCCTTGGTTGGATTGGTAATACTACCCCTCAAATGGATAGCGAGCTGTCGAATAAAGGTGAACCCTGTTGTGTAAGCAATATTCTGATCAATGCCCCAGAGCTCTGCAGCAGAGTTCTTCATCAGGTTTATACCGGGAAGGGTGTGAACTGAAGTGTTGCGACTGCCCTTAACAACACCCTCGTAACTGGCTTTCAAAACTGCTTCTCGAATTCCAGCGTCCCCAATAACCAGTAGCTTCCTCAGTATCAAAAACGCAGTGATACGTGTAACCTCTGAGTTTGAGGCTTCCGACCAGTGTCCAACAACTGTCTTTATTAGGACTTTTAGCAACTTTCGGAATTGTAAGATGTATGGAAGCATTGGCTCAATGGCAGATATTGTAAGCTTCAAAGCTGCGGCATCGGAGAGGGTGGTGAGAAGCTGGTGAATGGAAGACACATGAGATTTGATTAGTGGCGTCAGAGTTTTGAACTTCTTTGAATCGAGAGCAACTCTTATTTTCCCACCAGCTGTCTCCTTGATTGGCAAATGGTGGTCCAATACTTTCGGCACTTCCTCAAGGGCGGTTATCAGGACTTGGTGATATACATCCGGGTCAGAGATGGTGTATTTTCGGTCTTCGTTATCCTCGTCATCAACATAGGCGGCAATACGGAAAGCTAGTACAGCTTGTCTTGTTGCTCGTAGAGAATGTTGTAATAACATTGATTTCTGCCACTGTTTTACCATTGGCATCCTGAGCGTCTTGTCTGGAGTCAGGTCTGTTTCTTCGCGCTTCTTGGACTTTTTGGACTTCTTTGCGGCGGGAGCCTCTTCTTCTTCGGCTTCACTTAGCTCGTCCACCTCAGCAAGATCACCATGATCTCCAAATTCCAAAAGTTCAGCATCGTTCTCTTTAAGGTATTTGTAAAATTCGGGGTCCTTCTCCTTTAGCGCCTCCAGTTGGTCCTTGTGAGCCTCCAGGTTGTCCGAATCGCTCCCATCAGACTCTTCGCCCGACTCCATTTCACTCTCCTCATTGTCGCTTCCATCATCTATTTCGACGTCCTCCACCTTCTCTTCCGCACGCTTCCGTTTTCCGGTCTTTGGGGCGACGTCCTTCTTCTGTTTCTTGGACGATTTCGTAGCAGCCGGTGCATCTGCAATTTCAAACCCGCCGGCGAAAAAGTCGTCTACGGCCATATCTGCAAACGCAGCATCCTGCTGGGCATCGGAAGTCGTTTTCTTCTCATTTTCCTGTCTGGCAGCTTCTTCGAGCTTTGCTGCATTTTTGGCCTTCTTTTTATCTTTGACTTGATGGCGCTGCTTGACCTTTGAAAACTCTCGTCGCCGGTCAATTGTATCCCTAAGATGGTTCTTCTCGAACTTCTTAGTTGACTTCTTGATTCCCATTTTGAATGACCCCAGCAAATCCCTTTGCGACAGCTGCTGGCAGCAATCCGTCGGCTTTTGGTGTGAGTCGCGGTTTTAATGAATTTTTCTTTTTTATTTTTATCTTTTTTTTTATCTTTTTTTGACTTTCATCGACAGGCAGGAAAAACATGTTTGCATCTTATTCAAAAATGCCAAGACTTAATAGCTTAAATGCACGGTCCTTCGTCAAAACGACAAACAAGCCATCCAAAGGCAACAGAAATAACTACAACCAGCGGCAGAGCAGAGGGCGTACAGCGATCCACAAGCAAAGAAGAGCAAGATGTTCTCTCAGAGACCACTATCATATGCGCCGACGCCCTACAGCTATACTCCAAACACAGCACTATCAGCCACCATCAACTTGGATGAGGTGAGGAGTTGGTTCCGTCGAGGTCGGGGTTGATTTACTAACTATAGAGCAGGAGGTTAAACCGTTTTCCTCGCCCGCCGAGAGAGATTTGTACGAGTCGCTCGCAGAAATATATAGCATTATTATAACGTTGGACGGGTTGGAGAAAGCATATATCAAGGATGCGGTTACGGAATCAGAGTACACAGAGACATGCGCTAGGCTACTAAAGCAATATAGATCCATCCTCAGCGATGATACCGTGGCCACCGAATTCGTTGATTTAGACACATTCAAACGTGCTTGGGAGGTATGTTATACCTATAACTATAGGCAATATGACACTAATCCAACAATATCATCCAGATGGAATGTCCACGCGCCACCGAGAGACTACGCATCGGCCTTCCTGCAACAGTCGAACAACCCTCTCATGCAATCCCCCAGAATACAGCTACAGGACCATCAGCATCCGGAAGCCTTATACTTACTGCCACAGAAAACTTCATAACTTTTCTTGATGCACTGAAGCTCAATATGCTTTCCAAAGATGCGCTCCATCCGCTCTTGTCAGAAGTTATTCAGTCCGTGAATAAAGTGACCGAACAAGACTTCGAAAACAGAGGAAAGATAATTCAGTGGCTTATCACGCTGAATCAAATGAGAGCCACGGAAGAGCTCAGCGAAGAGCAAGCTAGAGAGTTAGCATTCGAAATGGAGCAGGCATATCAAGGATTCAAGGCGACTCTAAACTGATACAAGCTAGCCTTATACCCTCTATATCGAAACCCCGTAATTATTGGATAGGACGCCTCTCTTCCATTTACAGGCAAATTATGCTTATCCAGGCCCAGGCTTTGCCATTGCTCCATCTGGTAGAGCCGGAATCAGAGCATCCTCCAGATATAAACACACAGCTCTCATCTGCCGCCCCCACTACCATACCCGTTAATTCTACAGCGTCCTCATACCCAGGGAGGGGGGTTGTCCCGATCACTATTATAAACAAGCATGTTGGACTTTCGAGGATGTTGGAACTTTTTCATTTGGGTTACGATGCAAGGTGATCTGAATCTAGTATGACTGAGTAGTGATGGATAATATTTCCTATCGTAAGTTCTCCTAGTTATAAATACAATGACCGCCACTAAATACGCCCCAGAGTCGGAAATCAGTCCTCATCACTGATACGCAATGTTGTCAGCAGAGCACGCATGCCACCCATCCTTAACAGAGCAGCCATCCAGATCGCTTGTTTGATTCCCAAAGCACGTCCAATGTATTCGAACCTGTTGATTGCCCAGTCCCGCAACGAGGTCGGGGCATACGGCAGATCTCCGGCAAGACACAATGGCCAAAGTAAAACGTATCCACCAAGTGCTCTACCGCTTCTTCCAATACCTGCACCATCTTGTCTTTTCATTTCGATGCTTCCTAGATCATAGGGCACGCTGGCACATATGTCAATCGCCGCCTGTAGCGCGCCCGCTCGACTCTGCTCGATTAGAAGAGATAAGTCGTCGTATTGAGCATACAGAGGCGATGAAGGTGAGAGCTTGGCAGCAGCCTCTTCAATAATTTCCGTTACAAGGATACGCGCGCCGCGTATAGCGTTATATATGTTAGGGACAAAGTAATCTGTGTAGGTGTGGTAATATTTTCCATAGACTTCGTCTGCCGGCGACGGTGGCGTCTCTCGATCGATAACAGCAAGTGTTTTGTAAGGGTAGAATTCCCAAAGTTCATTGTAAAGAGCAGTAAAGTCTTTTTCCTGAGCGAAGGCTTGGGGTATAATATCTTCCGGCAGCACTAGGCTGCGGTTTTCAATTTCGGCGCGTAAATTGCATAGTTTGACCAACAGTGTTGTCACATCTTCAAGGAGACCTTCAGATTTGGGCAGGCAGCCTTGCTGCTCCCGTGGTACACCTTGAAGAAATGGGGGTGCTCGCGACGAAGTCAATAGGCAGCTGGAAAGCTATAGTGTGTAATCTATTAGCGAGGAGTGTTCTTTAGTCAGGCAACTACAGAGAATATGGACATACAATTTGGCCACGAGCCTGTACAAACATCCGAAAATTGATAATGTCTTCTGGACCTGGCTTGGAATTTATTTTTAGCAGAGCAAGGGCTCCCTCATGATGACTTCTCCAGCTGCTGAGGGATCGATTACTTCGACATGTAACGACCTACTAATGGTTAGCTCTACTCTCGTAGACTGTGATGTGTTTTGGAGAGGGAAATACCTCAAACATGCCCAGCAACATGACTGTATCAAGGGCTGCTGGCTGCCTTGCCTTGGCAGGGTCTCGCAACATGGCATTCGTCAAAGAAAGCGCATGGCCGTATTGCTCCCGCGCCGCAATACGCAGATCTGCGGAGTAATTTATGTTTGCTAGCGTTGCCATCCCGACAGAGGCCATACATGCAAGTACTGCATCTGACGTCGTAGATTGAAGGCTATGTAGATATCCAACTCGTCCGGAAGTTGGAATGCAAGGTACAACGTAGTTATGCAGAAAGAAGCAGATGGCCTGCTGATTCAGACTGATGGAGAGACTTCGTGAGACCTCCTCTGGGGTATTTGACGAGGCTAGGGTAATTAATTTGGTCGATGCAATACTGTTAGTTAAGTTTGTAGAAGTACTCGGGCTGGCATTTTTGCTGTTTCTTTGCTTGGAAGTCTTCGTGGATGCCTTATGTGCTGTCTTACGGGTCTCGTCACGAAACATCAGATCCAGCTGGTTTCGATACCCGGTGCATGTCCGGCCGCCCTTTGAGCATTGAAGGCATGATGGTTCGGTTTGGTCACACTAAAATGGATTAGAACATCTTCATCTCTTTCTCTTGGGAGAGATCCTCGATCATTAGTCTAGGCAGCCGAGTAATTATGGAGGAGTACCTTGATTTTGCGGCGTCGGCATTCATTGCAGCCCTTGCTCGGTTTCCCACAATATACCATTTTTACTAATATATGCTTTGTGTCCTCGTATGGCCATAGAGAGTGAGAGGGTGTCAAAATATCGAACTAGTTGAGGTTTTCAAGTCGAATGTTATGCGGGGGATGATCAAGTTTATAACCCCCGTTTAACTAACTAGTTAATTAACTAGCTAGTTAGATATCGCCCTCCATACGGAGAAAAACTTTGTCTCAGGCTGAAAAGCTTAGGTTGAACAACATATCGAGCTGCAGGGCAACTGGTCCTCTTGCTGAGAGGTCCAACTTTGCACAGAATCAAGCAGGAGGCTGATGTCTCGTATTCGGCGACTCATCCTGGAAATTGTTTGATGCGAAGTTCAGCTGCACGATTTAAGGTTCCGGTGTTGCTGCGCCATGGCGGCTAGTTAGCGGGCTGATTATATAAGCATATTTAACCTGACAGCAAATTGATAGGGGATGAGACATAAGACAGTAGGTAGACAGGAGGCTTTGGAGAAAAAGGATGAATTTATTTGAAGATCTAACCAGCGAGGTTACGTTATCTTGTTCCAGCAACCACCAAGTGCGACAGTGTATCAGAAGGAATGCGTTTTCGAAAAAAGAGAAATCTAGGGTAATCCAAACAGCGGCTGTTGCCAGCCGATGTACCAACTATCTGGAATGCGATTCGTCGGGGGAAGTCATTGGTAACCCATCCTCGCAGCCCTTGGCCTCATGCTCTTGCTCGTATGCTGGAATAAATTCAGGGGCATCACCACGGAGTCTGGAGGGTTCATTGGCACGGGGTGACTGGTCAGGTTCATTTTCGTGATGGGCATTCTGTGATCGATTCCATCCCCAGGCTCCTGTCTCATGGGTACCAGGCTGTGTAATGTTATTAGCTAAGTTTCCAACCGCATAAACTCGAAAGGATATAACACACGCTTGGGGTCCAACTGCTATTCACAGAGGGAGGAATAGAGCCTGGACAGCTATAAGGTGGATAAACCCCCGGCATTGGTGACCAATACACGTGGTTAAAACTGGCAATTTCACGCGCCGACGCGTAAATTACTCTATTCGGAGTACCGAGCCATTGTGGGTGGCTATGGTTGATCATAGGATATTCAGTCATTTGATAATAAGGCAGTGGGTTCCAAGCAGGGTCGTAGTAGTTAGGGTACCAAACAAGACCAGCTATGACATTTGGATCAGGATTACTATCGATATCTCCCCGGGCAGTATTTGGCGTGCTATCACTAGATAGTTTATCCTGCTATAATAAGTATCGTTAGCTTATATATTAAGGCAAGAATGGCAGGAAGCTTACCTTTAGCTTATTAAACTTCTTCTGCTTTCGCTCTATAAACCCTTCTGCATTTTTCTGCTTTCTGCTTAACTTTGATTTACCCGTCATAGCGACAGATAACTGTGAAGCAAAGCAGGAATGATAGGAAAGCCACCTCTAAAAGGGGATAAGGAGATATATGTGTGAAATTGGAAGAGAGCGCAGTTAGTGGCTAATGACGCGGCGATGCAGCTTCAGACAGAGCTTGAAGTATATAGGTAAAATTATAGATATAGTGCCTGAAGCTGGATAGGACTAACAGTTCACCTGTGGCTCACGTGGCATAAGTCCTGTGGTATGTCATATGTCCTTCCACTAGTAGGGATAGCTGTAGTGGACCATGCAAATAGGAAGACTCTGGAAAGACTTTCCTCTTTGTACCAGCACAAAGATTATGTCATAGGTATTATAGAGAATCCGTAGTTTATGAATAAGCCAAAAACGGTACTTCAGCGAGACATAAAGAGTCCGGTTCCTAGGTGGTTTTGTCCGGCCGGATGACAGATGTCGAGGATACAAGAAGCGCTCATGAAAATTTCGCTACCTCTCCCGGTCGACATGGTAAACAGAGCCTTAGGAGCAACCTGTCATCCAAGAATAAAACCATGATAGATAGCAAGCAGCAATACTAAGCCAACAGCCTCGTATTACGCCAGCTGACCTGCTCGTTGCTCCTTTTCGTGCTGCGTGTGAAGGACGGGCGAAAGAATTTGATAGTGCCAAGCCTTCGTGCTTCTGGCAAGGAAGGTGAAAATAAGCATAGAAGTTACATTCTTATGTAAGACGATCTCGATGTCTCATTGGCTACACAGGATTCTTGGCGTGGATAGAGCCGCAAACCTTGAGATATCGAAGTGTAAATCGCATGGTAACAAGTTGATTCAACGACTGACTAAGGGTGAGAGAATCCCACGCATTTGGGTTATATATATGTGTGTGTGAACGCACAACGAAAGCAAATTCTATAACGGGGGAAATTGGTCATCAAGGCATCAGGGGAAGTCGTACATTAGGGCATACATGGCAACGCACTGGCAAGTGGAAAAGCACAGGGGAAAATAAACAAAATAGCAAATAACAAATGAGATCTATTCAACGAGTGACTGGGGTCAAAGAAAGCAAATAACGGAGCAGAAAACATCAGCGTGGGACAAATGAAATATCAAAACGAGTGACTTGGGCCAGAAGTAATAGAACAACAATTGATGGTAAACCAATCGGACGGCAGATGTTTCAAGGCGCGGCGCGGATGCATTCCCTACCAGCCAATACCCTCTGTGCATATCGGCGAAGGTTTGCATTGTATATGTTGAATATATGTTTTGGCTGATGGGTACAGGAGCATGGTAATTATGGCCCGCGATCCTATCTTGCGTTCCTTAACAATATTTCACGAGCCTGTGGAAGTAGGTTAGTTTTATCGCTGTTTATCCCAACAGATTGCGTTGCGATCGTGGGGAACTTACTTCACAAGCTTTAAAAACGGCGGAGCCCGGTCCCGCATTTTTCACAAGTCTTTGCATACTTGGGGTTGTCAAACTTGCAGTTGGGGTTGGGGCAGGTATTAGGCATGGTGAATGTTGGATTTGGGAGTGTTTAAATTGTTCGATTGAAGGTATAAAACTTGGCTGCTAAATGCAACGGTGACAGGCTGTAGTGGGCTTGCAGTGGGATCGATGTTGGCTGATAATTGACTTGGTCTGAGTGATGATAAAAAGGAGAATAAACTACAAGATCTAGCTCGCCTTATATATTGATGAAAAGAATATTCCTCATGCAATATTTTGTTTTCTCGAACCTCACCATGGCGTTGCTGCCTGCTATAGTCGAGGCACATGATGGTATAAGCCTCCCTGGGAAGTGCCTTGGAGTTTTGGGATGTATAGCCATTGCATGAATTTTCAATAGATATGGAATAATTTGTAGAAAATGCTGTTCATGTAGTTAGCAGATTGGGGTATCAGTTGGTAGAGTTAAGGTGCGGCTCGCCCCGCTGGAGATACCGCTCCCGAAGTGAGGCTACAGGAAATAGTAATGCATAGGCCACGGAGGTGGGTATATGGCATTTGTATATTTGTCATATGGGAATTGGATTGGTTTGGTTTCCGGCGGAATACCAACGAGAATGTTCCGGAGGCTTAGAGCCGGGGAGCATGACCAAAGGATAATTTTTTTTTCATGCGTTGGTATACCAACACGCTAGACAGGGTAACTATGATACAAATCAATGATATCATATCAGGCTTGGAAGGTGACGTTGTTCTCGCTTTTGCCGGGGTCTAGCTTTGTTGGATGCCTTTGTATTCTAGGTATCGGGAAATCGGCATTTCTGAATAGGGGAAACTCACTAAGGGCAGCGAATCAGCAATTAGTGGAGGGAGAGTGGTTCTACGGTTGGACTGTAGACCGTCGATCTGACTTTACCCAGAGTTATCTTTTTGTAGAGACCCTTGCACGAAGAGACTGGCCGTAAAAAGGTGCCAGGGTGCTTGCATTAGCGTTGCCTTGGCCCGGGGTTGATTGGCAAGGAGGAAAAGTTTTCGTTAACGCCGCACGGCCCCTCTCTACACGTCAGCGGCGTATCGTCCTGTTTACTGAGGTTAACCAATAGACATCAGATTTAAGATGTTGGTTTTTGAGGCTCAACAACAAGGGTTATCTGTAGGTGGTGCATATTGCGGCACAGCGACTCTATAAAGCGGGCTGATGTTTTCCTGCCAGGCAGCAACACAACCATCATCGATCTATTACTCACATACCCATCAAGATATTCCAGTTAGTGTTTTCACACCCATTCATCCACGTCCACCATGGCCCAGGTTGATACCACCGTTGATACTACCAAAGAAGACCCCACGCCGTGCCCAACATGTGGGTGGTCTGATTTACGGCGAAGCAGATGCAGCCACATAAGTCAGGTCAAGCTCGTCAATGCCATAAGCAACCGAGCTTGGTGGCATATCGGCAGTGACATGGTTCTGAAAGAGGATCCGTACGACAAGTGGAAGACGTCGGAAGTTGCCAATCTCAAGTTCATTCAGGAGAAGACCACAATTCCTGTTCCGACGATTGTGAAAGACTGGGTGCAGAGTGACAACCGCCATTTTCTTCTCATGGAGCGCATGCCGGGAGAAACTCTGGATACACTGTACCAGAAACTATCCACTGCGGAGTTGGAGGCTATTGCTGACCAAGTGGCGGAGCTTATCCAGCAGCTTAGGCCACTGCAGTCCCCTCAAATTGGTGGCATCGGAGGCACACCACTACACAATGGCTGGATTTTCGTTAACAATATGGAGCCAGCTGGCCCATTTTCTTCAGACGACGAGCTTTGGGACTGCATTAAAAACGGCTTAGCCAAAGTCCCAGCAAAAGCCGTGGAAAATCTTCGAAAGCGCATGCCAGCCTGCAAGCCATATACGTGGACACATGATGACCTGAGCTCATCGAATATCGTGGTCAAGGACGGGAAAGTGACTGGGATTCTGGACTGGGAATTCTGTGGATATTATCCTGTCTGGTGGCAGTATGTGTCTGCTGGGTCGGGAGACCCAGAGGAAGAACGATGGCTGAAAATCATGCATGGGAAGGTCAAAGATCAATACCCGGAGGCAACAGATTTTTTCAGGGATCTTCGTTCCCTTACCTATTATCCAGACTTGACTGAACACGGCAAAAAGACACTGGAAAAGCTGATGGCAGACGGGGAATGAAGTACCCTATGCTTACCAAACATGTCGAGAAACTGAGGATCAGGATCGAACACTAAAGGGAAAAGCGAAGGAAGATAGCCAGGGAGGAGGGCAAAAAAAGAGAGAGAAGAAAAAAAAAAAAAAAAAAAAAGGACAGTGGTGAGAGCCTAGTTGTAGCTGTAGTGATATTATTAAATGAGGAAACATGGTGGTGTATTTAGTTTATCCTCCTGCCGCTCGTTAAACAAGTCTATTGAAATCCAAAGTCTATTTTGCTGTTTCGTTCAATCATTAATACTAGATGTCGCGTTCGTCTATGCAGGTGACTTCCAGGCCCAAATTGACCACCAGCACCGGACTTCCACTGGTGATCCATCCCTGCCTGCCCAGTCATCATAGCCAATCTCTTCCCCTTCTTCGAGGATATATAAGCCAATATGGTCCAATCTTTTCTTGAGTTCGTGTACCTGTGGGAGGTAAACTTCACGTAAGGGCAGTTCCAGCACGAGCCTTGACGAACTGTTGGAAGAGATATGCACCTCTATAGCCTGAGCAAGCCATCTGGGGTGATCAGAAGAATAGAGAGGGTCTGCAACGAGAATTACATCGTACTTCTCAGCACTTTGTAAAGAGACGCCAAACTGGAGGGACCAGTCTAGCACGCCCGTAGTGACGCTTGACTTGACCTTGGTAATAAGGTCACCATTCAAAGAAACGTTGTGCGTAAGATTAGGCACAATAGGGGGCAAGTCAGTGAGATGAACAGAAGCTGCAGCACCCCATACTGCTGCGAAAGATATGCCAACAAGACCGGTACCTGCTCCAAGCTCAAGAGTTCGTAGTGTAGGATTCTGATCATGGGAAACGGGAACCGAGCCAGAAGAATGGAAAGTGTGAAGCCTCTTAGATAGCATATATGAGGAGACCCAAGTTTTATTCCCTAGGTTGTCAGACGTCAGGGATGGCTCATGTAGAGTAACCTGGAATGCGGAATCAGCGTTCATTGGGATTGTGAATTCCCGGGACATCGAGGGCATGGCTGTATAACCAAGTTATTAGACACAATATATATATATATGGGTCAAAGCACGACGAGAGTCATACCATTTCTACCCGCGCGTTCACAAAGCCTGGAGCTTGCCGTATCCCATATCTTTTCCTTTAAAGTGTCCGATTCAATCCAGGCTAAGGGACTGCCGATTATCGAGGTAAGATATCTGCAGATATCTCCATCTTGGAGATGCGTAATATTTTGAGTAGAAGACTGGGAAAATGTATGCGGACGAATGGTAAATAGGTCTAAAGCCCGGAGTATATCATCTGCGGGGGGTTTGGTGTAAAGCTGTGGAAGGTCGAAAACTGCGAGAGAAACGTTAGTTTCGATAACACCATATTGGAGGAATACTTAGAGAATATGGCTATTACCATGAACAGGGTGACTCTCGGGATCCCTCATCCTGGAGCAGAGGGATACACAAAGCCCCGTGGCCTTCTCGTGGTTGCTCCAGCCGGTGTTGCACGAAGATCTTCGAGATCTTCAAGAGGGAATTTTTTTTTTTTTTTTTTTTTTTTGACTTTCACAGAAGGTTTAGAATGTATTACATAATAAATGACTAAGTAGACTTCGCTAACCTTAAATGGGTTAAGGTGATCTTGTGGCAAAACCCTATTATTCAGCTCTCTATTCCCAAAACAAACCAAAACAAAAACAAAATACAACCAGATTTCTTGTTGAACTACACACTACCTGACCACAAACCGTTATCGTTATTTTACCCGTTGATTAGACAACACGCTATAATGCTATGAGCTAGCTACAGGGAGACTATCTGTGCGATAGTTCTCGTCAATCTTCATATTGAACGCAGCCATAATGGCACCCACTGAGAAACGCCCATCCCGGGGCTAAGTGTCAAGAGGAAGACCGCATGGTTCTGGGCGTGGTCGAGGCCATATCTAGAGATTGCTCAGGGTAATCCCTCTAACACTGAAGGAGGTATCTGGACTGCTGCCATAGTAGAACCAGCGGTGTTAGCAGAGCACGGTCATGCAGCTAGATTCGTTGACCGAGGACTGGGGTCGGGTGAGGCTTCACCAGGCTCTATGTACATCGTATATCACTTGGCCAGTGCTAGTTATGCTACGGAAAGCGATGCTATATACATGGCTAGGTGCTCAAGGGATACTGGATAAACCGTGGCAACGCCGTTCGAGATATAATGAAATACCACCTCGTGCTACTGGGAATACTATGGATCCCGGTCATATGCCTGACTTAGGCAACTGATCTACTCCGTACCGACTATGTATCGACTTTCCATCTGCAACATCCACTGAAGGCGCCGACACAGCTGGATAAACACGTCGAGCTCGTCCCGTTCGATAGAAAGACAAGACCGTGCCAGGTAACCGAGTCACAACACGCCCAGTCCAGTCCTGTATACCACCATCACCACCAGGCATAACATCGTGTCTAAAACAAGCAATCTCGCGCAATCTTGAAAGACCCCTCACTATGCCACCTCTCGCGGCTCAATCGATTTGTTTGCCACTCGAGATGCACCGGATACCTGCCAATTGAATACGAGGGGTTACAAGGCTCGCGTCTTTGTATTCTCTTGTGACACCGTGCTTGCAGAGTACCAATTTTTTATGGGGAATGGCACTCAAGTCCTCATGATTTTTGGATGGCTGGCATGGGAGCCGATTCAACTTATGAGTCTGTTTGAAGCTGAAATCCGGCGTCCTTGCCACTTAAGCCACGGTCAATCTGTGCATTCATCGTTCGGCAAGGGTATTTCACAGCCTGAGGTGGGATGGTTGTTATCCAATTCGTACAATGCTGATGGAACGCCTGTTATGGCTACCCAACGCACATACACCACCAGCGAACAGTGACGCGAGAGGACTGCGGTGTGGAGTGTCCCATTTTTGCCAACAAAACCTCTACATTCCTACCCTGCTCAATCGAACCCCTCATTTATTGATATTTTCAACAGTGGGGGAGTTTCACCATACTATAACCTGTGATGAGTGGTAACAAGAGAAGAGTTGTGCTTGGGGGCTCGGAAAACATGTCATCACCTTATACTGGGTCTTAACGAATGGGTGTTTCATGCTTTCTTAACAACGCCAGATTGTCCGACTTCTCAAAGAAAGAATGGAATGGTGATACTTGTACCTTATGGTGTAATCGGTCGACACTTCTAAGTCCCCAGGATAGGTACCTTATCACGTGGAGTTGCTTGGTTCCATACAGGTGTGATATTAGCCATTCTAGTGATGGTAGTGACCATTCAGATATTAAGGATGATGATTGGACACCACCTATTACACCATTTCATTTGGTGACCACGATGTGCTAAGGCCCGTGTTGGCTTAGAAAAAAGCCTCCAAGGCATAATATTGGTCGCTTTCAATTACTCTATCCCCGAGAAGGCACGACAGACTCAAATATTCTCTCCATCGAGATACGGAATAGGAAGAGGAGGATGGATGAGCTAGAGCATACAAAGCAGGCTCAAATTGCTCAAGCAGAGCAGGATAGCCTGCGGAGTCCTTAAAAAGGATGCAAAAGCGCAGGGGGCCTGCAGTGCCTATATAACTTTCCCATCCAAGCCAAGCCTAACAGGATGGAGTGTCAAGTTCTAGCGCCTAAGGACTCGCTCGAGATGTCTTGCCAGAGAACAATGGTTTTAATGTGTCTGCCCTTATATATTGGAGGCAGGATTATGGTACCCATACACCCACTTTGTGTACCCACTATACCCGCCGCTCCACTACGTGCTCTTTTGCCTAACCGGCGGACGCAGTCAAATCTGTAGATTTCCTGAAGCAACTCCTGGTCAAGTGGCAGATCTTTCGACCTTTTTTGAACCTTGTTTGTCGATGGGCTAGAGGCGGCAGCAGGTGCGGGATAGAGCGCTTTGTTTTGTTCCACCTCTGGCAGTGGGTATCTACTCCCGATTTGGACAATCGGTCATTCCTTTACTTTGCTGCCATTTCATCGCCTTCACTGAGCCCCTTTCCTAGGCCGTATAGGCCCTCGTTTTCAGCATTTAGGACAGAGCCCTATTATTCAGCAACTATGCTCCGACATGGTGCTGCACTCTCCCAACAATCCATGGTTTGCGGCTTCCTCTCCTGTGAGATGGAGGCTCAGATTTATTACTGGAGTTGGGAGACTGTTTATCGGACGAGACAACGTGACGAGAAATATCTATTAAAGCCACAACAATCGATTGTTGGGCTGAATATCTCGGGAAACATGTCTGTTCTTATAGCCATATCTAATTTGTATGTATCTATGTACCGTACCGTTACCTCCGAGCAGGCCAGCACAGATATGTGCAGCGAGCCAAGAGAGCAATACGGCGACAACTGATATTAAGTTTATTAGCTTATGTTAACTCCTAGTTATATTATATTCAGACTAAAGAAGAACTGTGCCTCCGTAACACCTTTCTCCTTATTTATATACGGCGTAGGACAGATATACATATACTGAAAAGAGCCTTTATGCGGGTCGGCACGAAAAATCGAAGTCTCCTGGCCAGGGGGCAGTTAGAAGGCATGCATAGTATTATTGACCAGGGTTATGCCCATCACCGGGTCTTCGCGATACCCCCTGCAACCCGACTCCGGGTCCAACGCATCCCATTATTTGGTTACCGTGGGCGTAGGCAGACACATTAGTTATATATATTACACACTACATGGATATCATAAATAGCTACTGACCACCCACCTAAATGCTAATATTGACTTAGTTTGACCCCATTAAACATCCTCTGGCCGATAATTCATAATTAGGCGAGATGGAGGACACGACCACGCCCAACAACGACATGGAGGGCCGTCCTAATGAGCATTCCACGCTTCTTGATCGCCCCAAGTTATCCCAAAACTGCCAAAAACATTGCCACCAAGTCAATACCATCGTTAAGCTGTACCTTGTCACTTGCTTGACAAGTATTGCTTTCCAGTGCCTTGCACCGGCCCAAACAAGGATCTATGAGGCCATTTACTGCTGTCAGTACTATGCTTCTCGAGAGCTTTCTTGTGAGCATGCAGCGCTACCTGAATACCGCTGCAAGCTACCATCTATACAACGGGAGCTGTCAAGCTTAAAGGGGTGGCAGGAGTTTTTTGATAGCATCCCATGTATTCTTCTTACCATCCCTCTAGGTCTATGGGCAGATAACCACGGCAGGAAGAGGCTATTCGTCCTAACCATCACATTGCTGGCAGTACAGCAGATATGGATTACTATGGTTAGCCTGTTTTCTCGAACACTTCCACTGCAGTTGATTTGGGCCGGGGCTGCTTTTAATCTTTTCTCTGGTGGACGAACAGTTGCGGAGATGTTGGTATCAGTATGTGAACGCAGTATCTGCTTCCTTAAATAATTCAGCAAAGAAAGCGTCTTCGGCAGGTGGCTAACCTAATCTACATTCATTGTTTTATGGCTGACCAGTGTATCATCACTGATATCACTCCCCGAGAAGAGCTGTATGCAGGCCTCACCCCATTAACTACTTTCAAAATGGTTATGCAGTGCTGATCCGGCCTAGGTCTACTGTTTTCTTTCGACTCTTTGCTCTTAGCCAGTTGAGCATAGTGATCGGGCCAATTACTGCAGCTGGACTCATGCATGCCAATCCGTGGATCGCCATCTTCTGTGGCCTCACTCTCCAAGCCGCCTGCATTCCACTTGCAGTGACAATACCAGAGACATTTATTCCACACACAGGATATAATGAACATCACGAAGACCAGAATACAGAATCTTCCTCTAAGGGCGTACAGGAGACCTTGCACCACATCCGAATACATGTTCTTCTAGCCTTCCATGATTTCAAGGGCTTATGGGCCGACAAGCAGCTTTTGTTCTTGGTAGGACTCAGCCCATTTCGCATGATGATGGGTGTCATTTCCGACTTGATTCAGCGCTATGTCTCAAACCGATATCACTGGACCCTGGAAAGCTCGACTTTCCTCTACTCTCTCCAGGCGGTAGTGTCAACTCTCTGTTTGTTCCTTTTACTCCCGTATATCACGGAAATTATGGAGAAGAGTCTCGGACTTAGCGGAATCGAGAGAGGCGTTGCTGTCTGTCGAGGTTCATTGAGTGTACTTACTCTCGGCTATACGATCCAGGGACTTTCTCCAGTGGTATCTCTTTTTGTCATCGGAATGATTATTGAGAGTCTCGGGCTGGGGTTTGGTCCATCAGTCAGGGCCTTGACTGGCTCAATAATAAATAGAAAGTATAATGCGCGGATATTCTCTGTTATCACTATCATCGAAACGTTTTCCAGGATGGTTCTATATCCGATAATGGCAATATTCTTTAACATAGGCATAAATAGAGGTGGGCCATGGCTGGGCCTGCCTTTTGATATCACTGCAGGAGTGGCAATCCTTACACTTATACCTTTTTCTATCATCAGATTCGGCTCTGGGAGAGATTAGACTGATTAAAAGTGGGCACAAGCATACCGAGTTAAGGATTTCGCTATAACTATGTGTTTACTCGTACTCAGTATGCCTGGTATCACCTTTCCACATTTGTTTGAACATAGAATCCTTCGAGAGCAGATCTTGCGGTTTCCCAGACTCAACAATGTGTCCTCCATCAAGCACTACCACTCTATCGAAGTCCATAATTGTGTTTAACCGGTGAGCAATAGCAATAATGGTGCACAATTTAAACTCTTCTCGAACAATCTTCTGCATCAACTCGTCCATAGCTTGATCGACACTACTTGATATTAGCAAGGCAACCTTGATACATATTACGCTCACCATGACCTTACTTGCTCGTAATTTCATCTAGTAAAATGATCTTTGACTTTTGAAGAGTAGCACCTGCAAGGGAAAATAACTGACGCTGGCCATGGCTCAAGGAGCTGGGTTGGAATTCGGCATCAAGCCCGCCTTGGGTACTTATCACATCAAAGAGTAAAGCTTTCTTCAGAGCTTCAATAATTTCAAAATCGGAATGTTGGCTACACGGATCCAGGTTAAAGCGAACAGTACCAGGGATAAATACAGGCTCCTGTGGTATCATATTAAAACGGCTCCGAATCACGTTGCGAGGGAGGTTGGCCAGATCGAGGCCATCCACTGTGATAGAACCACCTTGAATTGCAATCAGACGTAATAGGAGCAAAAGAAGAGATGATTTACCACTGAAGTTAACATTGTTAGCACAGATTTATAACTAATTCAATCGTTGGGAGTGTAATACCTCCCACTTCTACCGCATATACCAACTTTTTGCCCTGCCTCTATCGTTATGTTCAAACCGCGGAGTACTGGGAATTCAGGCCGAGACCTATAAGGCGCAGACGTCAATAAAAAAGAATCTGGAAACTTCGGCGGTTTGGGAAGAACTTACTTGTAATAAGCAGTAACGTTATAGATATCAATTTTTCCACGATGCGGCCAGTCTAATGGAGGTTGGATTACTTCGCCAGGCTTGTGCTCTGAAGGGGTATATTTAGTAAAATGCTTGATTCTGCTAACAGACCCGATGCTGGTCTCTAGAGCGGTCCATGCTATAATAATCGAAGTAAGTATCAAGTTCAATGATAGAACTTGGGTTAGGGCAACACCAGTGAGCCCACCGCTCGTCTTGAGAGTCACCGCTAAGGCCACAATTATGACTGCAAGAAAGGCAATGGTTATATCCAGAACGAATGTAAGCCAGCGCTGGATCATGTAGAGTAAGTATAGTGGTTTCTGCGACTCGTCAAGAAGCCTGTAGCTTGTCTCTAATGCCTGAGCTGTCCAGCCAAAAGCTCTGACTGTAGACAGTCCATTCAAAGTCTCTAGGAAGTTTGAGTATAAAGGGCTTTTTGCCTCGAGTTCTAGCAGTCTTAGCTGGCGGGAGGTTCGTAGGTAGAAATTTTGCATCGTGTATAATATCGGAACAATGACTATAAAGGCAAATCCCACCCATGGCGACGCGATGATAATTAAGATTATTTGACCAAGAGCCAGGAATACAGTTAACAGCCAGTTTAACAATGCCATGGGTAGCTCGTTATCGACGAGTTGAATATCCTGAGAAAAGCGGTTGATGGTGACACCGATATCCGTTGAACCAAAGAATGACAATGGGGCATTTATAACGACGTCGAGGATATCTTTGTGTAAGCTTGAGCCTGCTCTGCTGACGAAACGGATGAGGGTATGATATGCCACTCCAAGCAGCAGGAAAAGCGCCGAAGTCTGAAGAACTGTGTAGACAGCCCAGTATCCCAGATCATCCAGTCTTGCAGGCCGAGAGGGGGTGGAAGTGTCTACCCAAATCCTCAGCCAGTAGGTGGGGAAGTTGTATAGAGTAGCATAGGAGATTACCAGTATCAGTAGAAGACATGATGTCCAGATACCGGCAGCTTTAAAGTAATAACCGTAGATTCTGAAATCCCCTGACGGTCGGATTGGTAGATTCTCATCGGATTTTTCATTATTGACAGAAGCACCTACACTCTTTGCAGCCGCTTTATCAGTATGAACAACGGTTTCTTTCTCAAAATTCTCTGCAATGGTAAGGCTACCAATATAGCCACTTTGAGAACGTAGCGATTGAAAGCTCCCTTGCTGAATTACGTGGCCAGATTTATCAAGGGCAATAATGTGGTCTGCAAAGGGGAGGTACTCCGTGGCATGGGTTGCAATAATCACCGTAATTCCGTGTTGTTGTGCCAGTCCCTTTGGGCCTATAACCTCCCGGAAGATGTGACTTGCACCAGTGTAATCAAGTCCGCTGAGCACATCATCAAAGAGCAATATTGGTTTCAGGGCATAGATGGCCCTGGCAATTGCAATCTTCTGCTTCTGTCCACCACTCAAGTTGATTCCATCACTTCCGACTTTGGTTTCATTTCCATGGGCCAGAGAGTCGATATCTGTAACCAGAGCACAGGCTTTAACAACCGTGTCGTACCAACTAGGCTGGAATAACGAGAACCCAATTATATTCTGCTGAACTGTCCCATTAGTTAGATGTGGCGTTTGACGGCAGAAGCCAACATCCTTCGCGTTGGCAAAGATCTCAACCTTGCCCCTTGATATCGGTGTCTCTCCAAGCAAAGCATGGCAGAGAGTGGATTTCCCGCTTGCAACCGGTCCCACAATAAAAGTACTTTGGCCCCGGGGGATAGTAATATTGATGTCGTGGAGAACATCTCTATCATCTTTCCATCCAAAAAACCCATTTGTCACTTCGATGATAGTCTGCTCAGGGAGATATTTCTCTTCATCAGTTGTCTCCCGCGGTTCGTCCAACAGGGCAGGAAAATGCCTTATATCCACCCGGGATTCCGTTGATAAAAACTTGTCAATACGTAAGGAGGATCCAAATGAAGCAAGCAGTGGAGGCAGGTCAAGGAGTGTTTGGCTGAGCGACTGAGCCAAGATCAACAACAAGGACAGAGACGTGAATGCTCTTGAGGAATCAAATGGCTGCCCATTTCCCTTCGCCCTCAAAATGAATAGCAAGAATGTAAGTGGTGGTGAAATGAACTGCGGAACATAGCCCAATCCTGTGGTCCATACTAGAAGCATTCTGAACCGATTGGCCAGCCTGATCTCTTGTAACCGGATATTTTGAATAATTGACGATAGTATCTCGGTTCGCCCTCTCATTTTTAGTGGTTTGATCGAAGATAGCATGCTTGAGATGGTTCCAATTCGGAGTTGGGAACAGCTTGTCCAGGCTGTCTGATAAGTATCGGATGAACGGCTTGCCCATATTGACAACACAGAGGATAATATTGCGATAACAAGCGGGACCATAAAAGCTATACCAAGCTGCCTCTCTAAAAGGAATGCTAAAAAGCCAGCCTGAATAGCATTTGCCCAAAACTCGTGAAAGCTCCGTAGCCCGAAGATTATCCTTTCGACATCAGTGCTCATTAATGTCACAGCTGCCTTTGGATCCTCCACAGAATGCGTATTCAACTGCAATGTCTTCACACCAATAGCCGATACCAGACATCCACGGATCATAGTGAGAACTCGATAGTGGTAATACCAGTAAAATCCAGTGGATATAGCGATCCCAAAGTATACAAGAGCATATGCCCCTATTAATCCATAGCCAATGTCCTCTTCTTTTGGTTCCGAGGATTCAGTCAGATAGTCTAGAAGCCGGTTTAATAAAATGGGCTGGCAGATTGTTAATCCTATCAAAATTGACCTTGGAAGAACAACCATCATAATGGGCCACTTTAGAGAGATATAAAGTGCTCTGATGACTGCATACCCACGCTGATTCCTCTTTAGCTTTTTCCAGGTATCTAGGAAGGGAGTTCCAAGAGAATCGGCATCCATCCCTTGGGCCAAGCAGTAAAGATCTGTAGAAACTAGCGTAGATCTAGCCCCGTTCAGTAGTAAGCGGTTAAGCCAGAAAAATATGCCACGGTTAAGTATGCTACTAGTATCTTCCGGTCCATACGTTTCACATATGGGTCGCTGTATATATTTTGCTTTCTCCCATGATTCCAAGATCAGAATAAACATTTTCAAAACTGTCGATGCAATGGATAACGCAGAAATGACTGAATATGGTTCTATTAAGAAGACCGTACGTGCTCGTGTTGCATCAAACATCATAGAAAAAAAGAGGTATACGATGAGAATGGAAGACGGTCTAATGTTTCGTCCATGCTCAAAATATGACAGTAGCAGCAAGATTGCGAAAGTAGCAAGTGACAATGCCGCTGCTGTAATGGATGACCAAGTCCTCAGCGTGTCATGGATGCTCCATATTGCCATTAATGCTATTTGCAGCATTCCGTAAAGCAAATAAGCTAAGAAAACGCATCGTCAGTTAATAAATCCATTATGTGCTATTGTGACTCAATAATTGCGTAAACGGGATAAAATTGAGAATGTCTCGAGTAAACTGACCAGAAATCTTAAAAAGCTGAAATCTACGAGCCAACACAAGTTGAAATTGGCTCTGCAGATAGGCAAGTCGCCCAAGTCCAGTGATCAAAACCAGTAATGATGGAATTATTGACAAGATAGCGTCTTCAAATAGCAAGGTAAAGTCCCAACCACGGTGGCAGCCATTTGTAATTGGGCCAAAAGAATTATCCTTACACATGTCATGCATGACAGACAATTTTCCTGTACCCTAGGTGTAAAGCTGGAATATCTTTGGTATTCCGTTTAAACGTATGCAGATTCCTATAGAATGGAAATGACCCAAAGTTTGTGTGGGTAGAGACATTGAATAAGGCTAACAGGAATAACCGTCGATGGGTTTCCCCCGCAAATTAATAGGTAGTTAGTGCCAACATAGCACCGGGCGACAGGGTATCAGATCCGCTGAACAGTCTATGCCGGAACCGGTAAATGGATGGCAAAGTGACACGCAGCTTCATTTCAGCATCATGCATGTAGCATTGGTCCCCTGGCAAGCGGGAATATGACGCAGAGTAAACGGAGCAGTTCCAAGGCAGAATGCCTGTTCCCGTGATCACCCGTTGCTTTAGCGTATTTGAACATACTCCGGTCTTCTCTCACAGGCTGCATAAATGATACTTCCAACAAACTGATGGCGAATGGGAATCAATACCAAGATGCCCGGAGTATTGTGAGCCGGACATTGAAACTGAAGGAGGGGGTGTCTTATTCCGCTATAGGTACCACGGTTATACGAGGAAAAAAGAGATCATTCCTCGCAACTATACAAAGCCGAACCGCATCAAGCTTCAGGGAAAAAGCCCACATGTACCTGCTATTTCGGAAAGATGGGAACTTCATATCTTAAAAGAGTGCCTTTAAGGCTTCGAATAGGCTCTCGAGTCTAGCTGTTTCCTCCATTATTTAGGAATGAAAAATGAAGTGAATGATAGATGTCTGATAGGCCTCCATACCAATTAAGAACACAATTAAGAACATTTCCGTATAGTCGTCCAGTCTGCCGACATGCGCTATCCTCGAATGAGCATCACGCTGTGACTCCTGTAATTTAACAACTGCATGTCTGATGCATTAGTGTCAACATACCCTACTGCATTGCGGATGCGGGCATTAATAACATGCAAGAGTCTCCAACATTCTCCGAGTTGGAATGTACCTACCTAGTAAGTTTAGGAGTTTCGGCTTGGCGGTAGCTCACAGGGGCCTCTAATCCGGTATAGTGCATGCATAAACCTTTTGTTCCCACTCGATACTGCTGGTGCCTCGCGGCTATAAAGCTTCAGCGAGACTCCAAGAAAGCTTGTTAGCACCTTCGAGAAGCTTGACACACTTACCTTCCATTGCAACTTTAATTCATTTCTACATATACATAGTACACCCAGAGTTGCTCGCAAAAATGCCGTTTCTAACGGATGAAGATCGCTTGCCGCTGCAAGTGTACTCCCGGGAGTGGGATTTTGACACAGGAGGAAAGGACCATATGTATGAGCGAATCGCTGCATCTCTGCATATCGACCGGGCTAAAATACAAGACGTCTACCCATGTACCCCTATGCAAGAGGCTTTGATAAGCTTATCAACTGCCGGTTCTGGAGCCTATATCAAACAGATTGTCTTGTCTTTGGCCAGCGACATAGATATGAACAGATTTCGTTCTGCCATTGAAGATATGGCCGAGACAACAGCTCTTTTGCGAACTTGGATAGTTCAATGCGATGGCGCGGGGTTTGTTCAGGCAGTTCTTCAAGGCCCAATCCAGTGGGATCATGCAAATTCTCTTGAACGTCACTTGGAGGAAGCTATGACAGGAAAATGGGGTATTGGTGAACGCTTGGTCCGTTATACGATTGTCAACAATGAAAACACACCGAGATGGTTTGTGTGGTCCATTCATCATGCGTTATACGATGGTTGGTCGTTCCATGCCATGGTTGAAATGGTTACAAACATGTATAATGGCTGCAGTATCGGGAAAGTGCCCCAATATAAGGACTTTGTCAGACATCTTTTGATGAAGAATTCGAAGGCGGATAAGGCATATTGGAAGTCGGCGCTTGCAGGTGCCCAGGATAAAAATTTTCCGCGGCTTCCGACCATTTTCTATATGCCAGTTGTTGATGCTATGATGGAGCAGCGTTGCCCTCCACTACCCAAAATAACCGGTGTTAGTAGAACCGCACAGCTGCAAGCCGCATGGGCAATTGTCCAGAGCCGTTTCCAGGACTTTAATAGTCCCGTCTTTGGAACAATTGTATCTGGCAGAGACGAACCCATGTCAGGGGTAAAAGAATTAATTGGGCCTACCATTGCCATAGTCCCAGTGAGAGTCGATGTGAACATTCATGGCAACGAACTTGTTGGGGCATACCTGACAAGAGTTCAGGCACAAATAGCAAAGAGGAAACCTGTCGACCACCTAGGCTTACAAAATATTTCACGGGTAAGCCATGATGCCAAGCAGGCATGTGGCTTCCAGACATTGTTAGTTGTGCAGCCAGGAGAGGAAAGCCATGTGGTGACCAATGCTCTAGGGGTATGGAGGCGAGTTGACAAAGATGTGGGCCGGTCTTCCTATGCCCTGACTATTCAGTGTTTCCTTAACAGGGAAGAGATTAAGATGACGGCCGCATTTGACGCCTCAATCTTAGAGACATGGCTAGTAAAAAGAATGCTCGCATACTTTAGCTTTGTGACGCAGGAGCTCGCAAGGGCAGACGAGTCTCACACACTGGCACAAATAGTTGAAAAAGCACCTCCGGGGGACATCAACGATATCTGGAACTGGAACGCGAACATACCAACATCTACAAAGGAATGTGTACATAACTTGGTCTCGGAGGTGGTGGAACGGCAGCCACAGGAATTGGCCGTATGCGCATGGGATGGCACTTTAACTTACAGACAGCTCGATGAGTTGGCAACCCAGTTAGCATGTCGCCTCATCAGGCAGCTCGGGACAGAACTCAAGGGACTAGTTGTTCCTCTTTGCTTCGAAAAATCTGTCTGGATGCCGGTGGCAATGTTAGGGGTCATGAAAGCAGGTGGGGCATCCGTCGCTCTGGATACTACACTGCCCATGGGGCGGTTGAAGAGTATAGTCTCTGGTTTGACCGGCCTTAAGCTGATCGTAGCGTCGCGAGAAAGCATAAAGGTGGCAGAAGGACTCGGAGGAAGCGAAACGATGGTGGTTATCGCTGATGAACACCAAGCGCTAAATTTAGGTTTTAGCGCAAGCGCCAAGCCTCACTTATTACCAAGCACAGACCCTTCCGATGTGCTTATGGTGTTATTTACCTCCGGCAGCACCGGTTCGCCCAAAGGCACGATCATCACACATTCGTCATTCGCAACCGCAATCAGCCACCATGGGAAAGTTTTTGGGATCGGTCCCGGTGAGAGAGTCTATGATTTCGCGTCGTATAGTTTTGATATCGCCTGGTTCAACGCATTGCAATCTCTGTCTCATGGAGCATGTCTATGCATCCCATCCGAACACGAAAGGAAAAACGACCTCGAAGGCTCGATATTGAGGTTCAATGCGACCATTATTTTTATAACACCATCTGTCGCCCGACTATTGAAGGTGCATAACCTCCCTTGCATCAGATGTATCGCCCTCGGAGGGGAACCTCAAAAATGGAGCGATTTCCAGAGTTGGCCAGCTCACGTCAGAAAACTGAGTGTATATGGACCAGCCGAGTGCACAGTGGTATCTGCAGCAATGGATGCGGAAATTCTGCGAAGAGGTGACATGGTCATTGGCCATGGATTAGCTTGTGCTAACTGGATACTTACCAATACACCTTCCCCCACTCTCGCACCAATTGGCACAGTGGGTGAGCTTTGGTTGGAGGGACCGCTTGTAGGGCAAGGATATATCAATGATGATTCTCGAACGGCGCGTTCTTTCATTAAAAACCCCGATTGGCTGCTCCATGGTGATGGAACGAGGCACCCAGGCAGACACGGCCGCCTATATAGGACCGGAGACCTCGTTCGATACAATGCTGATGGAACCCTCCTCTTTGTAGGACGCAAAGATACACAAGTTAAGATTCGTGGGCAACGTGTAGAGCTTGGTGAGGTGGAGTACCATATACGTCGGGCGTTGGATAACAACTACCCCAGTGCATCTAGAAGCGTTGTGATCGCGGAAACGATCAGGCCAGAGGGCACTGATAACTCAACTCTTGTAGCCTTTTTATGTGCAGAAGGCCCTGAATCGAAGACTGGAGAATTCTCTTCAGACTGCTCAGTCCCTGAAGGTGAAACTCAAGATCTTGTGGCAAGACTGGGTGAGAATCTTTCGGAAATAGTGCCTCCATACATGATTCCAAATGCATTTATACCGTTGACTCATATTCCAACGACCAGCAATGGAAAGATAGATCGACGAAAACTACGGGAAATTGGACAAATGGTATACCAAGAACATTTGTTTATCCAGGGACAACATGGAATAACTCCACCCTGCAATGATGTTGAGAAAACCCTGCTTGAGATTTGGGCTGAAGTTCTAAACTTGAGCACAGCTACCCTATCCACTACCATGTCATTCACCCGGATAGGTGGTGATTCTATCACCGCTATGCAGGTCGTTTCCAGGTGTCGAGCCAACAATCTCTCCGTGACAGTAAGAGAAATTCTCCGCGGTCAAACAATTCAAAATGTTGCTGCTATGTGTACATCCGCGCTTCCAAACCTTCCCTTGCTTGAAGAGAGGGAATCTGGGGATATTTCATGGGATCCATCCCCAATCCAGCGGATGTTTTTCGAGTTTTATCCAGACGGGCTCAATCATTTCAATCAAGGATTCCTCTTAAAGTTAAAACAGCCATTATCAGGCTATACCATTCAGTGGGCTATGGAAAAGCTAATGGAGCGTCATCCCATGCTTCAAGCTCGTTTTCAAAAGAATGCAGCTAGTGAATGGGAACAATTTATATCCAATGATATGTTCCAGGTTGCATTCCAGGAGCATTATATATCCCTGCAAGAAGATATTCGCGGTATTATACACCGCCGACAGGCATCATTGGATATATTGAATGGCCCTGTATTTGCTGCAGATCTTTTTAACCTGGAAGACGAATCCCAACGCCTATTTCTCGTTGCCCATCATCTTGTTGTGGATCTTGTTTCCTGGCGCATCATTTGGCATGAACTCGAGCTCTTAGTTAGAAAGGAAACATTGCTTTCCCTTCCGACCACCTCTTTCAAAACATGGTGTAGGCTGCAGAAAGCCGAAAGCCAGGCATTATCCCTTAACGAAGCTCTTCCAATTTCAATTAAACCACCTAATTTGGAATATTGGGGCATCTCTTTTAAGGAAAATTTGCAAGGCGGAAGTATACAATATACACGGACTCTTGACATAGAAGTTACCAAAAGATTACTGGGGACGAGTAATTCTGCATTTAAGACCGACTGTACGGATATACTTATTGGTGTTCTAGCTAACTCCTTTCAAAAGATCTTCTCGGACCGTGACCCACCATCAATATTTCTTGAAGGTCACGGTAGAGAGCCTTTGGATGGCTTTGAAATTGATCTTTCAGAAACTGTGGGGTGGTTTACAACCTTGCATCCCATCCATATCCCGATCCATGCAGGAGAGAGCACTATTACCTCTATAAAGAGCGCAAAGGATATTCGACGGAAAGTTCCAGGCAAAGGCCGTCCGTACTTTTCATGCCGTTATGACACCATTCAAGGCCGAACGGCATGGAAAAGTCATAGCTTCCCTGAGTTGACTCTCAACTTCACTGGCGTGTATCAGCAGCTAGAGCGCCCCGGCGGAATTTTCCAGATTGATAATGAGACTCATACAGCCGCAAGGTCACTCAGCACATCATCTAACGCCCAGCGTTTTGGATATATCGAAGTGATTGTTAATGTCACCAATGGATGCATGAATATATCCTTCCATGTTCACCAGAAAATGCAACATCAGGCCAGGCTTGAGGAATGGATACACCTATTCGCGCAAGAACTACAATCATCTGCCTACAGTTTGGCATCTATGCAAGCATATTTTACCCCTGGCGACTTTCCATTACTGAAAATGTCATACGATGAACTAGATTCCTTGTTCATAAATGACCTTAGCGGTATGGGCGTGAGCCCTGACGTAGTGAAGGACATATATCCTTGCAGCCCACTCCAAGAGGGTATTCTAATGGCCATTCAAAAAGGGGCTGCTACATATGCTACCTTTTTCATTTGGAAATGTGAGGCTGGTTCTGGTGAAGAAATATCGTCAGTAAGTCTTGGTATGGCATGGAGGGCCGTTGTAGCCCGCCATACGGTTCTTTCCACGATATTTGTACAAAATTCGTACCGGGGTGATTTTGTCCAAATACAGCTGCATACAAGGCCATCCAAAGTGGTATACATAAATTCGCAGGAAAAATGTCCAATGGATTTATTGAAGGAGCACAGACCATCCCACTTTGCTATAGGAGAGCCGGCACACATATTCACAGTATGCCATTCATCAAGTGGAGACGTCGCTTGCCGACTTGATATAAGCCATACCCTAATCGATGCCGCGTCGATTTCTATAATAGCTCATGATATTATGAGATCATACGAGCATGCTACGTTTCCCCAAGCCGCTCAGTTCCATGAGCTCATTAAACATTTATCTGTCAGTCCTAAATCAAAAGATGTGGCATACTGGGTAAAATTCTTGCGTGGAGTAAAGAGATGCGAGTTTCCGACCAGACACACCCCATCTGACTCCCAGAAGCTTCCCGAAGGTGATTATGGCCGAATTTTAATTCCATCAACTAGCACAACCCAGCTTCATGCATATTGCCAAAGCCAAGGGATAACCCGGTCTGTGTTCCTTCAAGTAGCTTGGGCCTTGGTTCTCTCGTATTATACTGGCTGCCGAGATGTTTGCTTTGGATATATGGCATCATGCCGTGACGTACCAATTAACGGTATAGAAAACATGGTTGGACCGCTTATTAACCTGCTGATAAGTCGTATCAGCCTTGACGGCGTCAGGGAAGACGTATTTTCGACCACAGCTCAGCAGTCAATCCAACATCTTTCTTTTCAAAACGCCTCCTTTGCGGAAATACAACATGAACTGGGAATTTCATCCCAACGGCTCTTCAACACCGCAATAACCTTACGTGAAAGTCGCAAATATGAGAGATACACAGAAGGCAGGTTCTATCTGAGAGAGATTGAAACTGAAGATCCAGATGAAGTTAGTTTAATCCTTACGACCAATACGTCTATCTATATGCCTTTTTAGAGACCATGCTAATATAATAATATTTAAGTTTGACTTGACCCTTACCGCGGAACTTGACGGGAGCGATACTGCGATAAAAGTCAACTACAGGAAGTCTGCAATGGGCGATTCAGTAGCTCGGGAACTTTCTATTGTGGTATGCAACGCAATTGCATTTCTCCTTGATTACCCATTAGATACGAAATATAGCGGCGATATATCTCACTCTCAATGCAACGCCGGAAACGAACGGACTTTGTACGATGCATTCTTTTTTTACATGACAGGTGTCTGCGAATATGAGTGTATAGCATTTTGGAAAGATCGGTTTACTGGTTGCGCTGCCCCTCAGTTTCCTCGACTTCCTTTTGGTACATACATTCCCAAATCCAGAAGCATCCTGAATCATGAAATTCGACACCCTATACCTGATCTACGTCCGCCTCAGTTACTAGCCACCATTCAAACAGCATGGGCAGTACTGATCGGGACTTATACCAACTCAAATGACATTGTTTTTGGGGCATTGTCGGTGGATTCATGGCCCGGCCTCGGACAAAATTTCAACGGAGGTTCTCCGCTATCCATAAAGCAAACGGTGATTCCTATAAGAATAACACTCAATTGGGATGGTCACATTGATGAAACTGTGAAGGATGTCGAACGCAAAGTCACTTCTGCACTCCACCTTGGCAAAATACATATGTGGTTTATTGAACGACTGAGCGATGAGACCAAACGGGCATGCCAGTTTCAAACAGTGCTGGCTATAAATCCTCCAAATACAGGGCGTCCAAAATCAAACGTTTCCTCCCAGTTCTCTTCGACCGTACCCAGTTCTGGAAAGCAAGAGCCAGTGTTTGAGGTTGAATCGACCCACGGTAGTAAAATGTATGACTACGCGCTAGTGGTAGAATGCCATACCACAGGTCACGGCATAGAACTATGCTTACTATTTGACCCAACCGTTCTTGAAAAATCCCAGGTTACCCGAATAGCATATCAAATGGAACATATTCTGCTGCAACTTCTCGAACGCAACTCCACTATATCTTTACGCAATATCAATACTATTAACGAATACGATCTATGTGATATATGGAGCCGCAATTCGATTATTCCCACATCTTCTCAAGATACCTGTGTCCACAAATTGTTTATTGCAGTCGCCCAAAAATTCCCCAGTGCGCTTGCTGTCTGTGCATGGGACGGTGAAATTACCTATAAACAACTAGATGACCAATCAACAGGTTTGGCTTATCGTTTGGTTGAACTCGGGCTGAAGATGGGAGATATTGTGTCTCTGTGCCTAGAAAAATCGATTTGGACTCCTGTTGCTATGCTCGGTGTTATGAAAGCCGGCGGTGTATCCGTGAACATGGATGTTACACAGCCGGAAGAGCGGCTGCAAGCAATTGTCAGTCAGGCAAACCCACGTTTTATTGTATCTTCGATTCGCAACGTAGCTCTGGCCACCAGGCTTTGCCAATGCCCTATCATCCAAATTGGGGATGAGCTACCACGATGCCCCATTCCTTATCATCCATTACCATCAGTCGGGCCAGCGCATAATCTATACATAGTGTTCACTTCCGGAACCACCGGAGTGCCCAAGGGGGTGATCATCTCGCACGGGAATTTCTGCAGCGCTATCAAACACCAAAAAGCTCTGGGATTTACATGTACATCACGTGTCTATGATTTTGCTTCCTACGCTTTTGATGTTTCGTGGTCCAATGCATTACATACACTTACAGCTGGCGGTTGCTTGTGTATTCCTTCAGAAGAGGATCGCAAGCAAAACCTTTCAGGGTCAATCCGAGCTTTTAAGGCCAACTATGTTGATCTAACGCCTACAGTCGCTCAGCTTCTGGATCCTGCTGATATTCCCTCACTTACTACACTCAACCTTGGTGGGGAAGCATTGTTGCCTGGAACCTTTGACAATTGGCCTCCTCATATACGGATAATCAATGCATATGGGCCAGCAGAATGTACGGTAGTAAGTACGTATACGGAAGTTAGCGCTGGTAAACAGGACCATGGAATAGGTTTTGCGCTAGGCACTGTTACATGGGTCGTTTCGCTTGATGGCTCTGAACTTGCTGCAGTTGGAGCTGAAGGTGAGCTTTGGATTGAAGGACCGCTAGTTGGGCAAGGGTACCTTAACAATCCATCACAAACCATGTCTTGCTTTATACAAGACCCCCCATGGCTTCTGCGAGGCTGTCTTGGGCACCCTGGTCGTCAGGGCCGACTATACAAGACCGGAGACCTTGTGTGCTACAACATTGACGGCTCACTCACTTTCCTAGGCCGCAAAGATACCCAGGTTAAAATACATGGTCAACGTGTTGAGTTAGGTGATATAGAACATTGTGTTGTTAAGGCTCTAAGCCCGGATTTCAGCTCATTAGGCGGTGTGGTAGTTGCTGAAACTATCAGGACACAAGGCAGCGACTCTCCCACTCTAATAGCCTTTGTTAGTCCTGGTCCAAGCATGCCCGTTTCGGTTACTCAGAAAGCATTGGCAGATATAGATACAAAGCTTGTAGAAGCTGTACCGTCACATATGATTCCAAGTGCCTTTATAACTCTGGCAGATATGCCAAGGACAGCCACCGGGAAGGTTAACCGTCGTCTGTTGCGTGATGAATATTCCTTACTCACCTGGGACCGTATAATCGCACTCGGTTCAAAAAGTCAGCAGCGAGGGTACCCCCAACCGAGCACCTCACAGGAGCGGCAAATGCAATCTCTATGGGCTAGCCTACTTCACCTTGACACCTATGACATTGGTGTGAACGACAATTTCTTCCAGCTCGGTGGTGATTCAATCCACGCCATGAAGCTTGTGGGCCTTGCACGCCAGCATGATCTATCTTTAACGGTAGCGGATATTTTCATGAACCCAAGGCTAGGTGATCTTGCAGGGATACTCAAAGCCGACAACAGTAGTATGAAGAAAACCATCGCCCCATTTTCCTTACTACAGCCGGGTATAAATATCCAGGAGACGGTGCAAAAGGCAACTTCTATGTGTCAAACTACTCCTGGAGATATTGAAGACATTTTTGCTTGTACTCCCCTACAGGAAGGTCTTCTAGCCATCACTGCGCAGCGACCAATGGATTATATTGCGCAGTTCACATATACCCTCCCATCGAACATTAAGGTCGAGTCCTTCACCGAAGCATGGGCACAAGTAATTTCTGCCTCACCTATACTCCGAACCCGTATTGTCGAGTTACCAGCGGTTGGGCTTTCCCAAGTAATATTGAGAAGTCGGCCATCATGGTTTTATGCTTCAGATCTCAAATTATACCTAGAAGTAGACGGCCAACAATCAATGAAGCTTGGAGAGCCTCTCTCAAGATTCTGTCTTATCCGAGAACTGGGCTCGACACACTTTGTTTGGACTATTCATCATGCGCTATATGATGGTTGGACGATACCATTACTTCTTAATTCTGTGGACCAAGCATATCATGGCAGGTCTATCACACCGTGGACTCCGTTCCCAGTGTTTGTACATTTCATCAACCATGTTGACCAGGAAGCAAGATCAAATTTCTGGCAACAACAATTTTCTGGCTTAAAAGCTGTGCAATTCCCCCCTTTACCATCCCCCGACTTTCTGCCTAGCCCAGACCACGTCATAGACTACAAAATCGCAGGAATTGGGTGGAGCGGAAAGAGCTTCACTCCATCAACAATGATTCGCGCAGTGTGGGCGATTCTGATAGCTCAATATACCAATGTTCAGGAAGCACTCTTTGGGGCTGTTGTTTCAGGCCGGCAGGCAGCCGTTAGAGATGTTGAGCATATTATGGGTCCAACTATTGCAACAGTTCCAGTGCGCATAGGGATCAATTGGGGCGCCCCCCTCCAAAATCTTCTATCAACAATACAGAAACAAGCGACAGAAATGATTTCATTTGAGCAGACAGGTCTCCAGAATATTCAACACATCAGTGACGGTGCAAAGCGTGGATGCCAATTCCAATCACTCTTATTAGTTAAAACGGATACTGAAAACAGAAAGACCTCTGAGTCATCCCTCTTTTCCCAAAGACTCAGCTCGAAAGATACTGTTGACACTTTTTCCACATATTCCTTGATGCTTGAATGCCAGGTCATAGATCAAAGCCTAGTTCTACATTGGACGTTTGACTCGAGTATAATTCAGTATCGGACTGTGAAGCGACTGATCCAGCAGTTTGAATACTTGCTCAGACAAGTAAGCCGTCAGGATAGCGGCTCATCTCTAGTTTCAAGCTTGGAAACAATCACAGGTCACGATTTACAGGACATTTGGGAATGGAATAAGATACCCCCTGCTCTGGTCAATGGATCACTGGCCACTGAACCACCGCCTAAATACTACCGAAAATACTATAAAGAGTATTGGTGTATCAGCCCAGATACTCCTAAGGTTTACTGGATTATTGATATAAACAAGAACGAACTTGCGGCCATTGGGGCTGTTGGAGAACTTTGGCTAGAAGTTCCTCCTGCAAATGAAACATTAATGACTCCGGAAAGGAATGCTGACGCGGAGTTTTTGGATGACCCTGTCTGGTTACTCCGCGGAGCCAGCGTTGATCTACCTGGACGCAGAGGTCGAATTTACAGAACTAGAGATTTGGTGAGGTATAATGAGGATGGCTCGCTGTCTTTCCTGGGAAGAAGAGAGATCCAGGTAGACCAACAAGATATGCTTATTCCACCGTCTAATTCGTGGGATGAGCTCATCTCGGTCCCGCAAAAAAGGGGAACTCCACAAACTCATTTGCAAAAACAACTTCAATCGTTATGGTCAAGGATCCTTAATATTCCAATGGATGCCATTTCCCTAGATGATCATTTTATGCGCCTTGGTGGTGATTCTGTGAAGGCAATGAGACTCGCTGCTATTGCTCAGAGTGAAGGAATTTCTCTATCAGTCGCCAACATATTACGACATCCTACTCTTGGTGGGCTTTCAGAGACAATTCAGGCCTCCGTCTTCCCAGATAACCAGTTAGTACGCCCGTTCTCACTTCTTGGTGACATGGAGAAAAACAGCATTCTTCAGAAAGTGAAAACTCTATTGAAAACCGAGAAAATTCACGATATTTTTCCCTGTACTCCCCTCCAGCAAGGTTTACTGGCGTTGGCAGTCAAGCATGACGGCGCCTGCATTGCACGTTACGCCTATGAATTACAAAATAATGTCGATATTTGCAATTTTACTCGATCATGGGACAAGGTAGTGGAAATGCTGCCAATTCTACGAACGCGTTTCGTAAGTCTGCCATCAAAAGGAGTTTTCCAAGTCATAACCGACCATCGCAATACTTGGGTTTCTGGATCCAATATTCTCACATATATACAAGAGGACAAGGCCCGAAGCATGGCTTTCGGTGAACCTCTTTCTAGAACAGGATTAGTTCAAGATCGTAGATCTGGCAAGAATTTTTTCGTGTGGACCATTCACCATGCTATATATGACGGTTGGTCTATATCGCTCATCTTGGACCATCTTCAAGCAGTCTATAAGGCCAGGTCCGCTGAAGGATACCATACCCGCCTAAATGAGCCACCCGTCCATTTTCAGGCCTTTATAAAATACGTCACCGAGCTCGACCATGAATATGCAGACAGATTTTGGGCCGAACAGTTTGATGGGTTGGAGGCATTACCATTTCCAACGTTATCCTCCCCTGCATACTGCCCATCTGCAGATAAGCAGGTCAAATTTCGGGTTCACTTGCCATGGACAAATACCAATTTTACGGCACCAACAATCATCCAAGCCGCATGGTCCATCATATCCGCAACGTATTGTGGCATTAATGATACTATCACGGGACTGTTGGTGTCTGGTCGCCAAGCAGCTGTCTCACAGATTGATAAAATCGTGGCCCCTACGATAGCAACAGTGCCAATGCGTATTGTTGTGGACTGGAACTTCCCACTGCGTGACTTACTTCAAAAGGTTCAGCGCTGGGCTGCTGATATCATCGCCTTCGAGCAAACCGGCCTACAGCATATCAAGCAAATAAACGAAGACACACGAAGGGCCTGCCAGTTTCAAACTATACTAGTGATCCAGCCTAAAGACATGGAGCATAACAAGAATAGCTTGTTCTCATGGGACGGGAAAGAAACTGAATACCCGGCTGAGGCGGTTGTGAACTTCAGCGAATATGTGCTTACCCTCGAGTGTCAATTGGAACAACAAGGAATGCACGTTCTCGCTAACTTTGACTCTGCTGTAATAGACGAGGTTCAAATGACACGAATTCTCCGACAGTTTGAGCATATAATTAGGCAGATGTTGTCCATTGACATGCAGTCGAAACAGTTGAAGCAGATACATATGTTAAATGCATATGACTCATCAGATATCTGGAAATGGAATTCTAATTTCTCTTCCCCATCTGAGAGCTGTCTTCATGATCTCGTTGTCGAGGTTTCCAGTGACCAACCAGAAGCCCTAGCCGTTAACTCGTGGGATGGAGAGTTAACATACAAGCAGCTCAATGACTTTTCCACGGAGCTAGCATCTTTTCTATGCGAGCAGGGTGTTGGAGCAGAAGTTTTGGTCCCTATCTGCCTTGAAAAGTCCATGTGGATGGCTGTAGCGATACTGGCGGTACTCAAGTCCGGCGGCGCCTTTGTTCCGATTGATATATTCCAAGCTCCAGATCGCGCAAAGCTAATTATGGACGAAATACAGCCTATAGTTGTTGTGACATCTAGAAAATATGGAGATTTCGTACAAAAATGCGGGTACAGTACCATATACGCAGCAGATCTACATACCCAGACCGGAATTCACATCGATAACCACATACCTTGTTGTAGTCTGAAGTCTGCCGCATACGTTATATTTACCTCTGGAACCACGGGAAAGCCCAAGGGGGTAGTGGTTGAACATCAAGCAGCGAGTACGAGTATTCTGGCCCATGGAATGAAGTTGGGATTTTGCAGGCAATCAAGAGTTCTTCAGTTTGCATCTCACTCTTTTGATGCTAGCATCATGGAGTTTTTGACAACACTCGTCTATGGAGGGTGTGTCTGTATACCCTCTGACGAGTCAAGGCTGCTTAACCTAACAGAAAACATCAACTCAATGGGGATAAACACGCTGTTCCTCACACCGTCTGTGGCCCAAATATTACAGCCAAGAACCCTTCCATCACTGCAGACTTTAATTATTGGGGGGGAGACCGTTCCCACCAGCGTCGTGGAGAAATGGAAAAATGTTCCTAAGCTTATTAACGGATATGGGCCAACTGAATGTGTCGTTTTTTGCGTCATGCATGACCTTAAAGCAAAGCAGGTATCACCACAGACCATTGGGAAGGCAGTGGGATCTCTATCATGGGTGGTTGATCCGGAGAACCATCACGAACTTGTACCTGTAGGTGCAGTTGGTGAGTTGCTAGTTGAAGGAAGTATACTTTCACGTGGATACCTAAATGATCCCACTCTAACAGCCATCTCATTCATTGAGAACCCGTCTTGGCTATTGCAAGGCCATGGTGAGTATCCTGGTCGCCGTGGAAGACTTTACAAGACTGGGGATCTTGTGAAATATAATCCGGACGGTACACTCCGTTATATTGGACGAGTAGACACCCAGGTAAAAATTCGAGGTCAAAGGGTTGAGTTGGGAGAAGTAGAGTCATGTGTACGAAGGATTTGGTGCAACACCTCTCTGGAAAATGGAGGCAATCTACAACAAGATGCTCTCATTGTTGCAGAGATCATTACACCCCAATGCAGCAGCCAGCAAGCCCTAGTGGCCTTCATATATCCTGGAAAATTGCATAGCCAGTCTCGACAACAGTGTTCAGCAGCAGTCGGCGAAGCGGTAGCAGGGTTTAAGAGTAGATTAAAAACTCACCTTCCGGCGCACATGATCCCTAGTGCATTTATACCTGTGGATGAAATGCCTACTACGGTTAATGGAAAAGTCGACCGGAAGCGTTTACGTGAACTTGGAAAGTCACTGAATCGCCTCTATCTGGCGTCCCTTGACTCCGAGAGCTTTTCGCTGAAGAGATTGCCTCTAAGTCAAACCGAGAGAACAATTCAAAGAGTATGGGCGCAGGTATTAAACTTCACTGGCCAAATTGGGCTTGATGACAGTTTTTTCAGCTTGGGAGGCGACTCCATCTCTGCCATGCAAGTATGCACAGCATTGAAACAGCACGGACTAACTATCTCGTTGCGCAATATTATGCAAAAGGACACCATATCGAAGCTTACAAGCTGCTTAGAAGAAGCTGAATCGAGTAGCCTAATACCGATATCCAGAAAGGAACCTGGGTCCCGGTTCAGTTTATCACCTATCCAGCAATTCCACTTTGACACAAGGCCCTCCGGCCCCGACCTGCTAGATCTACCCTTCTATTTGCGTCTTGCCAAGTATACTTCGTCACAGATGCTTAGGAATACCCTCGAAGAAATTGTTAAACGGCACCCAATGCTACGGACACGCTTCTCCAGTGATTCCATGGGAAAAATGACACAGTATATTTCTCAAGATGTCGGAGGTTCGTTACATTTTGAGTGTTACCACGGAACCGACGATATGCAGAAGAAAGCTCTTATTTCAAGGTGCCGAGCAGCGATCAACATCGAGCGTGGCCCCTTGTTTGTGGCAGCTCTTTTTGAAGATGTTGGTCAACAGACTTTATTCATTACAGCCCACCACCTTGTGATTGATTTCGTTTCGTGGCGAATCATTTTCGAAGATATTGAGAACTTATTATCACTTCAACCATTGACCACTCCGAGCTCAATCTCATTTATGGAATGGTGCCTCTTGCAGAATAAATATGCACTCACCCACTTAGAGCCGAGCGTTGTGTTGCATTCCATGCCCAAGTATCCATCTTTAGACTACTGGGGTTTAAAGGACCAACAGAATGGCAAGGAGATCTATGCTAGAAGACAGTTCTTCCTGGATACCCAAACAAGCAAAGCAATTATAGGTTCTTGTAGCGATAAACTACAAGTTAGGCCGCATGAATTGATGATGGCTGCCCTAAGCTACTCGTTTACACAAGTTTTCCAAGATAGAGATCTTCCTCCCATCTTTACCGAAGGTCATGGACGGTTTGGCTGGGGGGACGAAAACCTCGATGTATCGCAAACGGTAGGATGGTTCACCATAATATTTCCTGTCCCATTAGATATGCGAGAAGGAGATGAGCTACTTGATTTCATCATCAAAACGAAGGAAAGCATGCGGGGCATTCCTTGCTGTGGGTGGTCCTACTTCTCTTCCAAATACTTGAATCCTAGAGGGAGACAGGCTTTCTATAATGACCCTATCGAAATCAACTTCAACTTCCTGGGGCATTTTCAGCAACTTGAGAGGGAATCCTCCCTGATAGAAGCCATCCCTCTTCCAAGTGATTGCAAGCCTGCCGAGATGCCTTCAATCAACACCGTAGGGGTGTTTGACATTACCATAATCATCGAAAGAGGTCAAATAGAAGTGGACTTCAAGTATAACAACGAAGTCAAGCATGGTGATAGGGTAGTAAAGTGGATTGAAACTTATCAAAGTTCAATACTGGATATCGTGAAAGACATGGGATAAGATTTTTCATTATGGGTCTAGAATTAGGTAGTCGTTTTCCATATTAAGGAAGGAAATAGCAGGTTAACTATTAGGTGGTTATTTAATTGATGAGTTATGACTATTTATTTAATGGTTACTTTGCACAGATTAACTTAGTTAACTAGCTAGCTATAGGTAGAAGCTATTTCTAACAGCCTACCAAAACCACTTACACCCAACATTTATGTAACTAATCAACACGCATCCTTGTCAGCTCATGTCCAAAGATCCATGAATCCCATAATTTCTTTTTCCCTAGCCCCAATTCCACCTTGATCCCCAAACTCGCTTCTCATCCGTTATGGAGACGTTGGGTGTTGGGTTATGTCGCATATGCCCCTAGCCCCCGGCTTCAAGACACCCACCCTCCAACCATGGCTCTCTCTATATTGACAAAACTTCTCTTGTTACTACCACTAGTGCATCTAGTGACCCCGTTGCCGTTGGAAAGAAGATGCAGCGCAGAAACCCTCCAATTCCCAGATGCCGAAACAATATCCTACATTCCAGCGGGGACAAACCTGAGCCTTCCATTCAATGACCCTTCATGCAACAGGCCGAACCAGGTAGTTCCTGTAGATATATGTCGAGTGACGCTGTACACTGCCACGTCTTGTAGGTCCGGTGTTTATTATGAAGTTTGGCTGCCTTTGGAATGGAAGGGAAGAAGATTTCTAGGTACGGGAAATGGTGGAATTGACGGATGTGAGTTTACTTCAATATGGGGATATTTCATCCAGGGCAAGTATATGCCAAGGGGTTTTACGGCCATTCTAACGACATATCTAGGCATCAAGTATGAGGACCTTGCGTATGGGGTGAAGAATGGGTTTGCTGTAGTCGGTTCGAATAATGGACACAATGGTACTACTGCCGTGACGATGTATCATAACTATGATGTTCAAATCGACTTCTCATGGAGAGCGTACGTGGCCGCCTTCCCATATCTTTCATCATACCTTTCTAACACTATAACTTGAAGCCTGCATACGAGCGTAGCCATTGGAAAAGAGGTTGTGGCGCAATACTACAATAGACCACACAGAAAGTCATACTATATAGGCTGTTCTCTCGGTGGGCGGCAAGGGTTTCAATCAGCAGTGAAGTTCCCTGAAGACTTCGATGGCATTGTTGCCGGAGCTCCAGGTTTAGACTTCAACAACCTGGTTTCGTGGAGAGCTGGCTTCTTCCCGCTGACTGGCAGTGTAGAGTCACCGGATTTCATCACCGCAAAAGCTTGGAAAACATTTATCCACAGGGAGGTACTGCGACAATGTGATGGTATTGACGGGGTGATGGACGGGATCATCGAAGACCCATCACTCTGCCACTTTAATGCTGATGCACTCCTATGCAAATCAGGAGAAGAAACAGATTGCTTAAGCCAAGTCCAAGTTGATATTGTGCGGAAGATATTTTCTCCACTCATGGGCGAGGATGGCGGATTGATATATCCAGCCATGCAGCCGGGCAGCGAAGAGTTAGCCACCACAAAGCTGTACGCGGGGAAACCATTCAGCTATTCCGATGAATGGTTCAAATATGTCATTTACAACCCGTCATGGAACGCATCGACGTTCACTATACATGATGCCGCGGTTGCAGAAGCCCGAAACCCTGGAGGTATTAAAACATGGCCGACATTCTATGACCTAGCCGAGTACAGAGAGCGGAACGGCAAGATTATTGTGTACCATGGTGGACAGGATAATCAGATAACCAGCTTCAACACCGAACGATACTATAATTACCTCTTGCAGTCTGACGGTGCTGGCAGTGCTAGGCACCTCGATCGTTTTCTCCGCATCTTTCGCATATCGGGCATGTTTCATTGCAGTGGAGGACCGGGCGCATGGGTTCTAGGTCAGGGGGGCGGAGCTACTTCAGAAGGCATCGAATTCAAAGGGGAGACCAATGTCCTCGCTGCTCTTGTTGATTGGGTTGAAAAGGATGTTGCACCGGATACTATTGAGGGTGTCAAATTTGTGGACGACGAGATCACATCTGGCGTTTCACTATGCCGAAGGCACTGCAGGTTGGTATTCTCTCATCTTCTTCCATTAAGGGTATATACTGATAGGTGGTGATGATAGGTATCCACGCCGAAATGTGTATATGGGGGGAGACAGTTCGGATCCTAACAGCTGGGTATGTCAGTAGCTTGCTATCAAAGCATACAGGTGACAGCCCCTCCGGTCTAGCTGTGATATTATCCTTGTCTAAGTGTCATAAGGCTTTTCTATTTCCTCGGTATTTCGTTTAGTAGCACGGAGTTGTTGTGTAGACTCAAGGTTATGGGCTTTCTATGGGTCGAGCCAGGCTGTGAATTATGCAACGAGAGAATACGGACCGTTTAAGCAACGTTTCCATCTGATAAGGCATAATCCTCGGCATCACAACCACTAGAATCCCCCTTTATGCATCCATCGTGTTGTATAAACCTCCTCGTCGACCTCAAACTGCAGTTGATATGCTTAGTCAGTAAAGCTAAGCCTCACCTCAGCCTCAAAACTCAAAACGACACGAACAAGGATGTTTTTTCTGGCGTTGTTTAGATCTTGTTGACAGCGTCAGGAGTGTCAGAGAGACACCAGAAACACAGCGGCAGGATGGCAAGGATGGCGAGATATGATGAGCACGGCCAGGACCCGGGCCGCAGACACGTTTTCTGTACGGGGGAGCAGGGTTGCCGTGCATGAGCTAATCACAGCCGATAATAACTACACTTCACGGTCAGGGAGAAGAAGGTGGATGACCAGCATAGCCCTTCATCCACTACGGCAACGATGTCTGCCTCTGAATTCAAATTGAGATGCTGTTTGGCAGAGTGGATAATGGATCAGGATCTGCCTTATTCGGGCAATTCCCGGTGAATGGCGATAGTCACTCCGGTTCTTTCACCGGGAGGGCTATTTAACCGCCGAGCAGCCGCTCCTTTGCTGACTGCTTAACCATCCATTCGACACTCCCAGAACTTTGAAGTCTGTGAAAGACGTCTAGAGGATCTCCATCCGTTATCAGAAACCACGATATTGCCATAAAAGATGCCGTTGTTCGGATCATCGTCGAGTTCAAAGTCACCTCTAAAATTCCTGAGCCGGAATAGACAGAGCTCGCCTGCTCAGAAGTCAACATATAGCAATAACATATCTACAGGAAGCAGTCATCTAGATGCTCCACCAGCGTACACACCCGTCTCAACCACCTCGACGACGGCTCCAAGTTTCCCAGCTGCATCAAGAAGTGAGGGTGGCTCTCTGGCCGCGAGTCCAGACCGGCCAGACTCGTTTCTCGCCCAATTCGATACCGTCTTCCTCATTGACGACAGCGGTAGCATGCGAGGGGCCAGTTGGAAAGCTACCGAAAACGCGTTGGCCAAGGTCGCCCCCATCTGCACCGCTCAGGACAAGGATGGGGTAGAGATATACTTCCTCAACCACCGCTCAGACTCCTCGAATGGAGCATACTCCAACATCCGGGACACAGGACATGTGCGCGAAGTGTTTACGGCCGTGAGCCCTTGCGGCGGGACTCCAACGGGGACCAGGCTAAATCATATCCTGAAACCGTACTTGAAGGGGTTTGAAGAAGCTTCGAAGAGCATGAGCCCCGATGAACGAGACAATGCGGTGCGGCCGCTTAACATCATTGTTATCACGGACGGGGTGCCAACGGACGATGTTGAGAGTGTTATCATCCAGGCAGCGAAGAAACTGGATAAACTCAACGCCGTGCCATGGCAGATAGGCATCCAGTTCTTCCAAGTTGGAAATGACCCCGAGGCTGCGGCGGATCTCAAAGAGTTGGACGACGCCCTAGCTGGCCATAACAACATCCGTGACATGGTCGACACTGTTCCCTGGGATGGCACACAGGCTGGCGGCGGGCTCGATGCGGACGGGGTCTTGAAGGTGGTCCTCGGTGCCGTGCACAAGAAATATGATCGAAAGAACGCTACTGGCGGACGGCAGTAGTCTTTTCTCCTTTTCCTCCTGTCTCTCCTTTCTCCTTGGCCCCTTGAGCGGCCATTCTTCTCCCCTCTCCCTCTCTCCCCTCTCTTTGGGTATTTTCTTCCGCTCCGCTGAGTCCGTTACACTGCCACGTTAGCCGTGGTATTTCTCATCTTGCACGGGAACTGCCCGAACCGGCCTATCTTCCTGTACAGCTAAATTAACATACCTGAGCCTAACAAGTAGAGAAATTAAACACCATATCCGAAACACTCTGGTCTCTTAATTTTTGAGCTGCAGGGTGGCATTATCAGGATCTCTTAAGGGCAAGGGGTGGCCCCATCCAACACTTCGCGCCGGCGGTTAACTAGATAACTGGCATCTTTCATCACAAACACAAGAGATTACCAGCGAGACATTTGGCGTAACCTAACATCTGGCCCCAGACCAGCCATAAACAGGTTCGACTGTTGCACGAGGAACGGTCCAACGGCCGCATGTCAAGATGGCAGACATCAGACATGCCAGCCAGAGTGACGGCCATCCCAGCAACTAGCTAGCTAGTGACGTCTCAACTGTCGACTAACAACAACAACATCTGCAAAGGACCAACAACGACGCCGGCGCTTAACAGTTTCAAAACAACAGAAGATGAGACAGTCAACATGCATGAAGACGAACCGTCTCTTGCCCTGCAGCGAGCGCCAGAAGGGCCCCAGAGGCGTCCCTGACATCCAATCAAGCCGCGGCCGCCATCAACGCCTCCTTGTACGACGGCGAGCTGAGCGGAAGACGAACGAAGGCGTGAAGAACTGCTGTCCTGCCCCCGTATCGACGATCGCTCACCTACTGGCTGACCCAGATCCGCAGGCCATCATCATCGTCAGTGGCTACCTTGCAAAGTCAAGAACTGCTAGTCCAGTGGAAATCCTCGTCTTCTCGCCTATGGCTGGCCGGCTGAGCAAGCCGAGCTGCGTACTCCTATTGGGACAGAAAAAACTCCGTAGCGACAGTCAGCGAATATCCACAGCCAATTTCGCGGCAGACAGACTGGGGATCCCGATGAAGCTTGCTCAGTGGCTCGGTCTCTCCCTCATCCTGGCAAGGGGATTTTCCTGGCAAGCCGTCCCTGTCTGTTCCTTGCAATTCCTTGCTGTCCCTTGCTGGGCCCCATGCTCAGCGTCCAAAAATAAGAAAGGCGGAGCCAGCGCCAGTGCCAGAGAGCCCTGACAGCGTTCGCAAGTCGCGGCATCTTCCAGAGCTTCTTCTTCTTCTTGTCCATCTTGAAACGAGAGTGCTGCCAAAGGGGACTGGTTTCAGGTCCTTTGAGGTCAAATAAATATAGCATCATCTTGCATTGAAAAAAACAAAAAGCTGATGCAGCAGGGCAAGGAAACACTCTACATAAGGGCATCGATATTGCATACGATGAAGAGCTCGCAGACAACAGAGCAGTGAAGCTCTTCTCTCGAAGCTGCTGTGTTTTTCTTTACTCCCGTCAGTTCATTCATTGCATCTATATCTCCCTGGCTGGTTCCAGTTCATACATTTCTTCCTGTTCCTTTTGTTCTTTTCATATCTTCATTTCTTCATATACGTTCTACTGGTTGTCAATCGCATCAAGATGGCTACTTCGGCTACCACGACGTTAATGACATTCCTTGTGTAAGTGACAGTCCTTCATATTTGCTATAATGGATAGACGCTGACGGATACTTGCAGACGGACTCCTCCTTCAGCCCGGTCCGTCCGCCTGTTTGGCTCATGGGACAACTTTGCAAAGGGCTACCCCATGGAAAAGGACTCGCGTACCGGCAGAGGCCATTGGAGAGGATGCCACACCTTCACCAACATTATCTGCGATGGCCACGGGAATCCGATCTATCCGGGTCGAGATGGTGGCCTGAAGATGGGCGGGACTTACTGGTACTACGTATGTATCCCATTGCACTGATAGATCTATATATATATATTGACTAGTCCCAATAGTATGTCCTTGACGGTGACTTGGATTTTTATAATGAGTCTGAAGCCTGGACGACATCGTGCCCTTTGCTACCTGGACAGCCGCTCAACGTGCTTAATGTCCCTATATACCTACCTCCATCAGTCATTTCACATGGCCGGAACGGGAGTGCAAGCTCCCAGCTGTCGGTTCCGCAGACCATGAATCCTGATGACAAGTATGTCAACCCAAGGCCACCACCGCGCCCTCAACTGCCCCGGCTGGTCACTTCTCCTGCTGCCCTGGCACCGCAGGAGGCTCGTGGGTCTCTCGCGTCTCCTGGACCTCAAACGCATGGCAGGAGCTTCTCCCAGCCCCGAGCCGCTAGTCGCAAGTTCAAGGTTGGCGGCAAACTATCCCTAGACCTGAAACTCCCCATGAGCAGCCTTGCTCCTAAATCATCTGGACTTCGTACTGCATTCTTCAACCGTGTGTCTCCTCGCTCAGCCACTTACGAGACCTCGGAGAAGAACACGAAAGTGCCAGAGATATCCTTGACCAGAGACACTCCCGTGCTTGAGCAGAGTCATCAAACCCCAACGAAGAATTATCATCTGCGTCCAGAATACCCGGGCACTTCCTCATCCTTAGCTTCTCCGTGTGGTTCGCCTGCAGACCTCGTCATTGACGACAGGTTTCCCGAACAGGAGAATACGAACTACCACCCGAATATAAAGACTAATTGCCATACCTTGGACCCATTATACCAAACAGGCCAACCCCAAGCCCGCTCCAGGTCCCGAAGCCCTGCCCAAACACCGTTGAGGAATTCTGTCAATTACGATTCCAGTCCAAGCCAGAACACCACGGCTGCTAACACTGCCACCACATATCCTTCAACAGTGGAAGTACCGTGCAAGCTCGACGCCCATGAACCTCTATCTCCCATCGACCTCTACACCAAGCGTCTTCCCACACTTCCCAACAGTCCCTCTTCCGTCTTGGATGAAACATTCAACTCCACATGGACATCCACACCTTCATACCAACCCCTCGACCTCAACCATTTACAAAGCCACTTCTCCAAGTCCACCGTCGACTCCTCCTCTCCGAGCTTGACCCCCTCCCCTCATGAATCCCCTCTACTTCCATGTGGAAGCCGTTTCTCCGACTGCAGCACCGACACCGAAATAATTTCCCCATGCTCCATGACATCATCGTCCACCTTGAACAACGATGGCAACTCTCCTGCAAACTACAGTTTCTCGGCAAGTACCTCGCTAGAAAGTAACTTGTCTGATATCTGTCAAGACTCTACGCACAACAACTATCTGGACGCTTTTGGCCTGTCTAACCTGCATATCGGTCAAGACGAGACCAAGGATGCAGAACCTGCCTTCTCATGGATGACATCTGATCCCTTCAGCGACGAGAAGATCAGTCTTTGTGGGAAAACCGATGCATCCTCAGCTACCATCACCGCCAAAACACATGGCTACAGCTCTAACAGTGACCAGGCTGAAGCTACCATCAACAGTATGATGCAGGAGCTGATTGAGGATATGGGGTATCTCGGCGATATGATTGATGCGTATCCCGAGCAGATCTAAAATCTTTTGCTCTTCTTCTTAGCGTGCCTTTTTCCTTTGTTTCTATGCATATCTGCCTCGCTTTCGGTTGTTTTATCGAGCAGAATCGGCGTTTTCGAGTGTTGCTAAAATTTGACCTGTATTGTAACTAGCCAGGGTCCGGTCTAAAAGCAGAGCATTCAGTAGATACATTAAGCGAATTACAAAAATATTCATTCTAGAAAAGGTTTGCTGAATAGTAACTGTCGAGTTGTTTTAGTAAATGTCAACCTCGTTGTAGTTGGATGTTCGAGCAGCAAGTTGTAACTACATCATTTTCGTGGTGAGCGAACCTCAGATAAACAAAACCTCAAACCAGCACGATCAATAACAACGGCCAACCCCATGCATAAAAGAGCAAGATACACTCGCTACATTAATTGAGCGCAGACCAAAGCGCAAATATACCCCCAGAATCATCGGACACGCGAAATCAGCTGTCCAGCGTGAGATAGTGTAGCGCCGCCCGCGATGGCTTCACCAGCGAGCCCATCAGCCATCGCGGCCGAAGAAGAAGAAGAAGAGCCTGTAACGCTCAACTCGGTGGCTGAAAAGGACTTGACTGCAAGATGCAAGCCGCGGACCATCGCATACTGTCCTAACATGGACCTGGTTGCAGTCGTTACAGAGGACGAGCAGGTGAACGTGTACAGGCTGAACGGCCAGCGGGTGTTTGGCGGGGCCTACGGGCTGGGAGAGGAAGACGACGAGAAGGGCGTCGTGAGAGCCGTAGGGCTAAGGTGGAAGGAGAATGGTATTTATATTCACATCCTACTACTGGTTTATCTGTCTGTTCTGAGTGCTTTAGTGGCTAACTGACTTGCTGCAGGACGGGTGTTGGCCGTTGCTTGCTCGGATGACAGGATACGCCTGTTGAGCTCCTACAGTGGGAAGATGGTGCATATCCTGACCGCAGAGCCTGCACAAGCGCCGTTCTCATCGCCGCAACGGCCAAGCGGGAGTATTTCGTGCATTGGATGGGGTGTCAGCTTTGCAGAGACGGACAGCCTGTTGAAGAACCTGAAGGATCCAGAGGGCAAGCTGAGTCTAGATGACCTGTTGATGTCCGACACGAAGCTGTCTGCTCATCTGGGGTTTCTCAAGGCGGATCTACCGCGTGAACTAGCCCTGCTAGACATTGAGGGTTCGCTGCCGAAGCTGAGTACGCTGCCGTCTACGGGTGATGAGTACGTTGGTCCGTTTTCCCCTAGCTGATAGTATCCATGCTAATGGTATATCTAGTGACGATGTCTTTAGTAGCAGGGTGTCTCTTGACTCTATATTCCATTCTCCGGTGAAAAACCCAGGAGACTCGGTGGACGTGCTGCTTGCCGGGCTTGATGACGGCTCAATCCATATGAGGATCTTCGAGAGCTTTGAGATCGGTTCTATCGATGTGTCTAGCTCCCTGGATGGGTCAGATAGTGATGCCAGCGAAAGTGGAGGGTATAAAACTCTGCTCCATGCATCCCATCCGATGAGCACGACGCATGCACTTCTCTTTCAGAGCGAGGCCGGAATGAAACTGTTAAATCTAGACCTACGGTTCATCACCAAGGCAGGCAGGTATCTGCCCCTGCTTGCATCGAAGGTCACACAGCTGCAGAATCTACTCCGGTATATCAAGCAAGTTCAAGCACAGATGCACCTGGAGTGGAAAAATGCACGAGAACTGCCTATTCGATACCTGAGGAATATCAATGAAGAGCTGAAGGAACAGTGCCACTGCGATTTTGTCACGGCTACCTATCACTTAATAGTTACAGGCGATTGCTATGCCCCCTTGAAGGAATTTCTCGCTACCACCATCAGCGACAGAGTATGTTGGCCAGCTGTTTCTTCCCTTTTGATAACTTGATGCTAAACAATGTAACTAGGGACAAAAACGATGGGAGAAGACGGTAGCTGGTGGCTATGAAGCCCTCCGCCGACTTGCCTATGAATGTCTGATGCCGGCTCTGGAACGCTGCGGCGTGCTACTGAGCCGACTGATAGGGCTATCAAAGTACCACCGCATCAGCCCGATTCTAGGCCTGGAGATGACCTATCTCAAGGCATGCGTTGCAACTCTGGACTGCCTTACCTTGCTAGCTCACAAGGTCGTGCTTCACAGCAGCACAGAGCTCAAGGAGTTCCATGCCTTCTCCCACTGGATGCAGCATGAGATCAAGCTCCAGTCAACAGATCCAACATCATCGACGATAGATGAACTGGTAGAGGCGGCAGACGAGATTGATTATGGTACAACGCTGGGATATGTCAAGGGCGCACTCACCAACAGTGCTTTGCAAGGGTTCTTGCAAGTACCACAGCCACCACCACCAGGGGCACCAGGGGCAGATCCAGAAGACAGGAAACGATGGGATGTTGATATTCAGGACGACGGCACATTTTACGAAGAATACAAGAAGGTAGTATCGCAGCATGAGTCGCAGCGGTCGGTTGAAGGACTATCGATACCGATGCTGGGTGACCTGACTGCCAGGCTTTCGGCGCAGTGTGATCGGGTATTCAAGCAGATAGCAGAGACACAGCGAAGAGGAACGCTATTCCGGTCTACTCTCAAGCTGAACGATGACTGTGACGCTACCGTCCTCGACATGGCCATGAATTTTGAGGTGAGTGTGCGTCGTCTTATCTTCCGGGTGAAGCTGGCTGACGGCGTTTCTCAGGAGTACGAAGGTGAAAGCCTGCCCTCAATATATGCTGCATCCCGATCTCGCACCACCACACATAAATGTATGTCAGGCCTGTAGATGTTTACCATTAACCTCCCTCCGTATATCAGCCAGTAGATGCTAACTGGCTGACTGGTAGTCTACATCTACCGGCACATCCTCAGCGTTGTCAACGGGGTGAGCTCGACCAAGGCCAGCCTCCAGGCCACCGTCGAGCTCGGCTCGGGCAGCATCCAGGACCTCAAGTTCGTTGAAGACGGCACTCTGATGCTCCTCTGGAAGTCCAAAGGCATGTTTCTTCCTGTTTTCTTTCTTCTCTTTCTTCTCTTTGCATGCTTCTCCGGTCTAACAACCCCCCTAGTATCACACCTGGTCAGCATTCCCTACCTCCCCAGCAAGCACGACAAGGTTGAGATCGACTTCACCGCCGCCGAGCCAGCTGGGAGCCTCCATCTGGCCCTGGACCACCTGGTTTGCCACAGCTTCGCACCGTCATCCAGCAGCGACCGGGAGCCCGTCCACCTCGAGGTCAACGGGCGGCGCGGACGGCGAGTTGTCTGCGTCCTGTACGCCGACGGACGGCGCTACTCTGTCCTAGACCTCGACAGCGCCCTGGACTAGTTAGGCCTGGCTCGCCTGCTGCCTGTCCGTAACTAACTAGTTAACTAGTTCATAGCTGCTGGTATTAAGAATAATAACTACAACGGCCTCCCTGCGTCTGCCGCAGCTCAAAAACAGAGACACGGAGAAGCATCCAGATAAAACACCGCCTCTCCTGCGCTTCCAGCTGTAGATAACCAGCGAATAGCCAGCAGTTATTGAATGTCTAGACAGGCCCTTTAGTGGTCTCGTAGGTAGTTGGTTGTCTGTCTGTCTTAAAGCCCACTTCTTCGCTCGCACCTAAAATAATAATTTTTTTTTTTTTTTATTTATTGTTGTCAACAACAACAACATCCTCAACTTCTTCACTTCTTCACATTCTCCTTCTTCCCTTCGCTTCCTCAGTCAATATTCAGCTTCTTCTTCTTCTTCTCCCCCGTCCTCGCTCGCTGCTCCGACCGGACGCCCAATTACCTACTGCTCGCCGGCTTCGTCTGTCGGTCGGTCTTCTTATCCTCGCCCTTTTGTCCGTCTCCAGCGAGATAGATAGCCAAACGCGCAGGGGAGGGGGGCAAAAACTCCTCCTTTTTACGAGCTCTCGATCCCGCTGCGTCTGCTGCACCTTTTTCTTCGGTCTCTGTTTATTATTCTCGCTCTCTCTAGGATCTCGACGTCTGCCGTCTAGTGCCCGCTGCGAAAGGTCCAGCCGTGCTCTTCCATCATGGACGTCAATCAGGTGTTGGCCAGCACCCTCTCTGCCGGTACGTAGGAAGACGGAGGAATACTTCACAAAAAAAAAGAGACACAAGCAGACGAAGAGACAGAGGAGAAGAGAGAGAGAAAGACGTGAGATCTGTGCTAACATGCTGCTCGTGCTCTACAGATGCCGCTACTCGCCAGAATGCGGAACAGCAGCTACTTCATGCCGCAGAGGTCGACTTTGTGCGTATCCCACACTACCACTACTACCACCACCACCGCCCCTTATAGGGCTCTCTACTCTACGCTGTGCTGGGCTGCAAGACTGACAGAGACTGACAGGCGGGATACTTGACGACCCTGGCCGGCGAGCTAGCGAACGAAAATGCTGCCTCGTCGATCCGAACGGCCGCTGGTCTGGCGCTCAAGAACGCCTTTTCCTTCCGAGATATCGCCCGCCTGCGAGAGGTCCAGGGCCGGTGGGTGCACGGCGTCGACCAGCAGGTCAAGAAGAATGTCAAGGAGCTCGCTCTCAAGACGCTGGGCGCATCCGACGCCCGCGCGGGCCAGTCGGCCGGCCAGTTCATAGCCTCCATCGCGGCCATAGAGCTGCCCCGCAATGAGTGGCAGGATCTCATGAACCTGCTCGTCCAGAACATCAGCACCGGCTCAGACCACCTCAAACAGGCCTCGCTGACCACGATCGGTTTCATCTGCGAGTCCGAGGAGCCCGACCTTCGCGAGAGCCTGAGCGCCCATTCCAACGCTATTCTCACGGCCGTCGTGCAGGGAGCGCGGCGGGAAGAACAGAACCCAGATGTGCGCAATGCTGCCATCTCCGCGCTCAGCGATGCCATCGAGTTCGTGCGCTCCAACTTCGAGAACGAGGGCGAGCGGAACTACATTATGCAGGTTGTCTGCGAGGCCACACAGGCGGAGGACACGCGGATACAAGCTGGCGCCTTTGGTTGCCTGAACAGAATCATGGGCATTTACTACGATAAGATGCGTTTCTACATGGAAAAGGCGCTGTTTGGATTAACGATTATGGGTATGAAGAGCGAGGAGGAAGACGTGGCCAAGCTTGCTATCGAGTTCTGGTGCACCGTCTGTGAAGAAGAGCTTTCCATCGATGATGATAACAACCAGGTACCGTTCTCCTCCTTTCTCATACTCATATTCTACTGCAGCTAGAGAGCTAACACATAACGTCTTTCTCAATGTCTAGGCACAAGCTGAAGGGTCGACGGAGATCCGACCGTTCTTTAGCTTTGCCCGCATCGCCTGCAGAGAGGTCGTCCCCGTCCTCCTGCAGCTAATGACCACTCAGGACGAAGATGCCAGTGACGATGATTACGACGTTTCCCGCGCTGCCTACCAGGCCCTGCAGCTCTATGCTCAGACCGTACAGGCTGAGCTTGTCGGCCCCGTCCTCGAGTTCGTCGAGCAGAACCTGCGTAGCGAAGACTGGCACCACCGTGACGCTGCCGTCTCGGCTTTTGGCGCCATCATGGACGGCCCAGAGCACGAAACTCTCGTGCCCCTTGTCCGCCAGGCCCTGCCCGTCATGATCACAATGATGGAAGACAAGGTCGTGCATGTCAGAGATTCTACTGCCTATGCCTTGGGCCGTATCTGCGACTACTGCTCTGGCGCCATCGAGGTCAACGTACACCTTCACCCGCTGATTTCGTGCCTTTTCAACGGCCTCGCGAGCAGTCCCAAGATCGCCGGGTCTTGCTGCTGGGCCCTCATGAACCTTGCAGATCGGTTCGCCGGCGACGCTGGGGCTCAAACCAACCCTCTCAGCAAGCACTTCCAAGACAGCGTCACCTCGCTCTTGTCTGTCACTGAAAGGTATTTCAAAAATCCTCTCAAAGCAAACATAAAATAATAATATCTTCCGTACTAATGAATACCTGTAGAACCGATGCTGATAACCAACTACGAACTGCTGCATACGAGGTCCTGAACTCCTTTGTGACCAACGCCGCTAATGACTCTCTGCCAATCATCGCCAACCTGTCAGATGTCATCCTGCAGAGACTAGAGCAGACCGTGCCAATGCAGCAGCAGGTCGTTAGCGTAGAGGACCGTATCACTCTAGAAGAGCTCCAGACCAGCTTGACCAGCGTTCTCCTGGTACGTACCTATCCAGTACTCATCGTAACTCTTTTTAACTAACTGCTATGACAGGCTATTGTCCAACGATTGGAGGCTGAAATCAAGCCACAAGCCGACCGCATCATGACTGTGCTTCTTCAGGTGTTGACCACAATCCCACCAAAGTCCAGTGTGCCCGACACCGTGTTTGCAACCGTTGGCTCACTCGCCAGCTCACTAGAGGCGGACTTCCTTAAATACATGGAGCCATTCAGTCCGTTCTTGTACAACGCCCTTGCCAACCAGGAAGAACCCGGTCTCTGTGCCATGGCTATCGGCCTGGTCAGCGACATCACTCGCTCTTTGGGAGAAAAAGTGCAGCCGTTCTGCGACGCATTCATGAACCACCTGCTCAACAATCTCCGCAGCAACAACCTGTCCAACCAGCTCAAGCCCGCCATCCTGGAAACATTCGGCGACATTGCCCAGGCCATTGGCTCGCACTTTGAAACCTACCTGTCCGTAGTCGCACAGGTCCTTCAACAGGCCTCTGCCGTTACTGCCAGCAATGACGTCTCCTACGACATGATCGACTACATCGTTTCCCTCCGCGAGGGTATCATGGACGCCTGGGGTGGTATCTTGCTCGCCTACAAGGGTGCTCCCAACGTAAATATCCTCCAGCCATACGTCGAGTCGATCTTCCAGCTCTTGCACCTGGTGGCACAGGAACCATCTCGTAGCGAGGGCCTCCTACGCGCCAGCATGGGAGTGATCGGTGACTTGGCCGAAGCCTTCCCCAACGGAGAATATGCATCCTTCTTCCGCAACGACTTCGTCTCTGCCCTCATAAGGGAGGCTCGAACCAGCCGTGAATACGGCCCACAGACCATCGAGACTGCTCGCTGGGCTAGAGGACAAGTCAAGCGCCAGATTGGCCTTGCTACTGCTGCTTCAATGTCTTAAGGGACCTTTTTTTTTTTTTCACTTCATGCATGTCTACATGAGAAAAACTGAACCTGCCGCTATTGATGCTTTCGTTGTTAAAAAAAAAAAACGTTGCAAGGCAGTACAGACACTCACAGAGACGGCTATCCAGGAAACCTGCACCAAACAGCGTATCCTACGGCATGCCGCCCGATTCTGCCTCGCTCCTACAGTGTTGATGTTGCTTCCCCCCAACCACTATCATCGAATCGAATCGCATCACATTCGCGTCGTCCCCCAGTCCCCCCTCCGTTACCTGTCTGCCCACCACCTTCCCCTACCCTAACCCCCCTCCCCGCCTTCATCACTATGCCTCGAATCTAGTTATCTGAAAAGGTTTCCGTCCCCCTACCTTGTCCTCCGCCCCTCCACCCCCCCTGGTAAAAGAAGTCATGTATGCCCCCAAAATCATGTATCCATCTTATTCTAAAAATTAGACCCGCTATATTGTAGAGAAAGGGTTTGATTTGGAAATAGCATTTGTCCCTTTCCTTTCCCTTCCTTTCACCATTTCCTATCCCTTCACTCATCCCTCCTTTTTCGTTTATTTCTTATATCTATCGATTTGCACCAGCGAGCATGGGTCAGAGAAGTGACATGAATGTTTTTCCTACTTATTTATGTACCGTTTCAGGGGAGTGTATGGAGAAAAAGAAAGAGATGACCGTTCCTGTTCCTGTTTCCCCTTCTAATGTGTTCCCTACCAACACCCCCGTTAGCCCCTATTTGACCGACTAGACATTTATGCCCCATTCCCTTGACCCCCCCATCTTTCATCTTTCGCCCACTATTTATCCAATTCATCTATCGGTTCCTATGTCATACATGTCCCGTCCACCGCCCACCCGCATCTAACTTAACGTCTTAATCATCCGTCAGTAATAGTTAGCTCTTGACCTGCAGGCTAGTTTAAGTAGACTCGCTACTAACCAGGATGAGGCCGTTCGTAACCATAACGCCAACATATCAAACTACATGTACCAATAATAATTAGCATCAGCAATCCGAATAGCAGAAGATGTCTCCACGAATACAAGTGATCTCAGACCTCCATCTAGAAGTCAACAATGAATACACATCCTTCATTATACCCCCCGCAGCCCCCTTCCTCGTCCTCGCCGGCGATATCGGCCAGCTAATAGACTACGACGAGTATCTGCACTTCCTCAACACTCAATGCGCCCAGTTCAAACACGTCTACCTGGTACTTGGAAATCATGAATTCTACGGCCTCTCACGACAAGAAGGGCTCAAGCTGGCTGCACGTCTTGAACAAGAGACACAACCCCACGGCAAACTAAGCATACTCAACCGTCACCGCGCCGAACTGCCTGGCTTTCCCAACATCGTACTATTAGGCTGTACACTACACTCCAGAATACCATCTGAGTCCGTCGATGCAGTGTTGAGCCGCGTCAGGGACTTCCAGCGTATACTCGACTGGTCTATAGCGGATCACAACGCAGAGCACACGCAAGATACGGAATGGCTAGCGTACCAAATCAGGACTATCAAAGCTGAGACGGAGAATGCTACTATCATCGTCATCACGCATCATGCCCCTTGTGTTCAGGAGAGTAGCAGGCCCGAGCAAGTGGACAATCCATGGACATGCGCATTTGCAACGGAGTTGCTTGATGGTACTACCGTATTTTCTCAGGTCCAGCACTGGATATTTGGGCATACGCATTACACTACCAGCTTCATCAAGGAGGGAGTCAGACTTGTAAGCAACCAGCGAGGATATCATGCTCGTGACACTGTAGAAAAGGGGGCTTCCATCTCTTCCCATGAGTTCGATATCAACAAGACCATACCACTAGATTAGTTGTCTTTTCCCTCTTTCCTCTCTCTCTTCTTTTCTACTCTTTGTCATCTTTTATCATCCCTTTTATCTACACTTGCTTCACTATCGACTCTCCATCTCTCTCTCTCTCTCTCTCTCTCTCTCTCTCTCCTTTGGTTTTACCCCTGAATCTTCCTCGTCGGCGTTTGATAGGTACTGGACGTTTCACGTGACTAGTTAGGGCTTTCTCGCCATGCCCTGAGTCTTGGCACGCACTCGAACTTTTTTACTTTTTTCTTTTCGACTTCAACTTCTGAACTTCATCAAGAACGACAAGAAACGCAGTCAGCTTCCTCAACTTCACCAGTTTATCACCTCGAGGTATGTGATGAGATCCTTTGCTTTGGTTTACTTGCTCGAAATGCCCTTTGGCTAGCCTGGGGAAATGCAATCATCGTGGTCGGGCCGGAGAGTGAGGCTCGGCTTCACGATGATACGCATTTCCTCTATGTACGGCACGGGCTGAAGAACCCTCTTCTGCTTCATCAATTGCTCTGAAAAACGAGTCGGTTGGCGAGTAGAAGTTATGAAAAGGGCACTCTTTGCGCTCGGAAAAGGCAGCTGAAGGCTAACTCGATCCATCCCGGTGTCTTTTTTATCTCCTCTCGCCTTGTCCGAGTCTAGTTTTTGCAGTTTTGCAGGACGGCAACGACAAACCGAGAGAAGATAAAAGAGAATTGGGAATTTCTGCATTAGATACCTCATCTCCAAAACAAATCCGTTTTCGATTTGAGAATCTCAGTTCTTCAATACCGCCAAAATGGTCAAGACTAGTGTTTTGAACGATGCGCTCAACGCCATCAACAACGCCGAGAAGGCCGGCAAGCGCCAGGTCCTCATCAGACCCAGCTCCAAGGTCATCGTCAAGTTCTTGTCCGTCATGCAGAAGCACGGTAAGCCACTACTACTTTTCCTTCTTTGCCTCAGCACTGTTTTCCCCCTGGATTTTTTCCCACCGTATCTCCCCTTTCGGGCTGATAACTAGGCGGTTGTTTCGATTTTAAACCCACTCTACAACGTCCGCCCTTTAAGTGTCCGATATATTGAAATATTCCATATTGGCGACGATCTTACAAGTTTCCTATCTTGCAAAGCTCGTCTTTGTTGCCCCATGATTTGCAACGTTTAATTCATCGTCACAGCACTTTACTAATTCCTCTTCTTTCCAGGCTACATTGGTGAATTCGAGGAAGTTGATGACCACCGTTCCGGCAAGATTGTCATCCAGCTCAACGGCCGGTATGCACCCAGACACACACCCTGGTGGGCTTTGTTGAATAAGCTACTAACAACTTTGCAGTCTCAACAAGACTGGTGTCATCTCTCCCCGCTACAACGTTCAGCTCCGCGAGCTCGAGAAGTGGGTTGTCCGTCTGCTCCCATCCCGTCAGTTCGGATACATTGTCCTCACCACCTCTGCTGGTATCATGGACCACGAGGAGGCTCGTCGCAAGCACGTTGCCGGAAAGATCATTGGTTTCTTCTACTAGATTCTGATCCTTACGGCCGATGACAAAAAAATAAAAAAGTGTTTAATGCACCGGACGGGGTATACCATGGCGTTCATTCTTCATTTGGCGGACTAAGCGGGCGCTATACATTCTATACTACGATGTAATGATGTATCCAGTTCTTCACGACGTTACCAATCTAAGCATTCTGCTTTTTGATTAGATAGTGAGAGACAATATTTGCACTCATCTAGATCTCGAATGCCATGGTTATTCCTTGTCTAACCCGTCTGCCACCTCTTTGTAATGTCTATCTTTAATGTCTGCATGTCTATTGGGTATCTATACTCAAAGTTTAGTAGCTGCTCCAGGAATATCATCCCTTGACCCGGAGTCCTCCACCACTCCTGATGAGGGCATTGAATTGAAATCCTCTTCGCCATGGAAGTGCCTAGAGTGATAATCCGTTAGCAATGGGTTTAATGTCAGCGTAAATTGGAGCACATACCATCCCCTTTCAGCCCCGTTACTGAGGTATTTGCATTCCCCATTCACCACACAATTCCAACCGCCCCCAACACCATTACCACCACGCCAGCTAGGCGCAACCGTACCAGACACCGGGTTGGATTCATCACTGCTCCTACTTCCCAGTGAACGCCGCTTAAAGGTACTCATCCCCGCTGTGTACACTTTAAAGTCATCCGTAGACGAATCCTCCGGCATGTTCCCCGTCAGCGCCCGCCCCATGGCTATCAATGGCGCGGCATGTCCACATATGATAATCGCATGACTTTCCCGGGCCTTTTCCGGGTGCGTTCGTTCGTACTCCTGTATCTCACGATCTACGTCGGCTATTATAGCGTCCAGGGCCGTTGCAACTCGGTCGTGAAGTTGTGCTATTGTCTCCCCGCTTGGGTTGGGGTATACGTGCGCGGTATACGATGGATCAATAAGGGAAGGGAATAGAGGGTCCAGGTCCTTAATTAATGCTGGTGATGGGTGTGTGAAGAAGGATGAGTATCCAAACCATTCCCTACAGCAAACATCAGTAACTGCATTGACATATTGATGGACAGCGCATACCCAAGCCCATTCTCCACCCTCACACGCAAATCAACATTTTCCTCCTTCTCGAATTCCCTCAGAGCCTCTACCGTCGGTTGAATGGTCTGTAAACAGCGGTAGAATGGACTGCTATATATCCGGCATGGTTTTGGCTGGAACCCTGCGCTGCTCACGTACGATGCAAGTTCGTGCGACTGTCTCACGCCGGGCCCAGTCAGAGTCGGGTCGACGGGTATTCCGGTCGGAGTAGGGTAATGCGCATGGTAAGTCCCTGTGGATAGATCTATGGACCAGTTCAGACGAAGCTGGGTTGGTTTCGGCTGTTAGGAACGAAGCCAGAGAATTAGGTATAGCAAAGGAACTAGACTTACGCCATGTCTCGTTAGATAGATAGTGTCTAGGGGCATTTGAGGCTGGAGTATTATCAAATAGGAGATGTCGTCCTTTACTGATTCTATATCCGTTACTTTTGAACGGCCTGTAGCGCTTTCATGGGGGAAACATTGAGGAAGGAAAGGAAAAGGATCTTCCGCCGATTTGAATCTCAACTGCCGAGGCCCACCGAAGCTACCAAAGTTAACTAAGTGGTTGACAAAGACAAAAGCTACGGAGTACTATGGAGAACGTTGTAAGATGTCAAAGATGGATTCTTGATTGTCTATGAACTGAATCATTTACAATTTAAATTTGGAGGAACAGCTATGCTCCAGGATGAAAAGGAAATCCGATGCCAGAACGCTGTGGAAGGGTATAAACACTATTTGAAAGGGGAAAGCCGTGACTTGCACCAAGGAAAATGAACACCAAAGCCAAGTTATCAAAGGACAAGGCCATTAAATGAAAGAAAATGGGAGCAACAAAGTGCATCAAAGGGGGAAGTGAATGCAGAATTCTAATAATACTGGGGTTGATGTTGGGTTTATGAAAAGGGGGAACATGGGCCACGAGCTGGTAGCTAGGTCTGGATTGCCTCGACCTCTCCACCATTGGCTTGCTCGCCAGTCGCATTTGGTTCCGCAGGTGCACTAGCATCAGGGTTCTGTTGCTGAGCAGCTTGCTCTCGGTTTTCCTGCTCAGCACGCCGTTCATTCTCACGAAAAGCGTTGATTCCCTGCAGGTCCACAATCTGTCGCTCGCTCACTCCAGGAATGAAAGACGAGAAGAAAAGAACAATTCCTCGCGCAAGTGTCCTATGTCTTTGCAACAAATCCGTAATATAGTTGGGGCCCGCATTTTGTCTTGGACGATGTGGCTGGGGTGGACCAGGGTCAGCTGGTAGTAGGTCGTGGATATGATCTTCAAGAGGGATGAAGATTGCTCTTCGGATATGATGAGGGATTTCGACTTCCGAGAGACAAGCCCAAGCAATAGAAAGGACAACGAGGAAGAGACGGAGCCAAGTCCCAGAGTCACTCAAAATATAGCAGAAGAAATAAAGACGGACGAACAGCCAAGTTGCCCGGATGGCTCGGACAAGCGTAGAGCCTCTGACAATTAAGCGGCGTCGGCGAACTAGCATACCAGGAATGTTCAGAGGTCGTTGAGTGGTAGTAGTGGCTTGTGGGAGATTGTTGTACGCCATAGCCAGTGCATTCTGCTGTACAGTTGGCTGAATGGTAGGTTGAAATGCTGGATGTGAGAATGAGTGCATGGCTCCTGTCAAATTTGCGGATGCCACCCGACCATGAACCGCAGGAATTAAGACAGCCTCGTACCTCGTTGGAGAGGCTAACAAATATGCAGGGTGGCGACGATTAAATGCTGTCGATGGAGATGCGAAGCCTGTTGTTTGACCAGAATGAATGTGCGGGTTACGAGCGTAGTATTGGCGGAGCTGCTCTGAACGCGAACTCAGCATTGACAAACGGGCGAGCCATCCCCGTAGTACCGGAACATTATGATTGGGAGCGTCAAATAGTCTCATCAGCTGGTCCCGGACCACTGATATCTCGTCCTCTCTCGGAATAGGGCCTCTTGGTAGCCGCGACTCCATCGAAATGATTTCTGTTGCTATCTGCATTACTTGGTAAGGCATGCTGTTCATGCGGTTTGGATCTGATGATCCTCCTGACGGCTGGCCATTCGCGGTGCCAGGTACATGTAAGCGGCTTCCTGGCGCCCCATTGGAGGATGAGTCTTGCTGTTGTGGGAATTGATACGATATTGATGGCCGCATATATGGGGGCGGGAAGTCTTCTTGAAGTATCAAACCCCCGTCTGGAGGGGGGTAAACATCTAAAGTTCCACGGTCATCCGCGCCCTCCGATGCTCCATCCTGTTGCGTTGTTGCAACATTAGTAGATGCTGAATCGTTCCCCTGCTGGCTATACTGCTCAGACAACAGTCTCTCCCGCATAGCTTGGGTAGTGCGATATAATTCTCTTACGGCTGCGACGGAAGCTTCGCTAGGTGGAGGAATGGCGGGGGCCACCGGAGGAGGCAAAACAAGGTGCATCGAGTATTCAAGGGGCTAGATCGGTCAGTGAAAGAGTTAGCTAGAGCTTACACGAAATGAAGGGAGGTAGATATGAAAGGGACCAAACGTACATCAGAGGGCTCAAAAATGCGCCCTAGAGTCTGGCTATTGTCTGATAAACATCTCCCTCGGTAGATAAGCCGTTGATTTTGAGGAAGCGGCCTGGATGGCAGCTCTTCCATAATTTTGGACTTCACCTCTAGTATTGTAGTAGAAAGAGGGAGGTCGTTAAACGTGAGGCGCTGCTGGGAGTCAAATGAGGGCGAGAGAATGTGCACCACAACTGGCTGGTCATGGCTATCAGCGGGATCAGAGCCTTGTCCCAGGCCTGACATTGAGGTATTCGATGTCATCCTGACTCAAACGAGTGAAAAAGCGCTATCAACAAGCTATTTTGTATAGCAGCCAGATAAGACAAGTGTTCAGCCTCGGCGTGATATCACAAGCCTAGTACAGAAACAACCCCGCGTAGTGTCAGGATAAGTGCATAGTAACGCTATATCACAGTCTTCCTAGCGTATAGGATAGGCGTATCTAGAATGTGATTGAAGGTCCGGATGCTTGCTGCTGTAGAATCCTAGCGCGCTAGCAGTGAGAGAAGAAGCAGATCACAAACGTCACCCGGCGATTGGACAGATAAGCTACAGCTCGTGTGCTTAGCTGGCAGTAGCTAATATCACAGCTAAGAAGCAGAAATATTAGAAGTAATAAGCTGAGACTGATGCACTTGGGCTATCAATCTGCAGCATGAAGTGTGAAAAAGAATGAAGTTGAAGCTGAAAAACAACCAGAAAGAAGTTAAGAAGTCGTGAATTTCCCGATCGGGCAAAGGAAGACAGCGGAGGTGGAAGAAAGATCTTCCGTGATATTAGTCAGCTGAATTTCAGTTCGATATCAAAAAGTGAAAGAAAAGCAACGAAAGAAGTGAGAGGAAGTTGAATAGATATCCTTGGAGAAGAAGAAGAAATAACAGAAAACGAGACAAAGTAAACTGCAGAAAGAGAGAGCCCCTTTCACATTGAGGACAGGGAAGCAGTTTATGGGGGCTGGAACTGGCGGGAGGGACAATGTTTAGGCGCATTCCCAGGGCCGGGGCCAGTCTCCGGCAGGGCTCAAGCGATGTCTTTACATATGGATTTACAGGAACCAGAGGCGGTAGGAGATGCCAATCAATCTCACGGCGCAATTTCTCATCATCCAAACATTGGAGAAGCCAGGAGTCCGGAAAGGAGGAAAAGGAGTCGTTCCGGTCACGGCTGGGAGCTGCACTCCGCAAGACCAAGATCGAATGGTATCCTATCCCCGTCGGCCTTGGAGTTGCATTTCTCGGGCTTGCGCAGTTCTACAAGTCTAGCCAGGCCGAGAAACAGAAGATGTTGATGGAGACGGAGCGCGGGGAGCGGCCTCAGGAGGTTGTTCCGCGACAGCGAGTTCGTCCTACAGGTCCATGGCAGGTCCAGGTCATGTCTACGCTGCCATTGAAGCTAGTTTCTCGCATATGGGGCCGATTTAACGAGCTTGTCCTGCCGTATCCCCTTCGAGTACCGGGATTTAAGCTGTATTCCTGGATATTCGGAGTGAATCTGGACGAAGTTGAAGAGTCTGATCTTCATGTATACCCAAACTTAGCGTCATTTTTTTACCGGAGACTAAAGCCAGGCGTTCGGCCTTTGGACCCCAACCCGTCCGCACTCCTCTCACCTTCTGATGGACGAATCCTTCAGTTTGGGATGATTGAGCGTGGGGAAGTCGAGCAGGTCAAAGGGATGACATACAGCCTGGAGGCGCTACTGGGTCTGGGGACTGTGAGCCCAGACTCGGAACCCGTTCATCCAAGTACGCGGCCCATGCATAAAGTCGACGACGACACCGACCCCGAGAATGTAGCTGCAGACCAAGAGTTTGCTAAAATGAACGGACTGAGCTATACACTGCCTACTCTCCTCTCTGGATCCACAAAACATGACGTCAGCAAGGACGGATCAATGGATGTATCGATGGAATCCAGCTCTACTTCTGAAGAGAAAGTGAAGGCAGATCTGGCAAAGGGAGAGCCGGCCTGGTATTCGCCGAGACCAACCTCAAACCGAGCACTGTACTATGTCGTGATATACCTCGCACCAGGAGACTACCATAGATTCCACTCGCCAGCGTCTTGGGTCGTCGAAAGCCGGCGCCATTTCGCAGGCGAACTATACTCAGTATCCCCATACCTTCAGCGCACTTTAGCGGGTCTTTTCACTCTTAACGAACGAGTCGTGCTATTGGGTCGCTGGCGTTGGGGGTTTTTCAGCTTTACTCCAGTTGGCGCAACCAACGTCGGGTCAATTAAGATTAACTTTGACGCCGAACTTCGCACCAACAGCCTTACAACCGACACTGCCGCTGATCGACAGGCAGCGCTTGCAGCCCAACGAGGCGAGCCCTACTCCGGCTACACCGAAGCAACGTACGGACACGCGAGCAAGACGCTCCGTGGCCATGCCTTACAGCGTGGAGAGGAGATGGGCGGCTTCCAGCTCGGTAGCTCGATAGTCCTAGTGTTCGAAGCGCCGATGGGCAGCCGTCAGAGCTTCGACGTTTCGTGGACTGGTGAACGGGAAGGCGGGTGGCAGTGGCATATCAAAAAGGGGCAGCGGATAAAGTACGGTGAGGCATTGGGTGAAGTTGTTTAAGACATGTTTGTGCATCTAACCTTCATTGTGTGTATACTATCAGCGAGTTTGGCGGTGTTTTCTTTACCTGTTGGACGCAGGAACTGTAGAATAGCCATCCACCATCGTCGTCATCATCTTTCTGCTCTGCTTCAACCTCTTAATACTCCGTATGTTCTATCTTTTCGTCCCCAGACCGTCCAACGCCTGCCTCGGCCCGCTTAGTCATTGGATCGGCCTTGGCGTCCGCTACATCAAAGAAAAATTTGTTACTTCAAGTTACTTTTGGTGACTCCGCCGTTATTATTTTAGTGTCAACATCGATCAACTCACGGTCAGCCGAATAATGGTACGGAGAACTGGGGCTCTGGCTCGAGACCACCAATAAAGTGAGTCACCTGAAGGCCCTCCAGAGCCAACGTCTGTGGATGATTCCGCTGCCCTCCGCAATCACAGCAACCAGCGTGTCTGCCCGCGTATCGCAGTTCCTTGCCTGAAAAACCAGTCCATCCCCTCGCAGGATCCTGAAACCTTACAGCTCCACGGCCATAGGACATCTATCCTTGCGTGCCGGGTGCCGTCGGAATATGAGCTGCAATTCCGCTTCACGTTATGGCTAGAAACAGCCACCCGACCAGAAGAGTCCACAGTTCCTGCAGAGCAAACCTCTAATTTGCTTTGAGATCCCGATTGCCAAGGGTACGTCACCACAGTGGCCAAGGAGGCCCTTGGCAGGTCTTCCGCCCATGGGTCAACCTTGCCACCAGGCTCGATGCTCTTTCGCTGCAGAGCGGAACTGTGGGGAAGGCGGAGGTCGTATCTGGCAGATTTGGATCTGGACATAGGGCGAGGATGTTTAGCGAACTGTGGGCGGACGCTTGGCGGGTCTATGCTGATTCGACGCTGGGCTTTTTCGGAATCTCTACTACTATGGAATCATGCTTCCAAGCATGGTCAGTTTGGCTCCAAGACAACCTTTGGAACATATTGTGGGTATGAAGGAGGCGAGGCACCTTTTCTCCGGATGAAATGGTGACCTGCATCAAAGACCGTACCGCAAGATTTAAGAAGTCAATGAACCCCCCCCCCTTGCAGTGTTTTCATTCCGGGCCGTCATCTATTTACACATCACTGGTACCTCTCTCGTTCATTAAGGAGAGCAGTTGGATCCTTGATTCTTTGGACTTCTGGATATAGCCTTCTATAGTCTAGATAGGACTCGAAAAGGAATCAACATATATTTTGCCAGTTTCACTCTTTTACCACAAATCACTATCTGCGGCCATGGGAGAAAAATCTCCTGCGTCCGGCCCCGTGTCTCTCTCCCATCCAGCGCACTGCCTTACAGCAGAGGCAGCAACCCGGGAACTAGCCACCAATGCCGACGATGGCCTTACCGCGCATGAAGCTAAGGCTCGCCTGGAGAAATATGGACAGAACAAGCTCGATGACGGAGAAGGCGTCTCGGTCATCAAGATCCTTATCCGTCAAATTGCAAACGCCATGATGCTAGTTAAGCGGCCCATTTCATTCTGACCCCTTTAACCCCCCTTTATCAATAAGAACTTTGTTTGTCTGATCCAGTTCTTGGAGTAGGTCCTTATCATGGCCATGGCTGTGAGTTTCGGAATTCAATCTTGGATTGAAGGCGGCGTCATTGCTGCTGTCATCATTTTGAACATCGTTGTCGGATTCTTCCAGGAGTATGCTGCTGAGAAGACTATGGATTCACTTCGTTCTTTGAGTTCGCCCACCGGAACTGTTTCTAGAGACGGGCAGACCATCGTTATCCCGTCAATTGACATTGTTCCTGGTGATATGATTGAGCTTAAAACGGGTGACACAGTCCCAGCTGACCTTCGGTACGTCATCTCTGGTTTACCCCAATAAAACTTGTATCTCGCTTCTCATAGCTAACAATTTAATGCTCGATAGACTTGTTGAAGCGGTAAACTTCGAAACCGACGAGGCTCTCCTAACTGGAGAATCCCTCCCTGTCCAGAAAGATTGTGACATGGTCTTCAAGGAAGATGTTGGCCCAGGAGATAGATTGAACATTGCCTATAGTTCATCTACTGTGACCCGTGGCCGGGCCCGTGGTGTCGTTATAGCTACCGGAATGAACACCGAGATTGGCTCAATTGCCGCGGCTCTGAGGGCATCGGATAGCAAGCGTCGACCAGTCAAGCGTGGACCCAGCGGAGAAACGAAGAAACGATGGTACGTGCAGGCCTGGGCTCTGACCAGTACGGATGCCGTGGGAAGATTCCTTGGAGTCAATGTTGGAACTCCCTTGCAACGAAAGCTCTCGAAGCTAGCTCTGATCCTGTTCGGAGTAGCTGTGCTGTTTGCCATTATTGTGATGAGTGCGAACAAATGGAGCAGTAACAACGAAGTTATCATCTACGCAGTTGCTACAGGTCTTAGTATGATTCCTGCCTGTCTAGTGGTGGTGTTGACAATCACCATGGCTGTTGGCACGAAGAGAATGGTTGAGAGGCACGTTATTGTTCGGAAGCTTGATTCCCTCGAAGCTCTGGGTGCAGTGACAAACATCTGCTCTGACAAGACCGGCACACTTACCCAGGGCAAAATGGTTGCGAAGAAGGCCTGGATCCCGTCAATTGGAACATACTCTGTTGGTACTTCGAACGAGCCATTCAATCCCGAAATTGGAGAAATCAGCCTTGATGAACTGCCACCGGTCAAGATGGACGAGGAAAAGCTCGCACCACCTAGTCATCCTGATGAACTGCTCAAGGGCAGCCCTCAGCTGGAGGAATTTCTTAATGTCGCTTCCATGGCTAATCTCTCGCATGTCTACCGGTCTGAAAGTGAAGGGAACGAGTGGCATGCCAGAGGCGAACCCACCGAGATTGCTATACAGGTCTTTGCATCGAGATTCAACTGGAACAGGGACAGATGGGTGAAAGGCGAGGGAGCAATCTGGCACCAGAAAGCCGAGTTCCCATTCGACTCCGACGTGAAGAAGATGTCAGTTATTTTCCGCAAACTTAGCGAGTCGGAGGATAAAGAGATGGTTTTCACCAAGGGAGCGGTCGAACGTATTATCGATTCCTGCACGTCTGTTATTTTGGATGCAGCTCAAGGCCCAGTGCCGATGACTGATGAGATCCGCAATGACATACTTGAGAACATGGAGGCATTAGCGAAACTTGGTCTGCGTGTCCTTGCGCTTGCCAGTCGGCCATATTCTCCTGCTGATAATGCCCTTGAAGGCGCTGATATCAGTCGTGAAGATGTCGAAAGGGACTTGCAATTCTGTGGCTTGATCGGACTTTATGACCCCCCTCGTCCTGAGACAGCAGGTGCAATTGCGGAATGTTACAAGGCAGGAATTTCAGTACACATGGTTACTGGTGATCATCCGGGAACAGCTCGTGCTATCGCAGCACAGGTTGGAATCATTCCTTCGGATCTGAGCATGGTTGCAAAGGATGTTGCCGACGCAATGGTCATGACAGCAAGCCAGTTTGACAAGCTATCTGAGGAGGAAATTGACCATCTGCCAACTCTTCCATTGGTTATTGCTCGATGTGCACCACACACCAAAGTCCGTATGATCAAGGCTCTTCACAGACGAGGCAAGTTCGCAGCCATGACCGGTGATGGTGTCAATGACTCTCCGTCGTTGAAGCATGCAGACGTCGGTATTGCAATGGGCCAGAGCGGTTCGGATGTGGCCAAGGATGCCTCGGATATCGTTCTGACGGATGACAACTTTGCATCCATCCTTAACGCTGTCGAAGAAGGCCGTCGTATCTTTGATAACATCCAGAAGTTTGTGTTGCATCTGCTTGCAGAGAATATTGCACAGGCCTGCACTTTGCTTATTGGATTGGCCTTCAAGGACAACGATAACCAGTCTGTCTTCCCACTGGCTCCAGTAGAAATCCTGTGGATCATCATGATCACGTCCGGAATGCCTGATATGGGTCTTGGAATGGAGATTGCGGCCCCTGATATCATGGACAGACCACCACAAAGCGTAAGTTCTCCTTAGTCTTCCCATCAAGTAGACGACATCCGCTAACAGCTGATCTGTATATAGAAACAAGGAATCTTCACATGGGAGATTATCGTGGATATTGTTGCCTACGGACTCTGGATGTCAGCACTCTGTCTGTCTGCCTTTTCTCTAGTGACGTATGGCTTCGGAGACGGCAACCTGGGCACGCACTGCAACCGAGACTACACCCCCGAGTGCGACACCGTTTTCCGGGCTCGAGCCACGACCTTCGTCTGTCTGACCTGGTTCGCCCTCTTCCTGGCCTGGGAGATGGTCAATCTCCGCCGCAGCTTCTTCCGCATGCAGCCTGGCTCCAAGCTGTACTTCACACAGTGGATGCACGACGTCTGGCGCAACCAGTTCCTCTTCTGGGCCATCATGGCAGGTTTCATTACTATCTTCCCGCTGCTGTACATCCCTGTGATCAACCACAGCGTCTTCAGACATACCGGCATCACCTGGGAATGGGGAATTGTGTTTATTGAGTCTTTGCTTTTCTTCCTTGGTGTCGAGGCCTGGAAATGGGGGAAGAGAATCTTCTTCCGCCGCCAGGCACGCCTCAATGCGGCATCTGACACCAAAGAGATGTCTCGAGTCCGAGGAGCTAACTCGGCAGAAGAATAACGCTGACTGTGAAGGGGGTGAAGTGGAGAGTGGGTGTGTGCGTGGAGATGTGTTTTGAGGTTGGAGGAGTGGTAGTTGAAGTTGACCCATGTTCCATCAGGCGTCAAAGTCCGTAGAACTGGTCAACTTATGCCAGAAAATCATATTGAGGTAAGTAATAGAGGGATATCGAGTGGTATAAATTGAAAGATGCCGCTGGGGGGATTCGCATGTAGGGTCTTCTTTCTAGTTGATACCCAGTTCATAGTGTTCATAGCCAAAAATGCCATGTTCAATATATTCATGACCACCTATCTATCCACCACACACATGCGCGCGCACTAGCCACTTTCATTGCCAGCAGAAAAGAAGCAAAGGAGTAAATAATCCTGTCATCCTGATTAAAATAAAAAAAAAATAAGAAATAAAAAAATAAGCCCAACGCGGGGCTCGAACCCGCAGCCTTGTGATGGCCAACCGTTATAAACTTGCTATAAGAGTATAAGAGTCACACGCTCTACCGATTGAGCTAGCCGGGCTGACTTTGATGTAAGGCGGGGGCCAACAGCTCGTTTTGAGTAGGTGGCGGGTGGAAGGAGGGCGAAAGTTGATATCAGGATTGACGATGTTGCGATAGCAGAGACAGGACAAACATTGCGGCCTCGGTGGGAGGATTGCACAGCTACGGCCTCCCGGAACATGAGAGACGATGCCAGATGGGTTCATCAAGACGCGATCGAGCAGCCGGTTCACTCTGATACCCTCGTTTTTTTGCTTGATTGAATAGTTAGCTCTCGATGCCACGACGCACCACCCACTACGCGCCGACCTTTCCCTCAGGCGACGGCGCCTCTGTCTCAACAGCGAGAGTCCCCCAACTTCTACCGTCGTATACGCCGCAGCAGAGACCCCGTGGGCAGCAGCCTGTCACTCCAGGATCAGACCCTGAGGACGAGTTAGGCGGAGACGAAGAGGCGGGTGAGGGACTTGGAGGGGAAGAGGACCAGGACGAAGCGGAGGAAGAAGAGGAAGAGGAAGAAGAGCAAGAGGACGACGATGATGAAGGGGAGCAAGATGATTTAGAGGCTGTTGAAGGCCAGAGCTATGAAGAGGGTGTGTTCTGGATTATCATTCTTCTCTTCTTCTTTTGGAATAGACAATGCTGACCATTTTCTTCTCCAGATCTAGAGGAAGAAAAGGACTCTTCAGCGCCTATACCGCCTAATCTCCGTGAAATATCATCTCTCGCATCGTGGACAGTCTCGACATACAAGCCTGGCAGCGGCGTGGCTGCTCTCCGCCACCCTTCTCCAAACCAGTTCTGGCAGTCTGACGGACCGCAACCACATACTCTCTCCCTACACTTCTTCAAGCGCGTCTCCATTGTCCGGATACGCGTGTACCTAGACTTCGAACTCGACGAGAGCTATACCCCTACAAAGATGGTCTTTCTGGCTGGCATGGGTGGGAACGATCTAGTTGAATTTGCTACGTGGCAAGGAGAGACGCCCTGTGGATGGGTGGACATAAACCTCGAGGGAGTCGGAGGCAGGCATCAGAAGATAGGCAAGCTGTCCGCACGGGAGGAACGGCGCAAGGCAGCGAAGTCTAAGTCTAAGGCGACTAGCGGTTCTGAGGACAGCGATGTTTCTGCTGCCGAAGACGAAGACGACAGTGATAACCTTACCCCTGATCTGCTCCAAGATGACGATGACGATGATGACGACCCGTCAGACGGTAACGTCTTGAAGCTGATGGTGCTGCAGGTCAAAGTATGTGAGAATCACCAGAACGGCAAAGACACGCATGTTCGCGGGTTCCAGGTCTTTGCTCGAGATGACAAGTACTATGCCCGCATGGGCAGGGGTGATAATGGCCAGAAACTGCTCCATCATGATCTCGGGGCAGGCGTCTTGCACTCTGACGAAGCTGAGCTAGAAGCCGAGAATGCTCCCAAATTTGACGAGGAAGACTGGATGATGGAGCCAGAGCTAAGATGATCGTCCCAACAAAAATTATCCGGATCCGTTATGCCTACATCCACACAAAACATTGAATTTATTGATACCCCCCTTTTTTTCTTCATTAGTACTTGTATAGTCTAGATAAGCATGAATTCAAACCCATTCAGGAGACATTATCTATTCTTTTGGTTTTAAGAGAGACTACAATTACGCGAGTAGCTTCTCAACCTCTGCGGCAACCGCATCTCCAACTTCCTTGGTGGTGGCCTTTCCGCCGATATCACCGGTCTTGACTCCGGACTCGATTATATTTCGGACCGCAGTTTCAATTATCTTGGCCTCCTCGGGTAGGTTGAGGGAATATTGAAGCATCATTGCCACAGACAGTATCATGGCAACGGGGTTAACAATGCCTTTCCCAGCGATATCCGGTGCGGATCCTAGTTGCACCAGCTATTAGCTTGTTCAACTGTAACTGCAAGAAAAGAATATACATACCATGAATAGGCTCGTATATGCCGCTGACCTTGGTCCTGCCGTCAGGGATACCATTCAAACTGGCACTGGGCAACAATCCCAGCGATCCAGGGATAACGCTGGCCTCGTCGCTGATGATATCCCCGAACAGGTTGCTAGTAACAACAATACCGTTCAGAGCACGAGGGTTCTTCACCATCAACATGGCAGCGCTATCAATTAGATGATGGCCATACTTCAGTTGCGGGAACTCCTTATCCATCACCTCCGTGACCACCTTCCTCCAAAGACGACTGGTAGCCAACACATTGGCCTTGTCCAAGCTCCACACAGGCAGTGGCGGGTCATGCTGAAGAGCCAAGTGAGCAGCCAGACGAACAACCCGCTCGATTTCAGCCCTCGAATAGGGCTCGGTATCACACGCGGTTCCATCTCCGTTATCTTCTCTTCGTTCGCCAAAGTAGATGCCTCCCGTGAGTTCGCGAATGATGTTGAAATCAACGTTCCGACATACCTCTGCCTTGAGAGGGGAGATATCAACTAGCGAAGGCGCTGCAAAGTTGCATGGACGTAAGTTGCCGAATGTCCCCATTTCCTTGCGCAGGCGGAGAATTCCTTGCTCGGGACGGACTGTGCCAGTGCCCCATTTGGGGCCACCAACAGCTCCGAGCAGCACGGCATCGGCATTCTTAGCTGCTGTAAGAGCTTCGTCTGTAAGGGCCGTTCCGGCTGCATCAATTGAGGCCTAGAATCATGTAACTGTTAGCTAGGGATTCCTCCAAAACATGGCATATGTTGATTGTTAGTCACAACTCACTCCTCCTAGTAGATGGTCCTGGAAGGTGAACTGTATCTCAGGTCTCTTCTTCTCCACAGCTTTCAGAACCTTTGTCCGTCACGTTAGTATGGCAAGCTACTTCAGTGCTTCTTCTTTTCTTCTTCTTCCTCCTCCTCCTGCAGACTCGAGGTACACACCTTTATGCCCTCTGCAGCAACCTGTATAACAACCATTAGCTAACCCTGCCACCCACTTGTTATGCGGAGACGTACCTCTGGCCCGCAGCAGTCCCCAGCGAAGACAACAATATTATACTTGCCCATGATGCTCCTGTGGTGACTGGTAAAATGACGATTATAGTGTAAAACGCGGGTTAGATGCTGCCTCCCGCCGCGATGTATGGACTGAAATATCTATGTGACAGTTCCTCTTACCTTTTATATGGATTGTTGATGATGATGTCCAAGCTTCCCTTGAAGCTTTATCCCACCTGAGTCCGACCTCGGCTGTCCCGCTCCGACCATCGGCCCGCGGCTCAACCTGAGTTTGCACTGTTTGCATCACCTTGCTCGGATTAGTAATAGACTTTAGGACTTTCAATGTCACGCATATCATTGGTGGAATTGCACTTTTCTCGGTATAAACTGGTTATTGACGATGACTCCACATTAACCAGGCCATAATTGCTTAGTCATTGAGTTTCAATCACGGGGCCTACTTATACTGTATTGTCCTCATTAGTCAGCATTACAACCTCCTTCCATCCTCACTTCATCACAATAAACCGATGGACCTGATGCAGTGGAAAAGCTGTGAGTTTCAATTAAAACACATTATATATGGAGTATGGTTATTCAATATGTGGTCTAATCAATCAGATTGATAACGAAGAACCTCCATGCATACGAAGACTCCAACACAGCCTCTCTTTTGGTGGAGAACAACCTGCATTCCAGCATCTTGCTGATCAATCTTGTTGCCAATAATACATCGACAATATGGCCACACCGAAAGAGAAGCAAAGGCGATGTCTCACTGAAGCTTCGTATAGTACGTAGTTACCTCGTGTTGAAGGGAGATAGATATAAGAGACGAAGGCCACAACCTCTCAGAGAACTTCCATCTTCGATGTAAAGCCTCCAGCGGATATTTTCGTACTCCAGGCGGTTCTCCCTGCTACATTATTCTACTGCCGAACCCAACATGCGTTTCACCGCTACTATCGGGGCTGTTATCGTCGGCTTCTGCGCTACCACAGCCCTTGGTGGACAGGTAGCAAATACCCCCCCTGGCTTATTAATCATGTCAACTAACTGTTCCTACCCCCTGATGTAACCAAAGATGACTGGCTTCCCTGCCCCTGAGTACCATGGCGAACCGGTGGAAGTTGAATACACGGAGAACAAGTGTGCATTCTTCAATGGGATTCAAATCCGGTATTTTCACCACAATTTTAAATGTCCGAGGACGAAGACACGAGGAACCTCGGGAGCTAACCTCTAGTCTGCATATAGATCCGTCCAGACTCCAGGGCAAGATAGTTGCGTCTTCTATGAGTGAGTTTTCCTCTTGGAAGTCCTTATTCTGTGCTAACTTATTGAGTTAGACTACCCGAGTGTGAAGGACCGGCTGTCATAGGGGCGGGGAACACTCCGGATTTCCCATTCTCCATCAGAAGCTTCGTATGCCATAAGAAGCAGTAGACACATGCATTATATACTCCGATACTTATCCTCGGAACCTACCTTCCAGGATGAGGTGCAAATGTGTGGCTAGTGGTTAGTTCCTGTGATATGTGAACCGGTTTATATGGTCTTCTTTTGCAGGTTTTGCTGTCTGAGTGCCATCATACGATGCCAAGAATAAATCGACTAGGCTGTTGTTTTGATCTATCAGGTATTCCGGAAGCCTCAGATAGTGAATACCATCGCCACCGCCGCTTCACTTTCCTTCCTTTCCTTTTCTTTACAAAATCTCTGCCAGATTTCTTCCCCTCTCTCTCCCTTCTCTTTTGCTACTTGTTTTTTCTTGCTATTATCAAACCGCTGGGCCAAAAGGAGAAGTCCCTTATTGGCTGCAGAGAGAGTCGCCATATATCATATATACTATGTTAAAATCACAGGCTGTGCAATAACAAGAGGAGTCCGACCCGCATGCGAAAGCGGGTTGCATCTCGGAGTACATCTACTGGTTCAAGTTTCTCCTTCCATCAACCGATACTAAGTTACTCGGGAGGGTTATCTTCGTCTCCAACCTATTGAAGCGTCGTCAGATGGGAAATCCCTAAAACTCGGGTTCTACTGGCTAGATAAGCGTCAAACCGAGCGCTCTGCTGAGATGGTCGACCTGATGGATAGTGTGTATATATATGATTCACCGCTATCAAGGAGGTGATTGAGCATGGTGGAGATGTGAACGCAAAGTCCCATTGGCGGTATGATAAAGCGGCAGAGCAAATCACTGCATTGAGTGGCTCAATATTGAAGATCATGATCTCGAGTCATTCCTCTGTTCTGGATATGCATCTACTATGATAAACCTTGGGGGAAAGAAGATACAAGCATTGCATTCTAGGGTGAAGATGCACAAGCAGATCCAGCGGTGCTGGAGAATCATGACATCATAACACCGTCCTATATAACTATATGTGCAGGCTTTGTTGTATTATTATATAACTATATAAATGGCATTTCTGTCTGTCAGGTTAAAAATAACACGAATGGACAGGGTTAAATGGCAAGCGTGTGGAGAATACTCCGTCAATTGCATTGCATAACATGTAGGAATCTCAGTTCCCCGGGCAGGATTTAGAGAAGGAAGAGAGTGAGTGAGAGTGTGAGAGAGAGAAAAAAGAAAGCAAACTCAACCGCGGCTTTACTCCCGTATGGTGGGATGGCTGGGCTTCTTCTAGGCCTTCTCCGAGGACCGTAGGGCTCTCTGCGGCCCAGAAACAAGAAACCAGCGAGGATCCGTGAGTGAGTTAAGAAACTGGGGGGCCAGCGCGGCAGTTTTATCATATTCCCATGAAGGTTGAGCCCACGGTCCGCGACCCGTCCGCAGCAAACTAGCGAGTTTAGCCCGGGCATGATTGTCTTACTGTCAAGCAGCAGAGGAGGACCAAGCGACGCCCAAGCGACCTGCCTGCGCACTGCTGTTGGTCACTAGCGGCCGTTAGCCCAAACCCCGGCCCTGCAGGAGATGCAAAGGCGCTGCGCATCGTGTGATCTGCCCCCCGGCTGATACATATAACTATGTACGCCGTACGTTATGCTTCATGGCAGTCGACTACCGGGGTTGTTGGGAGTCCAAGTTAAGGCTCAAGTTTGACGGCACATACGTGGCCGAAGCCAGCTAACGCAGCTGATTCCAGCCTTCTTTGCTCCCCGAGACGACGGCTGGCCTTGGTGTTGGCTCGTTATCAATCCTTCAGGGGGCAGGATTTCACCCCCTATATGTACTCCTTACTCCGTACTCCGTACCATAACTAGATGACACGGAGTACTGTAGAGTACCCTCGCCCTGGCCCTGGGAAGTCCGTCTATAGGCTGCCAGGGCAAAAAAATCTAAGGAATAGTTAGCCACCTATCCGTGAGCTCGTTGAGTTAACCAACCTGACTAGTTAGCGAGCTCGAAGGGCCGGCTGGAGGGAAGCCAGATCGCGGCCTTGGCTGGCTAGCTCGCTCTCGTTTGCAGCCACGGCTTGCGTTCTCGTTCGCTGTATACACGCTTTGTTAACGTATATATATATCGGTGGGCTAGCTGCTGCCATGGCCCTTTTCAGTGGCTGCTTACCTGTTTTTCATGCTGGGGATTCTTCTTTTTTTTTCCCGCAGGTGTCTGTCTGGCTGCGATTGTCACCGCGAGGTCGGACGAGGGGATCCTGGTTTCGTAGTAGTTATTTAACTATTATAACTAACTAATGGCGCCGGCGGACGAGAATCAGCATCATATAGAAGTAGACGAGGTTCGGCTTTTTTTTTTTTTTTTTTTTTTCCTCCTTTCGCTCGCCCGGTCGTTCGTTTGCTGCGTGAGAGCCTGCAGTGCAGTACGCTGGCCGTGGAGTCGCGGGTTGGACTGACTGAATCTTGCTGTACGACCAGGCCGCAGAGATGGACGACGAGGCCTACGCAGACAACGACGAGTATGTATATATAACCCCCTAGTGTATATATATATATATATATATATATATACATATATACATATATATGTGTGTATGAGATTAAAGCTGACTGTCGGAGGGCAGGTCGACGCTGTCAACCTCGCTGTCGTCCAGCATTCTCGCGTACCGCATGGAGAACGGCCGGCGATATCATGCATACAAGGCCGGCAGTGAGTGTCCCCCTTTTTGTTCATCGATGAAAGTAATTCATGTATACAGACAGTGCTGACAGTCCAGGCTATCCGTTTCCCAACGATGAAGTGAGTCCTTTGCTGTGGCCTGTTGACGCACTCACACTCAGTGTGCTAACCTTGTCGTCTGTCCATAGTTAGAGAACGACCGGCTAGGCGAGTATCTCTCTCTCTCTCTCTCCCTCTCGAGTGTACGTCTGCTAACGGTGCGATGGCAGATATGCAGCATGCAGTCTTCCTCCGGTCGCTGGACGGCAGGCTGTGCCTAAGTCCAATTAAGCAAGATATCCAGAATGTGCTGGACGTTGGTATGTGCCGTCCAAACCAAACTCTTAGAGAGGGAGGGCTTCGAGATGTGTATTAACAGCCAGCATATAGGCACTGGAACCGGCGTCTGGGCCCTTGACTTTGGTATGTTCAGCCCCTAATTAACTGACTACCGCCTGGCTATCCACTTTGAAGCCGGGCTGTTTATCTGTTCAATAAGACGGATGCTGATATAGACCTGGCCCCGTAGCCGATGAGCATCCCTCTGCACAGGTGTGTATATACTCCGTACATACATACCTTATCCCAGGCTTTTCTGCATCAACTCACGCCTTTCTAGATCATCGGTACAGATCTGTCACCGATCCAGCCGAGTCTGTATGTACTTCATCGTCTCTGTGGTGGGTGCCCAGGTGTCCATTAACAGGTATAACTACAGGGTCCCTCCAAACCTCAGCTTCCTGATAGACGACGCAGAAGCAGAGTGGCAGTTCCATCAAAAATTCGACCTGGTCCACGGCCGGATGATGACTGGCTCCCTCAAGGACTGGGACCGCTTCTATACCCAATGCTACGAGTGAGCAGCCCAACCAACACACCTCACCTCACCTCACCTCACCTCCCTGCATATACTAGTTACTCGCCCCTAAGTTAGTTGCTAAAATGTTTCCACTCAACTCAAAACAGTAACATTACCCCAGGCGGATATGTTGAGATGCAAGATATCTGCCTCCCGCTGAGGGCCGACGACGGCACACTAACGGCAGACCACGCCCTGGACAAATGGTCGCGGCTATGTCTGGAAGCCTGCGAGAAGCTCGAGAGGCCGCTTGACGTGGCGAAGAGCCACAAGAGCCGCATGGAGGCAGCTGGCTTCGTGGACGTGGTGGAGGTGGTGCACAAGTGGCCGCAGAACTCATGGGCAAAGGACCCCAAGCTGAAGGAGATCGGCAACTGGACGATGACGAACATGCTGGAGGGTCTGCAGGCGCTGACCATAGGGCCGTTTACGAGGGGACTGGGCTGGAGTTTGGAGCAGGTCGAGGCGTTTTTGATAGACGTGCGGAATGACGTCAAGAACAGGAAATTGCATGTTTACTGGCCGATGTAAGTCATTCTCTTGTATATCTCTATCTCTAGAGGACTTGATCTAACGGCTGCAGGTACTTTGTATATGGCCGCAAGCCGGAGAGTGAAAAGAAGAGATGATTCTAATGAGCTGGAGTTCTTTTTTTTTTTTTTTTTTCTTTTTTTTTTTTTTTTTTTGTCGTTTTTTGCATAATTGTTACGGCCCTAGTCAGCTATTTTTTTTGGTTTTTTTTTTTTTTTAATCTCTATAAAAACACGGAGACTTAATCATAGAAATACCAGCATATTTAATCTGATGGTTTTACGATTAATACTATACTATAGTTCCCTACGAGACAGATGCGTTGAAACAGTGATAGATTGCAAAATGCGAGACATGATACATAGCACATCAGCTCGGCACCGGTTCCTAGTCCTCGACCCTATCCTAGGGGCTCTAATGCTATTAATACAAAAAATCATAAACAGGAAGGGAAGTGTGATAGAAGATCGTTATCAACGGTAAAAGTAGAAGATAAGGGGGTGAAGTGAATAAAAGAAGATATCACAGAGAAGAAGAAAGAAGAAAAAAGTAGAACCAGACAAAAGAGAATAGAAGTGAATGGTAAAACAAATAACAAGTAACAGAGAACAGAACAGAATAGAACAGAACATAGGACTTGAGTGTGAGCAGTAAGTATAGATAGAGCATTTTTTTTCCGACCAGCATGAAAACTCCATGAGATGATTAAGTGTGGTAAGGGGGTGAATAATGCAGCAAAAAGGGGGGACTTTGATATAACTAAGTAGGTATATGCTATATCAGCAGCCATGTTGATGGATTAAGGGAAGCGTTAAAAGTAGTAGGTATGAGGCAATCACTTTGCGATGCCTAGCTTGCGCCGTCTGGCAATGTCTCCCTCTGCCAACCACCGGCTGGCCTTGACCATCTGAACAATGTTAATGAACTGCTTTCCGGCCATGATGGGAGCCGAGATGCCCGTCAGCACCCACGGCCAGAAGCTGTCCATCTTGTTTGCGCGGGCCATCTCGAGGGCTCCGGCGCTCCACGGGTTGGCAAAGAGGGTGGTCGGATGGGCCACGGGGACCGCACTGGGCTGCAGCAGGGAGGGCGAGAGGGTCGGCGAGGAGAACGAAAGCAAGTACAATCCGATGAAGAACATTTCGTTCATGGCGCAGAAAGTGAACAGGACGGCCTGCAAACAAAACTGATTAGCAAATCCAAACGCAAAACAATCTACCCACGCAGAAGCAAATATCAAACGTCAACACGCACTTTATTGTTGTAGTACTGGTACAAGATCCAGCTGCGGCTCGAATCGATCTTCTTATGGCTCTGGTTGGAACCGCCCATGGTCAGGGTAGCGTACATGTGCATGTAGTGGCTGGTCAGGTCGAGGGAGATCAGGCCCTGGAAGAGGATGGCCCAGCGAGGCCAGGCGGAGCTGAGGAAGACCAGCAGGCAGGCGGTGGTGCAGCGGTCGGTGACCATGTCGAGCACGGCGCCGAAGGTGGTGGATTGGTTGTAGACGCGGGCAGCGTAGCCGTCGAGCCCGTCGAGCAGGCAGGAGACGCTGTACAGGGCCGAGCATGTTCGGGGGTGAAGGGGCATGTAGTAGAGCGAGGCGGTTGCGAGGACAATACGGATGTATCCTACCCACAGTCAGTATACAGTATATAATCCACGATACCATCAGAGTAATGTCGTTTAGAGGCCTACCGATGATGTTGGGCCAGAAGAGGAAGATGTTCTCCTTCTCGCTGTGCTGGCCGTCCCGCGGCGGCGACCTCTTGCGCCTGGCACTGCCGTTCATCTTGGGCGACTCAGCCGAGCCGTTCTTGGAGCCGTTGCTGTGGCCGTTGGCGAGAGAGTCGGAGTGCTCGTCGTCGCCCTGAGCCTGAGCCTGAGCCTGAGCCTGCTGGGCGGCCTTTTGTCGCCTTGTGCGAGCGGACATGTCGCGTGTGATGGTGATGGCGATAGTCGGTGGTATGAAGCCAGCCAGCAGCCAGCAAACGACGAAGACGAAGATGGTCTAAGAGAAGCTGGCCTCGAGGAAGAGCAGGAGTCTGTTCTCACTGTCTTATCTTTGGTCTCTGCTGTCTCTGTCGCTGTGTTTGTGCCCGTCTTTGAGGTCGTTGGCTGATTGATTGATGCCTGCAGGCTTTTTTGCTGGAGTATTTTTTTTTCTGGGTCTGGAGATGGAGGCTGCGGCTCGACCGGGAGGAACTTGGCGGATCAGCGAGGACTAGCGAGAGCAGGAAGGCGAGTATGGAGTCTGGAGACCGAAGACGTGGACGTTGACGTGGATGGTGATGGTGATGGTGATGGTGATGCTGGTGGTGATGTTGATTGTAGTGGTGATAGTGGTTGTTGTTGTAGTTTGTAGTAGAGGAGCCAGGCTGAGGATCAATATTTGGTCAATCCAGGCGAATCGAATTGAATAGAATGCAAGTTTGCTAATCGACGAGACGGAAGAGAATATTTACTGGCCAGTCGATATATACAGACAGAAGAGTATAAGGAGCAGTCTATGGAGTATACGGAGTACAGATGGTATATGCAGGCAGTCATAACAAACGAAACCAATATCGAAGCAGGACAATTGAATGCTATCAAAGGCCATGGAATATAAATAATCATCTCCTTCGCTTCCTCGGATCGGCAGCGTCTCTGCTCCTCCACTCCCTGGCCTCCTTGGTGGCCAGGCTCCCCAGGCCGCCCTCCTGGCGCCGCTCCCATCCCCCCAGCCGCACCACCAGACAGGTCGCATTGTCCCCGTCGGAAGACACCTCGGTCGCAAAGGCCACGACGTCTCGCGCGCCCTGGTCAGGCGTCTTGGCCTCCTTGACGATGTCGACGACTTCCTGGTCGCTCAGGGTGCCGCTGACGCCGTCGCTCATGAGCACGAGAAACGAGTACTCGGCCGGCCGCATGTCGATGCGTCGCAGCTCGGGCTCGGCAGAGACGCCGATGCGTTTGCTCGTGAGGTCGCCAAAGGCCCGCGTGTTGGCCAGGCCGGACATGCGTTCCTCGCCGAACGAGTCGGTCACGAAGGTCGCGGCGTAGCGCTGCAGGCGGGCGCTCTCCACGGGCGAGGACGGGTGGTGGTCGGTCGTGAGCGGGATCGGGTGGCCTGTTGCCGTCGAGCAGAGCAGGATGCGGGTGTCGCCTATGTGCGAGACGAGCAGCGAAGAGGGAGCGTCCGGGTGCCAGAAGGGGGTGGGCGTGGGCGTCGATATCATGGCGATGCTGCCGGTGCTGCCGCCCTTGAAGGTCTTATGGTGGCGGTGGTGAGGTGTGCGGCCACTACCACCGGGCATGTTGTCGTCGCGGTATCGGTTGGGCTGGTGCAGGATGTCATATTCGTTGAGAGGCTTCTCGGGGCTGGTCGGGATGGGCTGTTTGGAGTCGCCCTTGGAGACCTGCTCGGAGACGAAGTCCAAGTCGGCGCGCAGAAAGGCGTACTCGACCACTTCTTCGATGGAGACGCCCGACCGGACGCTGACCCGGATGTCCTCCCCTTCAGCATCGGGTTCGGCGTGCTTGATGGTGGTGCCGTGATGATCGTCACCGTCGCCGTCGCCGTCGCCAGTCGGTTCGGCCCCGGCGTAGGAGAAGTGCAGCGGCTGGAAACGTCGAAAGTAGCCGCCCACCAGGTCCCGCCAGTCCGCGACGAGCTTCTTCTCCATGGCGCCGATGCGTTCTCTGTTCGCCTTCTGGAGGATCGGCAGGTCCCCCTGCACCGCGTGGCTGCGCTGCTTGTCATCCGTAGAAGAATACGTAGTGATAGACCCGGGAGAGACGCCGTACTTGACCTCGCCCACGCGCTCTCGATGGCGGACGGCTCTGTTGGTCAGCCGCTGGCTCTCGACGCACTTTGACAGCGCCGACTCCATGCCGAACTCGACGGCCGTCTGCTGGATGTAGCCATGCAGCCTGTCCCGCAGGAACTCGCTGCACTCCGTCCCGCCGTGGCCGTCGAACACGCCAAAGTAGAACACCTGGGGGTCTCCCGTAGCGTTGTCAGCTGCTTTATTACCTTCCCCGGCCGCCTGCTGGCCGACCGTGACGGATAAGGGAGCCCGGCGTGCAAAGGCCGGCAGGTCGATGACGCCGGCCTGGTAGGTGTCTTCGTTGGTCGGGCGGGAGCCACGCACATGCGAGACGCCGAAGTGGTGCTTTGCACTGCGCAGGGGGATGCGGACGACGGTTGTCTCGCGGCCGATGGCGAGCCCTGGAGAGGCCGGGGAGATGGTGGCCGTCGTTCGTGAGCCTGCGACGGTGGACGAGGCGGCGTGCGGGACAGAGGCGGAGCGCGGGAGGTGGTGCTGCGGGCCGACAGAGGCGCGGGAGTCGGGATGCAGCGAGGAGGTCGGCAGATGCGTGACGAAGTAGTCGTGGAAATGGCGGCGGGCAGTGCGAGATGTCGATGTAGATGTAGATGCTGATGTAGATGTCGATGTCGATGTTGGTGATCCTGGCGATCCTGAGTCTCCGGAAGTCGAGGTTGCGTATCTGCGCAGGAAGACCGAGATGAAGGCTGCAATAACACACAACCACTATTATTAGCCCATGATCTGGTCCTCAGAAGAAGAAGAAGATAGTCCTACTGTAGCTGTCGGCGAGGGTCCAGCCCTGGATGCGCACCCGCTTGACGGCCGCGCTCATTTGTGATGTCTGAGTCTGGATATCAAGATGTTTCAACAACAGCAGTCAACAGCAACGACGGCCAACAGCAAGACTCAAGACTCAAGACTCAGACAAGACTTCAAGCAACAGCTGGCCTCATCGTCTTCTGTCCGAAGAAAAGCGGCTGATACGAAGCGAGCAACGAGAATCCCGACTGATCCTTGCAGCCGCGAGAGGCTTCTCCACGTGTGTGGCCGGGTCAGGCTGGCTGAGGCATCTTCGGAGTCGATCTGAGATGAAGATGAGAAGATGAAGATGAAGAAGATGAAGAAGAGATGAAGAGAAGAAGAAGAAGATATCAAACAGGAGATGCCTCAGAAGACAACGCGGAGCCCAACAGTCTTGATAACACGAGCCCAGAAGTCGCCAGCCGCAGTTTGTGTTGAGCCGGACTTATTTTATTCCTGCATGCGTTCATCGGGCTGATAACAGACAGACTTCTATTGCTCTGTTTATTTAAGAGTATTTGAATTATGGCCATTGAGTGGTACAGACTATCGAAGGCTGATTCTTTATTTCAATAAAGCTAGACACAAGGCAATATATATCAAATAAGCTGCGGAATTCGACCAAGAGTTAAATTGGAATACACATATTGTATAATCGCCGTCATCCGAATATCACTTAACCTATGCTATCATGTTTACCACCGCAGTCGCCATCCCCATGCCCATGACCATCCAGATCCAGGTACCAGTCATTGCTCGGTGGCCAAGGGCTACGTTGGGTTTGGCAGTTGCTTTCGTTGCTTTCGGTCCGCCTGTAGTTGATCCCGGACGAGATGCCAGCAGCAGCAGCCGCGACAAGGAGGAATGTAGCTCTCATGTTCGATATCAAGATATGGATCTGTGTATGAAGCTATGTGTGATCCAGTAAATTTGCCGGGTTGCTGGACAGACATCTCAATTTTATAGCACTGAGACCGCTGCCAGGCTCTCTCCTGCCATGCATATCTATATCACCCAGAGTAAGGGTTCATGAAACCCGGAGTAAGAATAACCTCGTTATACAGAGAGAGCATGGGGCATCCTCTAGAGCTAAGATGGGTATCAAAAGGCTCTGACCTGCTGACACTTTGCAGAACTACTTAACAGTTACGGAGTCATTAAGTAGAGCTGCAGCTGAGTAGTTAAAACCAACTACTCCGGAGAGATAGATGCAGAAGATTGCTCTACCATGGCCGAGCGAAATGTAGAGCCCTGGATGGCTGAATTGATATCAAGCTTGCACAGGATAAAAAGCCGCCGGAAGGTTACTAGCTTGCCAGGTGAGCGGAAGCTAGAACCAGGCGAGCTGCCACCTTTGTTACCCATCCAACGCCAGCTTTAACTAGCGCCCGCCAGGAACCAGGGAACCGGAGTAGACAGGGCGCAGTGATATCGTCATCCAGGGCAAGGTAAATAATACCATCTAATGCACTGATGTTTGTTTGCATTGAAGCCCTGATGAAACTGTCAGCTTATGCTTATCTTGACGAGCAGAAGGATCACCACAGAACGCTACCTCGTATCCGATTAGCTACCATCGCCCTCTTATACGGAGTGCTACTTGTCGACTCAGTACGGAGTGAAGACCAGCAAGATAATTGCATAAAAAGAGAGAGAGAGAGAGAAAGACGAAGTTGAAGTTGAAGAAAAAGAAGAAAAAGAAGAAAAAGTTGAAGTCGAGATGTTGATTTCCTCATTGGGAAAGGGTAGGGAAGATTACTAAGCAGACGAATTGGGACTAGCGTAGGTTACGCTGCTGTATTAGCATTACACAGGACAACTGTGTTAGCCAATAGGATGCCGTCAATACGAGGACGTCTGTAATAAATTACTCCCTCCCAAAAAGGAAATCTGAACTTCATCTTCAACTTCTTCAACTTTAGGATTTTCTGAGGTCAAAATGAAAAAAAGAAGTCAAAACATCAAAGTCAAAGTCATGAATTAAAAAGAACTAATAAACGGCCTATCTGAGAAGTGAATTACATCATGCGAGCACTAGCAGTAGCAGCGCAAGAAAGACGCAGCATGAGTGTGGGCAGAGGCCTTGAACGAACGCAGCAATGCCAGGGGAAGGAAACATGGAAGGGAATCAGCAACTTTTGTTGAAAAGCCGACGGGTGTGTTGATGTTGAACTTGATATTTGGGCCACTTTCTTGATTCCAAGGGGATTCAAAAGGATACCAGAAGGAGCAGAGACCAAATAACAACAAAGGGGTGAAGAAGTTTGCCCCGAGGAACATCTGATCTGTCCTGCTTGCCCTACTACTTGCGGCCGGGCTCTGAGTTCAAGAGCATATCTCCGAGATGCAGCACCTGGACGGCCGCGTTAGGGTGCGTGACCACGTTCTTGAACAGCGGGACAGGCGTGATGGACAGTTTGATGGTGTACTTGCGTTTGGACTCCTGCATTTGCCAGCCCTCGTCCGTTCCAGCGTTGTGGTCGGTCATGTACGTCGGGTCGAAGTGGTGGTGAGTCAATGGGTGCAGGAACTTGAACTCATAGGGGCCGGAGTGCATGATCAGAGCCAGGCTGTGGGCGTCAATCATGATCTCGACAAGGTCACGCCACACGCTTGGGTCGCGGGAGAAGATAAATGGGGATAGCAGATGGAACAGCTCCTGGGTGTTCTCGTGGGTGCGCTTGTTGAAGAAGTTGTCAAACAACGGGCGGTTGCGGAGGAGGAGTATATGGTGTCCGATACCCTGGATCATAGCATTCTTTACCGTAGTGGGAGTGCCTGTAACTGGTCAGTTATTGTTGACTACGGGGGAGGTAACTCTCAACTGGAATGTGACGGTTGGCTGTCTCTTACCGGGGTGGAGATGGGTAGTCATCTGCTGGATCTCAGAGTCAACTGTCGGGTCGAAGCCGTTGACAACGCTTGTCTTCAGGACTGTTCTCGTAATGAACCAGTTGATCATCTTCGAGACCATCAAGAATCGGGTGGATACGTTGCCCAGCAACTCAGTTGCATTGCTCGATGCATGGCTCAGAAACGAACGCAGTTCCTCACTCATCACCTTCTCGTCATACATGAAGTTGGTGTTTGTGTACTTCATTGCAAAGCACTTCGATGCCGTCCACAGGCCAACCAAGCGGTTTGCAAAGTCGCTACTGTTGTATGGTGGGTCTCGAGTATGGATAACCTGCTGAGGCTGCATGTTCACCATCGACACAAAGGAGGCAATCTGTTCGTCAGGTGAGGATGATGTGCCTCGAGAGACTCCAGTTGTTCCAGTGCCCGTGCCTGCAGTTGAGTTGGCGTTCGAGCTCGTCGGGATAAAGTGAGGCTGAGAGCCCACACCGGCCTGGTTGGTATTTCCTCTTGCAGTTCCACTGGCCGCAACTGCACCTGCGGCTCCAGGTAGGTTAAATGGTGGCGGTGGCTGTCCAAAGACGTTCTGGTACCGAGTTGTGGGAGACAGCTCAGGATGCCCCTGCATCGACATTCTCCTCATACCTGACCCGTTTCCGTTTCCGTTGCCGGATCCAGAACCCGAATACCCTTCAGTATCAGGAGAGCTCACTGGGACCAGGGCCATAGATGCAGATCTGCTGTCTCCCTGGATTCCATGGCGCTGAAGCATCTCCTCCAGTTCTCGGATACGAGCCTGCAGCCCTTCTATCATGTCGTGGTCGTGACGCTCCTGAGCTAATGCAGTGTTGAGTTTGTTCTGGATACACTCTTTCTGAAGCTCAGAGTGCTCGAGCTGCTCCTTCAAGTACTCTATCTCGGTCTCAAACGCGTCTATATCCGCCTGCTGGATCTGCGACTGGCCTTGTGGCTGAGCTTGAGCCTGAGATTGAGGTTGAGGCCGCGGTTGCTGAGCATAGCCAGAGCCAGAGGGTTGAAAAGCCAACGGTGGCTGCAGAAGCCCTGCTTGCGGGTGAATAGGCTGCGTACCATGATAGTACTGCGTGCCACTGGGGCCAGTCACAGGCATCCCACGATAAGCAGACATGGCTGTCTCTTTTTGCTCTATTAGATATCCACAGATCAGATCAGATATATCCTTGCGTCGGCTGCTATCTGCATACAGAGATAGGGGATGAAAACAGGCGTCAAAAGGAGCAAGACAGTACCTACCGCTGAACGATATCTATCAAGCAATAGATACTAAGCTTTGTAGGCAAGTTAAGCTTACCTCCTGCTGTTAAAAAGGACAGGGAGTTGCCTATCTTTTTCTGGCAACAGAGAAGGTTGTTGTTTTTTTAAGGAAGAGAGGAACAAAGCACTAGAAGAAGATATCAGAACACACAAAAGTGGCGCTTGCAGGAGGACAGGAAGTGAGAGCAAGTAAAAGTACGCTAAGCAGTCACTACAGGACAGATAGGATGGGTGCGAACAGTGAGTCTCACTTCTATTGAGATAGTATATGAGATAGTAAGGTGATATCTGCCTCTTAGAAGGGTGAGCTACATATATGCCTCGCTATCTATATGGTAAGTTTAAATAGCAAATTCATTTCTATTTGGCCTTTCAAATATTGTAACCAGAATAGGGATTCAAGTTAGAGCTTGAAAGATAACAACCTGGTAAACTACGACACAGATCTCCAGGTATTATACGAGATAGGTATCAGCCTCGAGAAGATGATATGTCCCCTCTACGTAGTAGGTTCAAGGGGGAAATGCCCTTTCAACCTGACAGTTGTTTAAAAGGAAAATCTAGCCATTCTAGACATGAGTGAAAATACTAGAGCTAGATAGTCACAGCCTGATATACTACTACGGATACACAGCATCATATTTATGCTACCATAATTAATCAGGGAGAAAGAACTATGTATGAATAATATATTTATGTTGGCCTATGAACGAAGATCAATCAAGCACCTATACAAATTGTGGCAATAAAGGAAACAAAACTAGATGTAACTAGCCATGCTCAGGAAGACAGCAGGGGTGGTAGAGCCGGAAAATAAGAAAAATCTCCCTGACGGTACATACCACTTGAAGCAATCCACCATTTTGAGAATTAACTTTTTGATACTTTCTCTTACTCCTGAGGCACACAGTGAGCGAGGGCAGGATCACGTACTCCTAAGAAGTCAGGGGTTGGTGAGGTAGTAGCAAGAGCACGCGGGGAAGCACTGTTCAAAGGTCGCGTGGATAATACCTACCGTCTGTGGCCGAGAGTCCAGTTAACAGAAACCTAAGTTTCTTTCAGTCATGGTTTGCGGAGATAGCTCATATGGCCTTAGTCCTGGAGAAAAGACTACTGTAAACAGCATCGACGACGGGCTGGGCGCTGATCTGACGGCCGCCGAAGAATCGGCCGTTCAAACCCTTGATGGCGTTTTCACCTCCTTGGACACGGTCGAATTTGAGGTAGATGTCGCCTTGGGTATTGGGATCTAACGAGATGTGAACAACATGGCCATACTTTTCTTCGCATTCAGCGCGGACGTCATCCTCGAGTTCCTTAACCCAAGATTCGCCTTCTTCCCTATAAACCAGTTAGCACTTCTGTATAGGATTAAAAGCAAAAATTCAAGATACAGAATGTCGAGGTAACTTACTGGGCTGGATCGAACATGTTCCGTAGAAGTACACAGCGACTTGCCATGTTGACGGTGACAGGGAGAGGCTTAGCCTCTGTACGAGCCTTGGGGGCTTTGCGTTTCTCGTCAGGAGCGGGTTCAGCGGCGGGTTCATCTGTTCTTGCGAGTTTCCTCATCAATGCATCTCTGCTATAATTGTTAAAGTTCACACCGGCGACATCGGTATCATCTAGCGCGCTAGCACCGCCAGCGCCTTTGTCATTGTCTCGGCCGCCCGCACGGTCGAAATTACCGCCGGAACTACCACCCGCGTTGGCTCCGCGGCCGCCGTGGTGGGAATACGATGATCCCTGATTGTGGCCCTGTTGTTGAAGTCGTTGCATCAGCTGGGCCGGATCATGGCTAAATTTGTCATTGCCTAGGCCGACACGAATGGGACGACCAGCAAGATCGAAACCGTTCATCTTCTCAAGAGCTTCACGAGCTTGGTTAGGGTCGCGGAATCTGTTAGGATTTGTTAGTTAATTGTCTTAATTGCGGGGGGAGTAACAATATAGAGGTAGTAGTAACATACTGTACGAAGCCATATCCTTTACTCCGTCCGGCTTCTTCCCTTTGCAGTTGGACAAAGTCGAGTTCGCCGAACGGCTCGAAAACATTCTGCAGATCGCTCTCAGTGATACTGAAATGAATATTACCGACATACAACCTGTGGAAGGGAATAGACTGCTGATTGTTGTTGGAGTGAGCATCAGGGTTACGAGCCTGACGATTTTTCTCGGCTTCTGTTAACTGGGCGATAATTGGGATTCCTAGAAGTTTTTGTCCAGTAAGCTGGATGGCAAGTGGGACTGATTCTTCGTTCTTAAACTCGACATAACCAACACTAAGAAAATGAATTAGTTTTCGGCCTGCGAGTTATATATGTATAAGAGAGGAACCTGCTTACCCTTTGGATCTCCCACTAACTCTGTCCTTCACAATCTGGGCCTCCTTTACAGGGCCAACCTTTTCAAAGAAAGCAATAAGCTCCTTCGTTCTTAGGCGAGCAGCAAGTTGCTGAACAAATACGGTGCGTCTGTCGCGTTCATCTTCAGTCAGTTGGGGTTCGGGTGTCTTGCTAGGCGAACGTCGACGGCTGTCCCTATCCCGCCGGGAGCGACGCTTTTCATCGTCCCGATCATCCCCGTCACGACGTGCTCGGCCAGTTGGTCTATAATATCTATCATCGAGCGGAGATCGGGAACGGGATCTCGTCCGGCCACCGCCTCTGTAGAAATCTCCGCCGCCACCGGACGAGCGGTAGGCGTCGTCACGGTCACGGTCACGGTCACGGTCGCGGTCGCGGCGAGAGCGTTTCCTCTCGCTATCACGGCTTCTACTTCTCTTTCGGCTTCTATGGCTCCCGTTAGCACTTGCGCGATCGCTTTTTGGGCTCTTCATCTCTTCGTCTCCATCGGCATCCCTCTCGCGGCGTCGGTCTCGGCTACGGTCACGGCGTCTACGATCCCTATCCCTATCGCGGTCCCGGGAGCCATCTCGGTCACGGCGTCCATCACGGTCCTTTTTCCTTTCGACTTCGTTGTCTTTCAGATCTGATGTTTCCGGAGATTTAGAGGTATCGGGTCCAGGGTCCGCAGTTGAATCAAGTAACGCCTCGACGTCGATACCAGACATGATGGAAAGAAACAAAGAGGTATATGGAGGTAAATAGTAGAGGAACGCGGACGGATAGGAGTAGATATCACTTTTTGCTTCCGTTAGATGCGAGAGGGGAGACAGTAAGAAGGGAAGCGCGAGTCGGTCGAACCCTTTGCTTTGCTTGAAACCTGGCGGCAGAGCCTGCAGAACCCTCTTCCCGTCTGTCACCAGCAGTGACTTAAGTTAATTCTGCCGCGGGACTTGTAGCAATAATTTATCTAGCTAACAGACCACTTCTGCTGCCTCTTGTCGTCGTGATTATGGCGATGGAGCAACTTTGCTTCGCTTTTTTGACGTTGAAGAAGAAGAAAATTTAGGATTAGTCATATATCACGTGGAAGGATTATTATGTAAGCACTGGGGAATAACGTTGGTCCGTGAGTTTGTGACCGAGGTTTAACCTTAACCTTAACCTTAATTTGAGCGAAGATGGAAACATTCCGAGATTCAGGTGGGCAAGACAATATAAAAATCATATATTCATGCTTAGAGGACTCTATTATTTTCTCTTCTAGTTGCATTTTTAAAACATGTAGTTGACATATATATTAGAATGACTATGTAACAGGTTACAAGCTAATAACGATGAAGTAGCCACCCCATGTTTAAAAGTATGCTTCCAGAAAGCCAACCTGAGAAATATTAGCGTAAATACAGTGAAACGGTGAGATTTTCCGCTGTTGATATTCGGGGTAAATACGGCTGTACTTGACCCTCTGCCAACTTTTTGGTTTGCTGATTATTTTCGTTGCAATATGATCAGACCGATCTCAAATCTGGCAAAGCATCAATAGGGAAGAGGAAGAAGCAGATCGACGTTAACTCACTACTCAACCTCTACCTCCCTGTCTATTGCCATTAATGGTAGAACCATGGCAGTGGTGATCACAGGTATAACTGTTATATAACTGTTAATATTTCCATTTACACTGTAGGGGTTTGATATGGTTGTACTAACAGGCAGCAAATTGAAAGCTGTAGAGATAGCTGCTCCGAATAATGCTTCGTAGCGCCTCGGGGATGATGCTAGGGTTAGAATCATGTAGAACACGCTCAATTATCTGCCGATGAAGGTCAGGAACCGGATGTTGTCGAATCACAGAAATGTAGGCGGAAGGCTACTTACCTCCTTTTTGTTAGGAATGTCCTCCAGGCGTATCTTAAGAACCTCACGCATTATTGTTTCAATAGTCAGAGAGGAAAGAACAGTTCCAAGCATGGTGCCAACCTGCTGGCAGAGATAGTAGACGCATATAGCTGTGGCATGAATGGATTTCGGAGTGCACGCAATCAGCCCGGTAAAGGTTGTCGAGAGCAAGAGACCGAAACTCAGGAAAGCTGGGAGCACGTATAGCGACTCCCAGCTACTTACCCCAGTTCGCCATCTTACCGCAATCAGGGTGAAAAACGTGAGGCCGAGAAGAACAGATATAATCGATAAGGTCTTATACCTATGAGTTCTAAATTGTCAAAGAGCGATTAGCTTCATTGTTCCATTGAGTCCAATCTCACTTAACGTAACAAAATGTATGTAACTTACTTCCTGATAATATAACCAGAAGTGACAGAGCCAGTTGTGAAACCCACGAACACAGGAGCAAGGTAAATTGCAGCTCGTGTATTACTAGCCCCCGTGGTGCGAATGAAATAGGGCGCGATATTTGTCAAATTCTGTGCAAATGTCAGTGGCCATTGTTCAAGCATGTATATTGTGAGGGTAATCTTCTAGGAGAGGGGGGAGGTATTACCGCAAAGGCTCCTACTTGTAAAAGCACCTGGACAGCGTATGGACCTGCCATGCTTTTGAGTAAGCCAGGGGGAATAACGGGTTCCCGCGCATAGTATGCCTCTACCACAAGGAAAAAAGCACCAAATACAACGGAGACTACTCCGAAGAGAATCGTTATTCTCGTCGAAGCTTCATGGTCACCTAGAAGCCTGAGGGCAACAAGGAAGGTAGTGATCGAGATAGCAAACATAGCGATCCCCAGGAAATCAACTCTTTTGCGCAGCGCAATCTTTTTCACATTCTTGTCCATTGGTTTGGCTGGAGGTAGAAGGACTATGGAGATGATACAGCACATGATCGCGGTTGGAGCCTGGACAACGAAAGACCTTAAAATCGTCAGTAATTTTATGTATTAGCCCTGCTATCATGGCTAGATAAGTGGACAACACTTACAACTGCCACCCAACGCTGTCTGTAATGAAAGCCCCAATGGGGCCTCCGAGAACACGACCGAAGACACTAACCATGTTCACGTAGCTCCGCGTAATTGCTACCTGGCTGGGCGAAACGTTATCTGCGGGTTGTCAATAGCTTGATCGTGTATTTCCGAAAGTTGATCCCTACCAGTGATTAACACGCATACTAGAGCAACCATGCCAGCTGCCCCAATCCCAGTGATCACTCTCCCAGCAATAACTTGCCATAATGCAGTTGCCGTACCCCTATTTATGTATTAGAGTTGTCTATGTGGCTCGAACCGAAGAGTCTAGAGGGATAACATACGAAAGTATGCAGCCACCGCTAAAGAGGCAATAGGAGACGACCAAGGGTATCTGTCGGCCATAAGTGTCGCTCAATTTCCCATACTGCACAGATTGAAAGCAATTAGCAAGTTGAACTTTCAGGCCATCCTCTCTTTCCCGGAGGGTAATTACCACTGGTAGAGCCACACAATAACCCAGATTGTATCCTGCAAGCACCCAGGGACTGTCCCCTAACTGCTTGAAATGCGAGGCAATGGTCTGGTATGTTACCAGTACCATAGACTCGTCCGCACCGGCAAGGAAGACACCTATATAGCGTCAGCATCCACATTTCATTACTCGAAGGGAAAAACACCCGGGGAGTAATACCAAGTAAAGCCCCAATGATGCCGAGCAACCTCTTCCATGACAACCCGGTGTCCGCGGGCTTACTGGCATTTTTTGGACGTTCCCTGACGCCCTCCTCCCGTGGGAGTAACCTGGTCGTCTCTGTAGGTCCAGCTGTCATACTGAATACCGCTATATCCAAGTATGAATTGAAACTACTCTGGGCAAAACGCCTGGGAGATTTCGGCCACCCACGAGCAGGCCCCTAGCCATTGATAAATAATGGAAAGTCTCAGGAGCAAAAGCAAATAGAACAACCGGGCCCATTAATGTATGTTGCACCACCATTTTCACTCCTCGTCGATCGTATAACCAGGCTGTCACCTATCAGCTCATTGGTATTTGGCGGAGCTGGATTCCTGTTGCTCGGGTGGCGTTGCCGGCTAGGCTTTAAACATTGGACCCAATTCTTTTCCTAGCCAACTGCCTCCAATTGGACTAGCTGGCTAGCCTGCTGGCTGGGGTACCCCTATATACAGGACGTACTATTGTGCATCCTCCGCGAATTTGATAGTACCACCCTCGGGGTCAACCGGCTAAACGGTACTCCGTACTTCGATGGGTCTTCACCATCTTGCACAGAATACGGGGTATGGAGTACTTCATGCCCTGTTGTTCAAGATGAGATACGGAGTTGTTAACTAAAAGTCCTAACTATCGTTAGCTTATTTGGAGCTTTCTGCATACGCCATCTTATCCCAACTAGCTAGTTAAGCGCACTGGCCGCACTTCACGCCTCCCTGCTAAACGAATGGGTTTGACGGCTGACATGAATTGATTGCCAGCGGTGAAGGCGCGCCCCTCGGCACAGTGAGGATATCTCGTATCTTAATAATGGAGCCCTGGTAATTTCACAGCTCACATTATTGCTGTAGTTACGCGGCCGGGGGCTTCTTTGTCCATTGGTTATATCATCGTCTCGTAATAAAGGAAATAGAAAAACCGAAGAGGACGAAAGCAACGAATCTGAGACTCGCATTTCGATAAGAAACTCGAAAAAAAAATAGTTCTTGGAACCACGGGAAGGACTTATGCGCAGTCCCACACACAATTTAGTCATGCATACATCATGTCTCAACCTGGTGTACGGAGTGCAAGTGTTGTTGACGTGAGGGAACCAGTCACGCACGTCTGGTTATGCTTCAAACTCCGCCCGAGCTTCTTCGACGGCACGCAGGGCATCAAAAATTTTCTTCCAGTCATGGTAACATTGCCAGCGAATTATGTGCAAGGTGGCCCCCCCAAACCATTGCATGGGTTTACGTCAATGGGACAAGGGCACAAGGGAACCGGGTCTAGACATTGGCTGAAGCTGTATTTTCTGCGCTTGTTCTCTCCTTTTTAAAGTTGAGTAAGCGCTCAATTGATTGTTCGCCTCCACCGCAAATCTGCCGTGCAAAGAAAAATTGGACGCCTCACGCGACCTGGTTGGTGTTGCGATACGGAGTATGCAGGTTATGCATATCAGAGCTGGTTGTAAACAGGCCCTGGATTCCTGCGTAGTGAGCCAACCAGCTTCTCCCACTGGTCAAGCCCGCAAGCGAGTGAATCCGCTTTCATTGGCCATGCGCATCCTTCAGACATTCAAAGGCAACGTCAGTCGAATAGGGGATCCCCGTTGGATTTTCCGTGTGGACTCCTGCTCTTCCGTCCAGAACCCTGTTCTGGTCCGAACCAGGCTAGTGATGGTATTGGCGTCGAGATTTCTCCATGGTTGAGCCGTCACATATGCGTGTGGCTTTTTAGCTCCATGCAGCCACGAAGATGATATTGCCGTTGATCTCAAGCCATCCTGCCGGTTCCTAATTTTCAGGGTCGAGAAATTCAATCCCAGCTGCTCGAGGAGCAACCTTGTCAGACATACAGGAGTCCCGCAATAGGATAAAGGGCTGGTTGATCCGTCCCTTCGAGTCGAACAGCGCCTGCTCAGTAGTGTAACTCCCTGCGTGGACAGTCTGTGCCTCGTTCCACGAGTTGCGAAGCTGAAATCAAGATATAGGATGGCTGTTATACCACCACTTCGTTTGCATGCTTCTCTTTGTGTCGTCGGGGATGATAAAATAGTTATCGTATTCCGTACTCCGTACGGATATTGTTGTTGCGTTGTGAGAGCTAGGCCGATGAGAACAAGCAAGTTGGAGAGCCAGGGTGTGTGTGGATCAAAGGGCGTCGACGAGGATTCTTTTTTGCCCCACGGGATAGCCACCGGGACCGTCACAGCGGCTTCCGTATCGAACTTGCTGTCGTAATAAATAAATAAATATATATATATATATATGTGGGAAGTCAAGCCATTGTTGTCGAACTGTACCACTCATGCTGATATCTGTCCTTGATGCATCTTTATACCATCGCGTCCCAAGAAACTGAAAATAGTTCGATACTATGTCCTAGAGCCTAGAGCTACGCCCTAGGGGCTGACCTTTTACTAGGGATCTTGATCGCGAGAAGCTTCTCGGGCCTACAGAGCAGCAACAGAGCACTCTCAGAACTGAACTAGTGACCGAACCGACAAAATACTACGAAGTACTCTGTACTCCTTACGGAGTATTTGAAGATTCTTCACAAAATAACAAAGATACTCTATATCAGTAGTGTTCAGAGCAGCTTGTGAGAATCGACCGGGAAGAGCACGAATTGCTAACTTTACCCCCCACGCATCTACCAGAAAAGTACTTGGTAACAGGTATTGGGCTGTGAGACACGGAGTAGCCAAACATATCAGATGGGCACAGCCCCCCTAGCAGTATGTATTTCGTCTTGGGCTGAAGAGATAATTCTCGGGTGGCGAGTGAGTATGATACATCACACAAAAGGAGATCTACACCAATTTACTGATTAGTTATGGAATGTTTCCTCGGAAAGGATGGCTGGAGCTTTCTAAGTGAACAGGCGTTAACACAGAGCAAGACTATGAACTGAGATCCGATTACATGACTTACGGAGTACTAGAATCACAAACAGAATTCCTGGATCCAGCCTCATGGGCAGTGGCATGCAGGGTACGACCTGCCAGAAGTATATAATTTTAAACTCTCGGTAACTAGCGTACAGTGGGTGTGTACGAATGCAAATGCAATGTTTCTCTGATACATTACCTTCAAGAACTCTTCTCACTTGCTCCATGTGGACTGCGGATCAAGCTAACTTAGAGGTCTAAATATGAGACCTAGCAGCGTAACAAATTGGATGCCAAGTATTATTTTATTTTAAAATGGTAACTTAAACCCGAACCCACGGATACGGCAGGACATAAAGATTCAATACTTAGGGAGTAATTATGGCCGAAATATATTGTACTCTGTACTTACAACAGACTAGACTTTGAATATGAATCAAAACAACGCAATCGAGAAATAGAGGCAGTTGTAGCATATCATATCCGCAATCCAGAGACGTACCAAGGCGTGATCAGTGGATAGGAGGGACTAATTGACATAGCCCAAGGTAGTAGAGAACACACTCTGTTGAGTCAACCTTTACCCGCTGCCTAGGTTGGAATTTCTCTCCAGCAAGGGCAAATTGCTTAAATCCAGTGGAAGATGAGTGCCTGCGTCCGCGATATCAAGCTCATTTCTGTACTACCTCTTTAATCCCTACTGCACCAGCATATCCTCTGTCTTATGAACAAACATATAGCGGGTATGATACAATGGCCGGCGGGAAACAAACTAACTCACTATTGGCTCTCGGCTTGTGGATCCGGCCCCACTCTTGAGCCGCGGGCTGTGGACCGAGCTTCTCGACCAGATGCTTAAGAGGCTGCTGGCAACAGGAGCATCCTCATCATCGAACAAAAGACACGCTACGGGTTGCTGGCCTGCGGGACAAAAGGATCTAAAGGTACTATAAAAAGATGGGCGTGTGTTTTTATGCGTGCAGTTACAGATAGAACCAACCAATGATAACATACAGATGGGATAAAGTGGGAAGTAGAGTTATTTTTTTTGTTGGGTTTCCATGATTATCCATATACGGTGCGCAAAGCATTGAGTATTGGCTTGGAAGATCCTGGGTTTGGTTCTATGAGCCATGGTGTATCGTTGGATCTGCTACCGGGTCCAGAGAACAGCTTGCTCATCATCGTTAAACAAGAATGGGCATAGTGTCCAATGCTAACCATTAGTTAGCTTGGTAGGAGCCGAGTAGAGACTTCGCCCTGCGACGGCGATCACTGGATGCAGCAGCAGATGACTGCATACCTGAGTGTACAACCTGCATATAAATGCCAATCAAACGCTAAATTAAGGTGCTGAATTGGCCGCTAGTTCGCGTGCCAACACCCCTGGACCTCGGACTCAAAAGTATTAGAATCACCCAGGCCATAGCATAGTTGCTACCCTAGGTGTCTACTCGAAGAGTCGAGCATGGAAACTATATTCCACTGGCATCTGAAGCAGTCCACCTGTTGGGAATAATGCGAAGTTGACTAGTTGTTAGCGCCCTATACAGAGATATTCCTGTATATAGCTAGCAATCATTCAGATGTCACCATAGATAATGGAATCCCAACCATGAGCAGTTTCTTTCCCCATTTCTTCCCCTGTTTACCAGCCATTGTGTCATAAACTTTTCCCAATAACTCTCTGACGCTGGCCCCAGAGGTCGACATGTTGCAGAGTTCTTCATAGTATCGCCAACTGCGGGGTTCCTCATTTCAGTTATCATCTGAAGCTCATAGACCCTGTTTCATACTTTCCCCAATATTCATAAGCGGCAAGCAGCTAGAAAAGCATGCTAGGAAGCTAACCTTAGCATCCTTAGCCTACAACTGCATAGTTCTGAGCAGATATCGTAAGCATTTAGATGCCTGAAATTTCTGGGAAATCCACCAGGCACTATCGGTGACCCTGGATATTTGCCTCGAGCCCAAGCCAATTTATTGATTCTCCGCTAATTACTTCATTAGCGTGTGATCCACGCAGCTGCTGTCCCAACTGCAGCGTGGCCAATGGACAACTTCCCAACGTAATGCTATAGATTCTAGTGAGTTGACCTAGTAAAATACGCATTTCGGTATTTTAGTTCCTTCATGGAGTGAGAAACAGATGCTACTTCTAGATGAAACTGGGGTTTCTGGGTATCACAGTCGAGCAATATCTGGGAAATGGTATTGGTATAGGATTGCGTATTAGTCTCCGGATGAAATGTGCTCCTCGTTGTTAGTTGTGGCAGTATATTGAATAAATTGCGAGGAGACAAGTCGCATTTATCTTATGTTGCCAAATTTGCTTAATATGCCATCTGGGTTATCTTAATAACCTAAGATACTTGAATAAATCAATACCACCCGTGGCTTAGCACTGGCTCTTAGATCCTCTTCAAACGCTCGTCCGATCAATGTCAAGGGTAGCTTCCGTGTCGTTTCGAGGTTACTATTCTTAAGAATCATGAGCTTGCATGACCCTGCGGAAAGGCCAGATTCTTCTCATTTCACTGTCGAAGCAGGCGATGCCGCGGCCTAGGAGAGACGGGGAATCTATAGCACTGAAGGGTTCAGTGTGCAAAGCTCTGACCATGAGAGCGCCGGGGTCGACAGACGCAACCGGTGTTTTGAAACATATTGGGTTTAGATATTCCAGTTCTTGGGAATCAGAGGGAACGAAGCGGTGTCAGACCCATGTTGTATTGGAGAAAAACCACGGATAAGCGTGGGCGTGTTCATTATTCACCGCTGCCTCAATTGGGGTATTGCAACGCATGTCTCATTCTCGTTGTGAATATCGAGAGTAGGGATGAACAGAGTTCCTTATATAAGTTGGTTATATAACATTGTCTTGGGTACAACGATTCCCAGTGAGACAACTGAGGGCCCGCCATCAAAAAGTTCGAGGCTATTAACAATCAGAGTTATCGTTGACTAATTTGGTGTTAGTGAATTATAAGAGTCGGACAGTGAGCTAGTTGATTACCGTGGTCAATTGATGATCTCGCAAGTCAATCACGGACTGATATCTTTGTATATGGCTTGTCGTGTGTCGGAATATTAACATTGACGAAGCCATGACACTCGATAGTGCCTTCATTCCTCTTGACAATTAAAGTTAAGTAATAGTTCATACATTAAATAAAAGGGTATGTGTCTCTTGCTTCGAACAAAATGGGAACCAACAATAGAAAGAAGCAAAAAAAGTGAAGAGTAATGACTTTCTGATGGGGGCATGAGTAAATATGGGCAATAAGACATTATACAGTAACCGGACATTTCTTGAAGGCAAAAAACAAGGGGGAATAAGAGTGAATGAAGAAGAATTAAATGGCCTAGTAAAAGAAGTGAGGAGAAAGTGGTATTTTATACAGCCCACGAAGAAAAGTGGGTATATAGATGAGTATAGCATCTCTACTCAATCTTTGCGGGAGCGAGAGGTGGGAGTTCAGTGCCAAACACCTTGTCCCAGAACCGGCTGGTGACACCGAATCCGTTCTCGTAGTCGGCAAAATGGTGTTGGAGGTGGTACTTCTTTAGTTCCTTGTAGTAGTATGGGAGACTAGCAGAGAGATGTCAGTATAAGTGTATCTGCCGTTAAGCACACAGGGCTAGAGTGATACATACTTTCGGTGATGTAAGAAGTAGTGAGTCAAGTCATAGCAGATATATCCAAACACACCACCAGAAAAGACCAAAGTGGCCGCATACCAGTTGTAAGAAAAAACGAAGTGCGCAAATTTCCAGTATGGTGTAGCTAGGACAACGAATAATGTAGGCGGCATGACGAGGCGGTATTTGTCCATGGGGAGATAGTGATGGATGCCATGGAGCAGAAAATGGAGACACAAAGCAACTCGGTTGTCCGGGAGGTAACTACAACAGGCTTTTTAGTCTGAGTGATACAGAAAGTGAAGGGAGCGGACAACTTACTCGTCTATATGGAAGAGACACCTGTGCATGCCATATTCAATCAAGGACCATAGCAAAAGGCCTCCGATCCAGTACAAGGCACCAATGCCAACTGCAATACCACTCATGCCCAGGAAAGTCCCATACGCAACGCATGGCAGCCACAGAGTTGGCACTACCCACCAGGCAGTCTTGCTGAGTGGTTCTAGAAAGTTTCCGAACAGGGGTGCAGAATCACCACCCATGTAATGCCGCGGCCGGTGGACTTGGTCAAGGTAAAATTTCTTGGAAAATCCGCCGTTCCATAGCTGCATCAATAAGGGTCTGCTAAGATCGAGGAACTTGTGCGTTTTATAGTCAGACGCAATGTCAGTTTCGACACTGAGATCTTCCTCACTGGAGAGGCCAGTAGACTTGTAGACTGGTTTTGTAAGTTTAGCGCCTGAGCCGTTCGGAAGACCCTTTGACCCGTTTGCCTGTGATTCCTCGAGGAAGCCAACGAGACATTCATCCAAGATCTCATATGCAGCTTCACTGTGGTGATGCGAGACGATGTCGCCCATGATCTCGTCCACGTCTTTGCCAGCATACTCAAGTATCAGATCTCCGCCACCGGGGTGGTCATCGACAAAGGAGGTGACATCGTAAACCTTCGAGCCACGAAGGACATAACAAGACTTCGCAGATGTATGCTGCTTGATCTCCTCTGCAGTGAAGATGGGTAATGTTCGGGCGGGCATCATGAAAATACCAAGTCGATATGGTCAACAAAGAGCGAAAAGTCAACCGATGGGAATGAAGAAGAGTGCCCGCAACACAAGATCGAGTTATATTATAATTAGACCGATTCCGGACGACCCGGAGGTTTGAAACCGTCCGTGATGGCCTGATTTCGTCTCAGGGGCCCAGTGTAGGTCGAAAGATTTCGGGTTAAATAATAATGCTCAGGCAGCGGGATTATGGTCAGGAGAGCAAACGTCACCGATTGATGCTGGTTCCCTTCCGCAACGGTCGCTCGTCCGGCCTCTTCTATCTCCTCGAATCGCTCGGTCTGCAGTCTGCTGTTCTCTTCTGCGCGTCTGGCCTCGTTCTTCTCGGGCTTCATGAGGTCCCTTTGATAATTTTTCCCCTTTGATGTTTCTTTTTTTTTTTCTTCCCAAAAGGGTTCGCTTAGTCATCATCCGCCCTCCATATGGAATTCAACGTCTGAACCAAACAACGACATCGAAGTCCACGATGGGAAGAATAACCAGGACAACAACGACACTATCATCGGCATCGATGAGAGAGAACGTGAGGTGAGAGAGCGGCAGGACGTTGATGGAGCCGATAAGATGGAAGCTCAGGGCTAGAGAGCGAGAGTGCAAGGCGTATTAGTGCAGTACATATGACGACTTTCTGAGAAGGGGGGCCAACGGCTCACAGGAACTGCACTCTCTCCTAACCGTACGAGAGAGAGAGCAGAAAGCCTGTCGAAGGAAGATCAAGGGTGGCAGCTCCAAAGGTCTTACACGATTGATCGCCTGTCGGGATTATACAGACAGTAGCGGTGTCTCCATAGCCCCAGATGGTACAGTATCGCTCTCCTTTTGCTGCCACAGTGCTCCTTGTTTCGTCTCCCTTGTCCCCTGGGGCTAACTATTTATCCAAGCTTTATGCGGTGTAATATGCAACGCTACGGTGGCTGTGCATCATCACTGATACAAACAAACAATAGGTAACCGGAAACAGTGCATGACTGGACGATTACAAATGGTGTCTGGTCATTTCCCTTTCATTATTCGCGGGCGACCGGCAGAGGGAAGGAAACTGTCGCTCCTCTTGCATATCGAAAAAGCGATGCATCCATCAACCCTGTGCAAGGAAGTATAAATTGAGATATTTTAAAATCGAGGTCAACATGAGCCAATCTGGTTCCCGATCTTCTTGTTCAACGGCGGTCAATCGGTTGATCTGGCCGGGATGACAACCGTTATATCAAAGCAAGAGGCTAATTGACTGGCCAGCCTGCGATTATTGAGTCCGCCTCTTTTTTTTTTTTCTTTTTAAACTCTGGTATACCAAGGAAGCCAGAGCACGGAAATTTTGTATAGGTGGTACGGGCTCGTCTAACCTAGCCAGTTCGGCCATCACCGCGATGGGTTGTCAGCGATGTTGGTATGGAGTAGGGAGTATGGCGGACGCGCACTCGTTAACTCATGACCTGAATTCGGCTTGTTTCTTCCTTATCCTCCAAACTGGAGCTAGGGGTAAGACTAGTCGACAATTGCAGACAGGCTTCGAGCCGTACGTTATGCTGTCAGTCTTCTTGACCATAACCGTTTCACCCAGACAAGGCCGGACTCCCGACATTTTCAACACCGCCCAAGCCTGGATACTCCGTATATATATCCCTTTCTCTTTTTGGGCAAAAACTGCATTTAGGCGGCTAGCTCTCAACTCATCCAAAGCAGGTAGCCTTCCGTATTTACATATCTGGACATCTGAAATGGAACCAAACACCATTCGCTCGCCTGCAACAGCAATCTGGGGCAAAGCAAGGGCCGTCAAGTCTTAGCACAACTATGATCTTCCCATAGCCTGTCCCATAGGGGCCAATAGTACTGAGATCAGAGCCCAAGCCAGGCATCCCTGGCCATCAACTCCCCTCTCTGCCAACCGCCAGCCCTCAGCGATCCAGATTCAAGGCATCCTTCATGGGGCCAATGGCGGATCGGCGTTAACCGAGTGTTTCCAGTCAGGAAAAAAAAAAAAAAAAAAAAAGCGAGTGAACAAAAGGAAACATTGTCAGATCAGCACGGAGATATAGCAGTGTATATATATATACAGAACAGTATAAATATGCATGCACTTGCCTTATTATCTTGGTATTGGAATACGGATAACATGCTCTGTGAGGAGTATATTTCAGCAATCGGGGCACCAGAGCGCAAGGCAAAGGCAAAAGAAAGAGATAGGGGATATAAAAAAAGAGGGAAACGTCGTGCTTGTCGAGGGCCTCTGAACTGCAGTATGCATGTGAACAGCACCCCCAACTGATGCTCCCTGCTCATGATCATTTCCTCCTGCATGTCGACTCCATTTAAAAGGGGGGGTGATCCTGCTTCTCCCAAACCTCAGCGGCTCCATTGGCTTGATTGTCTGTCTTCTCGCCATTGTCCTTTGCTTTTTCCTCTGGCCCGGTCGCCCAAATGATCTCATCGCTAGCATCAGCCTGTATGGCGTATGGAGTACCTCTAGGCGGGATGCATTTCCAACAAAGTAAGGTCATTACGACCACCATCGAAAGATGGTCACTACCTATGCATATTACTGCTAATATTACTGCTCTCGCAGCTAGCAACCGCATCTCCAGGACGGCTCAGCATCCCGAGTCTATGGGGCTAGTTATGTCCGTACGGAGTACGGAGTAGTACCTAAGGTGAGGGCCGACAAGCTGTGAGTGCCCACTCTTACTTGGTATAAGAAAGGGGATCCTCCCCGTCCCACCGCGCCGCTGGCGTATCTATACAACTCTTACATACTCCGTACTCCGTACGACTAACTTCTACATAAGAGAACCACACACCCTTGACCAACGCAGCCGGGGCGCGTTGCCTGATATGGCGAGCAGCACTTGATATACTGCAGTATCTTGCAGCATGTCCGACTATTTTTGGTCCTCCAAAGCCGGGCTCGGTGCCTAAAAAGGGACAGGCAGGAATAAAAAAGAAAAGGGAAAAAGAAACTTGAGGGAGGGAAAAAGAAAGGTGAGGTTCACGGTAAAAAGCAATGCAGGAAAAGAAAAGAAAAGAAGAAAGTATGGTCCACCTTGTTGAACCGGCCAGACAAACAGAGAGACGACAGGAAGACGGGGCGACTGGGCACATCTACATCCACACACTCTGCGACACACAGGAAGAGCGCAGAGAGTGCAGGACCATGTAAACGGCCGGCGTTGAAGGCGAGGGGGGTTGCTGCAGCGCCTTTTCCCTTCATAAGAAGCAAATATAACACGAAATATGAGCCTACGATAAGCTTGAAACAAAGGAGGTCGTGCAACCGCAGCCATTACCAAGGCCCCGGTAGGACATTTTGCGAGCTAAAAGGCATCGTCTGTCTGCCCAAATTACTCTCTCTTCTATCTCACTCTTCTTTTCCGTTTCCTTTTCTCCCTCCTCTCTCGCTTCTCCTTTCTCCATACGACTAAGACGGCTTCTTTACAGCTGCATCGCTGGATTCTTACTGGAACTCCGTCGCCAGTACACATAGTCGACTACGGAGTACCCCAGAGAGAAGGAAAAGGGATCTTTCTCACCCCTAGCCGGGCCCCTTACTATATTTATTGCTACGGAAATTTTATTCGCCGCTCATCCAGACATCGACCCATCTGTCGTATTACCTACTAGCTTTTACAAGCGGCGACTTCGATCTGGGATCAACTTGAGCCACTGGCTTGTTTCTCTTCTTTGAACTTTGCTCCTCCTGGTGGGCAGGTGTGAACTAGCTGGGATCCCTACTGCATACGCATCTTAACACTGTGTTATATCGCCGCCTCAACGAAGTTCTCCAGCAGATCCCCCAGGGTGTTGAGAAGGAGGAAGGGGGAAAAAAAGCCAACCAAACAAGTTCACCTACCGAACAGAACCAGACGAAAACAACCAGAATATATTGAAAGCCATATTTGAATGTTCTATCGACGGTTTATAGAGGAAGAAGGAGACGTCCTCCACGGCGGTGGCCCCGATATTCCAGACATGCCCGCCATGGACCCTGCCGCCAGCTCTTCGTCGAGGGCGTGTCCGAAGACAAACACACTCACAACCTATCTCCGGTTATTACGGCAATGCAAGCCAACTCTTCCCTATGGCGAGCTCGTTTGCGTCTCTGCGTCCCCGAACATCAGCACGATGAGTTCACTGCTACGCCTCGCTCGAACCGTTGGGCCTTATATCGGTGTGTTGCAGGTCCACGCCGATATCATTGACGACTGGTCGCTGGAAGGCGTACGCAAACTCGCCCGTCTTGCAAAGAAACATGCATTTATTATCTGGGAAGGTGGACGGGTATTGAACACTCATCAGCGGCTGAGCAACCGATTTCTCACCCCCGACGAGGTGTCGCGAGATATAGATATGTCAAGGAAACGGTACACAAAGGGTGTTGTGAGCGTCGCTGCATGGGCCGGATTAGCGAGCACATGGATGATTGATTCACCTCAGCAAGGTAACGGGGCTGATCGATTGATCCCAACCCTTCGCCGCGCGGCAAAAGAGACCGTCGCCTTTATGACGAAGTCTGTTCGTACAGAGATTAGCAGCAGCGGTGGAAGCGTGCCTTCGAACGAAGCCACGGATGATAGGGATGAGAATGAGCATGAGTATACCATGGAACTCGACGAGGCTCTCCGAGTTTCTGCCAATGATGGGCTATCTGTCTCGCAGTCTCCACGAAAAGCATCGGTTATATCACTCACACAAACCATCACCCAGAGCACAGAGCCTTCCACTGCTTCTGCCACCGAAGTCGATGATCATCCCTTGTCAGAAGCAGAGGATGAGCTAGCGGAAGAGGACGAGCGAGTTGCGCCTGCTGCGTCTCTGCCGGAACCCCCTCTTCTCTCACGTGGTCTCATCATCTCTACTCCTCGGGACGACGATGAACGATTCACACTTGAATACCGGGTAGCAGCATTCGAAAGCGCCAAAGCCAACGCAGACTTCGTCGTGGGCTTCTTCACCGATGAACCATGGATAGAAATCTGTACCCGCTCGCTCTGTTCCGAGGCTGCAGCTGAGCTGTCGGCAACAATTGCTGCACGCACAAGAAACCCAGATGAGGACAATGAACACCCTTTCAAGGAAGAAGGCGAGTCCACAGTCGATGAAGAACGACGAACGTTCGTGATGTTCAACCCCCTGGAAACCGACCACCTTACACGTTTCACAAGGGAAAACGATAACGGCTTTGGCCAGTCTTCTACCACTCCTGCCCCCGCTACAAACGGTGCCCCCCTTCAGAGCCCTCGTCTAGATATAAACACAGCTACCATGAACAACTCTCGCTCTAGACGAGAATCACAACAGATCTCGGGGCTGCAGCAGTTAATTGCTAGTGCCGTTGCAATGAGGAATTCACGAGTAAGCCCTGAGGAAGGACTTTCACCCGGTATTCAGGCACGATATGGTGGATTCGACATGATGTTCGTTCCGGTTATCACTATGAACGTATGAGCGGTTTTTTTACCTCTTTCCCTCTTTCTTTCTGTCCGTTTTTAGCATTTAATTTTAGCCACATTGAAATATCTTATGTGTGTTGGTTCGAGCATTCATCCTTCAGGTGCCCCTTTACCTCATATTATTTCTCCGTTCTTTTTTGGGTCTGGTTCACTTCTATCTGCGTTACATCCTCATTCTATCAGCAAATGCCTTATAGCTCTGCTGCGTCCATATTAGCATGCTAAACAAAGCACAGGTACCGGTGCATTTGATTTTAGTTAGCCGTGTATTCTCCTTAATATTGTGTCTCGTTATTCGTCTGTCTCTTCCTCTCCATCCGCCACTCCAAACTGCGGAATTAGCATCCATTATCCATTAGTATACTATTGTTGTCCGAACCCTTATATGATACGTTAATACGCCATGTTACGGAGTACAGGGTATGCAATAGTAGAAAGGGTACCATTGGCAACCCAGCTGTGTATTCACGGGAAGATATCTAACATGTATTATTAACAGTGAACTGAGATTTCGACATGCCAGTCAATAATATCATTTTTGAGCAGTCATTTTTGGCATGCTGAATACCACTGCTCACCATAATTAAAACACATCTTAAACACAGGGTATCGATCTGAGAGGCCGAAAGGCGAGACTTTCCGCACGGAACAAAAAGCCAAGCTCATCTTACTGTTAGTCGTTGCATATCACTGCAGCACTCCAGGGGCTCCGACTCCATTGGGCCCTGGCGTTTTAATCTCGCCCAGCCCATACCAGACGATGGTCGCTATGCCCAACGCTGCAGCGATAGTGCTGAACACCAACGCTACGATACCCTTGGGGGTAAACCCAGCAGGTAGTGGCGGGGCTGGCGGTCCGTTCATATTAGATACATCCAAGAAATCGGTTGTGTTACCTCCCGCGTTACCACGGTATGGGGTCTGCGTCGACTGGCAGATATCGATGTGACCCGCGGGTATAGCCCCTATCCCGGCCTTTCGTTGGTCTTGAAGGGCCAGCGGTGCTTCCACTATTGTAGCTACCAGCCCGCTATCCATATGCCACTCGATATGGCAATGGAACAGCCAAGCCCCGGGATTGTCGGCACGGAATCTCAGTACTATGTTGCCATTGGGATTAGCAAGGATTGTATCCCGTCTCATGGGTACTCGGGGTAAGTCGGTCATTTGTTCCGCGGTGTACGGTCCTTTTTCTTCTTCGGAGCGGTGGACCAACTGGAAGTTATGTCCGTGGAGATGGAACGGATGCTTCCCCGGATCATTGTTGTTAAGAATGATCTCGACCACCTCATTGTGCTCTAGAACGAAGGGGTTCGTATTTTCACCATATATGACTGGGTTCATCGCCACGTCCCTCGGAGCATCAAGAGCAGTATATAATGTCGGCACCTTTGGGCTAACGTACGTGATGTTGTTGAACCAAGCACTATCGAAGCCGTGTTAATGCATGCCGAAGCTTCTACAAAGTAAGAGATGCTACAATAAACTTACTAGTTAGCTCCATCCCCCAAATTATCCATCTTCAGGTCAAGGGTGATGCTGTGATCAACATGATCAAACAGTTCTATTGAGTCACTAGGCTTCAGAATGAAATCATCCAGAGGTTCGAATTCATCGATAGTTTTAGGCTCTGGAAGTGGCTTTTTATCGTCGTACACGAGCCATGAAGTCACGTTTGGATTCAGGTCAGGAGGAATCTTGTCAAAGAGGTCCTATATATATACCGTTAACTAGCCGTTTCACTAAAGGAAGGGGAGAAATAACTATCCGGAAATACTCACAGTATCCATGCTACCGACTATGGCAAAATTTTCTGTTGTCTCGCTCTTTGTGGTCACAAGAACTCCATATCTCTGGGCAGCAGTAAGATAGAGCATGTCCGTTTCATGTTCCTCAGTCCAAACTCCGTCAACCTCAATAACACGCATCGAATGACCCTCAATCCACAGATAATGCGCAGCCAGCGCCGCCACATTGATGGTCCGGATGAAATATGTCGTATTTGGCTTCACGGCAATAGTCAAGTTTTGCGTATCAGCCATCAACGCGGACTGAGGCACTGGCTCGGCACCTGTGGGATTGGCAAAACTGATAAAATGCTTGATTAACGTTGGCATTTGCTCGTGGTACCAGTCCGAAAGGGTGAGAACAATCTCTTCATCCCATTTTCCAGCATGCGGAGACTCTGGATCATCAATTATCAGGGGGCCTCGCAACCCATCTGGATATTGCCCATGACCATGGGAATGGTACCAATATGTACCTGGCTGCTCCGTCTGTATCCAGGGTTAGAGTAGGGCCCAACTAAGTAGGGAGAGAAGGGCATACCGTGAAATTATAGGTGAAGGAGCCGCCGGGGGGTATCCTGCATTGATTAACGCCTACGGCGCCATCCATTTCCCCAGTCCCGTTCATGAACAACCCGTGGAAATGAAGGGAAGTGGACTGGTTCCCCAGCTGGTTGTTGGCATTAATAATAACCCGATCACCAACCTTGGATCTGATTTCTGGAAGGGGCCATCGCCCATTGATTCCAATTGTTGGCCGGTCACATTGGCCATCTGGATTTGCTGACACCCAGGTAATATTAAAGTCATATGTGATTGTGGCAGCATGTGCAAAGCATGAAAGCAGCGAAGCACATAGGCTGAGGTAGTACCACGCTAAAGGGGCCATAGTATGATCGACAGCGTACTCCTTTGGCAAGATGAGGTTTGATGGTATCTAGAGCATGCCTTTGGGAGCTGGTTTAGTGGGCGATCTGACGTAGAAAAGGTATGCCAGGCGGGACAGGATGAATACGGGGGGTCGAGGTAATAAAACATAAACCTCCCTGAAGAGTAGGGTATTTCCAGGATAAAAACGAATGTGTGATGGCAAGGTGACCACGGAAAAAAAAGAAAGAAAGAAAGAAAGAAAGAAATTATACAATCGAAATAGATCTGATAAGATGGAAGGGCACCTTGTTAACTAATCTTATCAATCGCCGAGGTGGGTGCCACAACGACCTTTCTCGGAAATGCCTCCTCCTGTCGACAGCCTACCTTGGGTAGTTGTCGTGTAAATATAGCAAATCCGAACGGCACAGCTGGCTGTCGGCTAGCGATATGAGGCGGATGCAACTTTCCTAGCTGATCGGCGAGCCTTCCATTGGTTTGGTGTCTGGCCTGGCTGAGGGTGCCGCATTCCGTCCAGCTGCATCATGCCACAATTTAAGTTCTCGCTTCAGCGCAAAACTTTGCTCGAAAAGGGGGTCGTTTTTATTAGGCCTTTGTCTTCAGATTTCAGATTTCAGAGTGGTAGAAGACAAAAGAGTAACTGGAACCCGTCAGTCCCCTTGGACCGACGTTGACCCCACTCCCAGCAGCAAACCAGAACGTCCTTATCGTAGGAGTAGTTATATCACTGTTCCCTGGAAACAGGGGGGCTGGCACTGAGTGTGGGCCGGGGAAACCCAGCTGAGGCTTGATAAAGCTTCTCGCCAGGCCGGCGTCTCGTGCTCTTCCGGGCTAGGATGGCAAAGGTGAATGCGTTTGCCTGTCCACCATTTGATGAAGCGCATGGAAGTCCACTGAAAGCAACATATAAATACTCAGTAGCAAAGCTGGCAGCGAAGGGCGTCAAAATGCGATACGGTACTCTGTATTAAGCGTGGCACTACTCCGTAGTTAGTATGTCTAGCTTCCTGGATGGACAGCTCCTCCATGGACAGACGGCTCTACATTAGGGACGCCCCGCAGATAGACTTCTGTGACACTAAAACTTACCTTGTTAGCCGGGCTTTCCCTGGTTTGGAAAATACAGAAATTCTCTGCTGCTTGCCGTTTTGTCCCGAGATCGCAAACTAAAAAAGTGTTGGCCATCAGATAGCTAGCCATCGCTTAAACTTTCTTTATCTGATCCGCTGGCGCCCAAAATGGGAGCCAGAACGAAAGATCCGGTTGTCTTATCTGATGGAGCCGCTGCCCTATCTCCGGCCTTCATCTTCCTGCGTCGTATATGAAGAGGGGGGAGAGGCTCTTTTTAAGTCCAGGTCAACGAGCCATCCGCCGGTACTCCGTATAACTTCACACTCTGGTGTCTGCGAGGGTTTGGCTGCACAATCGAGTCGCAATGGTGAACGTATTTTATGTTCCAGGTATGCCTCCCTCTAATTTCCTGCGTCCAGGTCCCCGTCTTATTACCAGCTAACGAGCTGTTTGGGAACAGTGTTCTTCATCGTGTTTCGAGAGACACTGGAAACAAGCATTATTGTTTCCATTTTGCTCTCCTTTCTCAAGAACCAGCTTGGCCCTCAATACGATGTCCAAGTCTACAAAAAGCTGAGGAAGCAAGTCAGTGTCAATACTCGAAATGTGCCATGTAACACGAGTAACTCATATATACCCCCTGATTCTAGGTCTGGCTAGGGACTCTCTTGGGCCTAGTAATCTGCATTATCATCGGATGCGCTCTGATCGGCGTATTCTACTCCCTAGGCAAGAATGAATGGGAAAAGGCAGAAGTCCTCTGGGAAGGTATTTTTGCCTTGATTGCGTCTATAATCATCACTTTGATGGGGGCCGCCTTGCTTCGCGTTTCAAAGCTCCAGGCAAAGTGGCGCGTCAAGTTAGCAAAAGCTTTGGAATCCAAGGAAGATGATAGTCGACGGAAAACACTCTGGGGAAGGTTCAAGATGTGGTGCGAAAAATACGCCATGTTCATGTTGCCTTTCATCACTGTGCTGCGTGAAGGCCTAGAAGCGGTGATATTCATCGGAGGTGTCAGTTTGGGCGCTACAGCGTCCGCAATCCCAATACCCACCGTTGCCGGACTGATTGCAGGTGCTGCGGTTGGATACATGATCTACAAGTACGTTTGTGAGATGGCCCGTTGCCTCCGAATTGAACTTGTGTGCGCTAACTTATTCTTTCAGAGGAGGAAACTTTGTGCCTATCCAGGTATTCCTCATTGTGTCGACCTGTTTTTTGTACCTAGTTGCAGGAGGACTGTTCTCTCGAAGTGTGGGATTCTTCGAACAGTATAAGGTGAGACGCTAATGCAGACCCATCTCCTAGGACCTCAGTAGCGAATGCTAACTCAACCAGTGGAATATGGTAGTAGGAGGCGATGCGGCCGAAACAGGAGTAGGTGCCGGGTCGTACGACATTCGATCCAGCGTTTGGCATGTTAATGTATGTTCACAACTCCTCCAAGACAAGGTTCCTTCGATATTGGCATTGACAACTAATTTGGGTATCTGATCTGTAGTGCTGCAGCCCCCAGTTGAACGGGGGTGGTGGCTGGGGTATCTTCAATGCTCTACTCGGATGGACAAATTCTGCATCCTTAGGTACAGTATTGTCGTATAACTTCTACTGGATTGCAGTTATCATTGGATTCCTTTCCATGATCTATTATGAGAAGAGAGGCAGGTGGCCGTTTCAGAAAGGCAGCGCGAAGCGCGACCTCTCTATCTCCGACAACTCGAGCATCGAGCATCAGCATCCTCCTGTAGGGAAGAGCCCGTAAATCTTTCTGCAGGATGTCAAAGCTGTCTGATTAAAAAAGAGCTGGAAGCAATGAGATGGTTATTGTTGGATGTTTCCGCTGATGTTTTGGCATTATTCTTTCCGGTGCCTTCTAGTCGTCATTCAATCTTGTTGATCTGATAAGATTAAAACAAAGTTCATTAGTAAGCAGTATTCAACCTTATTTTGCTTCTTCTTTCTCTTCTCTTGTCGTAAGGGAAGAAACAGGCAAAAGGACAAAGCAAGAGTAAGGAAAAGGGGAGACAATATACCAAATTTCAATGCTGCTCCTTATTAGCCTATCACGGTTTATATGCAACTTTTCCTATACCTAATATACCCGTTGTAATACACTTAAAGCTTTCTCCACATTGTTATCCCATTCCTGCTTTTATGACATTTCCGGGCCTTCTTGTCATCAAAGATCTAACTCTGCTTAGGAGTCTAGAATCTAACTATATATACAGGTGATGAAGCCTATGATTGTGGACTGCCCATAATGATTGACGAAGCTTTCCCACCTTTACCATCTCCTGCTGCGACAGCTCGAGAAACGGACAGAGCCGGTACCATGTTTGTCCCGCTGGTTGACGTTCCTGCCGCTGCAGCACCACCAGTCATTACTATCCATAAGGACGGAGATCTGGTTATTATCTGTGAAACTGCGCCTCATAATTCATTACCTGAGAAAACAAGGCATATGTTTCGACTCTCTAGCCTGGAAATCATGAGAGCTAGCCAATATTTCAAGGCCCTGCTAGACCCAACCAAATTCCAGGAAGGCCGATCGCTTCTACAGAGCCATGAACAAATGGAGACCCAATACGGTTCAAGAGAGTTGGCTTTAAAGAACATGAAAGTAGGCGAGCTGCTCCATATCAAAATCGAGCTCCCCCCACTGTCGACCAAAATCAACCTACGGGAGACTTTGGCATTGTATTTTGAACTCCTATGCTTCCACCTGCCGTTCACCCCAGACCCCAATGGGCTCAAGGAGTTCACCGTTAACACTATTTCTACACTGGCTAGTGTGCTCGTTCTTTCGGATAGGTTTCTCTCAAATGATACCATAAGATGTGCTTTCGGGTTAGTTTTACGAGGACAAGAGGGACCATTCAGCTATTCAAGAATAATAGCCAGACTACAGCGTTGTGAAGGTGGAGATGAAGAATGCATTAGACAGGGAATCTTCTCAGCACATTTTCTTAACGAGCTATTAGCCTTCTCCAGACTGACGCAGTCGCTAATTCTTCACGGTTCCGTGAACTGGATGGCAGAAAAGCCTGGTGGCACGTCTGGACTTGACAAACCACTATGGTGGCACTTACCAGGAGGCATAGAAGGTAAGGCATATCGACACCACCCTTTTTTCTTTCCTTTATCTGCTGATAGTGGCTAATACGTTCATTCTTAGAAGAACTCCAATTTCGGCATGACACTATAATCGACACCATAAGTGAGATACAGAATCATTTTCTTGCCGCCTATGGAGCAGTTAATCCATATCAGGCACTACAATATTCTTCTCTCCTTGATCAGCCGAAGAGACAATTACAGTGCCGCCGTGCGTTGGAAAACTCTGAAGCATGCGATTCTTTCCAATTGGGTGAGATGATCCGTTATTTTACCAGCCAGTCCAAAACACTCTTCCTGGAATCCGGATTATACTCGGAGTCAGACCTAGGAAACCGTGAAGGTGCACATGAAGACTCCCGGGATTCACACTTTGCCCGGGAATACGGGAAGAGGAACCCAGATAATTCCACTGGTAAAAACCAAGCAGCAATGGACGCAGCCGAAATGGCTAACATTAATACCATACTTTCCTACCTGAGGCGCTACCCGGAGCGTCAGATGGATTCTTACCACATAGGATGTGGACTTCGCCGCCGGCTTCTTCCTCTTCTGGATTATATCAGTAAATTATGTAGCATGGGCAAATCATCCAAGACACCACGCTTTGGGCAAATTGGCCTATGCAAAAACAACCACCTTTTTGGTAATGGTGGCCCCGATTCATGGAGTAACAATCAGTTCCGGGAAAGGACGTCTGTTTTTGCAAGCGCTCACTCACCAGTTTCCGTTGAATATCACGGTCTAGACGTATCAGTTGCCTTTAGAAAGCGCTTTAACTCTCGACCGACCGTTCGGTGCAACTGTGAACGGTTCACAATGGAGGCAAGGGGATTCTTTACATCCAAGAATCGGCGCTGGGAATGCTAGATTGGAAACATCGTGGCTACTCTTGGTGTAACCTCCTATAGACTAAATACACAAGTCTTGCAGTACTCTTTGCCGTGTTGTTCAACTGCAAATGTTTGACAAGACCTGACCTGTATCTTTTTTTCTAGGATGATAATGTAAAAGACATAAATAATTGTGCATATCAGATAACATCACTCCAAGCTACTCAAGCAAATGTACGTAACAAGCTCGATAGTAGAATGGAAGGTGCGTGGGAATGGGGGCATTTTATAGTAAACCAGAACACTCAACCAAATCTCATTCACTCAATGGTATAGCCGTCGGCAACGCACTTGACATCCTGAGTGAAACCCACTGATTCGCCCTCCATATCTAATAACGATACAGAAAGAACGTCTACATCTGCAAATGGCGTTGACTTGGTAAACCGGACATTCATAGGGAAGAACTCGTTCTCGTCACTCTCGGGATCAGACGATTCGAACTCAAAACTGCCAGAAGAATTAGATGTATCGACGTATCCAATGTTCCAGTCCAGGGTGTCGCCTGTTACTTCGTAATTGGAGTCAAAGCTGGTGATAGTTGGCTCTACTGTCTGGAACGGAATGGTGATGGCGACATCTCGCAAGCTATCCGAGCCAGTGAGCTCGTACTCCACTGTAACAGTAGTCGAATCAGAACCCTTATTAACCCACACGGTGAAAGTGATGGGTAGTAGGTCCGTCTCTCCGCTGCTTGCAATACGCCACCGAAGTACACCGATTGCGTTGTTCGCCGGGAACCTCTTAGACGTGTCTTTTAGCTGAATAACCTTTTGGTTTGAGAAGAGTGCTTTATCAACATTTGGGTGAGTGCGGTACTGGGCGCCGTGCGTTGCATTTGCAGTCAAGTCAAGTTTGGCCTTGGTGAAAGAAGTATCAGAAATGCGCAATTGAAGGTCACCCTTGACCTCAAATGATTTCAAGGCGCCATCTCGAGATAGTTTGGCGGACATGGTCTCGGCAACGGTTATGTGGATTGGATCACGCTCTGCGGATAACGATGCTCTTGCGGACGGAGCTTCTGCCGCAGCAGCAGCGGGGCTCGGTGCAACGAGGGGTGCGTCCTCAGCTTCAGGTCCAAGTTCACCTCGTACTTTCTCGTAGATATCAGTGGTCTTAGACTTCTTTCCGAGTTGCATTCCTTTGCCTCTAGTGACAAGGGGCCTATTGACAGGTAACATTAGTGTTAATTGTATGTATCATTCTGCATTACAAGGCGGAAGGGAGATCGTACTTGGAGAATGTCTTCTTTTTCTCGGCTTCGTATGAGTCCATTGCATCCGGGACGCTCGATCGGACAGGCGGGGTGTATGTAGGGTAGGATGGAGTTCGCGGAGTCATAGCTCTCCCGCTTCGGGCAGCTTCCTTGCGCTGCATCTCGAGTTGTTTCGCCTTGCGTTTTCGTTCCTCAGTTGCCTCCAATTCTTTGTTCTATGCTACTTATTAGCAACAAGTTCTTATCTTGAATGAAATAATATCTGCCTTACCCTGTCAATTATTTCCTGGACTCGTTCCTCATGACTCTCCATCTCGAGGAAAGTTTTAATCTGTGACAAAGACAGGTTCTCTCGGTATCCTAGAGTAACAATCTCGTCAAACGCACTCAGAAGCTCAAACGCGCTGCGGACGATCTCCCTCTCATCCAAGCTCTTGCAAATGCTAGACACGACCTGGGCAAATATATGTAGACTGTCGATATCCTGAAGGATGTTGGACTGGCGATTGGTGATGAGGACGATGTACAGCTCGTCGAGAGGCTGATAAACAAATCGGACATTATCCTGCTCAACGATCGTGTGCTGTGTGCCCGAATCTGCCAGCTTAGGGAACGAGGCCAGCAATGCCTCTATTCTCGTACGCGGCATCTCTCGAAACTGCCGTGAGAGGACGGCCTTGCCTCCCCTCGTACATATCGAAGCCGCTAGGACAACCTAGGATGCTGTGTCAGTACTTGCGTAGTGGGTATGAGGGGACGACGGATATAGGAGCCGAATCGCCTACCATTGCGTCTACCAGTCACACCCAGGAGTAATTTCTATTAGAGGCCAAGCTATTCCTTGGGCAAAGTCGCCGTTAACTTCACGAGGTTACTCCTTGTGGATGCCGTCGTTCTGGTTGTGGTTGTTGTCTTCGGCTTCGTCTGTCTTGATGCGATGCTCAAACTTGTCCTTTAGAGAGGATGATGTGGCCCGTGCACGGCGTCGCTTATTGTGGCAAAAGGGGAAATTATATTCTTCAGCTTTTTTTTTTCGTAACATCAAACAACAGGCTGACGACGACTTGATATCCCCGACAGAGACGACAGTCGCGATATATTCATCGTTACTTGTTCTTTACAGTTAATTTTTTGATGGTAAAAATATACGATATTTCTGGATACTGTGTTTCAAGCCTCTGCGATGGTGTAAAGTACTGTGGTTTAAGCTGTTTCATGAGATAGAGACAACACGATTGACTCGCACATTCTCGCGATGGAGGCGATTATACTCGACGAAAATATGGAACTGGCTCCTGATACTGCCAGATACTTTGATCCCCACGATGATATCGAGATAGACCTGGATGAGGTGGGCGCTCCGAACCACGACAACGACGTGATTGTTGACGATGCGTCCATGGCTGGGTCAGATCAGGCAGAGATCATGGGAGGGACACACGAACCCGTGAAGGACGCAGACATGGTGGACGATAGCCACGGAGCTCAACACGTCGAAGATAGTCACAAACAAGCCGAAGAGGATTATCAGTTTGTCGACGATGCACTAGATATCGACAATCAGTCCTACGAGATGGAGGATGATTATGAGGAGGATATAGATGCCCCGATCCCAGGCACGGGCGTGATGGAACCTGATTTGCCCGGTAACGGTGTCCCTTCGGCTGAAATGGCAGAAGACGGTTATAATGGGCTGGAGGATGAGCCCACAGGGCCGGTTGAACCAAGTGTTCACCCCGAAGTGACTGAACAGAATGTGTCCTCAGTGCCCAAGGAAGGGAGTGAAAATTCCGGTATACTTCCAGCAGAGGAGCAGGAACAGGTCCACGAGGTAAACCTTGGTGCCGGTGAACCGGACCAGGTTAACATTACTTCCGATGAGCAGCCCCAAAATGCGGAACATCTCGAGGCTGAAGAGCCAGTCTCTGGGGTAAAGTCTCCAGTTAAAGAAATAACTCCGGGGACTCTGGATGAGGGCAACAACCGCGTAACAGAGGAGGCCCCTGTTCCAAGAAAGAGTGAAACTGGCACCCAAGAAAGCGAGGCTTCTATATTACACAACGTTCAAGTCTTGTATCAAGATAGCGAAATCTCCCTATTCCCTCCCAAAGAAGATGACCTATCAGAAACATATTTCCTCGAGGATGAAGCTTTGGCAGATGAGCCTATTGGAGATTTGCTTAACGCCTGTCGGGTAGTCTTGGGAGACCATATGGGAACGGAAGAAGAGCTCTACATGGAGATAGAGTGCCTTGGGCTCCATCTAACAGAGGTACGGAATACTGCCAAGAATAATATGTATTTGGTAAAATACTAATACTCTTTTTAGGCTGTCCATCCCCCCATATCATTGTCACAGATAGTTCAAGTATACCTTGACCTTTGCCGGAATGATGGAGATACTAACCCTGGCCCTCTTTACATAACTCTTGCTACGCAACCGTCCTTTACGCAGAACTTCAATACTCTTTCGGAAGCAGCTCAGTCTGGCAAAGGGCTCTCATATGTTGGTAAATGGGACGAGTACGAGGATCAAATAATCTTTGAAGAGCATGAGAACACAGAAAGTCAGAACGCAGAAGAACCAGAAACCACAGAGAATGGCGAAAAAGACGAAGAAGCTGAAGCCTCAGCACATGAACCATCAACTCCCCAGAGCCGCCCAGAAGTCAACCATGAGGAGGACAACAAAGAGGGGACTTATGTCAATGAAGGTATTGAAATTAATGCAAATGAAACAGAATATCAGGAAGCCCAACCGGTCCCTGCTGAAGCTACTGGAGAAGCCGAGGTCTCTGATGCCGAAGCCAATCAGACAGAGGAAGAAGATGTTATCCATGAATCCTTTCCTCCCGATGATGGCGCCCAACAGGAGGTGACAAGGCAGAACTTACCTGTTGAACAAGTCGAAGAACCAAGCTTTGAAAACGAGCAAGAAAACGCTCAATCCCCAATTCCCAACAATGAAGGTGGAGAACCTTCAGTACCTCATATTTCTCAAGATACTAACACTGAGCCCGCCCATGAAAGTGTCACAGATGCCCACGAGGATTTCATTGAGATCGACCTAGAAGCATTTGATGAAGAATCACATAAAGATGATGACCATGTGGATGGTGGCTCTAGCCATCGTTCCCATGAACAGGCTGCCGAACCTAGCACTCCAGAACCAAGTTATAACCCACTCGAGGTTGATGAAGATATTTTCAAAAGTCCCACTGCTGCTGAAGTGGAGTTACCTAATGAATCTTGCGAAGATCACAAAACTGATCGGTTAGACGAGGTTGCCTATCCAACTGAAACATATGATGAGAACCAGATAGAAACTATTCTACCTGAAGGCCGGAACGACGATGAAGACACAACTTCTGCGATTCCTGTAGAAGAAGGCCAAGCCCAGGACTTTAACGCAATAGAAGTTGTAGACTCTTCAACTGGAGAGACTCTATCGAAGCCCAACGCCGAGTCTAAGGAGCCAGAGGTGAACGTTGAAGGTGTCACATTTCCTGGCTCGGCAGAGTTGGAAGCTGACTGGCACCACGACGCTCCCGAGAACCGAGATCTGGTTGACCCTGAAGAGGAACCCTACCAGACAGAGTTGCTGGATGGAGAATACCTGGAAGCCCACAATGAGGCAGAAAATACAGAAATGGCAGCGTCAAAGCCAGAGCCTGAATCCAACGGAACAGCTCAAAACGGCACAGATTTGCAGGAGCAGAGTCCAAAGGCTGGCAAGAGGCCTCGTGTGGATGATGAGCCTACCAGCATGCCAAACACAGTACCAGTGATAAAGAAACCTCGCTCCGAATGAGGCGGTCACCCTATTTTGCCTGGTCTAGCTATTATTTTTACCTCTCGTCTTATCAACCCCTGCGGTCAACGATGTAGACTTCCTTAACTAACCTTGTACGGTCACACATCCGCCTAGCATGGCGGTACTAACGCATACAGGGCCAGCAAACCTCAACTACCATCGAGTCAATTTTATCTGGATGGCAACAACGCTTAAGGTACGTAATTTTCCCAGATACTAACTATAGCCTCCCCTGTTTTACACGCAGGGCATTCTCAAGTGTCGTACTGGGCAACTGGGATGTCCCAAATGGCTGGATGCTACCTTTACAGACCGACCATCACCTGCCTACATTGCCATCGTCATCTTAATGCTGGATGTTGGCCCAAGGAAGAGTATCCGGAACAAAGAGCTCGATACCGCCTGGTACCTTTTGTTGGGGATAGTTCTCGCTCATGCTGGCATGGCCCTTGGTATATATCCATCTGCCTCCTGGCTTACTGACCTGGTAACCGTTGATTTCATCTACACCTAGCCCCAATGGTCCTTTTCCCCTTGCGGCTTCTTTTTTGCCTTCTTTCTTTCTCAGCCCTATGCCTTGTCTTTTTATATCCTCGCACTGACCTTACTTGTGGCTTGAAAATGGCGTTCTGCACGGATGGGAAAGGGGGTTTATCATACCTTAAATCTTTGGAAGCTTTCTCTTCTTTTCTTCTTCCTTTTCTCTGCCGGCCATCTGGAACTAGATCTTCCTGTCCTCCTCATGCTCGTCGCTTTCCCCGTCCCCCTCTTGCGTTCTTCCTGCTGGTCTCTGTATGATAGCTGTCTGGTTTACTATTTAATTATATTCATCATTTTTTATTCCACTTCCCACCTGCCATTGCCCTGCGGATTTATCAGGCCCCCCACCCCTTGCCGTATATCTCACAATCTTAATCATATAGATATATTAATTATGTACGGAGTACTTACTACTACCCGCCCCCAACCATCCTGGTGCGTGTCTCATCTCCGATCTCTTTACCCCTGAAACATCCCCCGATGTGCCCATGATATTGAGCCTCCAGCGACCTTTACTTCCGCACAACTCCCGGCACCTGTGCTCAGCAGGGCTCTCCTCGCCTCCTACCAGGCCCTCCTCCCCTGCTCCCTGCCACCTCGAGCTGCCGCCGTCTTCCTTTCTTTCGCCGTGCCTGACGATCACAGGCCTTTGGGGGGAGGAACGCGCAAAGTAGACCTGCTTAGCTAAGCAGCTCACCTGCTTCCCATGAAACAACCAAAAAGAAACCAACGAGACCAAAAAGCTGGCCTGAAGTTCAACCTCAACCGCAAGCCTTCGCCTCTCTTCGCACCTGGAAAGGAACCCGGAGTTCGCTCGAGCAGGCCGAACAGTCAAGACCGTCGCCGCGTCTCCTCGCCTGGCGCCGTCCTTCTTCGCTCTCTGCCCGTCATCCGCTGCCTTTCTATGGCCATCCTCCACCTCGGTCTCCACGGACCACGACTTACGATCTCGCTGCACTACGATCGGATCTGACCTGCTAGAGAGCTGCCCGAACCGTCTCTGCGACGTGTCTGCTCGTCTGTTCGCTTGCTCTGCTTTGGCTTGACTAGTTAGCTTGCCTGCTTTCCTTTCCTACCTTGCGTCGCTCGTTTACCTTTTTTTTTTTTATTGCCGCCACGCTGGTCCTGTCCCCGTCGACTCGCCACGGGATAAACGCAAAAGCCTCCCCTGTACCTGCGCCCGAAAGTTGCTGGCCCGATTTTCGACCTGGAGGAGGGATAATATTAATATTGACGGGGTGATTGCGCTACTTTGACGGTGCGGTTGAACGACCACCTGGCTATTGCGCAGTACCGTGACGAGGAGACGGGATTACTGTTGAATAGAAGATAATATACCGGCAACATGGTTTCGGACAAGTATGGCGAGCACTTACAGACTGATGGAGAGGCTGTGGAGTGGGGAGAAGCGTTGTGCTAATGGTTGGCATTAGGTATATCGGGCTATGTCTCGCCATCGTGTCGACAATGGCCATTGGTGAGCCGCAGCCAAATACATCCTCTTTGCAATGTTGATCTAGTTCTAACTGTATTCTTTGGATAGGCACAAGTTTTGTTATTACTAAAAAGGTCGGTGTTAATAAAACGACCTCCTGTCATTTGTTCCCAGTGCTTACTATAGCATTCAGGGTTTAATACAAGCATCGGAACGACATGGCTTCGAAGGAGATGGATTCTCATACTTGAAGAGTCCCCTGTGGTGGGGAGGAATAGTTACATGTTCGTCCTCCTGTTTATGCCTCTATTTATACGCCAGAGTCTGTACTGAATTTAGCCCTTGCAGTGGTTCTCGGAGAGGTTGCGAATTTCGCAGCATATGCCTTCGCTCCCGCGATCTTAGTGACTCCTCTCGGCGCTCTTAGTGTTCTAATAGGGTCAGTTATCTCGACATTACCTCTATGTGTATACTTATCCCACCGGCTAACATTCGAGCTAGGGCTGTTCTGGGAGCATACTTCCTAAATGAGCGGCTTGGGGTCCTAGGAAAGCTTGGGTGTGCCCTTTCACTCCTCGGCTCAGTTATCATTGTCCTTCATGCGCCTCCGGACCAAGAAATCGGAACTATAGATGAGATTTTGCATTATGCGCTTCAGCCAGGTATCTTGAACTACTGACTAGTGCCGCCAGGTTTGCGCAATGCTGACTCTGGCCAATTGTAGGATTCCTTCTCTACTGTACTTTTGTCGCGATTTTCTCTACCGTGATGATATATCGAGTTTCACCGAAATATGGGAAGAAAAACCCTCTAGTCTACATCTCCATCTGCTCCACTGTTGGTTCGGTCTCGGTCATGTCGGTCAAAGCATTCGGAATTGCCGTGAAACTCACCCTGGACGGACATAACCAGTTTACACACCCGTCGACCTACGTTTTTGCTATCGTGGTTGTCTGCTGTATATTGACGCAGATGAACTACTTTAACAAAGCTTTGAGCCAGTTCTCTACTTCCATGTTTGTTCTTCTCATATCTACAGTGTCCCATGCGATTCAAGCTGTCAATACTGACTTGTGAATGTGGTAGTGTAAATCCCCTGTACTATGTCAGCTTTACCACAGCCACTCTATGCGCATCCTTTGTTCTTTTTCGCGGATTTAATACTACAGACAAAGTCGCCACGATATCTCTCCTCTGCGGCTTCCTCGTCATCTTCTCCGGCGTTTACCTGCTCAACCTCTCCCGGACTGATCCTGATGGCCGTGCTACGGGCCGACCAGACGATGAGGATGCGGTCCCAACTGATGGAATCGCAGGTATACAGACCCGTCGATCACTACAAGCACGAAGAAGTATTGATCCGCACCGCCGTAGCTCTTCGAGCATCGCGTACTTCAACGGCCCTAGTGATAGGGAAGGGCTTATGCGGTCCTACGACCTCGAGAGCGGTGCAGCCTTTGGTCTAGAGGATCTCACCGAAGAGCCCGACGATGCCAGTGACAACCACAGCCCACGTCAGACAAATGGCACTACAGAGCATCACCCGGACGACCCTATTCCCAATGCGAACGGTACAAAGCCGTGAGAAAGGGGCTCCCTTTGCTCGCCTTCCATTTTGTTGCCCTTTTCCTTTCTTTCTCTCTTCCCTGGGCTCTTGATATATCTCCTTATATTTACATACCTCCCAGCACTGGATCGATGCATTACAAATGACAACTTCTGGCGCCATCCTCTTCCCACGATGAATGGGTATTATAAGAAGAAAACACTAAAAAAAAAAAAAGAAAAAGAAAAAGAAAAAGAACAAACATGAAACCGACCACGAAAACAATCAGCAAGACGGGAGATAGTAATGATCCTTTCCCTTGTCTTTTTATTCCCTTCCTGTTTTCCTTCCATCTCCTCTTCTTTATATTTTTGGCCTTTTGGATACTCCTGATTTTGATTTTTATCCACGGATAAGTAAAGACTTTACGCCTGTCCATGTATTATTGGGAATCGGTACTATTGGGAGGTGTTCATATACACGAAGGCCTTTCTCCGGGTTTTCATCTTCTTTTCCTCCTTTTCGGGGCCCCTCTGGCCAGATCTATTTCTTCCTTCTTTCTTGCATGTAGACCTGGAGTTTCGGAGTAGGATGTGTATGCTCAAGGGGAATCGATCTATCCTGCCTGTCTTGTCTGTTACTGTACGCCTTTTGCTCTGTCTATCTCCCTTCCTCGTCGACTGTCATGATCTTATATCAAACTCTTGATTATTATTTCTATCGTCTTAAGTGCTGAGGCTTCACCCCTATTTCTTCCGAGTCTTATCTACATCTGATAAGTGGACGATAACTAGGGTCAGGTGACTGGATGCGCCGGCGATTCGATGAGCTTTCTTCAACGTCGCCAGCTTTTCGACCCATCGAGGGCCCGCTTCTTCTTCTTCTTCTTCTTCTCTTCTCGCTCAGGATGGAGGCTGTTTCTCTGGCGGTGCCTTCACGATTGTCTCGAGCGCACGCCAGACCCGACAGACAAGATGCCTGGCCTGGCGAGAAAGCTGCTCATCATTGCGGCCGTGGACGGCTTGATCCTCCAGCCGTACCATAACAACACCCGCTCGTCCGCCAATCTAGTACAGGTCGACTACAAGACGCACCACATCCACTCGCCGGCGAGGGTCTCAAACTACCAGTACAAGAATGACGCCTGCCTGGAGTCGCATGGCTTGATTGGTTAGTTTGTCTTTGTCTCCTCGGGAGTTGCTTGCACGAGTTAACCAGTTGACTGCTATAGGGTTACTTTCCGTGGCATCGTACTCGTTCCTAATATCAATTACCCAGCGCCAGCAGGTGGCGCATATTCTGGGGAAACCGATCTTTGTGATAACTGGGGTTTCTATTATCCCTTTATCGGGTCAGGCTGAAGCTTCTAAAGCAATAAGGCAGGCACAGCGAGCGTTGGAGAATAGCCCGGACGCCTACGAGCTATCAGATAGCGAGTCGGATAATTCCGAAGACTTCCTGGCTGATGAACACAATAACTTCGATGCTATATCCCCGGAAGGTGACCTATACCCCCCAGTTGACGAGCCTAGCAACGAAATCAGTATTGCGGAAGATGTTATAAAAAAGCGAGGGCGGTATGGCAGATTTACAGCGGAGTGGTTTGCAAGAAAAGGATGGGGTAGTATTGGATTGCCAGACTCCAGGAGGCGGTCTCTTATTTCATCTAGCGATGGCTCTGCCCACGCTGAATCCATGGAGCTAAAGAACCTAGGAGCTGATGCTCTTGATGGGCCGGAACCCAAGGAGACCAGCGAGAACACCGCCGTGACTGACGCCAGAACCCATGACTTGTTGCCGAAGCTGTTAAAGTACACTAAAATGATGTTCGGATCCCGGAGCTTCTACTTTTCGTATGACTATGATATTACTAGACGGTTTGGTCCGGTAGATCCAGCTTCAACACATGTTCCTCTATGTCACCAGGCCAACCCATTGGTAATACATTTCTCCCTGTTCTCTTCTCCTCTGCTGCAATTTTGTGCAGGCTAACAAGCCTGAATTTCAACAGTACTTTTGGAATAGACACTTGATAAAACCTTTCATGGATAGTGGGAGGCACACATTTACCCTCCCAATAATGCAGGGTTTTATTGGACAGCATGAATTTACTGCCGAAAGCGTTATGCGATCCAGCCCCGAAGGTGATAGTCAAGCTAAGTATCCTGAAGAAAGTGATGAGAATACCAAAAAGGCGAGTGAGGATGCTTCGGTTGATAGTAATCGAAACTTTCTTCTTACCCTAATATCTCGCCGCTCCGTACTACGTTCAGGGGTTCGTTATCTTCGCCGCGGTGTTGATGATGATGGCAATACTGCAAACTCAGTAGAGACGGAACAAATACTGTCAAGTCCTTCATGGAATCCAGCAGAGAAGGTGTACTCCCTCCTTCAGCTACGAGGATCCATACCTCTCTACTTTTCTCAGTCTCCTTATTATTTCAAACCAGTCCCAATCATGCATCACTCAGCTCAGACTAATCTAGTGTCTTTTACAAAGCACTTCCATGATGTCCAGAGAAGGTATGGTAAAGTCCATGCTGTCTGTCTGGTAGATAAACATGGCGTGGAAGTGAACATTGCAGAGACATACGGGCGTTACCTAGAAAGTTTTAACAAGGCTGAGACGTCTGAAGATAAGAAAGTCCCATATCAATGGTTTGACTTCCATGCGGAATGCCGAGGAATGAAGTTTGAAAATGTCAGCCGCTTGGTGGACAGGATGTCGGAGACTCTGGAAGATTTTGGTGATACCGTCATCCAGAACAACGCTGTTGTTCGCAGCCAGTCTGGTGTCATAAGAACCAACTGCATGGACTGCTTGGACCGTACCGGTGTCTCGCAGTGTGCCTTTGGGCAGTGGGCCTTGGAGAAGCAACTCAAGGAGGAAGGCCATTATATTGATCTTCAAGGAAGTGCTGCCACCCAGTGGTTTAACATCCTCTGGGCAGATAACGGAGACGCTATCTCAAAGCAATACTCGTCTACTGCCGCACTGAAGGGAGACTATACCAGAACTCGGAAACGTGATTACCGCGGTGCTCTGAATGACCTGGGTCTGACTCTGACGCGGTACTATACCAACATTTTCACAGATTACTTTTCCCAGGCCTGTATCGACTATCTCCTTGGGAACGTGACCACTCGGGTCTTTGACGAATTTGAAACGAATCTCCAAAGCGCAGACCCTGGGATATCCATGGAGAAAGCCCGCCAGAGTGCAATCGAAACCAGCTGCCAGATCGTCATCAGCGACGAGAACGAGGAGTTTATCGGTGGTTGGACGATGCTAAGCCCTCGCCAGCCAAATACCCTGAGAACTCTACCGTTTGAACAGACCGTTCTCCTGCTTACCAATGTAGCCGTATACTCATGCCGGTTTGACTGCAACACGGAAAAGGTCACATCATTTGAGCGTATCGACCTAACATCGATCACTGGCATCAAGTACGGAACGTACATCAGCTCTACATTGACCGACGCCCAAAGGGACGAGAAGAGGAACATGGGCCTAGCAATTGCCTACCGTCCCAGCACCAGCAACTCTCTACGAGTCAACACAACCTCTCTGCACAGCCTTTTTGCTGAGAAGCCAGATCCCGCCCCGGAAAACCAGGATATAATTGACTGGGACCTATCTACTCTCTTCAAGGGCTCAGACCGATCCTCAACCCACTTCCTCGCGTTCAAACTGCCGAACACCTCTTCAGCGGTAGCCAGGGCCCCCAAGACTCCCGAGGTCAGCGAGGCTGATGCAGTGCGCGCCATCTGCGAGGAGATCGAACGCATGGTGAACCGGGCCACCCAATCTCCATCCATCCACGCCGAGAGACCGTCCATCGTCGAGCAGACTCAGATCATCTCATTGGAGAATGCTCGGAGACAGACTGGATACTTTGAGCACTTGTTTTTTGATATAAAGAAGCTCGTCTGGGCCTGATATATACTGATTCGCGTTGCCTCCGAATTTCTTCACTTGCGTCCCTTCTGCTCACTTAATTGCACACCCCGCTCGTCAGCCTCACCCCGCTCATATATACATAATCAGTTTAATGCATCTATAATATTTAGCCTCGAGCGTCAGAATATACCAGATATTCCACCCTGCCGTCCCTGTGTCTATCAAAATATCAGATATCAAAATAACAATAACAATAATAATAACACTCGGCCTTTCCTTCCTTGGGAGGCGGGGACTTTTCTGCCGCTTCCCCCCGCCTTTCCCCTTTCGTCGTCTTTTTTTTTTTTTCTGCCCGAAAAAAATTATTAAAAAATAAAATAAAAATAAAAATAAACGTCAAAGTAAATGTAAATACACAGAAAACCCATAGGAACAAGAATGAGATGAGAAGAAGAGCGGAAATACACCAAGAAGCTTGCTTGAAAACACTGCCCCAGCCCAAGTAAACTCCCTGCGAGGGCTAACTAGGGATCCCAGGTGAGGTCTTGGCGCGTTGTGTGGTTCTTCTGGCCGCAAGAACGCTTTTTATTGCTCGTATACCTTTGTACCTGAAACTAACTGTCTTCTTTGACAGACCTGTTGGTTCCCGCTGCCCGCTGTCTTCGAGTGATTGAGACGAGGAAGATATATTCTCGCCTGGTGCTGGTCTCTCTTTTCCTTCTCGCAGGCGTTCTCGACGTTGCCTCTCACCCATCTGTCGGCGGGGGGTTGGTCTCTTTCTTTGCATATCACTACTTACTTACTCTCTCGGGCCCGACCTCTCTACTAGTTGCCTTTCTTACATCTCGAAGGCTCCCATATTCTGCGCTGAGACCCAACATAACTAATTCACGATGGCGTGGCAAGCGGAGGAGAGCACACTGGCGCAGCTGGCGGGGTATCTCAACGACACGTTGAATGCGCGAGATCAAGCAGTGCGCAAAAATGCAGAGCAGGTGAGACATCCAGCTTTATATTTGGGTTTGATTATACGCATATTTGAAATGAGAAATGGCAATTCTAATGGCGCTGGCAATACAGATGCTCACGCAAGCTACATCTTCTCCTGACTTTGTCAATTACCTATCATTCCTACTGCGAACTCCCCAACCTCCTGCTGCCGTTGGTTTTGATATCAAGGGATACAATGTCGTTCGAGTAGCTGCTGCTATGAACCTAAAGACAAAGATAAAGGTGGCCTACCAGTCGATACCTCCAGAAGCTTTGGCGTACCTACAAACAGCAAGCTTGGTAGCTCTGGGTGATGAATCTACCCATGTTGCGAACTCCGCAGGTACAATCATGGCAGAAATGATCAAACAGGGTGGGATATTAGGATGGCCAACCTTGCTTGAGGAGTTGGTGTCATTAGTAGGGAATGCCTCCGCTTCAGTTCCAAGCCGTACTCAAGAGGCTGCAATGACCGCCTTGCAAAGAATATGTGAGGACAACCATCGACTTCTACAAAAGGAGATCCAGGGACAGCAACCAATCCATGCCATTCTGCCTAAAATAATGGAGTTCACCGCAAGCTCTGTACCAAAAGTCAGGACCATGGCCTTGTCGACAGTTCATATGTTCATCGCTCACAAATCTCCCGCCCTCATGCAATCCCTGGATACTTTCCTTCAGTGCCTTTTTAAGGTAGCCGAAGATCCTAACACTGATGTTAGGAGAGCCGTTTGCCAGGCCTTTAACCAATTAGCAGAAGTCGCCCCTGAAAAATTGATCCCCTATATTGACGGCCTGGTCAACTATGTATTGATGCAGGAACATAGCCAGGAAGACCCAGAACTGGTGTTGGATGCTTCAGAATTCTGGATAGTTGCCGGAGAAGAGAAACAGTTGAGGTCGGCGTTGACTCCATACCTACCAAAGATTATTCCCGTCTTGCTGCAAAATATGGTTTATGACGAAGAAGAGGCCGCTCTGATTGCAGGAAAGGCAGATGACGCTGATGAACAGGACAGACCCGAAGATCTAAAACCTCAATTTGCAAAAACAAAGTCTGACCGATTGGCTAGTGCAAAAGAAAGCGAGGATACCTCCAACGGTGAAAAGAAACCAGCACCTGAATCTGAAGATTCTGATGATGATGATCTAAGTGATGGAGAGATCGAGGATGATCCCGAGGAAGAGTGGACAATAAGAAAAAGCTCTGCCACAGCTCTGGATATTTTCGCAACTGTATACCATCAGCCTGTGTTTGAAATTGTTCTCCCCTATCTTCGAGAGCACTTGAAGAACCCTAGCTGGGCCCATCGCGAAGCCTCAGTACTGGCGCTCGGTGCCATTGCTGATGGTTGTATGCTAACAGTTCAACCTCACCTACCGGAACTCATTCCCTACCTAGTATCACTCCTAACGGATCCAGAGCCAATCGTTAGAATGATCACCTGTTGGTGTCTGGGTAGATACTCCGGGTGGGCCGCACACCTTGAGCCCGCTGAGAAAGCCCGTTTCTTTGAGCCGATGATGGAAGGAATGCTCCACCGTATGTTGGATAACAACAAAAAGGTCCAAGAAGCTGCTGCATCTGGTTTCAGAAGTTTGGAAGAGAAGTCTGGGCCGCATATCATTCCATACTGCGAACCAATTCTGCGCCAGTTCGTGCTTTGTTTCGACAAGTACAAGGACCGAAACCTGGACGTTCTCTATGACTGTGTACAGACTCTTGCCGAGTGTACAATGTCTGAACTAGCAAAACCTGCACTTGTATCTATCCTTATGCCTTGCCTCATTGGAAGGTGGAACAAAGCCGCAGATGAATCTCGAGAGATATTCCCGCTCTTGGAGTGCCTTGGGTACATAGCTAGCGCTTATGGGCATGCCTTTACACCTTTTGCACCACCAATATTCAGCAGATGCACCAAGTTGATATATAACACCATTATGGAGTGCAATGCCTTGGCTAATGGCCAGACAACTGAGGAGCCCAACAAAGATTACTTCATTACTTGCCTGGATCTCATCTCTGCTATTATACAAGCTATTGACCGCCAAAAGAGTGAGGAACTTGTGGCAAGCACGCAGCCATCCTTCTTCCAACTTCTTGCCTACTGTCTTCAAGACCCATACTACGACGTAGGTATGTCGGCGTATGCGGTCCTCGGTGACTGTGCAATGGTTCTCTTTGAACAGCTACAGCCATTCTTACCCACCATAATGCCGACACTTCTAAAACAGCTTGATCTGGATCAATTGGCGGACGAGGACTCATCAACCGGGTTAAGTGTGGTGAACAATGCCTGCTGGGCGTGTGGGGAGATATCCATAAATGCAAAATCTGACATGGCCCCCTACGCAGAGAACCTTTATACCTTACTATACGCCATTATGATCAACGAAGAGATTCGCGATTCCGTCACCGAGAATGCTGCTATTGCTTTGGGACGCCTTGGCATAGGATGTGCTGAGCAATTAGCTCCACGTTTGGCACAGTATGCATACACTTTCTTGATGATCATGTCCAACGTGGAATTTTCGCGAGAGAAGGTGGGCGCCTTTGCGGGATTTAATCAAGTCCTTAAGCAAAACCCGCAAGCACTGGAATCCTGCCTGCCGGATTATTTCAGTGCTGTTGCGTCAATGACAGATAAACCCTTCCACGCCCCCGAATTTGATGATTTAGACCAGTCTACCAGACAGGTACGTATATGTCCCTTTGCTTTGGGAACGCTTGACGTCCCACCCGGAACGATAGAACTAACACGTATCTTATAGGTTCTTCAGGGCTACAAAGAGTTGATCCCTGACTTTGCAGCTTTCATGGGGACCCTGGATCCAAACGTGGCCTGGAGACTTCAGACAGCCTACCAAATATAATTCAGGCTATACAGCCATCCGCTCTATCTCACTATTAACTATCTCTTGCATATCCTTACGGCCAATCATGTTATAGGTTATATATCTGTTTCCCCCTTACATCCCCAAAACTATTCCACCCCTCCCTTATCCTCTATCGGCCCTTTTCCCCTTTATCCATCAAACCGCCTCATGATTCCCCTAGTTCTCCTCCCATTGATATCCCTTTATCCTTAAAAATGTAGTATCTGAGCCGTTGGCACATAAACCCTTCCTTTCATTTGCTGGGGCGTCAAAAGAAGATGACGGGAAAACCAAGGATAGTAATTGTATGCCCTTTCCTTCAAGTCAAAAGAAGTAAATAAAATGAATGAATGAATACATAAAATAACACAAAATATTCGATTGATCCTGGTGGGGGTTGGAGATACGGAATCTATTTGTTAGTGTTCTTGGTAGAATATACACCTCCCGTTGACAAGAAAACGGTGGAACTGGTCTTCCATTATCCATTAGTTACAGGTGAGAGGCATTAGTACCTTGTGTGCTCCCATTTTTGCAAAACAAACATTTATCTGGTGGCCTAAATTCTATCACCAAAAATTTGTTGGGTTCCTGTGATTCATCCCCAGCTCGATCCCGCGTACGGAGTACTGAGAGTACGTATACGCTGAACATCTTAATCTATCTTAGAAGAATCCTAGCTCGAGTTCTCACTATCTGCCAGTTCTTGAGTTTATTGTGACGTTTTAATGCTTCTCGAACCCCCTGTTCTCGACACAGTTATCACCCGTGATCGGCCGTTACAAACCCTTTTAACTACTGACTAGCTAACTAAGGCGGCCTGATCTCCGTGTGCCCGAAATGCAGTGATTATGCCGTTTTTACAAGAAATCTCCGATATGTTTTCCCAAGTACATATGCATGCCCCATAATATCCCTCCCGTCCAACGTGCCATTTGAAAAGGTCACATCTGTTGAGATTCAGTGTCTAAGTATCATTGCCATCAAGGAACCAACACTTCACCAAAAAGGAATGGCTCCGGGGCATGGAATGTTCGTTGGGCACGAACAGCATTCAGCTCGGTCTTCTAAGAGTATTCGGGGTATATTTCTTTCCTTGTATTGGCTTCAAAAGCATAGATTTCGCATGATGCATCTGAACGTAGCATTCAGGGTAACGTGATACTAGAAAATTGAGTGTCGAGGCTATTAGGTATAGGGGTAGAAACCCGAGACAAGTAACCCTGGTCTTTTGAGCCCTGCAGACGGCCGCGAGTCACGGCAGAAAAGGCGTCCTGCATTCCACAAATGCATCAAATTAGATGATGACGACGTACGTATGGAGGTGCAACTCGCAGATATCTTAGAAGTGTGCGGACGAATACATGACCGACCTCCGCTGGTGTGAAAAGCTTGTAAACGACGCATGCGGCCAGGGGCTGATTCTGTCTGTTTGACACACACATCTCACTTCTTTTCAATCTTGCTGGGTAGGGAGCGTTCGTGGGGTTGACGGAGGGGAGTGCTCAGCCCTGGGTAATTCGGCAGGCAGCTTACCAATTTCCTCTTCGAGAATTGAACCGCCAAGTAACTAATGACTGTAACCATACTACTACCGTGGATGCTCTGCCATCCCGGGGAGAAGACGCGTTGGCTCATTAAAACGCCTTGGAAGAGACATCTATTCCAGAATAAAAGAGGCCGGCCGAGGGTGTCAGCAAGCCACGCCACCACTCCGCCACCTGGGTTGTTGTCTTGACTGGCCTTACTAGTTGGTTACCTGAGAATAATAATGAAAGAAGGCAAGCAGACGCAGCTGAATGGCGGTGATATCAAATCGATCCAATCCTGACTGGGAGCCTTGGCGTTTGAAACGGGGACGGAGACGGAAACGAGTAAGAAAAAGGAAAGACGGGAGAGGTTCGGATCGAAGTATGCCATCCACTCGCGCATAGATTCGCATACATATGTAAGAATGGAGTTAGCAACGATGGTTCATGCCCTCTTTCGGGAGGCCAGCTTGGCCCACCTATGAAAGGGACAAACAGTTTAGCGTGAACGCAGTTGCAGTCATGACGGTTTGAAACCTTCATGCTTCATGGGTCCTCGCAAGCAGCCGCTTGAAAGTCACTTAAGAAATCAGGTTCTCGTCTGGTCCTAGGAAGGCTTGAAACATTCTTCCCATTTTAGTTGAACAAGTACTCCGTATCACGAACATGTTCAGCTCAATACAAGCAAAAAGATGTCTAGTGAGCGGCAGTTGTGGGAGGGAGAGGCGAAGGCGGATACAGGAGATGTTCAAAATTCGTCCGAATACTTTATTGGATTGCAACATAACTTTAGTTATGCTTGTTTGTGCTTCGCCACCGCCCTTTAGGACACGCCCTAGTTATGGGATAGGACCATGGATTCAGATTCGTGCGTAACAAAAGGTCGCTACAGTTATCAACACAGAATCCAGAGTTCGACGGTGCGTCAATCGCGTGGTTTTGCATCCTGTGTACTCCGTACGGAGTATATAAATAATATATGCTAACAACCCGCAAGGGACGGGCCACACTGCGAATTTACCTCATCTGGCTGGCAAGGGAGCCCACTTGGGTCGAGAATTAAGCTGAGCTAACTAGCCAGAACAGGCGATTGGGGGAGTGTTACCCGTTACCTGCCAGCGAGAAGTTGAGAACTGCGAATGGAGCTCTTCATATGTATGGAGCGGGAAGCATGTGGTACCGAGGGCCATAACGTTATGTTATGTACGTTTTATACTCCGTATATAGAAGACACATTCTGACTCACACATTAGATTTCCTGCAAAATGCCATCAGTCAGCATAGTCATGGCGGAGGAGTTGGATTTCTTCAGAGTGGAGGCCGCAGTTCTCCAACTCGGCCGACTCACTACACGCTTAAAATCGACATATACTTGGTTCGACCCCACGCGCAGTACCGTTGTAGCTATCCATATAAACAGGCCACCCAGTTGATATAAATATGTTATCTGCTAAGATCGAGACTGCATCGGATGCCTGGTATTCCGTGCTGGATAGAGAGGGGGGGAAAGGAGGCAGGAATTGTGGTTCAGGGGCTGCTTATATAAGCTTGTTTCCTCTAAAAATAGACGGTTGCTTGGTCAGCATATTCGTGATTGGCTAGGCGGTTCCTCGAGGTCAGCGCGGCAATATTTCCGCGCGCTAAACCGCTTTAGTAGCATTTTGGGTGGGGCTTCGGTAAAACCGGCAAGGATCCGCTCGTCCCCCACCCAGTGTTCCGGAACGCGCCAAGCGGCCGATCGCGTGGTCTGCGCTGGCCCCTTTGGGAAAATTTAACCGATACACACGCCTGCCATGGCGGCATATAGTTTATACCACGACGGGCTAAGTATGTATCCTATATCTTAGTGCTTGGATGGGCAGCGCCTGGAAGAAGAAACGTTCGAGCAGCATCCGCTCACCCGCGGCGTTATTTTGTTATTTTAGTTTTGTGGTTGCGAGGAGACAAGCTGGGGCACATCATGGCGTTCGCGGATATGAAGAGCGCTGCCTTGTCGGCTCGGCTTCTTCTTTGGCCCGGTGCAAATCTCCCCGAGGTCTGTCAGCCAGTTTCATCGTGCCTCTCCTGCATTAGTGGCTGGCGCCCCGATAAGTATTGAGTCGACGATTGCTTTTTTGGATATTATTTTGATGCCCACCAGTCAATTTGGATTGCCGATCGCCTGAAATCGATGAATTGGGTAGTTTCTTTTACCACGCTAAAGCCAGGTGAATTAGCAGGCATTGGATGGGATTGCATGCGAAGCTGGATAGGCTATATGCATGAAGCGCGGTTATACTCTGTCAAGTTGGCGTCATAAGACAGCTTGCTATCCGCAATATCTAGTTGAAGTTGATCCCAACTTGTCCGACTAACTAGGGGATTGGATGGGATGTCCTGTCCAACGTGGCGATTCCAGTGCATGGGGATGTTCTCCGTACGGGGTAGGTTGAGCGGGCAAAGTATCTGGTGAGGTAGGACAGGTTTCCCCTGGCTGATACGGTGCGCATCAATTGTGCAGCTTCGCTTGCTTATCAAGATACCTAGCTAACTGCTGCTTCGTACGGCTGCCATGCGAGGTGGAGACGGGAGGCTCTTCTACCGTGGAGATGCTCTGACGTCCTAGTTCTATTCTTAGCAGCGTGAACTGGTGCCATGAGGTTGTACCACATCTGGAGATTATGAGTGGACATTTGTGTAAGTATATGCATGACAGGAAAGATACACGAAACACCCGGAGAACGCGGAGATCATACAAACATACGGAGTAACGCTGGCCACAATCCAAGAGGCTGTTTGCTTCAGGAGAAATTAAGACTGTAATATTTACCTTCCCTTTCTAGTCTCACTCTCTTAGCACGCCAACCAATTTTGGTGTCAGGCTGAGCCTTGAGCGAGAGAAGACTTAACGGGGGTTTATGTTGTCTGTGGCAGCAGGTCTCCCCGCCTGTAAGTAGCTAAAGGTAAGAAAAAAAGGAACGTCAGTATGGTGGTGGTCAGCCAAGCATGTACTCTTTCAACTTTGTATCGGTGGAAACTCACCCACCTTCAAGTCAAAAAGGGTGGCTCAGGATGCGGGTGAAGGTTCTTCTGTGGAGGGAGGCTGATGTTAAAAATAAACCAGTGACGCACATGGCATTGGATGGTTGCATCTCAAGAAGCGAGGTTGGAATGTAACTAAAACAATGTTTCTGGAAAAGAAGGGCAGACTCATAAGTCCTGCCAATATAGGGATCATCTTTCGCAAGAATGGCCAAAAAAAGAGGTTGCTGCCTGCTTGAGTATGGAGTAAGGAGGAGGGTAAGGGAGAAATGCATGGAATCTCCGAGCTTTGAAGAAGTAATATAATAATAATAATGTGGTTATTTCGAGTTGTTTTAGCTTCCAACCTTATGTGAAAGCCTTTTATGGTCCACACCTTCGCGAGCCTAGCTACTTCGAGCTTTTAGCAACCCATAACATATCCTGGCCTGAAGAAAGGCGGAACAGGGCTTTCCTTTTCCCTTCGCTCGCTACCCCTTTTCCCTCGTCGTCGTGAAAAATCAGTAAACCGTACTATCCAGATATGAAAGAAGAGATCAGCCTTGCTTTTACCTTTTGTGCAGTACCACCCGTAGCCCGCGTCGTTCATTGCCTGATTCTATCGCGTTGAGAAATTTGGCATGCCAGCAGCCTGCTGCCATAACTGCAATAATGGTTGCAGTGTGGAGATAAAAATAGTATGGGGATAGCCCCAGACTGTCATAAATAGCACAGTTTCTCATCAACAGTATAAACCAACTCTCCAATTGTCCGCACGAGCGGGAGGGCCACACCATGAGTCCACAGCGCCATGGTATTGGGAGATTTCAGGACCGTCGGGAGGGTCTGGGCTGGCTGATAGGTGGCTTGCCCTGTGCAACGTAAAGTATCAGCTTGTTGAAGTACATTCATCCCCACCGCCCTTAATTCCGCTTCCCTATCATTGGCATTTTCTGCTTTGATCCCCACAGAGACTTTCTTGGACGTTTTCTTTTTCTTTTTCTTTTTCTTTTTTTTTTTTGCTACTTGGCTCACCTGCATGGTCTGTGTTGATGAAAGAGTTGAAAGAAGGAAAGTTTACGTTGGGAAGAACTTCTGTATGTAACACTGTTTTTGTCCAGACGGCAAGGCGAATAACTGTTTGATTCCCCTCAGCCGACCCAGTCGGCTATCAAACCTTCACATGCGCCCTGTACGTGGAGATTTTTTGCCAACCTATCATTATTCCTGCAGCTGGCTTTTGGTCAGCAGTCATCCTTGTTCGATTTCTCGCTAGTACGTTGAAGGGTTGACACACTCGGCACAGAAGGAAGCAAAACATTATGGCCCGCTGATAGGTTTATCAGAGGGAGGTATGAAACCTAACCTATCTCTCATACTCTTTATATCAATGAAATTGTGAAGATGGAAATCCACGTGTGCATCACATAGAAATCGGCACACGCGATTATGATATACTTACATCGAAACGTGGTATCCCACCTTATTGAAAACGAACAAATGGGAGAGACGATGCTAGAATTTAAGTTAATAACGTGGCTGGGGTTTTCGGGCTGATAGATGAATCGTCACTGGCTGAAATTCAGCTGATGCAGGTCGTGCAAATAAAGAAGCGGGTAGACAGTTGAAATACGAAAGCCTTCCTCAAGGGGAATTTCCCACGAAGGAGGAAAGAAAAGGGGAAAGCCTTCTAAGAAAAGCTTCTTCTTCGTATATGAAGATCAATCTTGGGGATTGTGCGCTCCACAATCAAATTATGGGAAGAATTATATGCTTTAAAAAGTGTTGAGGTGGGAAAGAGTCTGAAAATGATTGAAGGAGGAACATTTCACACTTTGCACATGGTTGAAGGTGGTTGCAGCGCAACACGGAACGACGTGGTTCCTGCCGGGTTACCGGCATTGGCCCTTACGCAATCAAGCTGAAGTTGTGCGGCCATCCCTTATTATTTTGTCGTAAGCAAAAGCCCAATCTGTCAGTTTTCACCGCCGGTCTGAGCAAGCAAGTTTTGTTTGGCCGGTATCGCTCAGAATCGATTGGTCAAGAGCGGCTGATATTGACCTTGGCATACGTCCGAGAAACCCTTGCTGGAGTTTGGCCTTTATTTTAAGTGTATTTTTGCAATGAAATCTTGACGCTCGGTGTGAATCATTCCGGCCACACAGTGGAATCGGGCAGTCTTGCCCCTTGCTCATATTTGCGCTTTTTGCCCAGAAGATTGAACACCGTAGCATAAGTAGACGTGAGTGTTGTAAGTTTGTCGAAATGCTGATACAAGGCCCGTGTATTGAAAGAAATGGTCCAATCAGTGTCCTTGATCTCAATCTTAAACTTTCCCTATCAGGCAAGTTTGCAGTTTAGAAATCAATCACAGCTCGTATAGCAATTTCCAGATCAGGAAAACTACGGCCGCTAACAAAGCAACATGCCGAATCTTAAATTTACTTTTCCCAGAGTGTCGATGCAAGGGGACTTCATGGAAAAGAAAAAGTAAGGCATCACACAGTTCTTGGGAGTCTCAGTGTGTCCTGGTCCTGTCACGACCAGCAGATGCTTCTTTGTCATCAGAAAAGCACTGTTGGCCTCTTGCAACGGATCGACAATGATAGCGGAATGCCCATTGTGATTCCATCTCGCATGGCAGGGAGCAGCCATGTTTCTTGACATCACAGCTACTTCTTAGTTGACGTCTTCCTGGTCGGATCCGGATGCATCGACCCAGCATTCGCTGTATCGGAGCCCTCGCGCTCCCGCGTCCCTCCTCGTTCCGCAAGATCCAATCCAACGGGTCGATTCGCTTATTCTTGCTTGTGCTAGCCGCGTGTTCCTCAAGCTCAAATTACAGAGTCGGGGTGGTTGCCAAAGAAACATGTGCCTGTCGAGAGAAACGGGACGTCTGATCTTGGTTGCCACGCACACAGCAGTCGCACAGTCTCGTCTCGCGACGGACAGGCAGGCTCCAAGAGATAATAATAGTTCCCTCATGCACACATGAAACACGTTAAACTCGAAAAACTTTGCGCTAGCTAAGCGGCTAGGGAGCCGGGATGCTCTTCATCTCCTTGAATCCAGGCAGGCAGGATATCATCTGATGGGCAGGCTTACTGCACGCAAGCCACCACCTTGTCCTGTTTTCTCTTCTCGTCCCTCCGCGCGTTGCTTTTTCCTCCTGTCCTATCTGGCTTCGCAGCGGCACACCGGAGAAATTGGCACCTGAAGAGAGAGGAAAGGAATTCTCAGGACGCCGCCCTCAGTCCTGTTGGGAATGCTGTACTCCGTCCCCCGTACAGAGTGCTCGCCTCGAAGTAGTAGTAGCAGTAGGAGTCGACGGTGACGTTGAAGTTCGAAGTTCGACGTTGAAATAACAAATGCCGACTTCCGAAATGAGATAGATTAGTCAGCCCTGGTCTTTTTGTTTTGACGACCTTCCATCCAACAACAACATCAGCTCTTCGACAACTATCAGCAGCACCAGCAACACCCGCAACACACACTGTCGGCTCCGTGTCCAAAGAGCTGTTCAAACGCGACGACACAAGAATGCTGATCCCTCCATGGGCTGGAGGGTGAACACCAAGAGGCCAATCATGTGGGAACCTGATCGGGAGGCCTTGAAGGGCCCGTCCCGTGCAAACCCTGCCCTTGATGATGCGGAGGACTGGAAAATTGCAGAGATTGGAGGGTAATGTTCATCTCTCTGTTCATGCACATTCTCCTGCGCATTTTCCCTCGTTCTTTTTTTTCACTTATCATCTTGTAATTTCTGTGGTGTAAATATATATGAAACGACGGATAATTTCCCCCTAACTATTTTTAAATTCTCCTGACTGGGTAACCTACTCACTAACTACTTCGAAGCAAGCAAAAAGGAGCAGAGCGTTGCCATGGTCATATTGCGAATGCTCCTCTGCCTGCTTGGTTTGATGGAGCGAAGTTGCAGATCGACAGGTTTTGCTGTGACAGGCGTTCACAAGGCTCTTCTCTCAATTTAGTTGTCTGGTCCGTCACACTAAAGGGACGCTTATCAACTAAAGGCTGGGATTAGCTCACTAATCCTCCCAAGAGCCGCTACCAGCGTTCATCACGGTTGGAGTTTCAAGTTTGAAGAGAATGTTAAAAATTACGTCGCCAATACATGACTAGTAACATCGCGGGTCAAGATGACTGGCCGTGCGCCGAAGGTAGCAGAAGCTTCTGCTCCATCAACAGGTCCAGCGGTTCATCCTCCCTCCTCCCCCCTTCGGCCCTTTGGGGGCAGAGCGAGGGGGGAGCCTGACCTTCGATACCATCAACTTCGCTCCCGCTGGAGTTGATTCTTCCCGACTTGCCGGTGCTGAACTTTGTCTCTTTCCCACCTTCTCGTTTTGTACTACCTCCTCCCCCCATAGCCGACGGTGTGGATAAGATCTTGTTCTCCACGCTTGACAAGAGATCGATGTCCACAACATGGCAGCTCTTGTTGTTAATATGGCCTCTCTCGTTTTCACCCAGCCGCTGAGCTGACGAGACCCAGGGTTCGTCTTCCCTGCTTGATCGGCCTTTCTTTTCCACACATAATTGTCTAGGATCCCTCGAAGCCAACCATGCGGGTGCAGTCCAGCAAACCAGCTGACCATGGTCGGCCGGCCGGTCGGTATCGGTATTTTTCCATTTTGTACTCCATGTTCTCCGTCCATACGCCGTCACCCAATTCACCCTGGCCCTTTTTAACCTCTTTTTCTTTTGCATTATCACTTCTGACTTTTTCCCATTTTCTTTTTCTCCCCTTTTTGTTTTTAAATCCCTTTTGCATTATTTTCGCTCGCTTCTCCTTTGTTTTTCTTCGCCTTCTCTGAATTTCTTTTTTCTTTTTCATCCCCTTGCTTTTCCCATGTATATCTCAGCTAACTTACCTTGTCACAGATTTGGCGGATGCCACATGGTAACTCAGCAGGCGCATGCCTTGGGCGCAGAAGGATGGCGGAATCCTTGTACGCCTCTCAGCCAAACGCCTGTTTAGCATACTTCTCCGTTTCTTCTTGGATCCATCCCCATACTGATTACATCTGGCTCAAATCTTAATTCGAATTCCGTGGCTCCCATGTTACCATGTTTATGTTCAAGAGTGATAGTCATGGTCTTTACCACTCAAGAGCAGACCCCGTCCCCTGCCACTGAGATCCTCCTATTCTTATTTCCCTCCAATGGCTGCTCCCGCCGCCCGAACTTTCTTGTACCTTCACTCTCTCCCCCCTTTTAGGCGTCCTAAACGTTTTAACGTCTTGGTTATTCCTCTCCCCTGATAAACTTTCGCCTCTCCATCCTCTCCTTGCCTTGTCTTTCCACCCCAGCCTGGCTTTGGATCTCTTCTCTGGTCTATAGCCCAACTCGACCTAGCGTCCTCCCCACCCATGCGTTTAAGCTCCGCTCTCTTCCTCCTCTCCTCTCGCTCTGCAGGCCTGTAAGCTTGTCTTTTTGTTTACTTTTTATTTTGTTTTTATTTTTTATTTTTTATTCTTTCTCCTCCGTCCTTTTCTTTTTCTTTTCTTTCTTTAGTCTGCTTTTTCCTGATTTTTGCTTTTGCACTTCTGTCATACCTTTCGCTGAAGTATATATCTTGACCCTGACCAGGATCATTCCGCAGAAGAAAAAAGAGGGTCCCTATTCATCCGATACCCTTGACACTTATTTTCATGGTCTTGGGGTGGTGTTCCATGCTTTCCTCTCATCATATTTATCCATTGAGATACCTTGTTCTGCATCAATTTTCTTCGATCTCCATCTTCATACCCTTCATCAATTAACCTCGTCTCAGCCGTTACTCGCCAGCTCGTGTTTAAGCCTCGTTGATATATATAAGCAGCAGGGTGAAGATACACGGGGTACCGGAATTGTTCATTTTATACCCAAGAGAGAAACCCTCGAGGTCTTCAACCTGACCAGTGCAGAGCCAAAAGAGACCCGAGGATCCGAAAAGAGATCCAGCTCGTTGGAAGAGTTGCCGACGGCCTGACGCTGTTCGTCTTTGGAGCCTTGCTACAGAGGTACCGATACCTCGTAGGAGCGAAGAGTCCCAAGGCCGCGGAATACTCAAAGCATCAACCAGCTCAAACGCCTGTGACACTGTTTGAAGAGGCCCAGTGATCTAAACCAGCCCGTTCCGTGTCTCCTCTATTACTACGACCCTGTTTCTATTTATATACCTGGACCCCCTTTCTCATTGAAATCATCTTAGCCCAACGACGATATATCTCGTATTGCACCCTTCCTTATATACCTTGATTCAACCTCCTCTTGTTGCCATCACAAAAGCTCGAACTTCTATACCATCTTCGGCTCCAAACTCACCTTCAACGAGTATCAACAACCTAACCATCTTTACTTCCTAATCCTCTCATCTATTCACAATGGCTGGACCTGGTGGTGGACCCCCTCGCAAGAGCCATACCAAGTCTAGAAAGGGTTGTAAGACTTGCAAGAGAAGACACATACGTTGTGATGAGACCATGCCGCAATGGTAAGTTTGATCCAGTGGTTTGGACTTTTTTCTCTAAGACTGACTTGGACGTTATAGTCGAAACTGCACCAAGCATAACTGCAGATGCGATTACATGGATAATGTTCTTGCTCATGATGCCGCCAATAATGCCAGGAGCCCAGATCTTCTTATGTCTCCAGAGATAGAGCTAGAGATTCAGAACTGGCAAAAGTCTGGAAATCCTCCTTTCCCTGAGCTACAGCTTAGCACTCGAGCTTATTGGTATAAGTTCTCTCGCACGGATCTTCGACTCATCCACCATATTGCGGGTTTGTCCATCGACCTACACCGAAGAGGCTACAGTAACTGCACTGTATGGGCCCAGAAGATGCCCATGTAAGTTGCCCCACAGCCAAAGATGCAAGGTCTTCCATGAATGAATCCTTCTAATTCTTCCATAGCTTCCTTACTATTGCCTTGTCCAATGACTTTGTTATGAGTTCTATTCTGGCATTATCTGCTTCACACATTGCTTGGATGACCCAGAATCAAGACACTGAAAATCTTGCCTATCATCATCGAGGTGTTGCTATCAAGGGCCTTCAAGAGGCAATTAGCTCATTCTCACGCGAAAACTCGGATGCTATTCTTGCATCATCCTTGCTCTTGTCATGGCAATCCACTGAATGGTCAGTAGATTTTGCCTGATTATATAGCTGTTGCTTTTAGCTAATGACTTCACTACAGGCGAGGGTGGGCATCTCTTCAACAAGGAGTTTCAACAGTAAGATTTCAGCTCATACCCCTATACCTCTCCCTTGATAGGGGCCTTTTTTAACCATTTATTATTTCAACAGGTCTTGAACTCGATGGAACCATGGTGGAAGGAAGAATCTGAACTGGCCAGATTTATGGATGGTCAACGAGCTTTTCGAAGTGCCCGAACTCCCTTAACGCCAACCTACCCAGGCAGCATGGGCCATTTTCCAAACGAAGATATCATGAGACTGGATAGAGTTATTGTCAATCTACAGAATATCCATCAGCGAATTTCTCATAACCAAGAACACTTCCGCAGGATAACGGACTTGCTTGCCTTCACTCAAAGGTTGCGAGATGAACTACCTGTTCAGTCTCCGGAGAAGGCCTTCGAGAGGCTCCAGCCCCTGCGTATCTGGCTCTTTTGGCTCCCTTCGGCAATGTTGCGAGGTGGCGAAACTGATCTCGGAGCTCTTTCCGTGCTCTCTCAGTTCTTCGGCGTTGCCCTTGCGCTGGAGCCACTCTTCCCAGAGTTTGGCGGTTCATACCTTGGCTCCATGGCGGTCAACCCAATCGAGGAGATCAGACGCATTCTATACCATAGACGTGCGGCGAACCCATTTGCACCTGAGATACAACTCGCTCTCAGCTTGATGGATCTTCCAGCAGAAACTGTAGCCGAGTACCGCAGTCGTCTCCAGTGGTCACCAAGATCATCCTTCGACGGATATCCTACAGGATCACATAGCCCATATCACCATGCGCTTCCAACTCCCCATTTGCCTCACCTCCCAGCTACATCTGCGGCCATAGTCAGCCCTACCACCACTGCCTACCCAGCATATACCACCTCACCTCTTCACTCGCCCATGACTCCAGCCATTGTCGGCTCACCATACCAGATGTCCAATGCAATGCTTCACTCAAGACGCCACTCTCAAGTATATCCATCACCCACGCTTCACCACGATCCGGTAGAGGATCGTATTCCCGAATATAAACAACCAGAACAGCCTGCGATGTTTAATCCAGCTTATCTCGGAAATCTTATCAACGGGGGCCCGACAATCGGGACGGAATACCATGATTCTCCCCCAGTTACTGTGACAGGAGGGTTGGTCGCTCCGGAACTCTGCTGGACTTGATACTAGATGCATACCTGTCTACGTTATCAAATCCATTTGCACAAGCACAAGCACCAGACATATCTTCAGCCCCTTTTTGACATCGATCGCAAATCGAGAACACATAGCCCAAACAAAACAATGTAACCAAAAAAACAGCAAATCCTGCCCTTTTTCCCCTCCCTCCTATTTTCACTTCTTGTACAGACATTTTTCAAGCTCCTTTCCCCCGCTTTCCCCCATCGCCTGGCTATTGTTCACAAATCGTCTATCCGTCGCTCTCCTACAAATACAGGAAAAAACGGTCCGGCTGAGATTCATGTTCTTACTTCTTTCCTCTTGGGAATCTCCAGGCACCACCACCTCCATCCTCAACGCCATCGCGACAGTTCATCTAGCGCCAACATTGCCACACCACCTACCTCCGCACCGAGACCGACAAACACATTCTAGACTTGCTTTCGCCATATAATACCCTTATTATTTCTTACCATTCCATATACGATGACTTGACGACTTATCCGAAACAGTGTGATGGGGATATATATAAAAGGGCCAGAGGACGAATGGAGAGCATTGGCTTGTCATTCAACGACAAGGGCATTTGGCAATTACATCTCATAATGCGTCATTTCTTTTTTTTTGTTTTCTTACTACTGTACAGCGTTTTATACCGGTTCATACTTTTTCATCAGGGGATTTTGTTGGTTCTAACCTACCGTTTAGATTGGGGTACTTCACTTCTTGATCCATATTTATTAATATTTACATATCTAAGTATTTATATACGCTTATAGTGACATTTCCTTCATGTCTCATGTGTTCCATTCCACGGGATTAACACGATACGAAATTTATTTTGTTTAAGTAACTAGTTAATCGAGGAGAGGTCTTGTTTCCAACTTTCTTCATTTAAGTATCTTCGGAGACCAGATTGACCGACGCTACTATCCAAATCGGTTTGACCGTTTGGATTCCGTCCGTTTGCTAGTTGCTTTCTTTGCATCTTCTATCCACTTGTCATATTCCTCCGTTCCTTGCTTTAACTTCATGCCCACAACCCCCTTCAAAAGCTGTCCAGTAAAGTCAATAAAGTTACACTTTCTCAGCGAGTTTTCCCAAGCCCAATTTTCTCTCTTTCTCCTCTCTCTATCCAGCATCTCTTCATCCCCAATCTCTTGTGCACGTATCCTCAAGTCCCTCACAACAGCCATGAGATTGAATCGAATCTCTCCTTCGGGGTACCGCCCAATTCGTCGCTGAAGAACATCAATAACCTTCTCCGGGAATTCTTCTGAACTGCAGGGTCCATGAGTTATTGGATGTGGTTGTAACCCGTCCAACTCGTACAACTTGCCGCGAAAGGGAAGGTAGGCGATAAAATGGTATAGTTCCGCATCTTCTTCTGATGGGGGTGGGCGCGAGGTTTCGTCTACAAAGGGAGACGAGCGAGCGAACAGATTATGGGCGCTGCGGATCCGGGCTGAATTGCTCAACGTCTCGCCTCTGAGGTCAGGAGGGAACCCGGTAGTAAACTCCTTGAAAGAACGTAACTCGGAGCCAATGTCGATTCCCCTGATGGATGTTGATGGGCTGTCTTGGTTGAGTATCACAGATAGGACCGCTTGTGTACCACAGGCATTCTGTATCGTCTGGGCAGCAAAGAAAAGGCCATCTTCAACCGCTCCATGGTCGTATTTCCCGTCTTGAGGGCTGGGCGTGTTTCTCGATTGTCCACTAACCCATTTGAATAAAAATATAACGCCGTATACGGGACTATATCCATATAGTCAGCAAAACAGAGCATTTCCAATAGACGCCGTTTAGAACTTTGGGAGAGGGGTGTTGACCTTAGGGAGCGAATTGTGTCAGCATCCAAAGATATCAATTCTTCAAACTGGACATCCTGCACTCCAAGATTCTCTACCAATGCAGTAAAGACCCCCTAGAGCCACAATGTCAGTATGCGACGCAGAATCTTGAGATCAACAGCTACCAAACGCACCTCATCTGACTCGATGGTGCTCCACCCCCCAGCCTCTTCGGACATGTCGTCAAACTTGTAAGGTAGCTCGCAATAAAAATGAAGTCCTCCGCGACCCTCACCGCGTATATATTATGGCAGCTTAATGCGCCGGTATGATGCGCCCCGTGGTTGCAATGGTGGTCTTTGGTATTCTGGTTTCGCGTCTTCAAACTTCGGAAGTTGATGTCAGAATATTCCAAACGCTGCAAACACTGCAAACACTGCAAATTTAGTAACCAAACTTATCCCGCATTGAGGGAATGCGTCTATAGCAATTGTTTGTTTTTGACGCTTTATGCCGGAGGACGGCGAGGAGACAATGAACACAGTAAGGAAACTGAGAAGAGAACTAAGGACAGTCAATGGGGATTTTCCACCACTATATATACAAGGTCAAAACTCCGACTATATAATACACCAATTAAAAAGAAAATCTGTAAATCATATTACACACCGTGCACCGTGTTTCAAACAGACGTATAGTCTGTGAGATACAGGATACCGGCCTCAAGCATCCACCAAGATGTAATCTCATGGGCAAATTTCAGGACCGGGTTTTCCAAGGGCATCGGAGCTTTCACGACACTGGGCTGCCACATCACGGTTTGTGTCTTGAAAGTGATCTGGCCGTCGTTTCTTTCAAGTGTGGTCACCAGTCGGCCACGGATTTGATTTAGTGCCATCCCAAACTCGACCCTATCTTGCTCTCGGCACACTACAGTGTATGCGCCACAGACAACATCGCCTGGCTCGAAATTGAGCGCTTGAATGTGAGACGCCTTGAAGGTCTTACGGGAAGACTGATCACAATTGAGGCTTAAAGCATATGCCTGTGGGAAACGCGAAAAGGCCGTCATATTTCGTCGCAAATACCGGGTAAGTATCTCCTCGTCGGCAAGTAATGGGGATATGTTAATGCCCAGGGTAGAGAGTGAAGCTACATCGTAAACGGCGCGGGTTTTGCTTGCAGCGTCCTTGTCCTGAACCGATTCCGGCATCGACTTGACATCTTGAAGCGGTAGGTCTGCCAGCGATCCTCTTGATGCAGAATGCCGGACCTTGCGGCCCAGCCGGCTGTGTTGGTATAGGAGGAAAGCAGTTGGTGCGCCGACTACGACTAAGACTGCGGCCGCGGTCGTCAGCGCCCGCGGGTAGCGTTCAAAGAGCTGAGAGATGGCGGCCATCCTATCTTCGAGGAACTGCATTGTGATCTGCATGAAAAAAATCGGTTGATGGTACGGAGTGGGTGTTTGTCGAGTGGGAAAGTTCTATCTCATCCAGGCATTCTGTAGCCAAAAAGATGACGCTATTTATAGTGACTTTCTAGAAACATTGCATTAAATTATGCAAGAATTGTGCAATATGCTTAAATTACGCATAATTATATGCATAACTCAGATTTAGACCGAGATAAGATAAGATAGAAAGCTTAAGTCGTCGGCTCCTGATGTGATATAAAAAAAATATACTGGATGGGCATCGGGGCAGACGGGATACTGGAAATACTCATAGCCTAACGGAGATGTTTTACTTCCAGCTTTATAAAAGAAATCACAGGGTCGTTCTCCTTGCGCGGGACTCAGTAACCTTGATTTGAGAATGCCGGCTCGTAGTAATATATGTAGCCAAATGCTACGTAGCTTCAATCGTGTGGCGCATGATATGCTAATGGCGAGAATATAAGTATATACATTGCGGGTGGTATTCAAGGTATCACTCCTGCCACCTTTCCCTTTCAACGCCGTTGACCCTTAGAGATTGAAAAAATCAAATGCCCAACCCTATGCCAGAATGCTCACGCTACCGGGCACCAATTTCCACATGTCGTAGTTCAATACCCGCCTGTTTCTTGTCCAAAGATTCTCCATTTTCACTTGCTTCGTCGTACTTGACGACGACGTGAGTGGTCATTCGAATACCGTGCTTTTCTGAATCACTGTCCTTATCAACCATTGCATCGACTCTCTCCTGCGATTCTAGATCCAGATCCAACTTCCCAATCCCTATACTAGCGGAGGTACTAGGATGTCGTGACCTGGACTTATTGGGGGGTAGAGCATTTGAAGGCAATGGGGACCATGCTCTGCTGAAGTATGGGTTCGATTGTTCTGCCCTCATGGTTGCGCTGATGACCGAAGGCCCACTGCTATGGGCATGGCTGCTCTTGTGCTTGCTTGACCAGTAGCAGGAGTTGATAAACCGCTCCAGAAAGCTGGGGATGAGTATTGATATCGGCCTCCAGAGCGACGGCATGCATGCACAGATGATAGCAAGGTTATACTCGATGACCGTCCACACTGACGAGTTTATGTTCGTCCAGGGTGTATCAGAACGGGATGTTGCGAGGTCGATGGTTGTGATGCGGAGAATCGATGTTATGCAGACACTGAGTAAGAAATATCAGTATGTGGAGTCAGGTAGGGTAGGGTAACAAGGATGTAGTCAATTGTGAAACACACAATAATCCGAGAGCAAACACTCCGCACAGAGCCACTTTACTCCTGTCCGGCAGCTGTAGCCGAAGTATGACTGGAATGGGCAGCAGGACGATGAACACGTCGGTTGCAATGATGAAAGACGCATTTGCGAACCAAAATGCAGCCACATTGATGCATGTTCCACCTCCTGGAGTCTTCTTGTCAAACGCATAAGGGACTGGGTTGCACTGGAAAATACTTGAGACGACGGTCCCGGCGGTAAATGCAACAATGACTGCGATGCCCGCCCAACAGGTGGTCTTAAACCAGGGTGGAATGAAGACCTGAAGGTAGAGAAGCAAAACGCTTATCTTCGTCAAGGCGCTGGTTATCTTGTAGAATATCTGTGCGAAATAGTATAGCTGCAGTGAACGGTTAGTATGAGCGTCTATCCTTGGGCTATGAGGGGAAAAGAGACGCCCCGTACCTTTAAGGACTTTGCAAGCAACTCCGAAGGTATGTCATCTATATGTTTGCCAAATGCCCACCCACATACTATGGAGATATTAGTGTTTGTTTATGAAGAACAATTTGATAACAACTAGTGAAACTTACTGATGATCATCTGAATCGAAATGGTTTCCGCAAACACCTGGGCTCAGGCACACCGTTAGTCCACAGTATTATGCATTTCATGCTATATATCTCCAGTTGGCACAGGGAAGAAGGATATGCATGTATTCCATACCAGAGATCCCAATATGGTCCAGTCATCAGGTCCAAGGCTCTTTGAATAGTATCGCCGAGTGGCAACCCTCGCTATAATAAATAGTGGCGTGATAATGGAGAATACCAGAGCTGGAACAGCTAGACGATCGGAAATGTCTTCAACATCCCCGTAGTGACTGAAGAGCGGCATTATGCCTCATCGAGATAGGACTTTTAAGGAATAAATCCAGCCCATTTGGATATATTGTGGTAGAACAAAGGGGGAGGCAAAGACAAAACAAGAAAAAAAAGTGAGTGATATACAGACCGATAGAGAGGAGAAATAAGTAAAGGGTTTATTTTCTGGCCCATGGCTATGCCTGACAGCTTTTCAGCGGGATTGCCAATACAAGCCTCAAAGAGAGAAGGTAGTAGGTAGCCATGGGTTGTCCTATAGGAGCTGGATAAAGGCAATAGGGCAGGGGTTCGATTTCTCGACTCTATCCCACGCTGAACCAGAGCGCAGATTGGGATTCTGACTGGAATGTAGGGAATTGTATGGGCAGTGTTGCAATCATCCCATGTCATGGCCCGGGGGTATACATGCAGGGGAGGGCAGTCGGAATGAACACTTGACTAACTCAATAGGCACGCAAGGGGGGTCTCCGAAGAGGATTCCTTGAGCCAGAAACCCTGCTTAATATGGGCTGAGTTGGCTGGCAGTTGCTTGCTTGCTTCCTTCGCATGCATCCTTCGAGCGGCTTGTTACTCCTGGAGCTAGTTAGCTGGAGCCAGGCGTCCTTCCTGCAAGAGTACTATTAATTGCCTAATAGTAATAACAGACGGGACAGCCCGCCATGTCTTTTCGAGGTCGAGAGCCGGAGAAACAGGTTATCTTCCAACAAGAGCGGTTGGTTGGAAGACTGGCTCTTAACAGTGAACCCTGCCTTTAGCCGCTCCTTGCACCCCACGGCTATAGCACAAGGGCACATATAGTCTGGCCACGCTTGGTATCCGCACTCACCCGTCAGCGGAGCGCCAATTGCCCTCCGTTGCCTGGGGGTCTGTCTTCCCGAAGGTGCTGGGATGTGTAATTAGTCTCTGCTTTTCCTTCAAGGGCCAAAAAGCAAGGCCCTGCGAGAGTGTTTCTCTTACGCAATTGATCGCAAGACATGTCGATCGGGCCCTCGAATGGAGCGCCAACATTTGAACTATTATGACTGCTCGAGTTGATATAATAGCGCAAGCTGAGCTGACGGTATGTCCTCCTTGGGGGTTGCAGCTCAGATACGATACTCCGGGCAGAGACGACAGGTGAAGTGGAAATTAGCTAGTTAAGGACCCCATAGCTAACGACGGGTAACTAGCTAGTTAAGTACATATAACTGGCTAGCCAGCGAGTTAGTTAACTAGTTAGCACCAACCTCCGGCTGGCTGAGACCTTTTCCAGGCGATTACCGCTGGAAGAACAGTATTATAGCCTTAGGAAAGGGGGGAAAGGGTCTCTCAGTGATAGCTACTAAGGCAACAGAAGCTGTTCGAACAAAACCTGAACGTCAATTTCACAAAGCCGGACGAGTGAGACTGTAACTAAGGAAGCAGGTTTAGACGGAATTCTGTGCGTCAGGATAAGATCTGGCATGGGGATTGCCAATATATTGTTAGAGATATAACTTCATGCTGGACTCAGGAAGCCGGGATAGGTCTACAGAGTACAACAGGCCCACGTCCGCCACTTCAGAGCGATGACTGACCGAGAGAGGGATCCCCGGCGAATAGCAATAAGAATCAAGGTGACTGACTCCCTTCTGTACGTTCTATACCGAGTGATTCTCTGGCGTCTTTGGTGCCTCCATCATTGACTCGGCCCATTCTAATAATCCCGTCGCCGAAAGAGCTCCATGACCAACAGCCACAGCCTCGCACAGCTGGTTGGAGAGAAGGAAACGAAGCAACTGGCTACAATTACCAATACTTGGGGGTTACATGCTAACTAGTTAACTGGTCAGCCCGTACATTATGTTCATCACGCCCGGGGAGGTAGAAGAATGCTTAGGCAAACCAGAAAACTGTACGGAGAGCACAGTAACTAACCACAAAAGACAAGGGAGAATCTTTAGAACACTGCGAAGGTGCTCCGTAATTTTAACCGAGCCCACCCATTTTGCACATGGATGGACGAAGGGAGCCTAGCTTTCGGTCTGTAACGTCTGTAACTATGCAAGAAGAGCTTCGAGTCATGATGCCTACTCTCCCAGCCTTCACGGAGTATTCAGAATGTGTGCACGGAAAGTCCCTTTGAGCCCGGGATCTCCGATCAGACAGTTACTATTAACTGGACCTCCAATCCTCGACTTGCACCCTGGTGGTTTCTTGCTTGTGTGGAGCGGCGGGTCCCCTGCTAGTCGTCTATACAGAGAGATGTGAGAGTTAATGCTAACTAACTAAGGGGCACTAGGGGATTTTCTCTCGCAGACTTTGCTGGAGGGCCCCTGCACAGGCTTGTTTCGATGGGACTACAAAAAAAATCCATCCCCTCCCGTTGTTGACAGCAACTGGATGGTTCTCTTGTTTACTGTGGATTCATTAATGAGTCAGTTATTATAGTTACCTCAGGGCGGGAGTACGGAGCCGGAGTATACCCACACAGCATACTTAGATAAAGTAAACTCAGGCTGTCCCCATGTGGTAGACACGACATCATCCATACCTTGGGTCACTGCAAGCAATCTGCCAGTGGACATGGATCCTACCGTTTCCCTTGACTAGTGTACATACATACGGAGTACAGGTCTTGACTTGCCTTAGGGCCGATGCCACCAATCCGCCCGAGCAGATGGCAGGTTTGTACTCTGGACTCCCGACTCCGGGCTCTAGACCCTGCACTTCCTGGACTTTTGTACTCTGCAGGCCGGGCTCGAAGAAAATTCTGCACCCGTAAATAAAAATGGCTGTGGACGACACCCGGTTCCATTCTTCCTTCGCCATTTCTGCCATAATTTCTGAAATCGGCGCAGTTTTCAGACGGCTTTCCCTAAAAAACTCCATCACAAGTACCAGAAGATATGGCAGATCTGGCAGTAGGGGAGAAGACGACTCCTCGGGAGATTGGAGTCGAAAGATCTGATTCAGAATGCGGCCCAGCGGGAGAAGGAAGCATGTCGCCCCAGGCAGAGAAGAAAATGATGCGCAAGGTTGATATCAACTTGATGATTCCCCTATGGATCCTCTTCGTCTTTGGCTTTCTCGACCGCATCAATCTCGGAAACGTGGCTGTTTTGGGGATAATGGAGGAATTGAAGCTCAGGGGGAACCAGTTCAATGTTGCCGTCCAGGTTTTTTTCGTGCCATACGTTCTGATGGATATTCCAAGCAATATCCTGCTGAAGAAGTTTGCTCCATCAACCTGGATCAGCATGCTCACTTTCTTGTGGGGTGTGTGATATCATTTCTACTCCCTTTTCTCGTCCGAATGAACACGTTGACTGAGCGATTGTAATCTCTAGGCGTATCCTCCATGTGTCAAGGCTTTGTGAGAAACAATGGCGATCTCATTGTGTGTCGCTTTTTCATCGGCGCGTTTGAGGCTGGCTATGTCCCTGGCTGCGCATACTTGATGGCCACATACTACAAAAGACATGAATTCCAGAAGCGACTTTCACTCTTTTGGGTTGCAGGTCTGCTTGCAGGCGCTTTTGGAGGCCTCCTCGCATACGCCATTGATCATATGGATGGCCTCGGAGGCTATTCTGGCTGGAGATGGATATTTATACTGGAGGGCCTCTTTTCAATCGCCCTTGCGGGACCCGCAAAGTTCTTTATTGCCGACTGGCCAGAGCAGGCCAAATTCCTGACTAGCAAAGAAAGGAAAATGATGGTTACTCGCAGCAGCCAAGATGTTGGCGGAGGTGCACGTATGGACAGGCTTGACCTTGCTGCCTGGAAAAGGATCCTATCTGACTGGAAGCTTTATGTTGGTACACTCATATATATCAACATTACAGTGTCCGGATATGCGACTGCTCTTTTCATCCCAACTATTGTGAAATCCCTCGGGTATTCTGGCATCCAAAGCCAAGTCCACAGCATTCCGGTATGGCTTGTGACTGCGTTCGTCACACTCGTTGTCTCATACCTTACAGACCGCTTGAAGCACCGGCTTGGATTCATCATCTTTGGTGTTATGTTCGGGAGCATTGGGTATATCATCCTCCTTTGTCAGGGTCCCGTGGGTGGCGGGCTACCTGACGCTGTTCGCTACATGGCAGTATTCTTCGTCAGCATTGGCTGTTATATTGTCCAGCCCGTGACAATCGTCTGGTTTGCGAATAACCTAGGAGGTCATTACAAACGAGCTATTGGCCTGGCGATCCAGATTGGAATCGGTAATCTGGGCGGCCTGGTTGCAAGCAACGTCTTCGTACCCAAAGACGCACCCCGGTACTTCGTTGGCTATGGTGTTTGCCTGGCCACCATGATCATGTGCGGAGTTAGTAGTATTGTCCTTGCTCTTGGGCTTATGCGTGAGAACAGATTGAGAGAGCAAGGCAAGCGTGATGATCGGCTTCAGCTGGATGAAAGCATCCTGGGGAACATGGGCGATGACGATCCGCGCTTCCGATTCACGATCTAACGAGACATGTTTTTAGCGGTTTTAATGACAGTACGATAATGAAGTATCAGTATAGGTTTAACTAACTAATGCCATACCCTTTTATACCATCCTCCTTGACACTGGTTTTGCGGTTGATGATTTAATACCCTATATCCCATAAAAGGCCATGTTATGTTGCCTCTACCCGAGCCGAGTACCCCGGACCAGACTTATTGTATATCACTCGAGCCTCTAAGGAAGGCCAGATACATTGCAATTTTAGCTGGTATTAGCCTTGTGATAGCTTTCAGCTGATGAAATATTGCGGAAAGTAGTCTTATATCCTCCTGTACGATGGGATGAAACTGCGCAATCTGTGTAACGAACGGCAGAGTTGCGTTTCAAATCAGCATCGACACGGTATAAAATGTTCACTCCATGCGTTACCATAGAGAATAAAGGGTCATAAGACGGTGTTATGAGAGCAAGTCGTTGATATGCGTGAGCCATGGAGTTGTGTGTCGTTGATGAGGGTTCGGCCCAGGTGGGAAAATATTTATAGGCAGAATGTCGGCTTCTTCTTGACCACATCGCTACAACAGTGAAGACGGAAGATCGACCTGGATCACATCTACAGCCAGCTGTAGCCAAAAGCATATTGACGAGCTCATCCATATACTTGACGGCCTTGGTCTAGAAAAGCTCCACCACTTCTCAGCATCATGCGTCTTGCCGGAATGAACATGGCCTCCATGGCCTTGATAACCATATCATGCCTTGCACCTTTTACCGGGGCTGTGTGGACTTGTCCCAGCGAAAGAGAGGCCTACTGCTGCACTCACTATGAAGACAAGACTCCCAAGGGTCTCTTTGGAACCGGATGTATGTAAAATTCCCTGTGTAAAGACGTGACGGCGTTCCATGGCTGTATGCTGATGCATCAATAAACTGGATCTTACAGGCACCCTTGCTCCGAGGAAAGAAGGCTGTAAAGATAAATCACCCGTGGAATGCTGCAAGCCTTTAGTACGTCCTCTCTTCTGTCTTGAACGTGTTTATAATAAAAAAGAAAACAAGACGAAAAGAAAAGGAGTATCTGATAATTGTTCTGATGATAGGCCGATCAGACCACTCATTTCTGCGATAGCCGTGCAAAGGGGTACATGTTTGTTGACCAGAAAGAAGGTCATCAAAAGGCATAGATGTACGGTTGTGGGGGGTCACAAAAGCCAGTACACGCAAGGGGAAGAGAACAGGGACTCGAATAGTATTGAATAGGGGATGCTGTAAGATCTTCTCGGGATGGTGCAAAGCAGGTCATCAACACCTGCTTATAACGATCGTTCTATGAATGGAATTTATCTTCAAACATAACAACGGTGGGCCATACTAAATCATGCCGTAAGTTCGTGGAAATATGTCTATTGATATACCCAGAGACAGCATGGACAAGAACAGTATTCACAACTCAGTCTCAGTCGGGATATCCCAAAGCACCTCAGCATTATGCTGGAACAATCTTTTGACCATATCCTGATTTCCACCACACCAGTCAACACAAGCTTTGATGAACGGGACAATGTCGACCGAGTCGAACCTCGTGTGCGGCCAGTCAGTAGCAAACACAACCCGACCGGGTGCGACACGCATACATTCCGTGAATATTTCCCGTAGGCCATCAAACTGGGGGTTGCTTGTGAGACGGTACGCAGCAGATATCTTAACATATGTATGACCACCTTTCAACAGCTCGATCATCTCCGCAAAGCCAGGGAGGGAATAAGGGTCAAAGCCTGTCGTGCTGGCCGGGCCAGAGACTGAAATAGGTAGTTTGGGGCTTGCGAAGTGGTCGAGACACACAGTGACCCCTAAATGTGGTACAATTTCTACCAGGGGTGGGACATGCTGGAGGGCAATGTATAGCTGCAAAACCCAGCCATAGGGGCGAATGATATCCGCATACTTGTGCATAACTTCCTTCAGTTCCCCGGCACTCATCTCCTTGCCAGTCGATTGCAGGTTAAGTCTCACTCCACGTACACCCCATTGATGCCATGAATTAAGGGTATCATCAGATGGTGGGTTAGCAGGATCCAGGGAGACCACAGCTCTACCTTGCTTGGAGCCCAGCTCCTTCAACCCCTCGAGCATGCATGAGTTGTCGAATCCGTATATAGACGGCTGTACCAGGACAATATTTTGGATGCCAACCGAAGACTCAAAAGTCATCGCATCAGACAGTGTGTGAATAGGGGGCACATATTGGGCATCTGGTGCGAGGGGGTATTTCTCTGGGTCAACGATGTGCATATGGCTATCCCATGATGCCGGAGGGAGTTTTGGCAGAGTGCTCATGCTCCTGTACCTCGGAAAAATGGCCTTAGAGAACCGATATGATGTAGTTGGCCAACAAGAGGGCAGCCTGCGATGTAGGTATCTCATGGCAAAGGGTGTGTGTAGTCTGGCTGTTGTTCCAGCTCTTGATTCCTCAAAAACACCATCAGGCCAGTCACGTGGAAATCAGCAGATGGAGACGGGGAGAAACAGTCCGCTGATTTTCAAGGATGATCCAGGGTGTTATCATTGTAGACGGAGAATGATGGAACGTTAAGAAGAGATGAGCCGTCTCCTCTCCGTTTTGCGGTCCGTTGGGCGACCATTCAATATTTGAAATCCTGTTTGCAGTCTGAAGGTATACTTCTAAACGATTTATTCAACGGTATATTTAAGCGATTTTGCATGTAGTTAAGTCCAAATAACCGTAATCCTATCTAAAGACGAAATAAATGAAAAGCAACGCCTAGCCACCACCATCATGTATATATAGTATGCAGAAGCCAAAATGCCAGGATTTTTCTTCCTATAAGTATATAAAAAAAAAAATTCGAAAGTAGATCAAGCATAGCTTTCAAGGTCGAGGAAAATGAAAGACAAATGGTATATACTCTAACTTGTCGGCCCGGTGCCGGCCCAGTTAGTAGAGTCGAACCCTGCCCCAACACCACCGGGCGTGTTAGGTTCCGCATATGAGAAGGCTTCGAATAGCTCTGGTGCGATTTCATACATTCGATCTTGAGCGATGAAGTCAGGCGGGTCAGGTAGCGGTGGGGTATCCATCATGAAGTTTTGGTGTGGCAATGGCTGTTGGTGCTGCTGATGTGCCTGTTGGGGATCTGCTGGAGGAGGTGTGATACTAAACGCCCCATGGGGTGGCAGGGTATACATATGTTGGCTATGTAAGGGGTCTAGAGAGGAAGGCGGCGACGATGTAGTAGTTTGTGGGGATACAGCCGGGATGGTTTGTTGATCTGGGTTGGCCGGCGTGTCGAATATATTGATTCGGAGCTTCTTGAGCTCTTTCTCAATCAGGCCAAGGGCAGTGTGTATTACTAGTTCAAGGTTAGCTACAATGAGTTTTTCAAGGTACCCTTCACTTAATGGATGCAGACCTGGATTGGCAGCTTTCACGCGTTCAAGGGCTAGGATGCAGTATCTCAGCTTTTCCAACGTTGAAGGAGACGCATATTTCAATGCCTGGATCTCAAGTATGAAGATAGAAGCAGCTGTATATAAACTGTATGCAAGAGACAGAACGACGTGACTGTCACCAAATGTCCGTCTAAAGAGGTCATAAAGAGATATGTTGGAGGATGCAGAGGAGAGGCATTGAACCAAATGGTTAGCATTGCTTGCAGCATTTGCCCTTGACCTGAAGGGCCTGGAGCAGAGCATTGGACGGTGGAGGAGGATGTTGGTAGTGTGATATATGCAGCTAGAAGAATTAGCGGTATACTTCAAGAACAAGGGCAGATAACATACTTAAGAGTCACAACATGGCTTGGTGGGCAATATGTGGGAAGATTATTGGGGATGAGTTTTAGGAATGGCGGGAGCTCATTCCACCATTTTTCGAGATTGGCTCCCTGTTTATCCACACATTCCTGTATCTGAGCTTCCGTGCTTTGGCGAACAGGATCATAGATATGGATAATAATTTGATTGAGGATTTCAGCCAACGAACACATCTTCATGAAGCATGACGTCGAATGTGCCTGCGTCGGAGGATAGTGCATGCCCTCGGGGAATACTACTCCGTGAGGAGTCCATATCTCGATCTCTGCAGTATCGTCCACTTGAATGCCACGTTAGCAATGCGACCAAACGAGAAGGGGGTAAAGGTAAACTTACAAAGAATCCGCGGCGGAGAGACCGGGGTATCCTGGATGATTGGAGATCGACCAAAGTAGAGCGACACCAGTTTGTCCCAAAAGTAACAGCTCCAGAAAAGTCGATTTCTTATCTCAACGTCTTCATCTGAGAACTGCACTGACCCAGAGTACTTTCGGCTATCGATGGTTATACCTAAATCCTCTAGTAGTCGAAAGGCCATCCCGCTGTATAACCACGCCTGCGTACGATTTCCACGGCCGCATTCCTGAGCGCTGAGAAGAAGAAGCGTTTGGACAACCGTTATTTGACCGTTTCCACCTTTCAAACTTTCGAATAACCCCGTCACGGCTCGTTGTCGGAATTGCTGCCCTCCATCGTATGCATCAAGCATACGAGCAATCTTCGGTTCGTCCCTGCACCATCGAAGCGAGTGGGAGAGAATAGCGTTCAGGAGGATTTCCGAAAAGTAAGGGCCGTTCATCTTCATGTCACCTATAATATCAACCCAAAATTTAGCTATCCAGAATGAAATGATCTCTTACAATTGCCATGATTGGGTACATACGTGTGAAAGCCGGGCGATAAACGAAATTAAACAAAGGCTGTATCCAACACCAATGAGAATCCAGAAGGTAGTTGAATGGTTCCTATTTTGGAGCGGATTAGTGGATGACCAGACATATCTCGACGAGAACGGTCCCCGTTTCGTCGAAGTCAGAAAAAGCTCATACTGGGATGGTAGTCAACTGCTCGAAGGCACGTTCTCTCCATGCATTGTTAATGAGACGCTCCTTTCGACCATCGGACTCATTATCGACTGGCAAAGCCGGGTTAGCTGCCTCTGCCAGACCGCTCGGCAGCTGGAATAGACTCGTTGGCCCATGGAAAGAGATGCGCCCATCATCTTCTACTGTTAAGCCTTCGATGTCCCGAGAGAGTAAATCCACGGCTTCCTTATCATCTTCACGGTGTTGCTCGAGTGACTCGATAGACGAAGGCCGATCTGATTCCTCGACCTTTAACCCCTGCTGCTCCTGTTGTTCTGTGTCACCGCCATTGCGGCTCTGGGGCTCGTTTCTATACTTTGCCAGCTCCGCTTCGAGCTTTGCGATGCGTGATTCGAGGGTTCGCGTGTACGACAGCGTTGGGGTTCTTCAGCTATCAATTAGTATTTGCTTATGCGGCGCTGGATATTTGTAACGAATGTGGTCAAATTCTCACAATGTATACACGCATGTTTCTCCCCGCGCGGAGCAGCGCGAACATGACGGTGTCGCAGCATTACATTTTACCTATACCGCCGTAAGCCTCTAGGTTGATTAAACGATCAAAGCATAATTTATATAATTACCTTACGCTTGCGACATGCCTCGCATGAGAAAGCGCTTTTTCGAGAGATTGATGGTTTTGACGAGTCAGACATGGGATCCAACGAGAGGTGAGCGCAGCGTGAATCGGCCTGTGAGTTCGTGGCTCAACGGCCATCTCACGGGATCCGAGAGCGCTATTCGTATTCCTGGTACCCGTTCGCAACTTGGTCGGACAGCAAGCAGCTTGCTATCCCATCTTGTATCTTTTATATCAAATCGCATTACAAAAACGAGATCAACGTGAGGCCAAATTTCCGCGGGGCAAAACCGGGTCGGGATTTGGTTTCTCCATAGCCGAGGTAAGCGCTGTCGGAGGTCGGATAAAGGGTTTATCCATATCACATGATACCTATTACATACTCCCAAAGCGGAAGGTGAAGGTGATTTTAGGTCTATCTAAAACATCTACTATACTACCTATTACACATACCTAAGTAAGCACCGTGTTGTACATCTATATGGAGAGGCCGGAGTCCTGTGGAGAAATAGAGAGGTCATTGGAACCTCCTTTCGAGGTTGACAAGCCAGGCGTGTACGTCGTCGACCTTCATCTTCATCTTTGCAGTTGTCCGTTCACCAGGTTTCGCGGAGAGAGAGATATCCCAGCAGGGTATGCCGTCCAGCAGCGCCTTGATTTCGTCCTCACTCTTGCCGCCAACCTGGCCGGACAAGTCAATGTCTACCGATCCGTCGGCGACATTCTTGGGTCCCATGATGAAGACTAGGTTGTACCTCGCAGCATGAGCGTCGTGGATCTTCTTGGGAAGTGATCTACTGGCAAGATCGAGATCGACGTTGAACGTCGGTTGCAGCGGTGATAGAGGTAAGCCAGTACTTGAGGGGCGGCTGGACGTGATGGGTTCGAACCCTGAGATCTTAGCCACTGCATCTTCTGCGGCTTGCTCTATCCCCTTCCCGATAGTAAGGAGGATGGCCTGGCGGGGTGAGAGCCAGAAAGGCCATTGGCCGTTGTATCGTTCAATCAAAAGCGCAAAGAACCGCTCAAGGGAGCCAAAAATGGCCCGATGAATCAATACAGGGGTGGCCCTCCCGCCCGTAGCTGGGTCATATTCCTCTGAGCCCTCGGGAACTAGATACTCTAGCTCAAACCTCTGTGGGAGATTCATATCCAATTGTATGGTAGATAGCTGGTGGTATTTGCCCTGGGAGTCCTGAATCTGCAAATCAATCTTTGGGCCGTAGAATGCGCCGTCCCCCTCATTAAGCTCCCAGCTTAGGCCGCTGTTATCCAGTGCCTGTCGAAGCTGTTGCTCGGCATTTTCCCATTGCTCCAAACTGCCGATAAAGTCCTTTTCCGGCCGGGTAGAGAGGACAAGTCTGTATCCCTCTGCAAGTCCAAAGGTTTGGAGGACAGTGTCCGCGAACTTCAGCGCCAACTGTATCTCGCTGCCGATCTGACCTGGACGACAAAAAATGTGTCCGTCATCCTGGTGGAATCTCCTTACCCGCGTTAGACCCGAAAGCGAGCCCGAAACTTCGTTACGGTGGAGAGGGCTAAAATCCGCATATCGGACCGGGAGTTCTCGATATGAATGCTTCTGAGATTTGAATAAAAGGCAGTGTCCAGGACAGTTCATAGGTTTTAAGCCATATATCTCATTCTCGCTCGTCTCGCTCGCCTCGCCGGTATCCCCTCGCCCTCCTACCTCGTACATATCATCCTTATAGTTTTGCCAGTGTCCGGACACTTCCCACAGCGATTGTTTATAGATATTCGGGGTGAGGACTTCACGGAATCCGTACTGCTTGTATTGGGCGCGAAGGAAGGTGATGAGCTTGTTGAGGATGTGAGTACCATTGGGGCGGAAAAGAGGGGATCCAGGGCTATAAATGGAATTCGTAAACAGGTCTTGCGCTGTACCGAGAGCTCTGTGATCCGCCGAAGCTGTCGGGGCCGGTTTTATATCGGGTGTCTTGGTGTCCTGCTGCGCTGAGCATGAGCAGAATCTGCTCTGAACCGGCGACGCAGCAGCAAACACCAGTTGCCGTCGACTTATTTGGCGAAATGACGACCGGCCGCCCCATCTCTGGGCTGCCAAAGGAAACCGTCTCATGAGAGACCCTGCTTCGTTCGATGGTCTTGTAGTCTTTCGTTTCGTCGAGTTTCTTCATCGCGAAGTTTTGCCTTTTACCCCCCGGGCCGAGCTCCTATCACGTGTAACTAACTAGTTACCTGTTATTCTGCCCCTTTTAACAAAAGCCGATGAAACAACAACATCAAGAAACCGGCGGAGAAGCGGGAATATTCATAACTAGAAGAATTCACAGCTCCTATTACGCAACAGTATGAGGATGATCGGTGCAAAATAACTTATTATCTGTCCTCCGATGGCCTGAGACACGCACCCTTTGATTTCACTAGTTAATTAGTTAGTGATTATATTACCTCGGCTCTGGTGGCTTGCTATGTAGTAAGAGCAACTCCTCCAGCATCCTTATTTTAAATCGACACTTCGTCTACTTTATATACCTAAGACTGTGCTGCCGTCACTGCGTTAAAGACCCAATATCTGCCCCAGGAAAGTTATCTGCTTGTTACAGGATAGCAGACCCAAGACGACATTTGAAGATATCCAGGAAGAAAGGCTCTCATCCATCCACAGCAATCATACCATACAGCCAGAGATAAATATACCAAGATGTCTCCATCTCTACCAGAATCGTATGCGACCCTACCAACCGAGCACATCAAGCTCTCCCATGTCCCAGCATCATCGCCGACACCTACACCGGTATTGCTGCTTACATTGCACCGGCCGGAGAAGCTCAATGCCTACACGGAGCAAATGTCCAGAGAAATAGCTTCAGTGTTCGGGATGGTTGATATTGATGACCGTGTGAAAGCCGTTGTGATGACGGGCTCCGGCGACAAGGCGTTCTGCGCCGGTGCAGATTTAGACATTGGTTTCAAAGGAATGGGGACCGGAGGTGCCGCTGCCAGGGAAAAGGACCACAGAGACGGGTATGTATACGGGTGCCTTAAACAACCAAATCTCAACTACGGCTAATACCTTGGTGAAGTGGTGGTAGAATAACCCTGGCAATACATAACTGCCGAAAACCAACTATAGCAGCCATCAACGGATCCGCCGTTGGTATTGGTATCACCATGACGCTACCAGCAACCATCCGCGTGGCTACCGCAAAGGCAAAAATCGGCTTTGTATTTTCCCGCCGTGGGATTATCATGGAAGCCGTGTCCTCATTTTTCCTACCAAGGCTTATCGGCTACTCTCGTGCCCTGCACGTCGCTACCACTGGTCTAGCATACCCAGCTGAACATCCTTTACTGAAGGACTTATTCTCAGAGCTCCTACCTACGCCAGAAGCTACACTGGCTAGAGCTCTCGAGATAGCTGATGATATTGCACGTAATACGTCGACGATATCAACCTCGTTGATGAGAGATCTCATGTATCGTGGCCCAGACAGCGCAGAGGCAACGCATCTGCTTGATTCTTCCCTTATCTATCCCCTCTTTGGTAACAGAGACAACGAAGAAGGGGTAAAAAGCTTCTTCGAAAAGAGAAGCCCACAGTTCAAAGGGTCATTCAACAACCCGAAAGATGTCCCTGCTGCGTATCCCTGGTGGAACCAAGTTGACGTCTCCCCACCAAAGCTCGCTTCGAAATTATAACCAATAGACAGATGAATGTGTGCTCCTTTACTTACCTTATCTACACAGAATGCCTTAGCTAGCGTAGACTAAAGCAAATGATTGAATGAAACCTTTCATTGTTAATAATGCTGAAGAGTGGTGTATATCTTTGATAAACTAAATAATAACACAAAGAGCAAATGCAACAACTGGGCCGGGTCTAAATACAGTCCATAAATCATTCATATCCAGATCATAGACAAGGGGACGATGGAACTATCGTAGAGTAACCAATTCCTCCGCGCTGGTAGGATGGATGGCTACACAAGAGTCGAAATCCTTCTTGGTGGCACCCATCTTCATTGCGACACCAAAACCTTGCAACATCTCACCAACACCAAGGCCGAGAATATGCAATCCAACAACTTTCTCCTCGGGCCCGGCACAGATGAGTTTCATCTCAGTGGGGTTTTTCTCTTTCTCCTCAGCTGGGAAAACGCTGAAGAACATATCTGTGAATTTGGTGTGGTAGATCTTCAAGTTCTCCTTGCCATACTTTTCGATGGCCTCGGGTTCAGTGAGGCCAGAGGTTCCGACCTCGGGGTGGGAAAAGACCACAGTTGGGATATTGTCGTAGGAGAGCTTAGAGGACTTGAGCTCTGGAGGCCCAAAAAGGCGGTTTCCAAGCTGTCGACCAGCAGCAATAGCGACTATTATGATAGTTAGCAGAGAGAAGCAGTAGAACAAAGGGCCACATATATCTACTTACCTGGAGTTAACTCTGCCTGACCTGTTACATCCCCTAGAGCGTAGATACCATCGACCGAGGTGTTTTGGAATTCATCGACGATAATGTGGCCACTTTCCTTTTGCTTGACGCCAATCTCCTTGAGACCCAACTTTGTAACTGCGGGAGCACGACCAATAGCCCAAAGAAGCTCGTTGACCTCCATCTCTGATCCGTCATCGAATGTGAGTTTAAGACGCTTTTCCGCGCCTTTCCCGGGGCTTAGCAATTCAACCTTCTTCATTCCAGTATATCCTCGGTGGAGGTGCATGCCAGTGGCCTCATAGCGTTTTGTCATAGTCTCCTGGATCATGGGGTCAAATTTCCTCAAAAAGGTGTCTCCGCGGATGAACATGTGTGTCTCGACACCAACGGCATTCATAACACCAGCCAATTCAACCGCAATGTACCCGGCTCCAACCACGGCCAGCTTGGGAGGCAACTCTTCAATTTCAAAGAAGCCGTCGCTAGTGATTCCATGTTCGGCACCCGGGATATCCGGGATGATAGGATAGCCGCCAACAGCGATCAGGATGTGTGGTGCGGTAACCATTTTCTTTCCAGATCCGTCCATCAGATCAATCTCTAAGACCTTGGGTTCGACGAACTTGGCAGTTCCCTTAACAAGATCAATTCCCTCACGGTTCCAGTTGCGTTCATAGATGCCATTTAGGCGCTCAATGGTGGCATCTCGTGTACGCTTGAAATAACCATAGTCATACTTGATATTTTTGGGGACGTCATATCCGTAGTGTTTAGCATGTTCGAGGTGTTCGTTGATTGAGCCGAAGTTCCAAGTCATCTTCTTTGGAACGCATCTGGATACACTATCAGCAAGTCGCTCCTTTATAGTTTATTATAAGGGTAATATATCTCATACCCGACGTTAACACAGGTGCCTCCAGATCGCCCATTCTCAACGATAAGGGTCTTTGCCTTGTACCAACCGGCAGCCCGTCTAGCACCACCGCTACCACCGCTGCCACCTCCAATCACAATATAATCGTACTTCTCTACGCCTTCCATATCAATTGGTGCCATTTTGTCCTGCGAAGCGGGAGTTGAAGATAGCTGCCGGGCAATAGCTCCGAGACGGGGTGAGGAATGGGTCACTGTGACCTTCCTAGTCGCCAGTGTTCTGTTGCGAGCGGCAAGAGGGGAAAATAAGCCGCTATGGGGACGCTGTTGAATATGATATCGGCGAATAGATGAGTAGAACGGGGGTGAAATGACAGATGGCGGGAGAAGGGAGTTCTTATGTCTGGTGCAACGTCCGAGTTGAGACAGCAGCGTCGAGGCGGATAGCGGGGTGGGCAGGGAGGGCATGCCTTGGATGGCGGCGGGGAAAGGGCAAAGACACGGGCGAGCGAAAAGGAAAAAGAAAAACGACCAGGATGGGCCTTGGGAGTCCCTGCGAGTTGTTTCTGGTCTTCGTCGCTTTCTTCTTCTTCCCGTCTGCGCCTTTGCTGCTGGCGGCTTTTCTGACCAGGCGTCGCTTTCCTGATTATTCAGCCGGCACTTTTCGGACGGGCCGAGGCTTGCTGAGCATGGAAACCTTGTTATGTAAGGTTCCGGGAAAGTATGGATTACTAATCAAGGAATTACAAATATTCCGTGCTTATGTCATACAGGAGGCGGCAGGGGCTCCCGCGTCCCGTTAGGGGCTGACTTTCCCAGAGGGGAAACCAGAACTACAACCGTCCACCGTCAACTATCAACTACCTGCCTGGCTGAATTCATGGGAAAGAATCGTACCAAAGGCATACGATATGACCCAAACCTAGGACTCCGGCTCAATATCAAAGGCTAGTGCACCATAAATCCCTGCCGTTCTATCTATCAAGCACATACGATCACAGGAAGTGGAAAACAGAGCTTCCCGTCCGCTCAGCTGTACTTAAGCCACTTGCCGGTCGGCTAGTAGTTGGGTGGGTGACCACCAGCGAATCCCGACTTTCGTATGTCTTGATTTTTTTGGCCATTTTATTTTATTTTGACCTCTATTTTATATTATCATGTCGACCCAAGTTACTGCTCCTGGAGAAGAAGAGTGGTATCGGGTTTACAACCCTGAGCTTGACACAGCTGCTTTCGATCCTCTTGACCCAGAAAAAAGATACCACGAAGGTGTACTCGTTGAAACCAACCCTGGCTATGGGAAAGGAACTTTGTTCCACGTTACAGGGGATATTATTGCTGCCAGTGGCATGCGCTACGAGGAGCGAGAGTTCGATCGAGAGATGGAATCGGAATATCTACACAGCTTCCCACAAATTGGAAGGGTTTTACGGACCGATTTTCACTCTGGAAAAATCAGCGCCATTTTAAAAGAACTGCCACGACCAACCAAGCAGCAAGGTATTAATTTTTGGGAAGTTGATCCTACCACCGGGCGCCATGAGATCATCCGGACTAGACAGGACGGGCAACGCTACGGACCTGACGAGCAACGGCGCCCTATTTTCAAGTGTAATGAGTGGACTCGTCAATACGCAATTCCGGCCTTGCGAGGGGCTGGAGTCTTGCTCGATTCTCTTTAGCTTGAGGGAAGAGCTTGGGTAATTATGTTTTTTATTGACATGACTTAATGTATGCTCTTTGTATTTAGAATACTTGCCATATCCCGACTAAAACCATGTCATTTCCTGGACATACGGCAACAAGACTTAGGGGTACGTGTACAACTGTGAGATGCCCATTTATATAACGCAGGAGTACGTATACTCGAGATGTGTGGTTCTTAATTCTTATATCACTCATTAATTTCACTCCTTTTTCACTGTGTACTTTTCACCAAGGTAACTAACTATCCAGCGGAAACACCTCACGCGAGCTCCACAGTGAAGAGCTTCTAAACACAATATGAGCAGGATAGTGATTGGAGGCAGGCCGCAGGGTGCCACCTGGTGTTGAGGGTTCTAACCACAGTCGGATACGAGCAACCTGCTCAGGGACTGCCGGGATTGCCTAGTCGGGAGTCGTTAGCACCGCGTATAGAGGCCCTGTTGGAGGCCCTCGGGCCCCGTCGGAGAGCTGAACGAATACTTATTTTCACACAATATGGAACATGCAGGGGAAAATATTCAGGTACGCTATGCGTTGAAACTCCTCTCGACTCCCAATCTTTACTCCTTGTATTGATTACCCTAAAGTCTGATTTGGGAAAATGCAGGCTTGAACAATTTATCAAATTTGATGCCAATTATAAAGGAAGTAAAGGCCAAGTGTTCCAAATGCAACCGCACGAAGTCTAAACCATGGATCGAACCGATGCCAATTCCACGCTGGCTGTTTCCTTAATGGAGGGAATGAATACGACATAAGGGGATGACAATGACAGAACTGACCATCGTTCCTCCAAGTTTCTCTTTTAGCGTTGTTGTCTTGGCCGTTCAGCTGTATTTCTTCATACTCTTGACTGTTGTTTATTGCCACCAGGTATGTCAAAGGCATGGCGTTGAGCTGGTCGGAGTGGATGAACCAGCGAACTGGGTTAACTAGCTAGCTGACTAGTGTGGCGCTACGGGCCGAGGAGGGTCACTCACCACGCGCGGGTCAAAGAAGCAATGTTATGTCTGGCCCGACAAAGGTAGGCAGAAAGATCTGATCGACTGGAAATACCTTGTCGTAGCATTTTTCAACATCTACTCCGTACAGCAGGCTTCAAAGGATGCAGCTATCGAAAGGACAAATCTCAGCTAGTCGCCACTTAAACTGATATAGTTAAGTGTCCGATATGGCATTCGGGAGACATATGCTAGGATTATGCATGCACGCACGAGAGGTCAGCGGCTATCCAACGGGACATTTACCTCCTAAAGTTATATTAGGCTGGGAGCTACCCACTCGCGGGATTTGATAGTTTGATCGATCCGTCTTTAATTCTTATTACAGGGTATCCAGGGATAGTTTTGCTAGTTATAGTAACTGTTAAGGAATCTCTCGTTCTCTAGCGACAGGGGTAAATTCTCTTCTCGTACCAGTCAAGAAAGAGCGACAAGGAATAGCTTATTTCATTATCCCCCGATGACATTAAATCATTACACTGAGATGCGAGCTGCTTTCATACATTAACACATAGTGAAGCCACTGTCAGTCAATGAAGATCTACGTCCTCTTTATGCAGACGGGAACATGCCGAACCTTTGATATGGCCCGACCACCATTTGTTCCTGCATTGGACGGCACAGCAAGGCGGAATGGGACCTGTCTTCCACGCCCAGACACATCGGAACCAACTCGTGAACATGTCACCAAGTGGAATTGGTCGTGTGCTCACAAGCTTAAGCACGATGACGTCACGTAATTTCGGGTGAGGCGTCTTGGTGTAACAAGTGATTGGCTCTGATTGGCGACGTTTCATTGGACTAATTGAGGCTGCATGGGAAGTAAGCGCCGAGGACCCACAAAAGCTTGTTTTTGTGGGTCCATTTACCCGCCGGTGCCGCCACGACCCAGAGATTTTCACATGTAAGAACTTCGGCCTGTATACCTAGTGGTCCTGGCATGTACCACCAAGATCGGCATGCTTGGTGAAATGGGGGGCCATTCATGCAGCTACTATAGTTAAGATTCCATGACCCAGCGACTACTAATGTAGAGTACTTACGCAAGCTCGATAAATAAGAATAAATTAATATTTCTCTCCAAGCATGTGAACTATTGATAGAGATCCATCCCCATGAATAAACCCATCCCGTACCATGTAAGTCAGCGCTCCCCTTGGGAAAGATATTGATACCTAGGTTACTTGAGGGAAAACATTAAAAATTTAGAGGGAAGAGCGAGGGAAGAAGAGGAACTGTAGGGTTGGATGAATTTGTTTAATTGTTAATCCGTCGCGAGAGATGGGTGCTGAGGGGGAGGGAGGTACTTAATTGTTCGGGTTGGGATATTGCATTCATAGACTATGTAGATAGGGATATATCGGGTGTATTTCTCTCCTTTTTTTTCTCTTTTTTTGCTTTTTTATTGTTAGTCATGCTTTATAGTTGCTGGCCTCTTTCGATGTAGCTTTTGATACACGGTGGCCAGCACCCGTATCCTATCTTATGCAACGCCGACATAAGGGTCCTAATGTGTCAATGAGCATAGAATATGGAGCAGGGAGAGATGGGTTGTTATGTTGTGTGCGGTATTCGATAAAAATGAGGTTCCAAGCTTGGGAAAGCCAGAGAAAAGCCGACTAGCTCTGGCCTTCGAGTAAAGGGCTTTTAGGCACTGCGTCCAGTGCTACAGCGTGTAAAGCAGGTCGTTCCCTGCCATTAGCTTCACCCGCCCGGCGTTTAAGAGCTTCTATAACCCATGCAGCGACCTCCTTATCGTAGGTGTCAGTGTTGTAGTCGGGTCCATCTGGACTTCTGGCATCGGTTGGCTCTTCTGATCCTATGATTTCAGCTGCTTCCGTTGCTTCTGGAGTAGCAGTGGGGGGTTGCATGAGCTTTTCTACCCAGGCGTGTCGAATAAGATTGGCGTATGTTGGTCTGGCAGCGGGATTTTTCTGCAGACAGCTTGCGACGAAGTCTTTTGCCTCGGGGGAGAAGCCTGGATCGGGCAGAGTTGGCGGGTCCCCTTGCACGATTGCCTAGTGCGTAGATGTTAGTCAAGACTAATTGAAAGTAGTAAGCTTGGAGGAAGGGGGTAAGACATACATTGAGTTGGCTGAAGATGTTGTTGTATGTCTCAGGGGGGTAGGGGTACCTGCCCATCGCACATTCGACGATGGTCAAGCCAAGACTCCAAATGTCGGATTGAACGCTGTACGTGCCTCCACCGGAGCTACCGGGATGCCCACCACCTGCAATACGCTCGGGGGCCATGTAACTCTGACAGCCAATATTTGTTTTCGCAATGCTAGCAACAAGGTTACCGCTCACTCCGAAATCGCAGATCTTGATCTGTCCACGCGTGTTGACAAGGATGTTTGTCGGTTTCACATCTCGATGGATGATGTTATGTTCGTCCTTGAGACACTTGAGGCCCATGACAGTCGACAGAGTGATTTTGCGCAAAATGTTTTCAGGCACACCCCCTGAGTAGACTTTTTCCATAGATCCACCATCCATGAACTCAACACAGATGTAGACAGCTCCTTCCTGGAAGAAGGCGCCGTAGAAATCGATGATGAAGGGTGAGATACAGCGATGTAGGATATCGAGTTCCATAATGATAGCGGTGAATTTGGCCTCGTCGAGCTCGAGACGGATCTCTTTCATGGCCATGATGATGTTTGTAAGGTCGCCCTTGCTCTTTTTCGTATTTGAGGTTGTATCGAGGGAGTTCGAGTCATTATTGTTCTGGTTATTGTTGTTGATGTTGTTGTTGGTATTGCTGTCTGGCAGATTTCCTACCATGCTCCCCTTCAAGCCGAGGCCAGGCCGTCGTATCTTTGGCCGACAGTGTCGTACTCTGTAGACGGTACCGTAGTTTCCTTTCCCTAGCTCGTTGAGGGACTCAACATCATCCAGGGAGATACTGAAGCTCTGGCCGGAGGAGAAATCAATGCCTCCGCCATGGATAATAGCCTTGTTCTTAAAATTGATAGTGCCGGCCTTTGTATCGATGAGCTCCGAGTACTTGCTAAAAGCTGAGACGGGGGTATTCGAGGACTGCGGGGTGCCGCTAGCCTTTGACAGACTGGCTGGACTCCCGTTGGCACCAGAGCTGGCGTTGGGTATACCGGGAGCCGCGCCGGGGGGCTGTCCGGTAACATTTGACAGTTTCATACCACCGGCCATGCCTCTCTTAGCAGCAAGTCCTCCTCCGCCCATTTTGGGAGTAGGAGTGCGTCCCATGGGAGCAGCCGCGGCACCTCCCTGAACAGACGGGGGGGACCAGGGGCTGGTAGCCTGAGGGGCAGCTATAGGGATGCCGGGTAGTCTCTCGTTGCCGTTGCTCCCGTTGCCGGGAGCTCCCTGGCGAGAGAGGGAGAAGGCCTTCATTTTCTCCTGTATATCCTGGGACAGGCCGCTGGACTGGCTTCCGCGGGCCGGCAGGGGGCCAGGGCGGCGGGCAGCGTTGACATGGCCCAGCGGTGTAGATGAGGGAGTCATCATGCCGGAAGTAGTGCGAATCGAGGCCGTAGTAGCCGGCATGACTGGTAGTCGGGGGCGGCCCTCCGCGGGAGCCGTCATGATAGGAGCGGCAGCACTGGGTGCAGAGGTCGAAGTTGTTGATACTGAGGCGGAGGCAGAGGCAGAGGCAGAGGCAGAGGCGGTGGTGGTGGTGGTGGTGGAGGTAGACGACGGCGTATCTGCAGTACCGTCGACTCCCTGCATCTCGACGCCTTCGCGCACCTGGTTGCTCTCTTCCATCTCTTGCTCCTTGTTCTCTTCGTTTCCTTTTTTTTCTCTTGTCTTGTCTTTGTCTTTTCCTTTCCGGGGTTCTTCTCCTATATCTCACGCACGAAATGAGCCGTAGGAGGGGAGGAGGCCACAGCAGCACACGTTTAACGGTCCATGAGACGCAGCAAAATAGCAAGTAAGGGCGCACAGAACAGTGTCAGCGTATAGTCGACGGTCGAGGGGCACGCATCGGCCAG